GACGCATAGGAGTGCAACAGAAATGATAAGGAACCGTGTGGAAATAATATTATATTTTTTTGCCAATATGATTGATAGAGTAATTTTTTTTTCTTCAGATTATTTATGTGAGTAACCGTGAAAATAGGGAAACGTATGGAATCCCCAGTCGGGTCATCGCGTATAATATCGCTATACGTATGTAATATATGCCACCGCTTCCTCTATCAGTGAAATACCCTTGGGAATAATAATATTAATAATGGGAACGCGGTGATTTTGATACAATAATGCTTTTTAGTATTGTTGTAGGGGCTAACTAAAACTGTATAGAGTTTTTTATTTTTGTTTTCTTAATATATTAAATAAAATATAGTCTATTTTAATATTTTATAACACTCATTAGTTATGTGTATACGAAATTGTGAACATTTTAAAATATTACTTGCGATAAGCAGCATAATTTACTATCGAGTGTTGCAGGGAAATTGCATATTATATGTTGATTTTTTTATTTGATTGGCACGGAATAACATTTAGGTAACTACGGTCGAAAAGCTCGACACTTTATAAATAAATTATTCGAATTAAAAAAGAATAAATGGTTAATAACGTTAAAAATATTTATTTATTAGATGTCTCGCTAAGAATTGCCCTTGCACAGTATTGAATGAAAAAATAAGTATCTAAAGTAAAAACGTAATTTTCTGTTTTCAGCCCCGTTCTAATCACAACTAAACGATTTATAATAATAATAAAAGGTAGTGCCTGCACACTTTCTTTTGTTAATTTAGATAAAACCTACTCCATATGATAATTGTTACTACCGTGGTAGTTGTTGCCACGATTGTTAGCTAACTCAAGAAACAACGTCCACAGAATGATATAGTAGAAAACACGGTAATAATGTAGAGTGTATTTAGGGGGGAAATGTGAATTTAGATAGACACGTCTGTGAAGTGTCGTTATGACAATTAAATAGAACGGTCGTATGTTTATACTACGATTGTTACTGTCCATCCCAAGATAGTAGCTATCAACTATACATTTATGCATGACAATGTGAGAATAGATTTCACGAGTGTTTAATAGTGACTATGGCCCTTTTGATACGTGAATACTTATTTTTCAAATATTCCAAAAAAAAAAGAGTATAAAAAAGTTTATACTTTCCGAAATAATGAGTGTCTTACGTTTTGTTGATCGGCCTGTATATATTAGAGGAAAAATGACGTGTCTGAGAAATCGCTGTTAAAAAAAACTGATAAAACCATGAACGAAAAAGTTTTATTTTATAAGATAAATCATAATAATGCTGTTAACTATGAAATACGATTTATGCGAAATACTTTCATTTTAATAGGTGTATAGGTACTCCGATATTTTTTTTTTTTTTTTGCTAGGACATACTTATATGTTTTATACACTTATAATAGATCAACGGTATAAATATGATATTCTACTTATACATTGTGAACGGATTATTTATTATTACGATTAAATTTCATCATTATAGGATTAGTTTATAATGGGGAAAGGTTTGCTGTGGTATATAGCCAATACTGAGATTATTTCGAGTCTGGTTAATTTCGTTTTACGGTATAAATAATTTAAATAGAAATTTGTTTCGTCGTCGTTGGTAGGAAATAAGGGATTAGAACAGGCGTATACTGTATAGTGTATATTATTATACGTATGAACGAGGAGGTTATTTGATTATTTTCCACCACATCGCCAATAATTATTGTTATGGTAGGCACAGTATACATAGTGATAATATAATAAAACGCAGCGGCAGCGATGACGAGTAACGTTCGAATATTATAACACGCATTGTCAATGTACTGTAAACTGTGTATATACCACCATACATAACGAATATAAAAAGGGCTGATACTGCCGATAGGTGTGCCACTGTTGTGGGAAGGAGGAAGTAAGGAAGGTAGGATACACAAATTAATTTAATTTATAATGTAAGCAACGATAGATCATTGTTAACGAAAAACAATTCTGAGCGAAGTTTGGTTATACATATTTTAAAAGGCCGTAATATTTACGATTTTCGTCAAAATCTAGTAAAAAGGACTTAAAAAAAAAAAAAAAAAAATTAAACTCGTTTTTTTTTATAACTATTTACGACTTAAATAAACCTCTTGTCTCTTATCTCAATTATTAAAAAAACTACAGGCAAAATAAAAAAAAAAAAACTTTTCTATTCATCAACCAAACACAAAATGCAACAAAGAAGATCAGAAGATCTTTAGATATTTTTTGGTTAAGTTAATATTTCTGGTAGAAAATATTGTTCGCAAAAATTAAAAATAATGAAATTGGTAACGTTGTGGCGCAGTGCACCGTTAATATTTGCAATTTTATCTATAATTTTATTTATGGGTTCTCCCAATTATTTTGACAATCTCTTGGAAAATCAAAAAAATGACCCAACTAGATAAAAAACAAACCTTTTAGAAAGATGTTACATTTGATATGCTGGAGATTTGGAGCAAGTTTTTTTTTCGAATAGGTATTTACAAACAGAAAAAAAACATACACAAACTCATAGTAAAACCAATATGTTCTTCACATTTCACTACACTTCGAATCTAAAAAAAAAGTATGATTACCTATATTGATATAATGTTACATTTTAAAATATTATTTGGATTCATTTTTTTCCTGAACCCAATTATAATATGCTCGCTCAGCACGTGATTTAATTACAGACAATGTAGTTATACCTCAATGGATATGTTGACGTGCCATTATAATATCGGGACGTACCTTAACCCAAGAGGAGGTCAGTCGCTCGAGATGAGAACACCGTTTAATAATTTATGCATACAATAAAAATAACACATAATATTTTGATTGTAGATGCATATAATAATATTATAATAACGTCTAAAATGCGTTCGAAAATGATTATATTAAATACTTGTACAAAATAATAAAGCCATATGCAAGTAGAGTGTAATGATATATATATTATATTGTTAATTTTTGTAGATATTATATCGGTGCCCACCGATTGAAAATAATAAAAACGACAACGACACGAATTTTCATCGTTTTTTCCGGTATGTTTTCATAAATAGGCCGTACGATTAAAAAAACACGAAGCGGTTGCAGTCGACTCGCTTTAAAATTAAATTCCTCTAGCAATACGTTTAATATACCACCAACCCAGTAAATTGCGCAGAATCGTACCAAATTATCATTAGGCATATCCAACTTTTCATTGTTATTCGTATTTATAATGGTCCAAGTTACATTATTTTAGGTTTCTAGGCGAACGAGAAAAACAGTGTTTATGATTTTTGAAAAGTTAACAGATGTGTTATATAATTATGTTGCACTTAACGAAAATTGTCTAAGGAAAATGTGGATGAGTGGCAGCCACTGTTTTAGGTAATTTAATGTTTATCTGTAAACAATGATTAACAATTGCTAGCGAAAAGATAATTCTGAGTGAAGTGCCGCTTTGTCAACAACATACAATATGCCATAATCTGATAAAATAATTACTTATATTTTATATTTTTTTTAATAATATTTGTTTAATAATGTACCATTTTCCCGTATTTGCTCATTTGCTAGAAAAACTCCAAGAAAAATCGAAAAATTACTTCTTACTACTGTCTTGTCTTTAAAGTATCTCTCCGGTTAAATTTCCTTTCAGAAAAAGTTTTATCGTTGAAAATAGAATCAAAATTGCTGGTAGAAAAGTTGTCCACAGAAAAAAAAATAGACATCATCGTAAAACCAATACATTTCTCGCTCCGCTCAGAATCTAAAAGTAATGTATTTTAGAAAAAAATGTTTATAATGATTTTAAAACAAATTTTGATGAAAATAGTTTATATTGCACTCTTTCAAATAACTTTTAAACGGACTTCCTACTGAATTAATTTTAGTTAACAATATTTTAACATTGCTCATTGCTCACAGATAAAAATTAAATAATTTTATGTATCCTAATCTTTTCCAAATTCCCACTTAGAAGGGTGACGCATTCATCAGCAGAATCAGTTTTTTTTTTTAAAAATATTACAATTCTTGTTTAAACGTCAATAACAATTTTAAATTTTTGACGTTTAAAATCTAATTTCCTTGAAAAGTTTGTCATTTATGATATATAATTACGTTACTGAGGACCTACGTATAACGTTTTATACTATTGACATTTATTATCTAACTTGTCACTTATAGGCCCGTGATTTAGATCCTTCACATTATAAAGCTTCGATTATAATATGCTAAGTTTAAAAATTGAATTTTTCGTTATAAAATGGTCACACTAAATTACCAGTTCGTCCAGAAGATGTATCGTGTTCCCAATAGTCAATAATATTATCTAGATTTATACATGTTTGACAGTAAAAATACTTGTATTATATTACTTGTTTTTTTTTTTCGGCCTGTTTCCATAACAGTTCACAACGCATTCTTTAATTCAACATTCGTTAAATGGCATAAATCTTTCAGTAAACTTACTAGGATATAAGGAACAAAAAAATATCTATATACGTAATCATTGATAATTATTGTTGTAGACTGCATTTCTATAATACTTGTCGACATTTGACAATTTTTCTATTCGGAATATAAACACTAAATTGTGTAAGTATATTATAGACTATCGCGATAATTCGAAAAAATACATAAATATAATACAAACAATATTGAATTAAATGTAAATGAATGTAGTTGTATAAAGATTCCTGAAAATAAAAACAATATATCAGTATTATCGATATTATTTGCACGTTATAACATCGATGAATCGTTTTAATTAAAATACAAAACTCCACGATAGAAAAACATTGAGCTCCAACGGTTCGAATATTCCAGCGAAATGGATGATTTTCATATTATTCTGTCTTAAATAATCGATTACTACGTGGTTTTCAACGATATACGTTTTATAATTCTCGACAGACGGGGATTGTTGTTTGCTAAGACAAAAAATCGTTGCTCGTAGGTTTTATAATTTAATTTTATATTTTATTTGTTTTTGTAGCCGAACGCGAAGGTCAAAGTGTCAAGCTATATCTGAATTCCATCATCGATCAAAGTGTGAGTTGTTAATGTATTTTTTGTTTTTTTTTTTGCTTTTCTATTTGCTTTTTGTTTCCCAATAGGTACCTGCGTTATAACTTTATAATTCTATAGCTCACCAAATTACCCGAACCATGCGCTATTGTTTTTAATATCGTCTAAATATACAAGTATTACTTAAAAGAGAACACGCGTACTGCACTACCAGCACTCCGGTGTACTTGATTTGAACGAGATTGTCAAGTCGAATTGTGTATACTGTACAAATAAATAAATTGATTTTCCGGTTTAAAAATATTACGCAAGTTAAAAAACATTAAGATATTTTCGTCATTTTTATCTTTATTTTGCCGTTTTTCAAGTTTCAAGGTGAAGAATATATTACGCGCGGTAAACCAACTCGGCCTAAGAAATAAATTAAGTATGACTAAACCGTTTGATGGCGAGTAATGCTGTATTAAATTTGTAAAAACCTTATTTGGCCGATAATTAATCTTGTGGACATTTTAGATTATGTGAAAGGAACGTATAGATTTCCCTGTACGTGTGCTTTGTTTTTTCAAAACCACTTCCTTCCGTGTCAATGTGGTAAAATTCATATTGTAATTCAACCTGCATTTCATCACTAAAATCCGCTTACAAAACTACTCTTTGATTCCCGAGTATATTCTCATTTGATTTAGAGGGGTATAAGTAACGGTATATCAATAATCTAATATTATATTGGTCCTACAAAAGAAGAACTCATGTTTATTCATTATTATGTTGTCATGTAATATTTTTTAATTTTTTTTGTTGTTTTATAAGGTATGTATTCAATTGACTTAAATTCTTTTATGTACCAGGTAAAATACAAATTAATTATATAGTATTTAATGTTCGGGGAAAATTCGACAATAAACAAACAATATAATATCTGCTATATTATATTTTAAGGAAATTTGGTTCTGCTAATAGGATTTACTTTAGGCTCTTTTGGATGATTGAACATACCGGCATATGGGGAAATCACTAATAAGCTTTCTGATCGACCTAATTTTAAAGAAATGCCTCAAAAAATTGTACCAATTATGAGTGTCTCGGAACTAAATAAAATAAAACATCTACTCCTAGTTCCTCCAAAATATTAAGAAGAAAGTTCGAAGTGATATTAATTAGTCTCCGATACATAAAGTATATTCGTAGCTTACTAATGGAAAGGAAGGACCCTTCAATTGGCTCACTTGACAGACACAACATTGCTAACAAAAAACCATTTCAAGGGAAGTTCATATAGGAATGTTTTAAAAGGTCGTAATACTTACAATTTTCGTAAAGAATTTATATCAAAATTAATATAAAATAAAATAATAATGTACTACACTCATTTTTTTTTTGACCACTTAGTACAATTTATAATAAACTTTCTGTTAAATATTCAAACATTTCTGTTTAGTCTAACACACAGTATCTACCAAATAAAAATTACATACAAAACTCGCAAAATTAAAATGTCTAAAAATAGCTCAAATATTTTAAACATTTTACCACGTCTAGAAAAAAACAAATAAAAGTTTTTTGTCGAAATTTAAAGTCTTTAAGAATATTTTTAATTAGATTACAGTAAAAAAATAAAATTCAAAATAATAAAAGATTTACTTTCCTAAATATTCCCGTTTTTTCTAAGTATTTTTCTGCTTAAAAAAAAAAAACATATCGTAATAATATTAGTAGACCTTTCGCTATGGTCTGAATCTAAAATATTTATAATATAGATATATTATTGGTATTTCCATTGTAAACCACATATATTTGCGCGTGCGTGTCATAATGTTCATAAAACATAGTTCAAGGCACTAAATATTATTGCAATATTCGAGCGACTATAATTTAATATAATTTAGTGAATAACGACGTTCTATAGTGCCGACCTACACGTTTTAACAATGGGTATTTCAATTGGCATTCGAATGTCGTTTTTTTATTATTTATTTGTATTACCAATCGAATAGAATGGAATTATTGTCATATTCGTACCGTTCAGGTATGCAGCCGATGACTGCACAATACCCTCGTCTTATTTAAATAAATACAATATATTCGTGTTGTGGGGAAAAAATGGAAACGCAGTGTTGCACATGAATATAGGAAAAATAAGGAAAATTTGTTGATGTTTTAACATCTCCCTAAAAATACAAAAAAATAAAATTATAATAATTAAAACAATTTTTTTTTTTCCAGTAATATTAAGTTTTCAATTTATATTTGTGTATTACAACTATACTAATCATAATTTACGATACCTAATCGTGCTTTTGTAGTTTTCAATTATTATCACTACAGCGTTTATTATGACGTTTAACCATATTTTTAATGGATGTATACATAATTGTGAGTCCATATAGAACAAAGAATCTAAATAAGATTTGTTTAGCATATATTTAATGCATATATTAAGGTAATTTATATCGATTCATAACTTCATACGTTTAGAATAACAATCTGGAGTAAAATAAATATACTTACAGTAATCCAATTTCTATTTCGAAAAACGATTTTACATATTGTAAGTATATACATCTCTTCTATGGTTTTTCAAACATTTAGTTATATACATTAATTTATATTTACATATTTTTTTTTTTTTTGTAGTACTTAAGTGCTAATTTTTTTTTTAAAAAAAAAAGATAAACTCATTAGAAGCACTTAATCTTTTTTTCTTAAAGTAAACTTGTACTTAAGTGTTACGAAAAAAATAATTAAGAAAAGTTAAACTCATAATGTACATTAACTATGTAAATTAACTAAATAAAAGAATGAAAATATATTTTCTACAAAATATAGTTCAGAAATCGATAAATTCAGGTATTTTCTCAAAATTAAAATTTTAAGCTAGCAATAATGGGCGGGCATTTATTCTAGATTGTCTATCTAAATTGTCGTGAAAACGTCAATTTTAGTTTTTAAGTATATTTGTATATGCATAATATATAATTTAAAATAATATTAAAATCAGTGAACGATTCGATCAAAATCTAGTAAAGGTATTGAAGTATACAGTTATATATGAATCGAATTATTTACCTGCGTGGACCCCTGTCCCCCAATAAATGTACTTTGTATTCAAATCTGGACCCTGGTTACATGGTTTGAACAATCTAACAGCCACACTGCTCTTCGCAACATGTGTGTACAATTTTTTAAAAACAATTTATTTATAATTTATGTTTGATTATATAAATAAATATTTGCATACATATACAATATATTATATACTTATATTTAGAGATCAAAATATGAACAAAATAGGAAAATGTAAAAATAATATGTTTCTGAAAACCCGATATATTTTACTACAAGAAAACCACTTTTTTCTTGGAAATTTCGATCCCTTCTTCAAATACTGATCTCACTAAATGCGCAGATCCAGGAAAAAAATATAATATTATCAACCCGGGCGGTTCTGTTCTTATCGCCAAAAAATATTTTCTATCTACGCCCTTGGATAGCATTTTATATTTTATATCGTAAGTATTGGCGTTGCAATAATCATAACCAATTTAATGTAGTCCAAGAAGTTCAGGGCACCTCAGCTCCGATAATAAACTGCCCTCCGATGATGCTGTTTTCCGCTTCCGGTCCGGTGCCGCCTAAACTCGATTGGAAAGTGGGTAAAACGGTAGTACCGGTTATGTCATATTATTATTATGCTTTCCTCTATTTCGACGCGCAATCTCCAACCGTCGTCAATAGCGTTGATATATGCCTATAAGAACGTAAATCTAAGTATAAATCTAGGTTTACACAGAACATAATCCACAATGGTGTTTCACGAGTTTCTTAGTTATAACTCACGATCGAAAACCGCTTCACAAAATGTAAAGTCAATTACTACACCATAAACAGTATTTCAGTTCAGTAAAATGAAATCGTAGTGATGTATTCTACGATTGAAGCTTTAAAATTTGAATGGCCGAAAGTGTTTGATATTTAACGCCTTTCATCAATGATAATCCCGAGATCATAAATTACAAACTATCTGTTTACACAAATCGTGAACCATGCTTGCAATAAAACACGATCGTGGTTCAATTTTCGTGAAAAGCTCAGCTTTATATAGAATAATAATGAGCATTCACCAGGTAAATTTGGTGAATTGAGTAAATTCAGTTTAAAAATAAAATACACAATCATTTAGCGAGACATTTTATTTATAAACTCGTTTTTTATTTCATACATATGGCCATAAATTGAATAGATACCTCTTGATAAGTAATCATAACAATCAGTCAGGAAATTTACATATCAGTTAGAATAAACAGTTTGTCCAAAAAAAAAAATAATATGTTTACCTCTATTTTAGATACTCGTAAGTAAATATCCCAAATATTTTTTTATAATTTGAGTATTAAAACAAGTATCACTAATATGGACCAACTCAGCATCTCGTGTTATTACTTAGAGAACTACGAGATATCGATTTGACGACGACCGCGTTTTGCCTGTCATTCGGTCACGTCACCATGAATAATTTCTGAACGAGAAACGTTACAATAGAATAATATAATATATTGAATTCTGTTTTTATTTTTTTTTTCAGATTTTGAGCAAACCAATAAAGAAATGTGTTATACTTTTACTATGTCGTGTTTGTTTTAGTAGAATTTTCCCCTGAAAAAGAAACTATTGCAGCTTACGTCCATTATTTATATTCATAATAATATTATACATGGTATATATATATATTTATTTGTCGTACCAAAAAAAAAAAAAAAGTGTTTATTAAGAGCATTTTTCTCACATTCCAAATTTTTTTTTAAACTTCTGTCATGTTTTTGAAATAGTTAAATTAAAAAATTTTGAATTATGGAAATGTCTGAAACTTTTTTTTTCTTGGGGCAAAAGATAAATAGTTCATTTTTTTTCCTATACCAAATGAACACAAAATTAGAGTTATTTAACAGACGATATAGGGTTATAAAATTGGAATTCAATTCAATTTCAATATAAATTGCGCTGTGTTGTTTCGGAAAGAGGTATTGAACACTCCTCTATAGGAGTCTATATCCAATTATCTGATACTAAAACTTATTGACTGCTATAAAAGTATAATTATTATATATTTTTCTATGTGGAATTTCGTATGTGAATTGTTCGACGTTGCCAAAAGCTATAATAATTTGCATATCAAGTTCAACACTACACCAATCAGTGGTTTTTAACCTTTTTCGTTTCAGTGCCTCTTTACCGAGATAATTTACTACTGACGTCCCTTCACGCAAAGCTATACGCTTATTATTGCTTTATTGATCTTTTGCTTTTGATTTAGTTTTTTTTTTTTAATTAACTGTTTTTAAACAAATTATTATTATAATGTTATATTACAGGAATCTTGTTTTGGTGGCCATTACTATAGGAATCTTGACCAAATTATATAACAATTCTATAATCCGGCCGTGTACATAACTATGTTTATTTCACGTGTGATGATATGTGTCGCTGGATGCTGGTGTTTTTTTTATTTATCCATCATTCCGTATTTAAAAGCTCACTGCTCCCTCAAGAGACCGAAATGCCTCCTATGGGGTGTTACCGCCCCTTGTTAAGAACCACTGGTGTAAATTATCAAATAAGTAATTAAATTTCGGTAGTTATGTTTCTTGCATAGCGATTATTAGTTTCAAACATTAGAAAAACTTTTTAGCGACCCACGTCTAATAACCCGACCTTATGAAACGCTTTATAACTAAAGTATAGTTTAAGGTTATATAATGTGTTTATAAGTGCTTCGATAAAATTTGGACGCAATCTTTTTTTTTTAATATTATACAATTATAGAGACCGATGGGCAGTTCACACAATACGCAATGTGCAACACGTAGTAAGCACGTGAATAATTGTACGCTGGTAGCAGATAAAAACGTAAACAATTTAAAACTAAAAACTTTTCCATACTGATTAAACATGTTGTTAAACTTCGTTTCGCTGACGCTAATATTTCTGCTGTTACAATTCGAAGTTTGAATTTTGAATTTTTCACCCGAGTAATGTGTCACACGGGAATTTTTATCGAGACAAATTTAATTTTTATTTTCATATATTAATCAATAAAAAAAAAAAATCTTTAATTGTTCACTTTCGAAATTTCATATATTATCCTAAAAAATTAATATAAACTACATACATTTCTGGTAAATAGTTTCACAGTAACAATAGTTTTGATTTCTAGAGAAGGGACATCCCTTCTTCTACATTACTTTTATAAATGTTCTGCGATTATGATTCTCTATCAACAAATAAATTGTGAAATACTAATCATCTATTGGAAATTATTTTTTTCATACTTTATTTCCAGAAATTAAAACCGCTATTACTATAATACCATTTGTTGTAGATTATATATGTATGATGCAGGTTAGATTAAATTTTAAAGAGATCGAATTAAACGATTTTCTAGTTATTAAGAGCTGACCAGAAAAATAAATGTTTTCTATAATATAATATACTATATATGTTTCTTCGATAATAATACAATTGAAAAAATAAAAAACATATAATATTAACGGAGATATTATAAAAATATTATTAGCATGGGAAAAACACGGTTGTAAGACTCCTCGTGTGGTGGTAAATCGAGAATTTAGTGAAACAACTAATAATATGATAATAATAAAAAAATTATTAGGTTTTGGCGTTAATATATAATAAACTATATGCACTATATACGTATTGTATTACTCAAGGTGTCTTTTTTTGTACTGGGTAAACATATATAATATCAAAGGGAGACTAGACTGTTCGCGTTTAAATCCGAGTACAGTAGTTTTCCCTCTTACATATTTTACTGTTTGTTAATTATTTTTCAAGAAATAATGAAGACTGTCACAAAGGTTTTATTAAAGGGGAAAACGCGCCATTTTATTAATGAACCAAAAATATATGAATAAAAAAAAAAAAATCCTTTTTTTTTTTCTTCGGAACGGCGTTAAAACTATGCAAAATCGATACGCCTGTGCGTGCAAATCTCTTGCCGATACATTCATATTATTCATATTATACATTCCGCGACAACGCCTGACGTATTTACACGATAAGAATAACTATAATATACCTTAACTACTTTATTGTAATCATCTGCACGAATCGGGAAAGGGGCTGTTTTCCCCATCACAATATTCAGTCGAGCGCCTCCTTAAAACTTCAAATACTTATCGAGTAAATATTAAGTTCATATAATCAATATCACTCAATAATTCAGGGGCTCTAAAATCCCTTACAAAAAAAAAAAAAAAAATATATATATATATATTTGGGATATTTGCTTTTATTATAATATTATTAAGCATTGCAAGGTAACTTATCCAAATTAAAGCCAAAAATAAACCAGCAACAAATCGGATAGACTATTTTAAATTGTTGTATAGTTGTTATGGCATTTTTATTTCCTCGTATTGTTTATTTTTTTGTTCATTTCATCCGTGTTACTATAGTTATCCATAATTTACAAAAATAATTTAATTTTCGTACCGAAAATAACTAAACATATTTCATCTCTTTCAGATTTTGTTTCGTGACAAAAAGTAGCATATGTTTTGTTCCAAGGTCACATTTATCTCTATACCAATATTCATTAAAATCCGTTCAGTGGTTTTTACGTGATAGAGTAACAAACATCCATATATCCTCACAACTTTTCACATTTATAATATTATATAATATTAGTAGGATTAAGCATTATGCACACCGTATAGAAGCTGTAACGTACGATAAACCAAAAAAAAAGAATAAAAAATACCAAGTGAACTCACAGGAAAAAAATTACCTACATTTAGGTGCATCAACCATTTAAATCCCATAAATACGTGTATATTTTTTAATGAAATTAGATTTAACTTGTTTTTGTTTTAGGTAAAACAACCAGATAACTCCGGACTTATTTGGTTTTTGCTCCAAATATTGTAGTTTTACAAAATGTGTTTTCCCTTTATGGGTGCTATTGATAAAATAAAAATATGTTTAAACATTTTTTTTCTAAATTCGCATTGTTAAAAAAAAAATGATTTTTATTTATACTGAGCAATTTCAAAAAGTGGATTTATCTGGTTTTTGCTCCAAGCCCTTCAAATGTTCTCTGGGTGGTATTTTAGAAAGGTCATTTTTTTAAAGTCTTATATATATATTCGAGATAAAGAGGAAAATCTGATTCTTTAGGTTAAAAAAGATTGAAAGATTAAAAATAAGGTTGTCATTAGTAACCGATTTTATTTATTTTTTGTTATTATTAAGTTTCTATTATTTTAATCTTATTTAAACAATTATTGTTGTCATGAAAACGCACACTTTTATAATAATTTTACAATAATATGACATATACATATTATTGAAAAAGCAACATAATCAACTAAACTTCACTCAAAATAAATTGTTCTTTCGTTAGCAATCGTTTATCTTTACTTACGGATATACATTAAATTCCCATATCTATCCAAACTTCCCAACTTTCCACACACAACAGCGGCTGCACCCACGTGCGAAGTATGTCCGTCCCATTTATATATATATATACCCGAAATCTCGCTTTGATATATACGTGTGACATCCTTTCTGAAAGACAAAATTGTCTATATAATCTTTTTGGGGAGTCATTATTTGATTTTTCAAACGGTTCATAATATCTGTGAAACCCCACGATAAAACGTTGGAAAAACGGGCAAGGTACGAAAATAATATTTTTTTATTATTATAATTTGTTATTTATCGGTCCGTTGCCATGTTACTGAGTTAGGCGCTAATAAATCGATTGTTATTGCTAGGTAACAATATTGCATTGTTTTATGTATAAGCGCTGGCATTACTTACTTACGTGTACAATGCATTAGTCGTTATTTGATTTCAGCAAATCGCGTAGATTTCGACCGAAAACATTAGGAATGTTTAAATGGCCTTTTACAAATCGAACATTCGTCAGTCGAGTCAATATTGTATTTTTCACCAAATAAAACTGCTATGAAAAGCAATAAAGACACTGAGGATTCGATTGGGATTTTAAAGTCGTCGTGTACTTCAAAATTTTACGCGTAATATTATTACGGTTGTTCGTATAAGAATGTTTTTAGTTAATTATAAATGCACATTAGCTTTTAGCGACGGCTTCCGCCCGTCCGTCCGTTTAATCATTTAACCGAACTCTACGGACAGACTCGGGGTTTTTTTTTTTTTTTTTTTTTGTATTGTCCTTTAGGGCTTTTCGATTATTACTCGGTCGCCAATATGTCGCGGGACCGACGACTTTCGAACAAAAGCGGTGTATTTTTCCGCAATCCCTCGGACCGGAGTAATCGCCGTCGGCGCGTTTACCGGGCTACGGATAATAGGTTTTTTTTTTCTTTTTCTTTTTTTCCCCTCTAGATGAAACGGAGTGTGGAAATAACGGACCGATAAACATGTTTCGCGGAGGGTAAATAACGGTATAACACGGTACGGTTACGAAATACGGCGGCGGCGAGCGATGGATTTCCCGTACGCCGCCGGTGTAACATCGTTGTCGTTATTGTTACGGATGCCTATACGCGCGAGAGCGTACACCGAGCGGCAACAACGGTACCTGTTGTTGTCCGGGGACACCGCGGTGTATTATTTCGGCGCGGCCGTAACACCGCCGGCACGGTACGCGGTCACGGACGGGTTGCGGTGGCGATTTACAACCGGATACGGTGCCGGAACGTGGCGCGGACGGCGCAATAACCGCGACACGCACCTGCTACCCACCCCCCGCCCCGTCGTAAATGTATCGAAACCGGACGTAATAAACGCGATCGTCCGGCAGACGTGCCGGCGGGTTACGCTGCGAGTATTATATTAATATACCGACATCGGCGACGTTATAATATTATTATTTATCGCCATCGTTATTATTACCATTATTGTTATCGCGCGGCACGTATACCTAACCTACCTACGGTTATTGTTGCCGTCGGGTCGTCCCGGAAAGGCCGTTTGAGAGTCAATGCGGCGGCGGCGGGCGGCGAAAAGGGGAAAGCGGACAATAATTTCGTCATTTCGGACTGCGTGTCGCACGGACGCGCTTGCTATATCGGATTCTGAGCGGACCGAGTAATGTCGCGGTACCGGTAGTTCTACCGCGACTGTTTCACGCGTGTTCCTCGCTGAGCGTCTCGCGCGTCCGTTTCTGTTCGCCGAAGATCGCGCTCCGGTCGAAAACATAATATATAACAAAAAAAAAAAATATAATGCATTATGTGTGTAGGTGTATATGTATTGTTTTACCACTATACGGCCATGTATACTATTGAAAAATGATCTCTATAAACCGAACTCCGCTCAGAATCGTTTTTCGTTAGCAACGGTTAATCGTTGCGTACAGATATACATTAAATTTCCTCGTACAACAGTGGCCCATCAATCACGCGAAGTATTTCCATATATTTTTTTCAACTTTCGTTTGTAGTTTCCTTAGCATAAGCGGATCGCTTTTTCTTTTTACTATTTCGTTGGTTTCTATACGTTACCTCGAAAACAAGAAATAATAATATTATGCTCAGAACCGTTTTTCGCTAACGGCAGTTTAGCGTTTCGTATACAAATATATTAAATTACTGTGTACATCCTCTTTGTAACTTCCGTCCTAAAACAGTGGCACGTCCATCAGCAGTATCCTACTTAGATATTATTGCATTATGACGTTATGCATTATTGATTAGAAGTTATAAAATATAACAACCGTAATTTTCGGATGCACTCAAACGATAATGGCGATAGCGTACAAATAAAGTTCAGCAATTTTGTTTACGTCAGCGATCAATTATTTAGCTAGCACGCAATCAAATTAAAAAAAAAATAATAATAAAATTATTAAAATACCAAACAAAGTACGACATATCAACTTTCGACCTGTGTACACTGCAAACATTTTTTTATGTATAAATATACGTACTAACAATAATCTGGTTTGAGTTTTTTCCGTACTAATAACCAACGTTTTAATACTATCATTTTTATTCTACGTAGGGAAAAAACAAGACGGTTAATATTTTGCCGTAGGCACTTTAACAGTTGTTTCTTTCCGATAATTATTTAACTATAAATCGGTATCGTATACTAGGTGTACAATACCTTTATCAATTGACTTTATTTCATCTATAGCACGAGTACACTCCGTATAGGCATACGGCGTGTCCTCCAAGTTCGGCGGATTTTTCTGGAGCTGTTAATGTTAAATATTTTTCAATTATGTTTTTTTTCAATAGATTTTTCTTTGAGGGCGACATCGATTCGGAAAAAAATTAAATTTTTATTTCCATCTCCTTAAATACAAAAAAAAAAAAAAAAATATAATAAAATAACAATAATAAAATATAAATTGAAAATTATCATTTTGTAAAAAATATTATTCTAAAAATTTTAATATATCACACATTAATATCGGATGAATAGTTTCTTATAAATAGCCGTTTGAATTTCTAGAAAATAAGTGCGAAAACAATTAATATTATTCAATAAACTACTGTTGCGATCAGAAACTACGGTGTGGCGTTTGTGATTATTAAAGAATGTTAATATTATCTTCACACATTTTTAACAACTCTAGAAAAATCTGTCGAATATTATTCCTTTGAAATATATTGACAACTTTCAGTATCATGTATAAACGATTTATTATAATTATTATTTGTTCCGGAATTTATACTTGCACTTAAAATTATTATTATTATTTTTTTTTTATGTTTCGGGCCATCGGCTATTAAAAATTTAAAAGAAAATATTTGTTTATAGTATCTGATATTGTATATACATCAAAAATACCGAGAAAGTTGAATAAAAGTTTTCAAAATGTTTCCATGCGTTTTGAATCGCCGTTCCGTTTAAATTAAACAATACTTTTTAATTTTATTTTTGGAATTTACATAAAAAAAAAAAAAAAAAAAAAAATGCTGATACTGCTGATTGGTATACAAGATAAGTAGGAAGGGTGAATTTTTAGAATGGTTTTATTGATATTTTTGCCTCAACAACAAACTATTGTTACCTAAAACGATTTCGAGAAAAGTATATTTTTAGTAATATTTTTTTCTCTGCAATATAAACATATTGCTAGTTTTTCCGGTAATCCAGAAAAATACAAGGAAAATCAAAAAATTACTTCTTAAATGCACCTTTTAGATCTATACAATTTTTTTTTGGAGCATAATTTCTGGTAGAAATGCAGTTTACAGGCCAAAGTAACACAATTTACTCATACTACGTACTAGATGTTAACTGGTAATTAGTGATAATACGATTATTAATGTTATAACCATATAATTATAATTATCAGTAAATTCCTTTTAAATTACTAGAATGTAAATTTTTTAAATAAATAATAAAACAAATTTTTTATGTGTTGTTAATAATTTTTTCGATTTTCAATAGATAACGTAAACATATAAGTACTCAGTTTAAGTTTAATAAATTAAAATGTTTGAGTAACTCACCTCATTTATTGGTCCTGTGATTACCAAAATAATCAGTATTACTCATAGAGTAAACTACATCTACAGTTTTTATTTTTAATCTTTATCCGTAGTCGATCCTTTCTATTCTAACAGGAACTGACACCCGTTCGACTTTTAGATTCATTTTTTTAATATTACAAAATATTATTTAAGTCTCGGAGAAACCGCAGATTTGTATCTCGCCGTTAAGACAATCGGATTTTTCTCCCCATCGATTCTTTTTTTTTAACATTTATCTTTCTCTCAATATATTTTATCGGACAGGATGAACAAACGGAAGTAGGGCAGACTACGATATCCCCACTGATACTAAATTATAATAAAACAATATTATTAAAAACAAATTAATTCCAACCGCAAGTAAATTATCTACCTAAGTCATATTATAATACTGTACTGTATATAAATATATTATGTATAAACGGTATAATGGTAATATATTTGTGTTATTTTATTTTTTTGTTTCGTACAAAATGTACGCGTATAAAACGGCCGATATTAATCAAACGCGTAGCATTATGATTTTGACACGGCAATCGTCGCGTTCCGTATCGATTCCAGAAGAAGATAATATTTTATTAATAATATTTAAACCGCGTTGCGCATAATAATAATTATTATGATTTGTCGAAAACACTGTGGCGATAAATGTACCAGTATAAACAAAAATTAAAATGTACGCATAAAATATGTTTAAAACTTTCGAAACTGTTACGCTCGCTTCGTTTTCAAATAATGATTTATATTAAACTATTATCATTATAAGTAAGTACTGATTTTGGCAGCCGAGTCCCGTGCGATACGAGTGTCGGCGTCGGAACAGACCACCAATATTTTGTACGTAAATAAAAGACAATGATGACGAGTATAAAATTATGTAAGATAAAGATAAAAGACAATTGTCAGTAATCTAGATAACCGAAAAGAAAACTAAAGTAAGATAATATTCATACAACTAACTTTATTTTAGGTACCTATCTAACTTAGATTCAGAATATTAAATTGAATATTCAAAATTGTATGGCTAGATTAGAGAAAGTCTGTCTAATACTGTTTATCAAATATCAATGACTTATTTGTGTGCTCGTCGCCTAGGAAAAGTAGTGAAAGTGTATGAGTGGTACTTTATATTGTTTATGTGCGGTACGTCGCAAACATTAAATTAACCAAAACAACTTTTGGAAGATGATAACTCAATATTAACTGTTGTCTGTGTATTAACTAAAAAAAAAACAAAAAGATAATTTGGTTTTACCTAAATAATTGTTAGGTATCTAGATTGTCTTTTAAATACCTTTTTATATAATAAAATAAGATATTAGATAATTAGATAATTTCAATAATAGATACAGCTTAGTTGCTAACATGACACTCATTATCGCTCGGAGAGCATAAATTGATAATGGGAGGGAGGAACTTAGGAAATATGGTGTTTTTAAGCCGTAGAAGAAGTATTAGTCTTTCCACGACACTTTTCAATCAATTAGCCTAACATATATTTTTTCGAACGAATTTATTTATTTTTTCAACTGTCAACAGTAATATTTAACGCGGATATTTGCACATTCATTTTTTTTTTTTCTATATTTTTCATAAATTAACTGGGTGGTAAAATATTATATTTCAAGTTTTTTAGGAGGTGTAAATAGCTTCCCTGGTGATAACTAATAAAAGTTGTGTTATAGAGTATTGTTACTTTAAAAACAAAATACACCTGTAGCATACCTGTTACACCACCAGAGATAGAAAAACGGTATAAGTTAAAGTTTTAAGTATGAATAGTATTTTTAATAGGTAGAACGAAATATATAAAAATAACGAACTCTCACACCCGTTCCCACAGAAAATGGCACACAAAATAACCACCTATGATTTTCAATATCAAAACTCAAAATATCCGTGAACAATACAAATGTAAAGTTATTATAATAATTTATAGGTAATTGTTTATTATAGTATTATCCGCAAATTGCATCGACTTGGCATTTTCGTCAAACAAGAAATACAGTGCGGGCCAGGGAAACCGGGAGTATTAAAGTAATTCTCACAAGAGCAAAAACAAAAAAATTTCAAAAAAATTGTATAGGATTGCACAGCAAAACGTTAAAATTTAATTTTCTAAAATATTATTCATGATAAATTACAATAATTACTAAGTAGTCAACTTTTTGCACAGCTATTTTTTTTTTTTTCATTGTTCCTGTGAATCAAATTAAAACTTAATCTTAATAAAATAGTTCAGGATACATTTCTGAAACTGTATTAATACATATAAAAGTAAAAAAAAAAAAAACAATAATATTACATTTGCAGCAGCTAATATTTCCAACTACAATATACCTATTATAATAGTGACCGACATAAAACAACGGCTCGTGGCTTAACAACTTAAAAATCATAAAAAAATATAAACAAACCAAACCCATTAAAATGTGTTTATCAGGAAGACTTTTAACGTTTAATTTTTAAAACGCGTGGGTATTTATTTTATAAATAATAATAGACAGCTTGATCCTATTCGTGTACTCGTAACACACAATTAATTGCATTTAAATTTTTAAAAACTATTTCATTACAATTCTTTGCAGTGATTATCGCAGTAGTTGTACTGAATCAAGAATATCTGGATGTGGAAGTTTTCAGTGGTATTTAAAAATGATACTATAGGATATACGTTTCGTATAAGAATTCGTCTATCTTGTTGAGGATCGTATATGATTTCCAGTCTTATAACTCGCGAAAGTTGATTTTTTTTGTTGTTTACTTCTTAGGATCTGTGTTATGAAAAAAATAGTAATCATAATATATTTTTTTGTTACGTCAGGCAAAAGCAAGCCATTTTAAAAAAGATTTAAGAGATAAAAATAGGTAAATAAAAGTATTAAATTATAATAAAAAGAATATGCAAAAGTTCAATTCTGAAAAAAATATATGGTAAGTGTGCTATTATAAAACTTACAACTTATTTGAATGTATGAAATAAATAACTGCATATATAAAACTTATATTTATTCTGTAGTAACATTATAGTAATCGTTATACGCTTGAAGTAAAAAAAAAGGTGATGCTCATGATATTTGATATGCATTCAATACTAGCTGTTACCTATGACTTTGTCCATCTAAATTTTTATAATATTTTTTCAACAGACAAATGTAAAACGAAAAGGTAAAATGTAGAAAAAATATGAGTATATTACCAACAGTTTTAATTTAGTAACAGATATTTTAAACTATTCTTATTTTTTAAATGTTTAAAACGAAATAATTTTTCTTTACAATTACACTATCTACACGATCAGTTTACACCTATTTAAAGTAACTAAAATCTCCCATTTTTTTATTTATGCAACTCTCTCATCCCGATTAATTACAATTAGTATAAAGCTATTTTTCCACACTAACTTTGGTACTCGTTTCTATGATTTTAATTCCAAAAAGGTTGACTTTTCGAAATTACTTATTAGTATTAGGATACAGTTTGATAATTCGCATTGAGTTATTTCTAAATGTGTTCAAATTGTCACTCACAGCTAAAACCTCTATGAGTTAGTAGTTGTACATTTTTATGAAGTGGGAGTATGGGATTGGTTTAAAGCACTATTCACGCACAATAGTCAAATAGTATCATTTTCCATATGTTAGATTACAGTTGTTTAGTTTTAAAGGATAGTTTTTTCAGTCAAGGGTTTCATTATTTGGTAGAATTAGGATAAAGATTGATATTTATTATCTTTCTCAATAATTTTAATGTGCGAAAAAGGAATTTCTAAGTTCGAACTCCTAGAATTTATAAATTTTTAACAACAATTTATGGGGTAGATTTCCTACAGGAATAAGGTGTTTATCATTTTCAATATACGTCGCTTTTCAGTCCTCTAACTATCTCTATGACAAAAATTATGTCAACTCCGGTTTGTAGTAATTACTTAAGTATATATCCGTATGTTGGAAAACGTTAAGTTATATTCGCGAACGCGGCCAACATAATAATATTACCCTATTCTCTAACACCCAAAATGTGTTTGTAAAAAAAGGGGAAAAACCCGCGTAGCCACCACGTAATCGTGTTCACTTGAAAATTTTGGACACGACCTTTGGGAAATACCGCATTGAAACGTCCATCCCATATTGTTCGCGTCGGATTTTTAATCTGCAGCTCTGTGAAATATTTCGAATAAGACCCGAGGAATCGCATTTTATTCGGTAAAATAATAAATCACATGAAATCAATAAGATACAGTACATACTCGGATATGTAACATAATAATATAATAAAATATCGCATGGCCGTCCTCGGTCAGTTGGCCCGAAAACGAACGGAAATGTCTCGGGTTCGAGACGTGCGTGTAATCGAATGAGACCGCAGGACTAAAAAAAAAAAAAAACAAAACAAAAATGACAACAAAAAATGTGAATCGGTAAAGTCCCTTCCGACACTCGGGTCTCCGGGATATAGCCAAAGGTTTTTGACCAGATAAGGACTGTCCTATTACCCGTAATAAACATTCTCCGAATGGCACGCGTGACGAGAATAGAGATTAAAACCGGAAAAAAATTATTTCGTGTCCTTCGAAAAATAAATGGTTCTCTCTATAGTTGGACATTAGTAACAATGATATATTATATTATATAACTTATTGACTATTGTCGTAAACTGATTAGAGAAATCGTTACCTAATTATTTCCCTCAGCTTTCTGTTGCGATTTAATATTATCATTCGCGGCGTACCTCATATATGGATTGCTCTTTAGATACTGTAGGCTACTATTGCTGGCAGAAAGTAATGGATATTTGTGATAATTTAGTATGTTATACATTAAAAGAAGCGATAAATTATTGCATTTACAAAATGATTCTAAGCAGATATCGATAAATGTAGGTAAGATTATAGTACCGGTTGATCCATTGAAGTGGGTACACTCATTATATCGGTGTTAACTTATGAAAAGTATTAATATTTCGGAATTTATTTTCAAGAAAATTTAAGAATTTATAGTTATTTCCGGGGGGTAAAACATCTACCTACATTTTATTAATGGAAACCTATATTAAAAATTCCATAACTATATTGAGTATAAGTTAAAATAAATTTGAGTGTTGAAATGTTTGATTTCTGTCAAACAGTTGACGAGATATTCCACTTTTAATTTTAGGTTGGAGGAGAGTAGTAGTGCATTATTGACACACCGTGCGCCGTACCACCACACAAGTAATACTCGGATCTACGAAAATAAAAAATGTCGATACTAAAATTTATTTTAACTAATACTCCATTTATTTATAGATTTGTATTAGTGGTTGTCATTTGGAGATCAAAAGTAGGTGGTGGTTTATCCTTAAAAATAAGGGTGGCAAAAATAACATAAATATACAATTGTAGAGCATCTCGTTTTTTAAATGTTCTAGAAAACAAATTCTGGAAAAAGTTAATACTTTGCGATATAATGAGTATACCCACTTATATGGATCACCTGGTATTAGGTATAGCCATACACCCCTTTCATATTGCCAAGGTAACTCAGATCCCAATAAAAATAAAACCACCATTATTATTGTCAAACTTTGGTTTCTAAACATAAGTATAGATATCTTAAATTCTCGTTGTGTCCGTCCGTCCGTCCGTTCGCAGTTATTAATACATAGTAACGATTATTGAATTGATTGACAAAAAGATTTATTAAATTATTCGTAACATTATTATTGTTTTATTGTACATAGTTTATTGGTTTAAATACGTTAAAAATCGGCAATTCAGGTAGTTCGTTGAGTTAATTTGTTTTTTTTTAATTTTTTAGAAAACTGATAGGAATCTAGAGACAATATTTCACAATACTAATTAGCAAAAATCCATTTAATTTAAAATATGATTTCAAGAGTTTGAAACCTTTTTTTTTGTGTTTTCTGAGAAAAAATAATAAATCTTAAAATCTTTAATAGCTTTTTCATTACACAAGGAATATAAAATTAACACAAAACGATTGTACCTCTTAGTGTATAATGCAACGTTTTTCGAGAAACTGGCTAACACGATATGTATTATAAATGTATATTGTTTAAAATGGACGTCGTTATTATTATCGACAAAAGTTTATATTGATTGATTAAATATTTACGATATTTGTATATAGAAGTGAAAAAAAAAATAAACCTCTACTATGCTAGGGAAAAATATAATTACATTTTTGATCCCTCGATTGAAATTCCGTCACCGTTTTCGTAATTGTATGATGCACTCACAATAGACGATTCATAAAACCGCGACGTGGTATTATAATGCATCCGCTGTCACACAGCTTCGTCACACACCAAAGAATACAATATTTCCGTTGTATATACCGGATGATATTTTTTTCAAGACATTTATTATCTCTAGGGAAATAATTTTTTTTTCACATTTTTTTTTACGGAAATTTTTAATGCAACGCGAATCTAGAATAATTTTATATTCGTGTTGGTGCATATATATTAAATAATATTTTTATACTTTCAACTAAAATGGGTACGAAAATAAAAAAATTGTAGCATTCAAAATAATTTCGAATAAAAGTTTATCGAATTATGGATTTTTTTTCAACTTATAGGTTGCCATTCGAAAATCAAAAGTTGGCAATATTTTCAATGAATGCGCGATTATTATACTTTTTTAATATAACGTTATATATTTTTACGTATGTGCAGCTCGGTGTAAAACATAATACGTACAACGTTCGGTCGTACCTACTCCAAAAGACCCCATATTTTTTCCACCCGACAGCCCTCAAACAATATTATATGCAATTTAAAGTATTCCCCTATATCGATTATCCTATTGTGAACAACCAAGTTTATTACACGTCACAGTCCTTGTGGTTAGAATAGGCACACCAAGCCGAGGACGATTTCTAATAATAATAATTAATGCAATAAAAATTGTAGAAAAATAATATTCGCGCCCGTTAATTTTTATTTGTTGCTAAAAACAGTTACAATTGTATACGTTCACGTTATTCGTGAGAAAAAGAACAAGTAAAATTTGCATCATTATTTTATTTTATTTTTTTTTACATCAATTTTGTGTGAGATTTTACCGCCAATCAAATAGTTGGGGATAGGGTAGAGGGATCTTGTTTTCCACTTACGTGGTTTGGTTACGAGTAAAACAGGTGATTTGCATTTTTTACGAAATGACAATGTATGGGAAAGGACACGAGTCGTACTATTCTCAGTAGCTCTAGAGTTGAAAATTTGTATAATAGGGAGTGTATGCTATAAAGTATTAATATTTCATACGTGAATTCTTATTCAATGAGCAGTAGGGCACAAGTCACTAACCTATAAAGATATTATGAAAATAATAATAAGAACCGGAAATCTAGAAACTAATAGAACACATGTTTTCATAAAATATAAATTCGTATTGTTTCTTGGCGTCTTTTGTAAAGTTGTTAATATCGACTTAGATATAGTTCCTATTAAATTTGTTCCCTATATAATAACTACTACCACGTAATCATAATTAGGTCATTGTTATATTTTCACGCAAACAATTAAATGTAATAATAAAATTAATATACACCAAACGGAATTATTATTAAACCATCCAGATCAAATATTAGTTTGGTCGATAGTTTTTAATTTAATAATAGGTACCTTGTTTATATAACTTGCTTAAGTTTTATATTTATTTTTCCGATTAATTTTTAAACTGTAGTATACCTGTGCGATAAATACTTCGTCAAAATATTCCAATATTGTATCAAACTAATAATTTTCGAATAATTCCACGGTTGCGACGGTTTACTTTAAAAAAATAACACGGCAATGCTCCTATTGCTATTTGAGCATAAAATTGATCGGAGAGGGGGTTGAAAATTTAAACCCCCTCTTATAACAATACGGTGAAATTCATATTGAAACTCAACTAAAATTTAATCACTTCAATTTAGCTAAGAATAAAACTACGATTCTTAATTGAAAGATAAAGATGAATAAGAAGCAGGCCATTTAGAAAAAATATATAAAAAAGAACAATATTATGATAATATATATATATATATATAGATAGTGATTTGAATAATAAAATTTTGTGGTAGTTACTAAACAAAATGTTGAATTCCATATACAAATATAAAAAAAAACATAACGTATCTTTCTCACAGAGGACATTTTGATAAAAGTAAATTCTTTCCGAAATTTAGTATGAGTGTCTAGAATTTAAATAAAAAAGCAGCTCATCCTATATTTAACTGCGAAATAATTGCATAAAATAAAACAATAACTGCATGCACCGTTCGTGCAGTCTTTGCGCCAGACGCACATATGGGCGCTGCATCGTTTCATTTTCGCGGACAAGCTACAGTGGTTTGTCGGGAAAAAAATGTTTTTCTCATTTTATTTTAATAGTTTTCGAGTACAATCTCCCTATCCCTTGTCTTTATTGCGCACGAGACGTGAGTCGAATTGCTTATGCGCAAGCGTTTAATACGTTGGCCGGGAAATCGGCATGGAGGAATAACTGCAAAGTCGGGAGATTGGAAAATATATACACACTGTATTGGTCGGTCCGGTTATAATAATAATAATAATAATACAGACAAGTTGTTTCCATAATTTAGGACCCTTATACTGTTATCGTTGTTGTTGTTGTTGTGGCTGTTATTGGTTCACGACGGTATGGTAAACATAAATAACCTTTTAAAATTATACGGGCACTCCGGTACAAATAACATATAATATATTGTATACGCGCAATAATTTTTCGAACGATATACTAAAATAACAATTTTTAATATGCATTATTATTACACGGGATATTTTTATTAATATTATCGTTACTTCGTCGTCGTCAATGTAACTTTCTCGTTAAACGCTAAAACACGCGAGTTACGCACAATAATATAGTACGTCACGCATCTTAAAATAGAAGGATCGATCACGAGCATCTTTCTCTTGAGAATAAAATATTTCCGTCATCCTATTATAATTTATTACTAGAGTTTGATAATTGTGGTACTTAAAACAAACAAAACAATAGTAAATAGTATTTTTTTTTATTTATTATAAATCACTAAATTACGCTCCCCGAAAAATAATATTTACACCTAATATTTTTGAAACTACACTCATGAATTTAAATTGTGATGTATCCAGCGAGGACCGGCAAGGAGAGTTAATAAAATAACCCAAAGTTCACGAGTTGGATAATAGAATAAAAGGTGAAATCATTTAAAAATCATTGGAAAAATTTGGATTTTGTCAGTGACTTACGAAATCATAAAGACGAAAATATTAAAAACATTCATAAAAAAAAAAAGGACTGGCATACTTACATGTAGGTGCAACCACTGTTGTAGTTGAGAAATTGGGAAGGTAGAATACAGACGAAAATTTAATGTATATCTTTAAGAAATGATAAACCATTGCTAACGAAAAACCGATTCTGAGCGAAGTTCAGGTGATAGTGTTGCTCTGTCAACAATATATTATGTATGTCTTAAGCATTATGGTAAAATAATTAAATAGGCATTTTATATTTTCTTTAATAATATTTGTCATAATCATCTTTTCTAAGTCTTTTTTCTATAATTTTTTTTTTTAACATCGGTTTTGCCTTCCTTTTGTATACGATAAGTACACAAACTTAGGTAAGGTGTCTATTAGTAGATGCTAGATATTTATATAAATATTGTCTTATTTTTCATTTCTGTATTATTTTGTTTTCACTTCCTAACCATGTAAAAAACGATCGCTGATTGGCAGCGAAGGGGACGCAGTTTTGGAACAAAAAGTGCGTACTAGAGTATGTGGACCGTGACCGTGGTATACGTGTGGTCGGTGGGTAAACACGAAGGATTGCCTGAGGGCTGAACGGTTCAAAAGACTTCGTCGTTGCAGTGTTGTTATTGTTTGTTAAGAGTGCGAAGACGCCGATGTATAGCTGTGGCCATGCGCCTCGGGACGGGTACGTGATCACCAAACTATAAAACCATCTGACGCGTTTTTAGCCGGCCCGGAGCGCTGTTTTCGTGTGGTTCTCTCGTCTCGACAAAGTTTATTATGCGACTGGTGAAAAACATACGGCGGCATGATAATAACAACGATAACGACCAGGTTGCGATGAAAATACTAAATAAATTTATTAGGTATTATTATTATGTCTAACAGGCTATGAGGTATTTATAGGTATTGGAATAAGTAGGTATTATCCATTTAATGGTTATCGACGGGACTTCGATTCAAGGCCAAGTCAAATATCGCGGACGTCCAAAATAATACCTAGGTGTTTGTTTATTTTAATCTTATTTTGAAATACTGACGAAAAACTAACAACGAATGACGATATACTATACCTCATATACCTCATTATCTTCAAAATGGATTTTTAAACTTTAACATTTCTTTGTTAATTTCTATCACTGGATGGCCTCCCTCTTCGTGTATATATTATTGTAGTGAATAACTTTTCTGTTATATAATTTACTTATTATACCTTGAAGTAAAGATTGTAAATACTATTTTAATAAAAAAAATATGTTATACATAATTCTTTATGGGTTCACTTTCTCAAATGTCAGACTTTTCACATTTTTTGGTGATTAAAAAAAAAATAATTATGATTCCTGTCACAGAAAATGATTTTGTTTTCTTATAACGAATATATTAACAGGCTCACCACGTTGAACATATTTTTTAGTGTAGACAATAAAATAATATTATTATATTAACGATAGTCAGGGTACTTTCCGCTTCACTGCTTCAACCACATCAATTTCATTAATAAACAAAGAAAATACAAAAATCTACGCTTAAAATATTTACTATACGACAATTGTATACGTATTATTATATGAGTACATACATTATATTATTATGATACGTGTATGAGTTTAAAAGCTCTATTAGAGTCAAGATTAAAGCTGCGCTACCTCTAAAAATATTCTTAGAATTATATATATAAAAAAAAACACGTCTTTAATTTCTTCGCATTAACACCAGAGCAATGTCAATTAGTGGGAAATTTTCGAGAGACAACATAATAATACCCATACAAATGTTTTCTTTGACCAAAAATCGTGAACCGTATGAAACAAACAACACGATGGTTAAATAACTGAACTAAATACATAATATATGTATGTATAAACGTAATGTGCGTATTTTGAATTTCGAATTTACCATACTTCGTTTAATATAATAATAAATGTATAACCAACATCGTACTAAATTATATGTGCACTAGCAAGCTTGTGAGTTATGTAAATAATTTTAAATTAGCAGAATTAGCTATTCGTTAATTTTAAATAATGCAAAATAAACATTTCTTTGGTTTTAAGTTTATTTTAAAACAGTGAATGTATTAAAAATTTAAATTGCGGAATAAAAGTATACGGAAATCTTATGTGAATAAATACAATATGATATATAAAATATACATTATTCTTGTCATAAAAGGATTATAAAATGGACTAAAAATTGGGTAATAATGGAAAGTATTAATAAAAATGTTTTCTTGTAATAATTGTATCAACATACCATAACAATCCTAATAACCTTAGATCAAGATACCATAGTTGTAATCACGGAGAACGCATGGAAATTAAAATCGAAATCGGTGTCAGAATTCTGGAAGTAAAATATTTCAGGTCCAAATTTATACAAAAATCGTTACCAATAGTATCGGAGCGTGAACTTTCTACGTATAATTAATGAAAGCATACACAATTTAAAGTTGATCGAACATCAGGAATTTGATTAAAAGTCGAAAATGAATTTCGGTCTTGTATACGACATTGTATATGGCATTGTATATGGCATTGTGTTGAATTAATTAGAATGAATAGAAATAGTGAAGTTGAATTCGATAAACATTATTGAAATTAAAAAAGAGCATAGCTACTTCGACAAGAAACTGCCGTTAAAACACGACAAATGATATATAGTGATATTAAATCTGAAAAAAGATCATTGAGTGTCGATGATCGAGATTTGATTGAGGACCCATCCGCTTGTCCATAAATAGTATACTAGAGTATTGTGTACCTACTCAATATAAAATAGCTCTGCAGAAAAAGTAAAAAAAAAAAAACACCAAGCAAAAGTAAATAAATCACAAAATAAAATGCACCTACATTGTTATTACGTTTAATACGATTGTGGTTTTCAGGTTTCGAAGAACAAAGTTCATTAACGGTCAACTTATATAAACTTGATTTAACTATTAACTTAGGTATTTATTTACAGCGGCGCGTGGAAGGATTTTGCACCATTTCCGCTGTATACACCTATAGACGGTGTTCGCAGGATTTTCTGGTCGGTTGTCGGATGTCAGGTCAATGAATTAAGGGTTTTCGCAGTCTCGGAGACTGCAATTTGGCAAGAATCCTTTGTAATGGAACCTGCGCCGCTCCGTGTAATAGTTAATTTGCATAATATACAACAACGCGGATCGCCGGGTATAAATAATTATAATAAATGTCATGATGCGTAATTTGCATATTTTATCGAGGCTACATTGGAGTTTTCATACTTAACGGTAAAAATACAAACAATTCGGATTTACCGTGGTCCATATACGGATACGGATAACATTGTCACCACAATGGGGCAGGGTGATGAAGGGTGAGGGAGGTAATACAATATGGTTGATCCCTGAAATAAATGATATCACGTTGCAAAGTATAAAGTTATAATACCAAATATAATTATTTTTTGGCCTTCGAGTTGTATACAAACTGCGAGTTAAAATAATTGACAAGGTATATTGTAAAAGCCCAAAGGGTATTGTAGTTATCACATATTATTTGCAAGAAATCTAAGAAAGCATTGTATAATAAGGATTAGTAGTGGCGTACACAGAGAGTCGGTTAAGGGGTTAAAAATATAAGTTTTAATTTATATTAAATAATTCCGTTAAAAAGAAAAAACAATTTTGAGTACATATAAATATTACAATATAGGAACAACATAACTTAAAAACTCTCCGAGATTTAATTGATTTATGATACCGCCAGCAAGTTAATTATAACTTAAATAAAAATATCATATTAGATTAATAATTTAGAAATAATGTTAAAATAATTAATGTACAAAATATTAGAGATTTATTACACTTAAAATTCATCCTAATTTTATTAGTCTCTGTTACAATAAAAAAAAAAAAGACATTGGTACCTAAAGTTAAAAAAAATAAAAAGTTGAAAAACTGATATAGGAAGGCATGTTTGTGTATTTTATTGCAAGAAAAATACCACGGTATTAAAGCAATAGGATTCACTATAAAATATTAAAAAATATATTTATTCTTTAGCGTGGTCAGGATTTATAAATATTATAATATATATTTACAATATTATAAATTCTAAAAAAAGAAAAAAATAGCATTATATTGACGAGTATTCAATTGTGTATAATAAAATAATCAATATACCTATATGTATTTATTATATACATAAAAAATAAGACGGACATCATTTGCACGATGAGTTGTCCACTGTTGTAGGTGAGAAGTTGGGAAGGTAGGATATAGAAGGGAAATTAATGTATTTTTGTATGCAAAGATTAATCATTGCTAACAAAAAAAGATGTTTTGAAATGGCCTTAATATTCAAGATATTTGTTAAAATTTAACAATCCATTTTTTATATAAAAAAAAAAAAATATATACTTCTTTAAAACTCAATATTTTCTTGTTGACTACTAATTACAACTTATAATAAATCCCCTGTAAATGTTCAAATATTTCTTTTTGGTCAAAAAATGTTGTCCACAAAATACACATCGAATAAAACTTACGTAAAAAAACATGCAAAATTAAAATGTCTGTCAACAATGGCTCAAATGTTTGACGAATTTTACAAGTCTCTATCAATATTAAAAAATAAATTACAAAAAAAAAAAAAAAACAAATTTTAAAATAATAATTTTCTTATTTTCATATATTTTCCGTTATTGATTTTGCTGAATTCTTAAAAAAAAAGGAAAAAAATTAAAAAACGTCGTAAATATTAATCGATTTTAATTTTTTTAGTTTTTCCCAATTATTATGAAAAAATATTTTATACATTAAATAATGACTTTCTATATTAGTGGTGTTATAATAAACGAAAAAAAATTGAAATCATATCATTTTTTGAGTGAGGCAAGATTTCTGGTAGAAAACATCGTGTAGGTACGATACATACATATTTAAAATAATGAAATCGGTAACGTTACGTCGTGCCGTAAATATTTTTCGTTTTACGTATAATTTTCTTTCAGGTTTTTCCCAATTATTTTCGAAACCACTTAGTAAATCAAAAAATGACTTCCACAATACACCAATTACAGAAAATTATCTTTCAAAAAAGATACTATATAGTAAATTTAATACTTTGGACCAAGATTTCTTGTAGAAAAGTTGTGCACAAACCAAACCAATCAGGCTAAATGGAAAAATAGGCAAAAACTCGTCAGAACCTCAGATAATAATACGGCTTTCAATAAAAAATAAAAATCAAATCTTTCAAAACCCAACAGTTAAAATTCCATAATGTGTGACACTATTGGCAAAAACTATAATTTTTAGAAATCATTTTATTATCTGTACACCAAATTAAAAACGTTTTGCATTCGTTCAGTATTAAAAATTTACATTTTATATTAGAATTGATAATCACGTAAGTTAGATAAAAACGATAATTAAGTAGATGTGTCAAGACAGATTATTCCAAGAAAAAAAATAACAAATCTTAATATAACATAATATAAACTAACAGTCGTTAAAATTTTAAATAAAAACAAATATAATATTATAATTTTTACATCTGTTAATTGCGCTATTACAAAAAAATAAAATTTGGTATTTGGCTATTGTACTTTTTTTTTCAAATGCAATTATTAGTATATAATAAAATTTGTAAATAGTCCATAATTTAAAATACAAATATGAAAACATATGTTATTTTGAACAACCTATATCTACTGTAGTATAGCTGGGAAACAGTCAGTGTTTTATATAAATAGATTTTTAGAAAATTTTTGATAAGATTACAGATAATACGTTAAAAATGTATCTATATAATATATCAGATAATAATAAAAATAATATATAAATATAAAAGATTACATCCGTTTTATTGAGATAATACCAGATAATTATATAGCTTTCAGTGGCTTAAAGAATTTTACAAAATTTAAAACTCTTCATTGTGCAATTAGTGCGGAATTCAAATAGTCCTGGAACTTTTTGATTAACCCTCCTAGATATTTATTATTGTAGTTTGCTGTTTTGAAAAATTAATTTTTACGTAAAATTTCGATATCCATAAGTAATAATTCCACTTTAAATCCATCTCTGATCTTGTTTATACTATTTTTACCATAAAATAAGTATGTACTTGCCATAAAATATATTCTGCATTATTCCATACGGATCGATTTTCTAATTCATAAGATGCATTATTTACTACGTGATTTTGGCCTGAAGTAAAATGGTTTTACTCTATGTACGTTCCTCACAATTATATCCGTATTACCAGAAACACATTTATTAAAACAATTATTGCAACGTAGTAAACCAATTACATGATATTATTTTGTGCCTTGGTAATTATAAAATTAAGATTGTTCTACTAATTAATATTCCATATCATTCTTTAGGTACCTAATATGTCCAATTAGGTAACCTAAATGACCCAAATAGTTGGGATGTAAATGAAGGATAAAAAGACGATCACTTAGTTATGATTAATATAGTCCGATAATTTGTATCCGAAATATTATAATTGAAATTATTATTATTATTTTTAATGGAACCAGAGTTATGATAGCCTAAAAACAATAATAATAAATATATTATTTTGTGATGTTATTTTTTTCTATATATCTTGATTTCAAAGCAGAAAATGTAATTTTTGTCTTATTAAAAGTTTTTAATAAAGATACAAAATTAATATACGGTTTTTTTCTTTTTTGATATATTTTATCTTGTTTACATAAACAAAAACTCTCATTATATTAATCTTTGTGCTTTAAACTCAATTTTTCTAAAAGAAAAAATATGATTTACATATAAATGCCACGGCACAATAACTATGAAGGTAGGTATTTTATTATTATTATATACGTATGTATATATTTTTTTAAGCTCACGTCAGTAATTGGCCATAACACTGTTAGAATAAAACGCGGTACAAAATTATTATATTCTTAGAAATGATTTAATAATAAAATAAAATAATCTGGAAATAATTAATTCGGTGCTACGTAGACGGTTGAGGGAGGGATAAAACATACCTAGCAAAACCCGCAAAACAATGAAGAAAAGCCCGTTCTGGGTAGATACATTTAATCAACACAGTAAACCGCCGTAACCTTAAAATGGCAAAGTATTTTTAGTCGTTTTCCATATCGATTCGTTTTGGCCGTGGAGACAAGATAAAACAGGGACAGTGAATATGATTAATGAAGGAATTCCAGCGCATCTCATTTAAACCAACTTCGCTCAGCACGAGTTGATAAATTATTGCGGTTACACGTTTGTCTTAGAAGGTACTTGACCGTTATTTTTGACGATCCCAACATTTCGGTTCTGTAAACTATAATAAGTAAATGGAACATGTATTATTATAATATTGCATATCGACTTGTGTCGAGATTAAGGAAGAGATGCCGAGACTCCACGATAACTATTGGTACATCGCTTGACGATAGAAGGTTAGGTTAGCTACCGAACAAAATTAAAAAAGTAGTTTTAAAATCATAAGTCGATAAAAAAAAGGAGCTGTTCTAGAATAATGAGCACGGTTGCAGCTACTGTTATTGGTAATTTACTGTTTTCCTGTAAGCAAGTATAGATCATTATTAACGAAAAAACGATTCTTAGCGAACAGTAATGCTTTGTCAACAATATATATATATATATACCATATTATGGTAATGTAATTAAGTATACTATATAATGCCCTACAACTGAATAATATTTGTTTAATGTACTGATTTTCCGTTTCGCATACGTTTTTCCCGGGCTTCCCACATACTTTCCCGGTTTTCACATTTGAAAATTCTTGAGAAAATCGAATGACCTCCTTATATTTACTTCTTAGTCCAATTTACTTTCAGAAAGTTGCCACACTTAAAAATCGGAGCAAGATTTCTGGTAGAAAAGTTGTGAACAGTTAAAAATAAAAATAAAAATAAACATCTTTGTAAAACCCTTAACATCTTCGCTCCCTCAGAATCTAAAATATGTAACTATGCATCTTCATTCTCACCCCATATGTTAGTATAAATTATTGATATTATGATGTGTACCGAGTTTGCTCGAAATTGCTCAGTTCAGATGAACTCAGATTTTTATCATGTCACCAAAGCCACTAGAATGTCCTCCCCGCTACCGTTTAAAAAATACAACATTTAGGTGATTGAGAGCGACTTTAAAAATATGATTAGATAGAATGATAATATAGATAATAAAAGATGATATAGAAATTCGGATTTAAATACCTTTCGTCAAGTAAGTTATTATCGGGCACTCATCAGTCACCTTATGTTATATAATCGTACAAACTATGCATATTGCACATCACACACACTCCCTTATTAGTATATCAGTTATTATAGATTAACGTGCTATAAAACTAACGGAATTCATTTTGGTACAAATATTTTGTGTTGACGGAAGTACATATACTGTCTTTATGACGAAACAGTAATATACAGCACTCGGTATGTAACTTAGGTTTGACGGTGTTTCAGGTTCAAGATTTCGGTCAAATTCCGGAACGTTTCCTCGTCCTGGAAGTAATCCGAATCTCACCGAATATCACTCGAAATTTTCCTAGTGGTAATGTTTAACAATATTTTTCGACTTGATAACGGCAAACTGATTTAGTACACATTTCCCAGTTAGATTTTTCGAAACACATCTCCCTCCGTATCGAGCGTTTCAAGTATTTAAACCATAATATGAATCGTATTTACGTTACTGAGAGCAGGGATGTGCTCTTCGTGTTTTATGACTTTAGTGAATCAACTGTAATTGTAATAATCGTATCGTAATAAAACAGACCAACAAATAAAATAAAAAATAAGATATGGATGTTTCATTGGTATTGTTATAAAAGATTAGGTTAGGTAAAGTTGGCCGATTAGTTTATAATATTTTTTCATGTACTGCTAATAATTTCACTCTGATATACAGCTTAATTTGTTGTTTTACTACTTAGGTATTCATACACAAAACAAGTATGATACACCTGGGAATGAAAATAGTTATATATCAGTCAAACAAACCATCACCTGTTACAAAAATAAACTTCATCAGTTATTAAACTCAAGTTAAAAATTAATAGGCCTGTTTATTTATTTTTTTTTTTTCGAGAAAGTTACGGGACTTAAATGTTCTTATTTTATATTGTAGCATTGATTGTAATAACAATAATAATAATAATAATAATAATAATAATAACAAACATACAAGTATTAACTTTCTACTTATAAAAACATCAATTTAACAATAACGATATTCCTAACAAGTACATGATGTATTTTTTGGACTATATTTTCGTGGTATTATAAATATCAAACAGAACAAAAGTTATCGTTTCTGAATTTTCGTGGCACACCCTGTTTACTGAACTCAAATTATTTAATGTAAGAAAACACGAGTTTCAACAAAGTTTTTTTTTTTGTCTGGCGAAAATAATAATACCTATCAAAACATCGAGTAGAAACAATAACGGAATATTATTATTATTTTCCCGCAGGGTATCATAATATTAATTATTGTTTTTTTTTACGAGCTAATAATGAAATATTAAAATCTTTTAAAAGAAGTACTTATAAATATGTAGTTTTTTTAAACTCTTAACTTAAACCAATTATTGTTTTCGTTTTAATATGTTGTCTCATTGATTAGTTTTTTTTTTTTTGAATATTCTTTTTTTTCTTCAAGTCGATTCTGATGCAATAACAGATAATTAGGTACAAATTTAAGTAACAATAACTAAACAGAAAAAAAAACAAAACGATATTAAATTCTATTATTTTTTGCTGTTGCGAATGCGATATTTTCCGGCGTGATGGGTTATGAGGCGATGAGTACGTGAAGAAAGATGAGAGACTAAAGGATTAGGATAGCGTTGAAGTTTGGAGTGAAATCTATTGTAATGTATTTTCATTAGTTGGTCAACTGTTTCAATTGATTATTGTTAAAAGTAGTATTATTATATAAATCTCGAGTAAATTTAGTAAATTTCGGTTCAATTGAAATCTAAAATAAGTTGCACTTCATAAGCGTGTACTGGGTATTTTTTTGTTCGTAGACGTGCATTTTTAACGCCAGTTGATATAATTTGTATACGAATACGGTTATTTTAATTTTATTCGATTCGTCAAATTTATCGGTCGTTTCGTTGAAATCGTTTTCGGAATTCACTCGTTTACGTGAAATTCGTAAGGCCATGGCTTCGAAATATTTATGGAAAGTATCAAGTATCTCGTATGAGTGGCGATAGTGAAATCAGTGTCTAGTCAGTGTCAGTAGTAATTAATTTCGAAGTCTACATTCTAATATATTTCGATAATATCTAAATTAATTTTCATGATCGTTGCCTGGTGCCTGAACCTGGCATAGGTTTTTGCTGTTAACTGCAGTGAATTTAATTTTTCTAATGTAAATATAACTGTTATAGAAAAGGTTATATGAAAGACATGGTCCGAATATTAAAATAATAAGTTAAACTGAAATTCTTGCTAGGGACTCAGTGATATTAAATTTTTCGCGAGTACAAATATGCGATACATAGAGATATTAAATTTATAAGAGTTGCCTGTATACATTTAAAAATTAGACCACAAATTGTATTGATACTCATTGCTAGAGACATAAGTAGATGGAGGATTTAGAAATTCCAGTGTGAGATTATTAATATTTTAAAGTTAATTAGGAATAAAAGTTATGAGAACTAAATTTTCCTAGGTAATACATTTAGTAAAAATTTACCGCCTTGCATTAAGTGAAATGAAATTATGGAAGTTTATAACATTTTGATATTATCCAACATAGGCCTTTTAATATTGAATTTTAATACAATGTATCTTGAAGAACAATTTTGTTCTGATTTAGTAGCTTCGTTATGTTTTATCTTATTTTAAATCAAAAATTTAAGATGGATCCTAAAATTCAGATAGCTTTATTTAATATAGTTTCCGTATAGTTAGAAAAATACAATTTGGTATCGAATATTGTACCTAGAAATATGTACTTATTATTATATATCATATTCAAATATCAAAACGTTAATTAAATATTTAAAAGTAGTTTTTACACGGTATCAGGTCATTTATTTGACTCAAAAATATAATAAACACTTTGCCTCATAGAATGGTTTGATTTTGACAGTCATTTTTTTTTTTTAGAAAGAGAAAGACTTTCTAAAACTTATATTGAATTAATATTATTTTCATCTTAAAAATTATAACATTATCCATGAGTAACCGTCATTTGATGATCGTTTGTTTTAACATTTCTATTTTATTTTTTCTATTTTGTATTTGTCTTAATTTTTTGTTTTATTGTTATTTATCATAATTTACAGTTCTATTTTAATGTTATATACCATTGTTCTAAATAAATAAAATATAAACGTCGAAGTTTAAAATGGGCTATAAAATGTGTTTTTTTTAACAATTAAAATAGAAATGGTACACATATATTACATTTACAGATATTACTATTCCCGTGAAGTTATATTAATCCAAAAAAACCGTCGTTACTCTTACTCTCAAATGAATTCTGGGCAGTAACCTAATGGAAAATTCTTATCATAATGGCAAAAATTGTTAAATGAAATTTGTATTCTCATTTGTACCTAAAATTAAAATATATAAACATTCATTAGCTAATATTCGATGATTAAAATCAGAAACTATATATGAACCGTATTACCTTCGTATACTCATTATACTTTAAGTATCGTAAATAAATAATATAATTTCTCACAACATTTTGTTTTTGTAGTCAATCAATTCGTCATAAATATACGAATTTGAATAATATAAACAAATTAGGAGTTGGGCAAAGCCCACTTAGCGTGTGTGCATAAAATTACTGGTTTATAAATACTACAATTTTTCTTTTCAATTAACGTTTCTCATATTTTAGTGTTTTTATTGGCTACAGAATAAATCGATAACTACAGATGGAAGACGAATGGTAAATAATAAGGGGTCTAAATATTTCATGTTGTCTAAAATGCGAGTTTTAATGAATAATTTCAGTTGCGTTTGTATTCCCGTTTTAATTAAAAGGTTTATTCAACCTAATTATGGTTGATTACTGATTTGTACCAATTACTAATTTATAAGGGACGATAAATTATTGATTTTAAATTTATTCAAAATACTTGTAGATGTAAAATTAAAAGACGAAGATGATTATTTGCGAGTTATCCATTTGTGATTCATGCGTATATTATACTATCGATACCTTAGTTAATAAAATAAGAAAATAGGCTATGTATGAGATACTATCCATATACAATTCTGTATATTTATACAATTGTTTCAGTTTTAAAAATATCATATGGTTTTAAACACAAAATCTTTACCAAATTAACATGTTAATATTGTAATATTATAAAAAAAAAAAACTAAGTCAGTAGACACCAGTGTATTAATTTTGCCTATGCATGTGGCCGTTGTCCATGAAATAAACTACGAACTAAGTACTCACAAAAAACAAAAGTATAACTATTGCTTGTAAATATACAATCAATATATAATTAGTATATACAATTAGTGTATAATTAGTATACGTCATTAATGGTAGTACCAATTACTATTATATAGTGATAGTGTAATGCCTTATTATTTTGATACTCGATGACGGCAATTAATTATAATTTACAGCTAATGATGTTATCAATTGAATAGAACTATACAATTAATAATAATATAAGATTGCATATTTTTTTAGTATATTTGACAAATATTTTTTAAAAACTTATAATTATGACGAATAATTACTACTAATAGCATAATATTATATTGCATTACAAATGTAATTTATTCGGTAAAGCACTAAACAAACAAGTGTTTGAAGTAGTTGGACCAATTAAGCATTTGAGTGCACCATATACAATTACAATAACAACATTGATCATAATATAATCTGATAATTATATTCTAACTTCAAACGTGTTTGTATAATATTTGTATTAGTTATAGTTAGGTACCTATAGTATAATATTTTCTATAGTGGGCTTTTATATAACTTGTCACTGTTTACTTATCACTCGATTTTTTTTGATGTTTATAAACAAACCGTTAAAATCCAGGTAAATTTATCAATAACAATTCAAACTAATATTTTAAATGAGTCTTACAAAATTTTGGGCGTATATTATTTTATGGATTTTATGGCATCGTATTGGCCATAAATCACATTAATAAAGAAACAACGAATTTGTAAATTTCGGAATAAGTATATTATAATACTTAAAATATTTTCATATTTTTTTTTTTTTAAATTATTCAGACTCGTTAAAAATCACGGGTTATTCCAGGATTAACATTCAATTTTTTTTATCGTTGTCCCGGTTGCATATTTTGAAAATGTGGGAACCGTTTGTTCTGATTGATTCTATTTAAATTATGCTGTGATGCAATGGTCAATGGAACGTATGATAAACTTGCGTTACCCAAAAAGGCTTACTTAATTTTTGTACTTTTTTATATGAATACATCCCTTGATTTGTTGTACCCACATTCGTAAAATTTGCATCCCGGTTGATGACAAAAAGCACGTAAACCTTAAAAACGTCATAGGAAAATTAAAAATTTGCAGAAAACCAGAAAAAAAAATACGGTTTTTTAAAAAAAATATAAGTCCTATGCCTTCGTATGACAATATAGGGGGGGAGCCTTAATTTTCTTCCTAAACTACTAAACCACTTCAATAATGACCTATTTACATTTTTATTAGTCTTTCTACTCATTTATTTCATCTCCATATGTATGTCCTTAACTTATGCCACTTAATTAAAATCATCGATGAGAAAAATAATATTCATCTAACTCTCTCCTTTATTAAAGTTATTATATCTATCCTACCCCACACTTTTAGTTTTCATATCATATTACATCTAAAAGTTATGTTGGACAAACTATTTACTAATAATTTATACAGTTAAACGACGAGGATATAAGGTGTTCTAAATTATGTTTAGAAACCTGAATTGCATTGTGCACTCAGGCATTAAAATAAGGGTTATATAAACGAAATTTGTATTTGAGTACTTCCAGTTACCTTCCAAAAAACCTTCTGAGTTTATTCGGCTGCAGTTTTTACTGTTACCTAAACAAATTATCCCACTATGTACAGAATAATACCGTTTATTGTTAAAATAAATCATACGCTTTCCATTGGTAACATTTGAACTCGTGAAATATTTGTGAAATTCTCGTTAGGTAGATATATCTATAAAACAATTTGCAAACATGATTCCATATTCAGAATCGATTTTATAATGAAACGATGGTAAACGTTTCTCAAATTTAATATACACCTCCAACATACCCTTTTGAGTTATTCAATAAGAGAGAAGTGACGTTTCAACCGGGTATACCAAGAATTCTCATTTCACATCTATTGTAGTTAAGTATCGATTTAAATTTTCAACAGAAATACATTAAGTATGCGATGTGCTACTATATTGATTATATAATTTTTTAGACTCTATAAATCCAAAATATTTACGTATTAAGCCTTAAAATATGCAGATTTTTCACTCGATAACACAATACTAACAATTTCTTTTTCTAGATAAATACCGACCACAAATGGTAATAAATCTGTTTTATTTTTATTGATCCTTGGATTACCCTCCTTGTAAGTAAAAATAACACGGCTTTAGTACCTTAAACTACGAAACTATAACTAACCGTAACTATTGTTTACAAAGCTTCGCTTTGAATCGTTAATATTTGCAATGATTTATCATAGTTTTCATTATAATACGAATACATACTAAATAATTGCCTTTTAATTTCTATAATATACCTATTCAACGTTTCACCTGCAATATTTTACAGCGGTCACGGTGCGAAGTATATCTCTTTATTTTAATATCACTTAAAAAAAAAAATGTTCCAATTAAAATTGTTTACATAATATTATATTTACAATCTATACAATATTAGTATTATTATATAAATAATATGCTTAAAAAAAAAAAAAAAAAAAAACAGATTATTTTTTAATTCTATTGTAGCTTTTTTAATAATTAGACAAATCGCGATAAGTACATAGTAACTATTACAGCAGTAACGTTAATATTAGTCATTAACTTGCCAACCTTGTCGGCATATTATGTATACTCTATACCTAAGAATTTAAGTAATGAATGAAAGACGAAAAATAGTTTTCAAGTGATGGTTCTTTGTGAGTTTTTATCTTGTAGCTTGGTAGGGTTTTAAACAATATCAATTTCGATCCCTGTCCGGTTTCCCACTGCATTGAGGATATTTCCAACCGATATCGTCTGCCGTGTAATATATTGGAAACTCACTGAACTGTGTGCCACTAGTGCTGCAGTACATTGATTATAAAAGGTCGATATTGACGGTTCAACGGGCACGACTATTATTTATTATTATTTTTTTTTTAAATTCATTTTTTATCTCCTTAGAAATACGTGTAAACTGTTTGGGCTTGCAGGTTAAATTTTTTTTTTTAATTGAAAGCATTCTGTGCTACCTCATGACAACTCACCCGATTTAATCTGCAAGTACCCACACGCAAGAGTCACTTCGTTTCAACTTACACGTTGTCCATCTTTTATCCATTTATTTATTTTGTACCGAAAAAAATATACTCGACTATAAGATTAAATTCAGGTGAGGTCGAGGGTGAATTAGGATTTAAAAATTAAGCCATTCGTATTTTTTAATAAACTTAAACAAAATTCATTCTTAGAATATGTTTTTCAGATTGTAAATATTTAAACAAAATTTGCTCAAGAGTCACTCATATAAATTTTCTAATCTATGTATATTGTTAAACAAATTTAAAAATATTTACTTCAAACACCACTATTTCTACTGGTCACACGTTAATAAAGTGGTTTAATAGGGATAAAATTGTTTAATAATTGACAAAACTTAAAAGGTTCATAGTTCAAGTATGTTAAGAGAAAATAGAATGAGTGGCTTATCTTCTTAGTAGATAGTAGAAAAGTTTTACGAATTATTGCGAAAAAGAGGGAAAGAGGATAGCCAAAAAAAAAGATGGCTTGTCAATATGATTTAAAGTGATTTGAAAGGACTGCTGTAATGTTTTTAAAATGTATAGAAGACCTAGTTAAGTGGTGATTTAGGATTAAGTAAGTTAACGCTTAATCGTTAGAGATTAAAGTGCAGGTAATAAACAAGAATAAAATGTATAATCAATAATTTTCAAAACAAATGAAATTGGAGAAAAAATAGGAAAAAAAAATGGGGGTAGAAAAGAATTTGTATTGAAATTAACTAACTAGTGGATTAAAATAATGGATAAATTTTGTAATCACTGCTACCTAACACGTATTCAAGACAATGTCTGTGTAACATATAGACAATTATAAAACTACAAAAAGAAGAAGAACATACTTTTCATAAGTAGGCCACTGTCTTAGATGAGAACATAAAATAGAAGGGTATTGATAAAAGGAAAAACATCAGTGAGACACTATTTCTTATTTAATAAATAGTAAACGGTATTTTTAAATCTAATTTACACATTAAAGCCATATGTTATTCCGTCGTCTGACATTAGACAAACATATTTAAAATAAGTTTTTCCAAATTAGATTCAGTGGTCTTTTATTTCTGGATTTAGAAGATTAAGTTTTTACGATACAAAATACAAATGTATTTATTATTATTATGACAATTGTAACTTAATGAACAACAATGATATTACTCATATTATATTATAATATTATATTTATAAAAATATTACTTTGAATTTTATAAAACATACTTTCGTGTAATTTTAGCATAACTGGCGGTGTAAATAAAGTAATCAATAGTCAATGCGATTAAATATTTATAAATATGTTTATTAATAAAAATCTTTTAACACAAAAAATGTTGATCGATTGTAGACATCAAACGAGCATAAATTAAATGTGTAACTGTGAACAAATGCTGGATAGAAATTGAAAATAATTGTTTTGACTTTGTCGCTTATCATAATTCATACTTCATATCATTTTCAAGGTATAACCTAACCTAAAAAAAATGAAAAATTACGTACATTTTTATTATCTTTATTAATTATTTTTAGTTATTTTTCTTTTTGGAGTCGTAAGCGAATTAATATAAACATAATACTATGTACTTTTCTTTTTATGTCAAACGTTCGAAATTTGACTAATATGCTATTATAATTGTCAAGCTATAATTTTAAAATTTGACAATTTCAGACTTAACCATAACATAAAGGTTAAACTCATATTATGTACAGTTTCAATCATAGTAAATAATATATTATAATAAATCGTATTGTTTTACTTACAGACGCATGTAAAACGTTAAATTTTTTCTTCCGGGAAGTATCGAGTACAACCCTCTGGTTCTAAACATAAAAATAAAAATCAAACTTCAGATATTATCACGCAATATCATACAAATTCCACGTGACCCCGTAGCTCATGTTTTAAGTCTGGTTAATGAATACCTTGCATTAAGATAAAATGCCTGGTAGGTAGTATTCATTTTTTATTTAATTACTTACGAAATTGGTGTGTTCATATTCATGTAAACAGTTGGTTTTTCTAAATCGACGATTTTTTTCTCACAATCATCTACAGTACAACACCGAGATGCCGGAAACGCAGTAGAATTTTTCAACGAGTCCATCATATAAATTATAGACATTAGATGGCCGCAAGCTGTAGGTCACAATGATATTATTTAAAGACAATCGTTTAAAGTATCGTTACAAATTAAGGTCAAATAGTGATTAGAATACAGAAGGTATAGTTAAGTTTATTTTACCATAAGTAATAAAAAATCATTGCAAACAAAAATATTTTCTATCAATTTTTAATAGTTTCATAAAAATATTTTTATCAAAATAACAGGCCCTTGATAACTTTTATTGTATGATTTACTATCCATTTAATTTCAAGAAACCGGAAACAATAAAACAAATAATTATATAATAAATCAAATCACTATATACCTAACCGTTTTTTCGGTGGGTTTTTTTTTTTTTTGTAAACCCTTTTAAAATCTATAAAAATGTTTTAAATAAAGTACTTATGTATCATTTAACGTTTGTAAAATGTAAAAGATTCAGAACATTTTAACTAATAATAGAATAAATAGATTTAGGCAGGAAAAACATATCTTAGTGAATACCTATAGTGTACAATAACTTTTTCATATCACTCAATATCCTCAATGTCAAGCTGTTTAAAAATAGAATAAATACTGCAGTAATTATTATAATGGGTTCAACACTTTTACACGATTTCGGGGGAAGTAGCTGGCAGTAGAACCAATTATTAGTAGTTTATCATTTAATATTTACAACAGTATAGATAACATATGTACACACAGTCCGTGTGTACATACGACAATGGACTGATCCATTCATCATGAATTATCGATTTTCTCGAAACATGTTATGCAATTTTATAAATATTATATTTTTCAATAATTATGGTATAATATTTATTTCAACACTTTTTTCAATTTTATACTCTTAAATGGTACTTTTTATGTCTTATATGAGTATAATCTGTTGATAGATCAAATAATAAACGTACATTTAAACACAGTTTAGCATAAAAATCATTTTTCTAAACGTGTCGATATGCATAAAGCATGATAACACTGTAATATCGAATTAATCGTCTTTAGATAAAAAAAAGGTAATAAACTTTAAACTTTTAATAAACTGATTATTAAATTGATAACCCATCTTTTATTGTATTCTTCCGGTCTGGCCTTAAAACTGTTATAACTCATAAACAGTAAATCCGATGTGATTGTTACATAAATATCAAAATATATAGACGATATTCGATATTCAAAGACAAATACAAAGATACAATCAAAATTAATGGTATACAACTACCAAAAATAAAGCTAAAATAAAGCTCTACAGATTCCAAAAAACATAATTATTAAAAAATAACAGATACGAAATTCTCTTAAAGTCGCAGGGGAAAATTGAAGGTTTGTGACAAGTGGATCACTCTGTATTCAATTGGAATTAATAGCAGGCATTACAAAATTGTCGTGTTAGGAGAAATGGATTATTAGGTACGAATCGAATTTAATACGCTGCACGTAACGATAAATTTAACAACTATGATATTTCGATTTAACGCGACGACGACGATTCTGCGATGCTGCAGGATTACTCCGGATAATCGGCTTCTCGCATTCCGACATTTCCGAATATAATATTCATGATAACACATCGCCACGATGAAGACTCGTGCACGACGTCTGGCGTGTACTTGTTGAACATGAAACTATTCGTTATGTTCGTACCCTGTGTAAAACTTTTAAAAATCAATTTCTAATATTCGTCATTAAAATAAGTTTCTTTTTTCATGCTGTTTTTCTGACTACACCGGTGTATTGTTTGATTCCAAAAATAAATATCCCAATTTATTCATATGAATTTGCTAGATTTTGGTAGAACCCCTATCATCTCTTGGAGAAGTTTCAAATTTTTAGATGAGTACTGGCACATTGTCCGATTTTTCACCCTTATTGAAAAGTTGCAGTGGTCCTTTCAAAGTCTAGCATATTCCTAGAAAAATGTCGGTACCAGTTGTATATTTTCAGCATAATGTGTCGATGCCGATTTCACAGAACAACAAAAATATTGCAATAACAACCGTGAGTAGCAGATTTCCTCATTAAAGTCAAATTTTCCCCTAACCGACTATTGGCGTTATAATATTTAATTGTTAACGTTATTTCAATAATTGATCTAAATGATATCTGGTTAACATTATATTATTTATTAAATTAAATTGTATTTATTTGTATTTTAAATTCACTAGACAACTATTAACCCCGTCTTTCCCTCCTCCTGTTGTATAACATGGTCTTCTGCCCAACCCTTATTTAAAGTGTAAAAAGTATCCTTTAACCTATCTGTAATAATAATAAATTGAACACAATAAGTGTTATGAAAAAAGGTAAATTAATTCTCGAGATTTCAGCTAAAAGGCAAACAAACGATATAGGCGGGGGTTGAAAACTGAAACCTCCTCAAAAACAATACTCTTTTATTAGGTTTTTTCAAGGTACAAAATATCTTTTAGTTTACGAATACTGGTATCGTTTTTTTTTTTTATTTTCTTAGAAAGGAAATAATGAAAAAACATAAAAATTAAATCTAAAGAAATAAGAACAAAAATAAAAATTTTAAAGATGTAAAACCGATGAAAAGAAACGAACTAACAACTTCAAACTCGAATGTCCAAAAAGTGCTTAAAGTATCAAAAACAATTAGAAATAGTCTTTACTTTCAGGAGAAATTTGACGAAAATATAAGAAAATTCTAATTGATAAGTTTACAATAATAATTTTGTTTTTTTTTCCACCAAAACATGGTATTTAGAGTACTGATTAGCACCAATCTCCTTACAATAATATGTATTATAACTAGTTGTATGTCCGTCATATGACGGTCTATAAAAATTTGATATTTGGTTGTTTAATATAAAAATGCCTACATTTTTTTTTATTGGGTTGTAAGATAGTAAACTAAATAGTATTACACTAATAGCTAACAAAACTAAAGCTCAAAGGTAAAAATTTACGTATATAAGTTGTTATATACAAATATAAGTCACATTGAAACCATTGGTGTTCACTTGGATGTATGAAATTGTCATAACGTGACAACAGACTATACGATTAACCATGCGCCATTAATCAACTCTTAATAGACTGGATAGTGGATGTTCAAATGATGTCTGTGATACCACGGAGTATTCTAATTAATGCTCATACTATAAACAGTTTGATGATTTAAACTTAATTTTAATGGTATTCATAATATTTTTATGTAAAACTGCGTAATATTTTTGATCAAAACACGGTACGTAGAAAATAACGCATCTTGAATTATCATTAAAACGTACATGTTTACAAGTACCTACATGAAAAACCTCCACCAAAATGATATATAATTAATATAATAATATGATAGATATGCATTTTTTTTCTTACTTGTGTCAACCGCACACGTTGGCTGAAATTGAGCACCATTGAAGTAAAAATCGACATGACCCACTGGCTCCCGTAATCCAAATAATAATGTCGATGTGTGTAAAACCATAACGAATCGACCGCTATTCACGTCGACTCTTTCATTTTTATGATCGATTCTGAAGTTTGGTTGCGCTGGATCGAGAGCTAACACAAAAACATACATATACAATCTATATAATAAGATATATATATGAAATGGTTTATTTTTGTAATGGGTAATCTCCGAAAGTACTGGACTAATATACATGTGTTTTTTGGAAAATGGTTCAAGTAGTCGAGAGAAGGTTTAAGGTTATTGAAATCCTTGACCTGACCAGTAGAAATAGTTGGCCTAATCTGCAGTAGTTTGGGATTGGTAAAAAATAATAATTTATAGGTATTTGTTCATTGCTTAGCTATCATATAACTGATTCGTATAACTTTGAAAAAAAGGTGAATTTTCAAAAACTTAAAAGCAACAAAAGTTAACTGCAGTAATATTGACGGGGATTAAAGCAGGGAATCCAAGGGGTTAACTTATTTGTTACTCATTTGTTTGGCACTGGCAACGCCGGGCGGGATACCTTATAGTATTATATAAATATTACCTATGCATTTGACCCGTCAATATTGTGGTATACTAGGTATATATTTTATTGTCGGGCTATCAATGTGACCACTATTAATTTTCACGCTGTCAACTGACCACTATCTATTATTATTGACAGATATATTTGTTTTCGTCACTACGTCATTAGTATAACAATAATAGTATATGCAATGGTGTACCCATTTTTTTTAAAAATACGTTATAACGCCATGTGCCTTACATGGAGAATATCTTTCTTATTGTTTCGAGAGAAATAAATAAGTATTAATTGGACAAAAACGCAATATCAAAATAAACACTGAAAATTTGTTTTAAAAAAGTATTGTTAATCCTAAGAAAAACTAGACTTTAGTTTTATTAAGTACTGAAATAAATAGAATTAGTGATACTATTACGATTTTAGTGGCATAAGTGGTATAAATAATAGTACAATATCAAGATTTTTGTATTTTTAACTATTGTAAATTATATTCAGCTTGCATACAATTTTTTTTTCAGAATATACGTTGTATATATATTATTCGCTATAGGAACACAACTGATTATATGTAAGTTGTAATATATTCAAATTTCAATTATAATGTTATATACAATGTCGTGTTTCAGTGTTTGATAATATTTTCAAGAATCACTGACATAGTCAAAATTTAATAACACATAAACTTTTCCATACCTATATTGTAATAACAGGTGCCTATTTAAAAAATAATTAACTATAAAAAAAGGAAATTATCGTCAAAATACTTATAAATCATATCATACGCATACTAAGAGATCAATTTATTTGGTGACATTTGATATTTCGAAAATTATTGACTTTTTCCAAACAAAATTTCTTTTGATAATTTCATAAACAAGCAGTTTTAAAGTGTTCCATTATTGAGAATAAAAAAATTAATTAGTTTTGATTTTTGAATGGCAATTTATATTAAAAATTCTATAAATAAATTTTAGCAATGGAATTTTTTATTTCTGTCAACGCACAGTAACGAGATTAAAATGCCACACACATGATACTCCATTACTCTCCCCTTACCCAACCTTAAAATTATAATGTCTTATTAACGGGTAGACTGAAATCAACAATTTCAACACTTAAATGCATGTAAACTAATGATTCATATGTTTATGGAATTTTTGATAAAGGATAACATTTTTAAAAAAAAAAGTAGGTTGTGGTTTCATCCCCAAAAATAAGGCGACAAAAAATATTATAGCTGTCCAACATTAAAGCTGATTGATTCTTAAATATTCAAAAAAAATAATTATTGATAAAGTCGATACTTTCCGGGACAATGAGTGCACCGACTTAAATAGATCACCTTTAGAATTTCGTTAGGTTTAAGTAGACGTATTTAAATTAAATTAAAAGGGTATGCGGTGTATACAAATGGAAACTCTTTATAACATCATTATAGTTCAACGATCAATACACCATTTATTATATACCATGATGTTCATCTATTTGTAGGATTAAGATAGATATCATCTTTAAATACAAAACTGTGGTCCAACGAAGTATATCTATTATAGCGCAATTTATAATAGATTTTAAATTTTACAATATGTTATGTAGATCAATTCCTTTCACGAATAACTATTTAAGTTTAATAAAGTTAAATAAGTTTAATAAATAAGTATAAAATGTCCATTATTAATTTTCCTGCGGGAAATACATTTATATCCGACGGTCGTGCGTGGATTATGAGATATGGTATATCGTAAACCTATACGTATCTGCCCAATAATACATTATACAATACCATAATTGTATACGTAAATAGACTGAATTATATTTATTTATTTTTTAAACAAAGATTTTCAAATAACTACTGGACATCCATTTTGCCGGGTACCGGCAACGATGATTAGTTAAATCTGCATGTACAACAAATAGCTACAACAGCTAATTTTAAATATTGAACGACACACCGTGTGTTATTAGTTTCATCGACGTTTTTCGTTTTTATATTTTCGCAATTTACGATATTGTGAACGCAACATTATTATTGTACTTACGAGTATACGTACCAACCCACGGTAAATCTGGCACATGAATCGCATACGGTATGGACGTACTGTATATAATTCATAATATGATGTGTAATGTACCTATATACAGACAAAACCATCACGTTCTCCCTCTTGATTAGACTGATCGAATGTTGTTTACTTTGTATCTGGTGATGTTTGATCTCGAAGAAATCAAGTACGAAAACGAAATTTGATACACGCCTAGCCCTTTACTTATAACCTTAACCTATAACCACCTATAGGTATAATGCAACGGTGTCGGAATTTTTTGAAGTGCCCTTTTGACTACATCGCGTTATTATACTTTATAGGTATTGAAGAACGACGTCACCTACTATATTATTATGTATATAGTGGAACCTGCTTATTTAGCGGCTATAGTATATCACCAACGCGTCAATGTTAAACACGAGAGAGAAAAATATACGAGAAATAGGTACGAATACAACGGATACGGTACCTAATGATATTAGTGTTATAGTGTTGTTGGGATTTATTTTTGTTAAATAAATAAATATAAAACAAACAAAAATCCAATTTTAAATAACAACCTATTTATAATTTAAAAACTATAAATTCCACCATATCTGTTAAACGTTAAATGACTTATAGTTTATTCATACCGAGAGAAAAATTATACTATACTTGTTCTAATACTATAGGTAAAATAGAAACCGTGTAAATGACTATAATGAGTAAGTAGACAATCCGAAGAACAAAATGAGCTTTAGAGGTGTAATGTAAGTGCATAATAAAAATCGCTACTTCACTCGGACAGCTATATTGTAATAAAACGATATCGGCAGTTCAGACATTGGGAATGACAACAGTGGCATTTTTAGTATTGGATCAGAAATAATGCCATACAGGTTAAACGACCGATTACTCAACATACATAAAAAAAAAAAAAATATGTAGAATCGTAAAGAGCACAAAAAACCATTTGTGAAACATGGTATGGTAAAATTAGGTTACAAAGACCAAACTGAAAAAACCGGACATACTTTGCACAATTGATAGGCCACTAGGCGCTGTAGTTGGAGTGTTTTAATCGTGCCTTAAGAGATATAAGGTAATTGTATTTATAAATTGTGATACTTTTTGCCATAAACCATTGCTAAGGAAAAATGATTCTGAGCGGAGTAATATAAGTCGTTATTTTTACCGTGTAGATATGGTAACCCAGAAATCAATAAAAATAAAACCGATGTACCGACATTTGTTGTCGGTATTTTCAATTGAAATGTTAAGTGTTTAAAAAATTAGTTTAATTAAAACATTAATGTTAAGGTACAGAATAAATAAATCGGAACAGTTCTATTAACACGAAAAGTGTTTTCGGGGGAAAAGAAAATTCTTATTTACAATTTTCTATTCATAATTAATGAAGTATCCATAGTGAGTTGATAACGCAGAATAATTTGAAAGGATATTTTGATATGAGTATTATACTATTGTTATGACCACCTGAAGAAAAAAATCACTAATACAAGTGAAAATGTTGAAATTTCTGGATGTAACCAACAACAAATTAGCTATAGTTAAATGATTTATAATACCTAAACCTTATATTGTTTTATTAAAAACCTAGAAAATATTTAATATGAATTATAAGATAGTAAAATTGAAATAATTCAAATTTAATTAAATTTTTAATGATATTAACAAACTTCTGACGTTAAAATATTATAGGTATCTGTAATTTATTATGTACATACGCTAAATTGTACAGACAATGTCTTATCATAAATATAGAAAACTACATAATAATTAAGTGGTTTTAAAGTCAAAAATATTTTAAACAGTGTCAACTTCACGGGTATTTTTCGATTTACGAGAATTTACTGTGTATTTTTAAAGGTTTCCTGGTAGATTCTAATAATTTAGGTGGTTGTGGTACATGCTAAAGCTAGGGGGGACAGGCTCCTTTATTTGAAATTTTTATCTTCAACGTTATACTCAGAGGTGCTCTAAGATGTCATGTTATCAATTAAGTTATTTCCATAAAGCTTATTCATGATTTGTGTCTCGGCAATTATTATAAATTTTCGTCAACTAAATACGGAAAATACAAGTGTCAAAACAACTGGGTGAGCTACATACAAACTGGGTTGGCTAAATCCACCCAAGCTTCCTTCCTAGTGGTACTAATGTTTCATGGTAAACTAGGTGTTCATTATTATTTAATTATTTTGAAACCATGTAAGTTTTTGTTCTCTTTTGGCATCCTGGATTAAGTCTACGATAAATTGTCCGAGACCGGACTCGACAAGAAGAGGTCGAGACAGTGTATTTTTAATTTTTTAAAAATTCAATTATTATACTCGTTTGAAGAAAAATATACCTGAAATGTTATTTAAATAGTTTTTAATTGACATCAAATTTACAACTAGTTTCAGTTAGGTTAGGTTACTTTGGATCGCTAAATTGAAATAGTTATTCAAAAGCATTCGAATACGTATAATAATTTTATAACTTAATTTTAGTTTTTCACAGAATTAAAATGGGTACTTTCCATTAATTACATTTTCCCAGGAAAATCTGCCTAATATGAAAATATAGAAAAGTTTTTGATGTTACGAAATATATTACACTAAATTGCGAAGTGTAGAGTTTCGGAATGTTCTCTAAATCACTATATGTATCTAATATAGATAGAGGAAACAAACTTCTAAGACTCTATTTAAGTAAATTCCAAACTACAAGTAACAGTAGTAACTTTGTAATAATAATTATATTATAAACAATTGTTTGATTATTATAATATGCATTGTATTGCAACATGAAAGTAATCTACCAACGTGTACATTAGTTCAATAATTGACTTTTGTAGGTACTCGATAAGCTTTAAAATCTAAAAAAGCAAAAAACGCAAAATATTTACCAAGACCAAACGAATATTAGTACCTTGTAGGTATTATAAAAAAAAATTTAAATTAAAAATGATGTCCTGGTAGACAACTATTGAAACGAATTTCATACTAAATATAACTTAAAACGCTGATAAAAATAAATTGCAAAATATTTATACAAATAACAAATAGCTTATGGGTGACTCGTCAATTCTAGATATTACCACGTTTATAAAGAGCAAATACAAATATTTGGTAAAAATTACAAATCTTTACGATTTTTGTTAATTGATTTACAATAAATTTAAAAAATTTGAATTAATAGAAACCGTGAACGAGCAAACGTTACTGTTTTTATGAACTTTTCCTTCATTTTTAGACAACTTTAAGCAAAATCGAAAAATGAATAGAATCTCCTCGATCCACTGATATGACAAAAATTTCTAACAGAAACCATCAATGAGTTCGATGATTTGATATCTGGGCGAAAGTTGTTAAGTACAAACAAAAAAAAAAAAATTATATATCATGCGTATTGTTATCTATTTTCACTATTGCTTCTACAGGGTGTATTCGTTGTATACCGTCTGTGTACATAAACTCATTATTTTGGTTTTTTTACCAATAAAATAACAGGACAATAGAGAGGGTGCGATTTTTAAAATATTATAAATAATATCATTAAACTATTATTCTATGATAAAAATGTGGAAAAACAACCGAACAGAAATTAACTCGTAAATTATCTTCGTAGACAATCGCTGGCCCGCGGATAAAAGAATCACTCTGAATGGAAAGTCCTGCGTATACCTACTTACGCAATTCGCCTGCGTACGACCATATTTTTATAATGCACATACTGTACGCATTATGTATATACTATATTATTATATTGCATTTCTATAAAATCTTTTATACGCATTTACGTTGTTTGCGTATAATATAGTGTTTTACGGTCGTTAAAGAATCTATTATATTATTTCCTGGTAACTTCTCAAATGTGACTTGCAGGTACGTTTTGTGTGCTGCACGCAATTTCGCTGTTGGTGAAAACGCCAGCACCGAGTTAGAAATGATGAATAATATTAACGCCGCCGTCACCGCGGTCAGATTAATTCGCCTGAGAGGTTTATTTCGGCATTGAGTTTGTTTTATTTCCCTTTAATTTATCAATCTCCTGTTTTATTGTCAAACATAAAAAAACGGAAATGTTACAATAAAAATACAAACCTTTATGCCGAAGCCCCGGAAAACTACTTATTATGTACATTGGTGGATATATGTTACCAGGTACACTCGTATATTTGGTAAATTCAAATCTGAATGAAACTCCACAAAAAAAAAAAAAGATAAAAACAATCTATAAAAACAATTGGAAAAACATCTGATACTGCTAATGGGTGTATCACCATCAGTATAGCAAATACTAGAGAATTTTCTGAGTGTCATAACTGTTCCTACTTGATTTTTTTTCTAAGCTATAGATAAAGAAAAAGGTTACAGATCCCTATACTCTGCAAATTCACGAACCTTCTGCCCATTGATAAATCTTGGTTAAGTCAACGGCCACTGTTGTAGTTAGAAAGTTGTACATCATTCAACTTATATCTTTGAACAAAGAAAAATCATTACTAATAAAAAAAATTATGAATTAAATTTGATCAAACACGTTTTGAAATGTCTTCATACTTATGGTTTTCAATAAAATTTGAAACGGTTTTTAAAGAAAATTGGTTGGGAAATCTAAACGAAATTTTGTTCACTAAATAGTATCAAAACCTAACAATAAAGATCTCTTAAAAATTTTTGATTGTAGCAAGTTTCTGGTAGAAAAAATGTTGATTGACCGAAAAAAAAACCTATTATAATAAAACTAACACATTTCTCGTTACACTCAGATTCTAAACTGTAGGTATGCCATTGTCCTCGCACAGCGATCTCGTATTATATATTTTTAGGATTACAAAAATAATACAGTGACTGGCCTTTTTCATTGTTTATGTATACAAAATTTCTTTGAAATTGAAAAATATTAGTTTAATTACCTATTAAATCTCACTGTCAATTTAATTTCCTCATTTGTAAACCATTTTTAAAAGCGGTATTTAAAAAAAAAAAAAAGTGTAGCACTGTATTATTATTATATTTATTTGTTTATTGTTTTATAAAGAATATTTATATAATATACAATAGACGGGAAGGGGAATTAAATTCTGAAGCTTACGGTTTTGCAAATTATTGTATTGTGTGTGAAGAAACTTAAGAGGTAGATTTTTTACACGAGGTTAAAAACAAACTTTACATTTTTCAAAATGAACATTATTGATACAAAGATATAAGCGAAAGATTATGAAATTGTATTGGCTTATAAAGTTTATATTTAATTCATTGTTCCCTACCTTCCTATATAAATATAGTTTGTTTTAGGTGTTTTATAAATATATGAATATGATATGGAAAATTATTATTTTTATCACTTTCATCGTAAATAAACGTTCGGTCTATATATGTTTACATATACGATCTATAGATCTTAACAAATTATCTTGGAATTTTTAAAGTTATAATATAATTTACATAAATAATAAAAAAAAGGTCATAAAAACTAATCTAAGTTATATTATTATAGATGATGTCCGTACTTTTTCATAATTTTAAGGTTCGTGTTATGATATTGTTAGTGTTATTGTAAGGCACTCGTTATCTCGGAAGGTATTTACTTTTTCTGGAATTTTTTTTCTAGAATATTTAATAAATGAGCTGTTCTATGATTTCATATGTATGTTATTTTTTGTCACCCATATTTTTGAGGGTAAAACCAATACCTTCTTTTGATATTTAAATGCAACCTATATTAAAAAATTCCATAAATTTATGAAGTATTAGTTTTAATTTTTGATTTCCGTCAATCCGTTGGCGAGATATTCCACTTTTATGTTTTGGTTGGGGCTGAGTGGTGATATATTATTGACACATCGCGCGCCGTACCGCCATACAATTGATACTCCACTACTTTCCTCCAACTCAAACTTAAAAGTTAAATATCTCGTCAATGGATTGATAAAAATCAAAATGTTCAACGCTAAAATTTATTTTAAATAGTACTACATCTATTTATGGAACTTTTGATATAGGTTTCTATTTGAAAATCGAAAGTAGATAGTGGTTTTATCCCTAAAAATAAGGGTGGCAACAAATAACATAAATATAAAATTGTAGAGCAGCGATTTTCGTGTTCTAAAAAATAAATTTCGGTAAAAGTTAATAATTTTCAAGATAAAGATTGGTATTATGATAGATTGATCATCCTGTATAATGAAACCATAATTGTATAGTTATTTAAACAGAACTGTTCCAAATATTTTGTTTTTATTTGAAAAGAAAACGAAATGCTTATTATTTTTTTTCTGATGGTTTATTTTATTCCTGTGTGACCCGTGGTTTTTTTTTTTTTAATTAATGAAAGAATTCACAAAAATGAGCGAAAACAGTACAGTGTTTTGACAATTTATTGTATGCATATAATATGCATTATTGTGGCATAATAATGTATACACATAACTACTTTAAATAGCTTTAAATTCTGAGAATTGAGAAAATTATTTCCCTGAAAACAATTTTTAGAATGTTTAAAACTCTCTAAATGTTTAAAATAATAAACAGGTAAAAATGAATAAGCCAAATAGTTTAAATAACTTATTAAATATAATATAGAATAAGTAAAACATGTACAATAACTTTTTCAATATTAAATATTTAATGTTTTTGATTAGGTAATTTGAATCGAATGTACAGAATGCACGGATAATTAGAGATTGATAATAAAATTGTGGTTTTTGAGGAGACTTTTTCTCAGTTGAGAGTGATGCTCAAAACTTTTGATAAGTTATATTTTAAATTTTAAAGCACTTCTTTAAGGAGAAAAAGTGATCCAAATATTTGTTTACGAGTCCCAAAAGCGCAAAACAATGAAGGAAAACTTTTAAAGAACACCGTTATAGTATAAAATATTTTACATTCCATTCAAACTTGGTACCTACTCATATAAGTATTCCATATATCCTTATGTCTATTAATAAAGTGAAAACCTCTGTTTCTTAAAGGTGTGTCATACTGATAGAGACAGTAAAACTATAAACTGATGCTTACTGCGTAGATATTAAAAGAGCAGAACGAATTCAAAATTCACGTTTTTGACTTTTGTTTTTTAAACATTGTACTGATGGAATACAGAATACATGTACTTATAAAACATTTAAATGTATTAATAAGTTTAGTTTAGATATTGATTGTTTATATTTAATATCATTCACTAGGTACATCTTAGTACTGGACCGATATATTAGGGGTAGATATCTTTTGTGCAAGGTGTAATATTATATCAAATTACAACGTTTAATATGTAGGTCATCAAAACAGACTAGCGACAGTGTACGGATAAAAATATGTATTTTTTTTTTTTATTATTGAAATGTATATATAAAAAAAAAATGTTTGACAGTCGGACAGTCGATGAGTCGATAACAGTTTTACTCAATATTCGTAATGACCATTCAGATAGGCAATGTCTGTACACACATTTTGCTACTGCACGGTATAGTATTAATATAGGTCGAGAGGGGGAGAGCGTTGAAAAAGGCATAAAATAATAAGTTTGTCAATAATAAAATTCATTATTAATTAACATTCTGTAAAAATATATCCATAATATGTTGTTTTTGCTAAGTAACAACAAAATATTATACCAATCACTATAGTTGAGTTAAATTTTTGAAAATACTTAAAATAGATTCGTTTAAATCGATAAAAACTGAAATTATATTATGCAAATAAATTATAATAATAAATATCTATAGTTTGTAAGCAAATCAAATATTTTATTTCGTATTATTACAATATAATTTTGAATATTTTGAATATTATGTTTGTTGTCAAAAATACAACGTTTCCTTTCCAAATAATTAAACATAATATGATTAATAAAACTAAAAATAATAGTATAACAGAATCTGGTGTTAGGTTTATTCGATTCAATTTACGTTCCTTCATTAGCTTTCAAGTTATATCATCGAACAATTCTTCGGAAATCGACAGTAAAAAAAAAGAAAGTAATTTCCTTATTTTGTGTCAAATTTACCGCTTAGGTTTTTTAGGCACATTTGTGTAAAGTTTGTCAACCTGTAGTATTTTGAATAACCTTTCTTTTCGAATTTGGATAATCTTTGAATTAAAGTGCTTTTAATAGGTTTGCGATACTTATGCAAAAACGATCTATCTAAAACTTCGGCATCGGGTATAAAGATCACGTGACGATAGTTTACGAGTACTTACATAGTTTCATACTAACGAATAACTTGATACACTGCAATTCCCGCTTCGATTGGCACGAAACAAAATCTTGGAAATTTCGTTTCCGAAAACGAAGAGGCTTTAAAGCCGGTTTGGCACTGCGATACCATTCCCGTAAACGGTAAAGATGATTTAGTTTAGTTATTAAAATTTACAGAGTGATTAATCTATTGTAAGACTAATACATTAATCACACTGTAGCGAGAATATAAATTACATTTTTATTTTACTTCTTAACTGAAAAATAACTTTTTAAAATAGCCACTTTGTAACGGATATTATTTTAAATATTGTAAAGATACACACATTTCCGATATAGAGTTTCATAATAATAGCCGTTTTGATTTCTAGAGTAGGGTTACACATTAACTTATTATAGTGTTATATCAAATCACAATCTGTGACAATAAAGTATAAGTCATCTATTGAATACAGTTTTTTTTTTTTTTTTTTTTGCCCAATCTAGGCCATTTAGACCCATTGCCGCTTTCACAATCTTCCTTCGTGTGCGTCTCTATGAATTTCTTGCTTTTTTCCATTATCAATCCAATTAGTCTAAGGGCTTCTTTGACTAGGTCTTTCCACTGTTGTCTTAGATTTTATTAGGTTTTTGTTTTTGTGAGAATCTATCTTTGTTGGCCCTCTGCCCTCTATATATATCCAACTCATATTAATTTTTGGCTCTTGAGTGTGGCCACTGTAATAAAGCTATAATTTATCCGATTGAACGTATGTAGTAACCGCTTTCTATATTTCTTTTTTTTCAAGATTTTCCTTTCGAAAATCAATAATTTGTTTATATCCTAATTATTAGATGCTCATGCTCCATGGGTATCGAGTGTAATTGATCTAACAACGGTAGGTATTATAATATAGTCTTATTTTTGTTCCTTGTTGTTCATGGCCCCTTTAAAAATAATTATATACACATATGGACATGTTTTACACGATAGGTGGGTCACTGTTGAAGGTGAGAAGTTGGGAAGGTATAGGGGAAATTTAATTTAAATCTGTACGCAACGATTAAACATTGCTAATGAAAACTATTCTAAGCGGAGTTCGGTTATACATGTTTTGAAAGGCTTAATAATTGCGATCATTATAAAATTAGTACATTCCTCGCTCCCCTCAGAGTCTAAAATATGTTGATTAAACAAGAAAACTGTAGTCTGTTCACCTTCTCATCTATAGTTGTCGAGATAAATAAATATTACAAAAATCAATAGAAGAAAATGGATTGAAAATGTAACTAAAATATGGATTTTAACTAGAATCTTCTTCTACCTCGACTTTTTTCAACCTACTTGGGGGTCAGCTGCCTTATTTCTAAATGTCCAGTTTATTCGATCAACCACATAATAATTTATCTACACCCTAGCAGTTTTAATTTCATGTATCACTCTCAACTGTTTCTAACCATCTCCTTTTTGGTTCTATATCAGAATACTTCGTAATTTGTGTGTCTATACGTGAATATTCTCTTTCCTTTCATCTGATTTTATTCGAAAAAAAAAAAGTAAGAGAAAAAGTTAAAAATGACAAGTAATTGTACATGTCATATTTTCCGATGAATACAATGAGGTAGTTCAAAATACTTATTATGGAACGATCGGCACTCTTCAAAACACGTGAAAGGGAAAGATTGGCAAATATCAAAATATCGGAATCTTAACCAATTTAAATTAAAAATCACACACGACTTACCTATTATCCTACTGACAGTCCCATTCAGCCTGTGTCCCGCGTTACCGACTAAATGAGCTCCCAAACTGTGGCCGATCAATATGATATCACTAAACGTTTTAATGATCTCACGATCATGCAAACCATTCAACCAGTCGGCCAGGTGGGGGACCACTGTCGGAAATTGGATGACCAAGTTTCCATAATCCATTTGCATAGCCCAGTCTGACCAATCGACCAGTACCACGTTCGAATCAGTCATCCGCGCGAGCCCTGCATATGAACAACAAAAATTCTGTCAGTATTGACAATTTAATTTATTAATCGAAAAAAAAATTAAAAAACAAATCTAAAATATTAATAAAGCGAAAATTAAACTTTTTGTTTACTTTTTTTCATATTGGTTTCCAAGAATAATTTTTCTTTTGAGAAGTATCAATTTGAGGAAAATACCTATAGAATGAACCTACGATAAATTTACCTACCAAAACCTTTAAATATGTATAATTTCCAAAAATGTGTTACAAACACGTTGAAATAAACAATAAACAATATCTGTCTATTATATTTATGTGTCCATCCACCTATATAGTGTAATCAAACTATTTTCGAAATCGAAATCCATTTCACGAACTTCAATCAAAACCCGTAATCCGTTTTTAGGTGATTGAACGGACCCAGATTTTATTATTTTCGTAAAGTATAATATAGGAATACATAAGTACCTACTATGTACCTTCTGTATTTAATAAAAGAGAATTGTGTTTCGACAAATACCTTCAGTACAATATTGTAACTAAATTTATTACACTTTATCAGTCAAACTCAATACGGTTTGTTAAAAGTATGGTTCAGTTTCGCAAGTTTGAAAACCTGACAAATATATTTGTATTATTATTATTGTTATTTAATGATAAAATACAATTTTAACGAAACACTATCTTCATGTGAAGTATGAATGTATTATAGTTTTTGTTGGACAAGGTTATATTCTAGTTGAAACTATAGTCATATAAATTATGTAGACTGTAAACCGTATACAAGTAGATAAATAGACGTTAAAATTGTTGAAAGCTTGAGTTCGGTGTGAAAACTGACAACATTAAGTTATCCATGGCCAATCGTGACTCGTCCAATTATTGTAATAATACATAACTCGCTAACTTTCACTACCTATCAACTATAAATTCATTTGAGAAATAATTCGATTACACTGAATATGGACGTGACATATTATTATTATTATTATTATTGTAAACGTTAACTTGAATCGATATACATTTTCCTAAGGCCACTATAATTGGAGTCTTGGTACTGCATCTAAATCCGTGCGCAAACACAATCAGAGGTTTGTTGTTTTGAATTTTTGAATCCGTCACGTCCACTAATTGATAGCTAAAACAATCGTATATTGCAATATTACTATAATTAATCTCTATGAAGTCATTAATTTCAACGATAGTAAAAGAGTCCAGATTCACCTTAAATTTGTATTAATTATTTATACGTATCTAATATTGTTATCATGCGATAAAAGACAATTATATAATATTAAATTATGGAAATTGTGTTTCTGCGGATATAATAATATAGATAAACACGTATGGATTTTTTTATTTTTTTACTCCGTGTACTTAGTTTGCAAAATAACTAGGAAAAACTTAAGAAAAATGGTAAAATTTACGTTTTTATTAATTTTGATTTTATTTTTTGCTATTAATCTAATAATTATCATAAAATTTTTATCGAATTTAGGTATATATGGTTTTTTTTATCGAATACCTAAACGGGTTTCTTCTAAATATGATAAGATATCAAAAGTATTCTGCTGATATTTAAACAGTTTTTAGGCTTTTGACATTTGCATGTTGTTTAGTTTTATTTGGTTTTACGTGAATAAAATCATTTTTAGTCGAGCAGAAATGTGTACAAGTTTAACCAGTACTAGTCATAAAAAAAAATAATACGTTCAGAAATTTTGTTCATAAACTTTTTTTCAGTTCAAATTTTTATGAAAACCATTAAGACAAGTTTTTCTAAATTTTATCCGTAATCGGAATATTCGGATATCTACACAAATAACGTAATTTGGTTATTGTTATTACGACAACTCTAAATTCGTGTATATTTTATCGAATATTTCAATTGAAACAAAATTAACCTTTTCTATATTATACTTCATAATTATAATATATAAGTACCAACGTTTGCTATTAGTTTAGTATTATGTTAACGGTCTTGTGTACCTAAGTGTATAATATGAAAACTAAAATATTCAAATTGAAATATAATTTCTTGGTTAAAAAATGTACAATACAATTTTAAATTTTACCCCGTCTACCCTTACAATATTAAGGAATATATAGGTACGCGAAACATTTAAATTTCATTATAACATTGTAATTCCCTAAACTCGGCAATCTCAAAAATTCGTTTGTCTTTAATTAATAGTTATGCCACACAACGAGACAAATTAGGTGGTTAATCAAATATGCGATTGTTTGGTATGAATTTACTTAACGGAAATTCTGACTATACTTGTTTATAGACATTGCAAAACATCTTTGGAAATATATTAACATATATGACTGTACAACATATATCATAAATAGATAGATGAATGTATGTATAAATCAAATAGGTCCTATGTAAGATATCTATTATAAATGTACTTAATTATGTACTATGTGTTTAGTAGTTTGGCAGATATCGTGCCAGACGGGTCTTATATACGAATAAACGGATTAATTCAATATAATTCGTCTTCTTTTCGACTACTAACCCTATCTAAATAGGATAATAAAGCTATAGTTACGCCAGTTTGTACGCCTGTTGTACATGATTTAACGCACAGTTTGATCGTAATTCATCATCCAATTTCGTATGGTTATCATAATATACATTAAAGTTATAGGCCATTATTGTTATTATCGACGTTCTCGAAGGATATGAGGCTACATATTTGAATTTATTTTTATTTTTTTTTTTGATGTTTTATATTTTTAACTTATTAAATTATAATGTTCGCTTTAGTTTTTGGTAAGTAGGTATAACTTTTCACATTTATTGCAATTATTACAACTTATCACTTTTTTATAGCCCCGTTATTATATTTCGTTGATAGGAAATTCATTAAAATGCCGGTGATATCATATATCGTCCCATAATGACTTAAACAGCATCACTTGGAAGTTGGAGCGTGGCCAAAAATGTAAAAATACGGAAGTGACCGCGCATCATTTTGTCAGTGTTATACACAGCTAAACAGGATGTTCAATTTGGTATCTAGATCGATATCGCACATACGGAAATAAGTTTTATTCAGCAATGAAATTATATAACAAGGAAAATATACCAGTTGTTTATTAAACAATGGAAAAAAAATCTATAATAAGTACCTATACCAATGAAAAAATATGAAATTAACAATAACTACTTTTTCAAATAAAAAGAAAAATTAAACTTTTCCAAAAGAAGTTTTGCTATTTACATGATTTTATTTGAATCGTTCGTACAGGGCAAAACTCCTGTATAGTAAACACTATTGTAGTTCTGTTTTTATACAGCATAAAATTATCGTTTCATCAAAGTATACAATATAATATATGCATTTTTTACATTTCGAGTTTTAATATTTGTTATAATAGTATTTGTTTGAAAAATTTAATAGACCTATTAGGTCTATTAATATTAACAGACGATTGTAATTGAAAAACTGATTAAAAAAAATACCATTTTGTCTTAAGTTACAAAAGTAATTTTGAAACAAAATATTTTTTATTTAAGATTCTAAGTGGAATAAATAATTTATTTTTTTAAATTTTTGGGTATTTTTTCATTATTTGAATCTTTATGATTATAAAAGTTATGATAGGAAACCATTTATAGATACCGAATATATTCTTTAGGTATTTTTTTAGGACAAATAAGGCCAATGATAATAATAATATATAGAACAATAATTATGGTTTCTTATAAAATCCCATTTGATACAAGTCCATTTGGCTGAAATTGTTCGTGATGTCATTTGAGTGAGCCTAAATATAACCTAACCTATATATGGATATGATAAATCTTAAATCATTGGTACTTTATAATTTATTACTCACTTACTTTTTATCAAACAATTTAAATTTAACTTCTCTTGTAGTGGAGTTGACGTCAAGTTGAGCAGTTAAATCATCTGGAAAATAAGCCCATGATATTAAATAATTAAACAATCATTAAAAATAAAGCAACTTGTTTAATTTTATAAATGCATTATGTTAACTTACTAAACATGAATAGAAATATAAACAAAATACAAAAATATGAAATCATTTTCCCCGCAGCAACACGTATAAAAGTTAAACAAAACAGACGTTATTTCGTGTTTTATGACCTATATGAAATAACAAACTGAAAATTTCACAATATATTCGTAATATAAACGTACGCTCATGGTCATCATTAAAAAATATTACAAACATTAAGATTGTATTTGCGATAAATAAAAGAGTACACATATGTATTGAATACAACATTATTTATCAAAAATTGGTCAACTAATTTATTATATTCATTGCGATACTTAATTTTACATGTAGATTTCATAAATGTTTTTATCCTAAACTAAAAAAAAAGTCAAACGTAGAAAAAAAATATATAATTCAAGGCATATAATGTATTTTTTTTTCTATAATAAAGTAGCATTATAGGTATAACCATTGATTATGAACCGAACCACCATTCGGTGTATAAATTAATAGAAGTTTGCACTGACTGACAATTTCTGACCAGTCTGGCCCAGCCAGGTTGAAAAATAATACGACCCGGTTCAGTTTTTTTGTGCACTTATAAAAGTCCTGTGTCGTAGTATTTTAAGACACCCGATAATATTTACCGTTCCCAGCAAAAATATCTTAGAATAAATTGACTGCCTCTGTTTTAAGAAAAAAGTTGGAAAGATAGAATATAGAGGTTATTTAATTTATTATATGTATGCAACGACAGACAATTGTTAACGAAAAACGATTAAGAGACAAGTTTTTTTTATATACATATTAAACATATATTTTCCAATTATTTCCCAGTTACTATGAAAACCGCTTCAATCAAAAATAATCTTATTAAAGTACCAAACAGATTAAATTTTCTTTCAAAAAAGGTGCAACACATAAAAATCAATAAAATAAACCCGTCAATTTGTTTTAATACTCGTATTTCTGTTTTCTAACAAGTTTTTTGTTACTTAAAAAATTACAATGAAAACTATAAAATTGCCTTCTCAATGCACCTATTAGGCACAATTTCCAACCAAAAACCACGTATTTTGATTGGCACATGATTTCTTGTCAAATGAGTTGTTTGCTGCCGGAAATAAAACCACACATTAACACTGAAAAACTTACATCATATTTCGGTTTTCATTTAAAATCTAAAATTATCACCATAATTTAATCAAATAATTTATTTTAATTGATATTGTCGCGAATTTTGTATGCATAAAAAAAAATTAAATATGTAAAACTAAATTAATTTATTAAAATAAATTCAAATTAAAATTTAATTAAACTGACAAATTTGTTCATCTAGTTATAATTATAATAAGGTACAATGCATTAAAAAATTAATTACAGAATAATATAAGCAACACAAAATATCTCGTTTAAGGATCGTTTCAGTAGGTAATAAGTTTTTGCCCCATGATAAAACCTATCATCAATGTACTTATCAGATTAAATTGTAGCTTTCTTCTTTTATTCTTATAATGATAGCCAGACTTTTTTTTTTCTGTATACTGTCGTGGACATGACGTTTTGAGAAAAATGTAATTTTATTATTATTAATTTACCGGGAAGATGTCAGACGTGCGCGTTAATTAAGCGTTAAGCTTGGGGGTGGCCAATTTATTATTAAATAAAAGCCATTTGGTAAAAAAGTTTCTTTTTCGTATAAATATTGCAGTGAAATCTTTCGTGAAAACTTCAGAAAAATTATTTTAAGTAGCCAACTTTAATAAATTATAATGATTTTATTGTGAAATATTTAGTAGAAATTTTTAATAATATTATTTTTTTTTATTCCCTCGTCTTATTTTTCATATAATAAAATATGTAAAAGTGTACTGCCATTTGATAAATATTGATAGTCTGACGCTAGAATTCATAGTTCATAATTATCAATATATTATTTATACGTTTTGTTTGTGAATGCATCGTGAATACCGAATATTTGTAATACCACAAGAGGGTTTTAGTCAGGCAACCTGATCATTGAAATATTATGCTATACTATTACTTGTAACATCAAAAATGTATATTATTTAAAGAAACAAAAAACCATGGAGAGACACTGTTTGACGATAGGAGAGGTCAGTAAACTATAAGATAATATTATAAGTAATTCAGTTGTTGCAAAAAAAAAAAAAAACTATAAATTATTGCAATTGAAAATATGTCTGACCTTCTGAGAAAGCAGGGTTAACATTGATTGCCGTAACAATTAAATATTTAATGTCGTTAGAGGCCGAACAACACGGGTTTCGTTAAAATTAATTTTAATTCCGCATCTTGTAAAGTAAATACTGTACTAATCATAAAAAGTGTTAAATAAATGAATAGAAATTAGACATGTAGATAAATAAAATTACTTTAGTAAAATAAATTGCTTCTTCGCTACATTTAAAATCTAATATCATATCATTTAACATAAATTAATAAACCTAAAAAGTAGGTAAATTATTTCAATTTCCAAAATTTAAATTTTTTATAATAATTATTATTTTTTAAATTCAGTAAATACTAATTTTATGAATCTATGAATAAAATAATTTTTGGTATCCGGCTAAAAAAGCAAAAACAAAAACCGTCAATTAATAATAGCAAAAATAAGAATAGTAAATTTTAAAAAAAAGAGAAAAACTATTATCAATATAAATCATAATGTCGTTAAATCAATTATGTATTAGTTATTAATAATTGGATATTTAAAAAAAATAAAAATTTTAAAAAACTGTCCTAGGATATTGGGAACGGGTCCAGTCACTGTTATAGGTGAAAAGTCGGGAAGGCAGTGGAGGAAAAATGTTATATATATTTAACGTAACAATAAACCATTGCTAACGAAAAAACGATTCTGAGTGGAATTCAGTTGAAAGTATTGTTATGGCAACAATATAATATAGTGACATTTTTAAAAAATTTGAGTTAAGAGTACAGTAGAACTAAAATTATTCCATTTTATTTTGTGATAATAAAATATAGAAAAATTATTCGTCGTGTGCTGCGATCTAGTATCAAATACTAGGTCTCACTAAATTTAGTTTTCAAATGAAAATGTCATAACAGATTAGAAGTAAATAGGTTCAAAGGTCCACAAAATCTGTTGATACACTTATGTCTCTTTACTGCCAAATTGCTAAAAATTTTTTTATTATTCGAATATAAGAACAGTGATGATATAATAAAATACTCTAGTTAGATTTCTTTTCAGAAAAAGTGCTAATGTAAATCGGAGCAAATTATTGCCGGTAGAAAAATTAAAAAATCCATAATATTTTTAATTAATACTTATAATTTATATATTTTCCCGTTTTGGCTACGTTATTTCCTAGATTATCCAAACAAAAAAAAAAAAAAAAAAAAAAATGATTTCATTAATTATATTCCCAAGGCATACTTTTTATAACTAGTTTTATCCAAATATTAAGATTATATTTAAAAAAATAGTTAAAAATAAAATAATTTGATAATTATTATGAATTATCCATTTTAAATACACTGAGAATATCTCTGGATTGTGGTAAAATAACCACTTTGTATATATATATATATATATATATATATATATATTCAGACTCCGGAAGCCAGGTAGGGATTTTTCACGTTTTATACTTTAATATACTCGTGTATAATACGAGCTGGTGACCGGATTAAAACGTCTCTCATAGCGAAATCGTTTGTATAAGTTTAAAGTTTACTGTTGGTTTCGATATATAGGTCCATTCCTCACAAAACAATGGAACTATATATTTGGATTTAGCGTTGTATACAAAAGATTTGGAGGCCGATCAATGTCCCGTACAAAGAGCGATTTTTATTTTCTTCTCTAGTCTTTTTGGTCCCAATGAACAATTTGTTTTCGAAGACCTGCGGTGAAACGTAGAATATAAAAAAATATCATTTTGCAATCGTTCTTCTCGGGATTTTTTAACCGTTTTCGTTTCCCTACCGTATGTAAACTGGGAAACCAATTCACTCAGGCGAATCGAACAGCTACACCACATATAGGTATAGTGTAATGACGCCAATCCTTCTTCTCCACACCAATGATAATAAAAAGTGTTCGTCACCGCACACAACAGAATAATACAACCGTCATCATGTCACAACATTGATTATTTTCTGTTCGCAGAACTTTGAATTATCATCTAGTATTTTTTAAACAAAAAATATTTACCTATATTTATTTTTTACCATTTATTTAATATTTTAAATGGTTAATCAAATAATTAAAAATTACTTTTAATGTGAAGATTTAACAATTTGTATTTTGCTTGCGTATAAAGAAGGCTTTTTATTTACTTTTATTAAAACTTGAGCATTATACACTTATATTATAACTTCCAATAAGTTATAACTTATTATATATATAGTATATATACGCATAATTTGTTCAATCGTGTGATTAGTTAAATATGATTTATATTTCTTTTTTATTTATCCTCGTCACTTATATAATTAGTTCTTTTTTGAAAATATTCCTCCGTATACCCCAGTATTTTTCCATCATTTACTTCACGAAAAACTTCCTAATCTTACCCTACACCAAAGAGGGTTTTCGTAAGATAAACACGCTAATTTCAACGTGAAACATATTTAGAGATAGAAAAAAAAACGTGAATTAAAGTTTTAATAAGGAATAATGACAATGTGTAGAGACAAAGAAGAATTGTTGGAAAGACAGGATATTATATAATATTAATATTACTGAAATATAATGCTGATCCGTATAATACAACTAGTAATATTACTAAGAAAACGTATGAATTAAGTAAATCAAGTAGGAAAAAAAAAATGTTGAACCAGCCAAAATACGGTAATTTTTTACCAGTCAAAAATCTATAGAAAAAAACCATCATATTCGTTACGGTCTATGTCTCTATTTCCATACCCATATTTTATAGCTTAGATTTTTTAATAATTTAACAGATAAAAATTAAAGTTGCCTGCTTATTAAATAAAAGATACAAATTATACATTTCTTAATTTAATATTTTTATAATTGTGGGTGTAATTAATATTCATAAATTTGTATTTTGTGTTTAGTTTTTTTAATTGTAATAATAATATAATATCATTATTTATTTTTTTTTTTTTTAGTCTATTACGTCTAATTGGCCATGAAATAGAAGACATTCAAAATACGAAACATTTATCATGGCAGATCCGGAAAGAACGAGGTTGGTTGTTTTGGGTGATGCTGGAGTAGGAAAGAGTGCCATTTGCAAACGATTTTTGTACAACTCGTTTTGCTCCAAATATAAGACAACTGTAGAAGATCTTTACAGCAAAGAATTCAATGTCGGAACATCTCAACAGCTCAAAGTAATATATTATTTAAAGTTTTAAATATCACTGCAATATTACTGCATTACGATTATAGCAGTTTACAACATTATATGAACACATTGGAAAGAGTTTTACTCTAAAATTCAAAAAGAACTTTCATTTAACGATAAAATAAATTTTACAATATTGTAAATAAATATATGAATTAAAAAATGTATGTATAGAAATAAAAAATTAATAAATTAATTCGTCGGCTAGAGTATTATGATAAATGTATAATACGATTGATTTTGAATTAAAATTTCAACACCAGGTATATCACAGTTGAATTGTAAAACGCGATCGAATATGAAAAAGACATCCTATGATAATGAAAATAGGTACAGTCACTGTTATAAGTAATTTATTATATATCTGTAAGCAACAATAAATCATTACTAACGATAAAACGATTCTGAACGCAGTTCAATTGATAGTAATACTTTGTTGACAATTTATAAGTCATATAATATAATTATAATTATAATAATAATTATAGTAAAATAATTAAATAGGCATTATATATTTTCTTTAATATTTGTTTAATATTGTACCAATTTTCACAGTTTTCCCGTATTTTTCTCAATATTTCACATTTGTTGAGAAAACTCCTGGGAAAATTTAAAAATTACTTTTTTAAAGTACTATGAAAATAAAATTTCCTTTCAGAAAATAAGCTGCACTTAATACATCGGAACAAGATTTCTGATAGAAAAGTTTGCACAGTAAATCGAGAGGTATAAGTAAACTAAAATAGTCTGAGCTAGCGATAGCTGGGTCTCTAAATACATCTAAAATGCAACTTTATTCAATATTTAGGTGAAAGGAAAAAAAAAGTTATACCATTCGGCTACGACAAACACATTATGGAGATGATAATATTTAGGCACAACATACTATAATATCAAAATAATAAAAAATTTTCAAAAAGATATAATTTCGAATCTAAGTCAGTCCGCTTAATTTTGACTTCACCACCGTTCTTAAATCGGCAATAAACATATGTTCAGAAAAAAAAAAAAAATTGATAAATCAGATTTGTTCCACATAAATTTTTACTCAAACGATTTTTGTCAAAATATGATATTAAGTTTTCTTTATAAAATAAAATACTACATTAAACACTTTTTTTTTTTTTTAACCACAAAGTAAGACTCTTTATGAAACTTTTATTAAATTTTGAAGTATTTCTATTCAAATCTAACAATTTTATCACAGAGTATCTACTGAATACAAATTACGTACAAAAATCACAGAATAAAAATGTCTATAAATAGCTCAAAAAAAATATTACATTTTTTGAAAATTTTACCACGTCTAGAAAAGAAAAATATAATTTTTCTGTTCAAATCATAAATGTCTACGAATATTTTTAAATGAATTACAACAAATAATAAAATAAAAAATAATAATAGCATTATTTTCGTAAATTTCCCGTTTTTCTTACGTTTTATCCTGGTTTTTTCCAGATAAAATAAAAACTGCTTTGAAAATCAAAAAATTACCTCCTAAATGTACCATATAGACAACATTTCCTTTCAGAAATAGTACCACGCATATATATTTGAGCAAGATTTCTGGTAGAATTTTTGTACACTGTATACAAAAATAAACATCTTAGTAAAACCAGTAAATTCCTCGCTACACTTAGAATTTTAAATTAAATGAAGGAATACATAGAACAAATAAATTATAAAAATTGGTTATTTTACATAAAAATAATTTATTTTAATAAGAGAGATTATTTAAAATGGATTATTATTAAACATAAATATCTTATAAAATATTAATCATCAGATTATTATTTACTATCTAAAATGTAAGATATTATTTTTAAAAACGGTTTGTACATTTAAAATATTATTAAAATTATTTTTCTTTATTTCATTGAATACATGCAGTTCATTTAAAACTGAATTAATGTAAATGCTATTTCGGGTATTTAATGTCTCTTAGTTTGTTGAAATAGATATGTCTATATAAATATAAATTATTGTCTAATAATAACCCATTTTATAGTAATCTCTCCTATTAAAATAAATAAATGTTTTAATAATTTACAAATAATATGTGCACATTCTTTTTATAATTTAAATTTTTTTGGAGGATTTGTCTTATTCTGAACATTTGGTTCGTAGTTTAAAATACAATATAAAACGACTTTATAAGTTGTGTCTAATAATAAAATATCCCTATAGTTACTGAATTTCTGTAAGGTTTTTCTCTTAAGGATTGGGCAAACCAATACAGTGTCCCGGTTTATTGGAAGTCTTTTTTTAGACAATATAATTTCTATAATACTATGTATTATATTGATTGTTCCCTCGTTCAGGTTTTTTAGAAATTTCCGTTTGAATTTTTTATTGTCTCATACTATGGGACAAGACAACTATATGTTTTTTCAATCTATTAAATTGGTTTACTATTTATTATTTTCTTGGGGGTAGGCAGTTTCTATCGTAAGGTTCTTTTGGCATTTATGTGACATGAATTTGACATCTCCATTTGGTTTTCACAGTTAAGCAATTAGTCAACATTTTATGTGTTAACCAAGTCAATTAAATTTTTAAAAAATATTTAGAACCATTAAGATCAAGAATAAATAAATTGTATACATTAATCATCAAAATTGATAAAAATAATCAATACTATTTTATTGTTAATTCTATACAAATAGTTTTTAGATGAACAATCTATTTATTTTAGTATTATTACCTATTTGAAATTGAAAGTTGTTCTTTCGAATTACCTTATAATGGTTAATTAATTGTGTATGGCCCCCATTTATGTATTCTTGTGTAAATAAAATACTCGTTTTTTATTTTATAAATATTAAGACTGTTAAAATCTTGAGAATTTACATTTCAATTTCTATACGAGTGCTTACACTTAAACTTTGGACTGTAAAAATTGTATGAAAAATGTTTGAATATGTTTTGTTTATTTCTAATTAACTTGTTACACAGAAAAATAAATGTATTTATAATGGAAATAAAATGTTTACATTAAAGTACAAGGAGTAAAGTTTTTATAATTAATTATGTATATAATTCGGTCACGACCACCTACGGGAAGTATGCTTGAAGTTATTTTTACCTAACTAAACTAAAAAAAATAATCTGTAGATAAAACATCACTATTACCAGGAATGTAGGCGGAAACTTAGAGAAAAGATTCATGTCAAATTGAATTTGTTTAATATATAATATAATTCATGGGCAACACCAATGATGACAGCTTGTTAAAAATTTACAAAAGATAAATATTTTCATATAATGTATCGGCTCGCGAAGGTTATACTTAATGAAATGACATTATTCCTTATATATTTGTAAAATCAAGTATTTACAATGTATATCTGGTCAGAGGATAAGGTTTTAATCTTGTGTTTGTGTGTTTGTTCAATAAAATCATACAATAAAGTCCGATGGTACTGCATAAGGTCGAAATAAAACACGTAATTTAAGTACTGACATCAGTACCTACTATATTGTCGTCTCCATGTAACAACCACATGAGTCGATTTCTTGAAATTTTTCAGGACAAAAAAAAATCTAGAGACGTTCTTTTATAAAAATAGATAAGAGTATTCCATTTAAATATTCCATTATTATCGAAAAAGGTGGTTTTTTTTTTTTTTATCTTTTCTAGATAGGCTTATTAAAAATATGCAATAAATGTGAAGTATGAAATTATCAAGAAAAATTTCTAGTTAAGTGGTTTTCCCATGGAGACCATGACATATTAAATCGTCGTTGGAAGCTGTGCGAAATAAATTTTTTAGTTTTCTTTGCTATCATTGTAATATCCCCCGTGTTCCACACTTTTCTTACGCTTCTCTTTCTCGATTCTCTTGAATTACGTAGAATAAAATTGATTTGGACTTGTATAATGTTATCCATAATAATATTGATTGTCCTGAGTTATTTATCCGTTTGTCCTTTATGATCCCACAACGTTTTACTCATGTTACATTCTATGTTCCCAACCACCGAACTAATTATGCGATGAATAGTCCGATTTAGTGTATTATGCAACTAACTAATAAATATAACAGAAATTTATTTTATTTTCACTCATTATATAGCTTTAAACAAAATTAAAATTACCATATCTTAGGTAACAATTTATGTTAATATTAGACCTTACATTTTTACATTAAGTTTAATCCTTGTATTTTATCACAATTTAACACTCTTATTTAGTTTAATTCTTATCTTTTGTTTAATATTCTGTTTATTTCCATATTTTTTACGAATTATATAATCAATTATTATTATTATTATTGTTATTATTATTATTATTATTATTATCTGTATCACTGTGCACTCTTTTTCTTTAAAATATGTAATTGGGATATTTAATCCGTTTAAATATTGAAATAAATAAATATTAAATTTATATTAAACAATAGTATTCAATTTAAAAAAAAATTAAAATATCCATAATTAGCTTAAAAATGGCTTAAATATTTTGAACATTTTACCACGCTTAGAAAAAAAAAAGATAAGTTTTCTATCAAAATTTCAAGTCTCTACGAATATTTGTAACCGTATTATAAAAAAAAAACAAAATTTAAAATAATTAAAGAATTATTTTCGTACATTTTCCCGTTCTTTCTACGTTTTTGTCGGTCTTGCAAAATTACTAAAAAAATTACAAAGAAAATTAATAAGATTAAAAATAAAATAAAAAAGATCTTTTATTTTTTTTTTTCTATTTGAGCAATATTTTTATAGAAAACATAAGTCATATAAATTTAAAATAATGAAATCATAACTCCGTAAATTTGTTCGTTTTTCATTTTTTGTCTTTATCCGGTTTTCCTGAGTAATAATAAAACCCATTGGAAAATCAAAAAATTACTTCCCAATTCACCTACTAAATAAAATTTTTATTCACGGAACGTTCTATACTTGATACTTTGGAGTAAGATTTTCGGTAGAAAAGTTGGTCGAAAATAGAAAAAAAAAAAAATACAAAAGAAAACATAAATTATATAAAAGGCCAAGTATGACGTTATTATAGATCGATACCTTGCTAAACTCCGAAACTAAATAAATATTGCAGGCTACGAGTAACCAAGTATTTTAAAGTTTGAACGTGCCTAACTAATTAAACATGATTACTAATTACAATGTGCACCGTATGTGCCCCCGTGACATAATAGGGACCTATTTTCCGAGTAGTAATCACTTGTTAAAATTTCCCTTGCGAGAAAAAAGACGAACGGGAAATTCGGATGTTCAGAGCGTGATAAATTAATGTTTATATAATAAACGGTTGTGTAATACTATTACATCATATCGTATGATATAGCAGTCACAATCAAAGCTATTTCTTCCGGTCTAAGCAAGTTAACACCATTATAATTAGGAATGGGCCACTTTTTACCGATATCCGATATTCCGATATAATTTAACTCGTTATTTTTATTTATCTCACATAATCTAAAAGTCTATAAACGTACATATTAAAATTACTTGCAGATTTTTAAATCACTACAATTTAAATGTGTGGTTTATTTTTAAAATAGACCACTGTGTATAATTTATGTATCTCTGTTTGTATTGTTATTATATACTATAACTACTATTCTCATATTAACCGATAAAATAGTAGATAACCTACTACAATACAATGCATACAATCTAATTACTTCCTACATGGTCAAATGAACAGATATTATCCGAAATCCGGATTCCGAATCTAGATACATTATAAATATTGCTCAGCACTAATATGTACCCATTGTAGAGAAAATTTCGACTAGTCGAAATTCTTCGCCCAGAAATGAAAGAGTGTTATACTTCAGTTCGTCGTGTTAAATTTTCTTAATTGTATATACCTTCTTGCCGTCTATAATAAATAATTTTCATTCGTATACTCCAGCATTATAATAACGCCAAGTCACCACTTTGAATCCTCACTTTACTCACCCATTCTCGTTTTTTAAATGTTGAAGATTGTCCATTTATACTCTTTCATCAGAGTATCCCTTTAGTTCTAGGTGTCTACATCTAAAATACCTCCCAATTCTTCACCGAGAAAAATTTTCGTCCCTAAATTATTCGATTTATATGGTTTATTACCGATACGAAATATTGTACGCTCAACTCTGGCCATAGGCTATAATACGTATATATGATATGTATGACAATTTTTATTATAAAGAATACAATATGTACAATACAGTATGAGTATATACTATACTAAAACACTACACCAATATAAATTAAGGAAAGATATACAGGCTGACCCACGAAGATATACCCCTTGAATATCTCCGAGAATAAACATAGTCAATTCTAATTTTTTTTTAGTAAAAAAATTAACATTTTATCTTATTATTTTTGGAAAGTTTTAAGATAGCCATTCTGTATAGTTTATTTTTCGGAAAATTTGAATGTATCACACATTTATATTCGAATTTAGACTTGTCCATTTAGAATATTTTCTAAGTAATAGTCATTTTAAATTCTAATCCGTGTGAAAACCTTTGTTATGGTTATGTTATTCTTTTGATAACATTGGTTTTCACACGGATTAGTAAAATTTAATAAAAAAAAAAAAATCTAAATTTGGTTATCGTTAGTATCTCCGGAGATATTTAAGGGGTATATATTCGTGGGACAACCTGTATACGAATGCCTTATTAGGAAGAGCATTAGACAGGCAAATACAAGGGATGGATTGGGAAAATTTGAGACAAAGTTGTATGACGGGGTGATTCTGATGCCCGAATACCTCAGAAAGAAATTATAGTTTAGTTTTCTTTATGTTTGAATTTATTCTAGAATTATAATTGTCTGGAATTTTTTCGTCACGTCATCGGGACTCTTCTTTTACATAAAAATGTGAGTGAAATTTTCAAGACTAAAATTCTCTTTTCGTGAAATGTTTGTTAGTTCGCCACCATTAGAGCCCGGGGACCAGTTTCCTCACTTCACTCTAGTGGCAATAGTCTGATCGGACAACCCTTTTAATCCGAGCCAAGTACAATGACCCCTAGTAAGTGAATGGGCTTTAAAATCCTCTTGCGTCCCCGTCAGACAAAAGTCCTTTTGTAAAAGCGAATATACGAAACAACCGCGACGGATGTATTGTGAACGGTTAATGATTCGATTAAAAAGCACTCGGGTTCAGCGTCGGCCATCTATTATAGACTCTACTCTGCAAACCCATTGCATAATATAATATATATTGTAATACATATACAGTTTTGGGATCGGTAGCCGATGTGTTCGTGTCGTCCACGAATTAATAACGTCACTTTTTCTACGTCCTTCTCAACACTCCCACGCGCTCCCTCTCTGTTTCACCACTGCGTCGTGTCGTATAGGCTGTTTTCGCGTTCAAAGGGGGAACGCCAAGCAAAACGATTTCACGGATCAATCGAAACTATTTATTGTTGTTTTGTCCTCTAGAACAATTGATCGCCGGGACATTTATATGCGTAGGTATAATACGCATCGTATTGTACGAATCTGGACCAAATCCTACGTGTTTTAGGTATAGATAGCCTTACAAAAACTATACAATGCACACTATAATTGCATAATGCGTATATAGTAGAAATATTACGTGACGTCACTAGAATTAGTTCGTTATTTTTTCCCTCCACCATTATGGTTTCTTACGGGTCTGAGTGTATTGAATATAAATGGAACTATAAAAGTACCAATAATGAATCTGTTAAGGTGAATATAGGATGTACACTGTACAGACAAGTAGTCACTGGAAGAGTGGGTATAGCAAAAGAAATGAGAGTATGGTCGGTATATGAATTTTTTTTTTTTTGTTTATCATTTTTCACCAGATTAGTTTTTTTTGTCGTATTATTAATTATTGCCGGTTTTATAAGACCCGTCTACGCGTTTAAACATAAATATTATAATACAGAAATTTATGATGGCATCAGCCTATAAGGATTTTCATTTATTTACAGTTTAAAGATACTTAAATACGTTTTCGATGTTATTTATTGGCACCAATTTTAAAAATGAAATCTCTCATCGGACACACATTATATTTTAATTATTATACATCTAAGTATTTCTATTACTTTTTACCCGTACGTTTAATTTGAAATCGAATCGGTGAGTGAAAACTAATAAAATATTATAATAAATCTACTTGACTGGATATTTTAAACATTTTTTTTTTTTTTTAATGAATAGAAACAAAGAAATATTCCACAAATAAATAAATAAACCGTTAAAACTAAAACATACATATTATTAATTCATGGATTATTTTGTATTGGACACTTTAAATACAGAAAAACAAAATTTAAATACCTCTCCAACAGTTCTGTTTTTTCAGCAATATTATTTAAACTTTTGCAAATTCTATTATTCACTCTCAATATAATAATAATAATAATAATAATAATAACACATAAATTCACTGCTAAAGATTTAAAATTGATTTACAGGAAAAATATAAAAACACCATGATTGGAGAAAGAGATTAAAAAAAAGTTCTTGTAATTCAAACGATTGGTTGTGAAGGTTTATATACGTATACATAAAAAAGAGCAATGGTTGTTACGTTTTTTTTTCTTCTAATATTCAAACAATGACTATTCAGAGATTAAAACGCAAAAATCGTTTGAAATAATATATTATTATAAAAAATACAAATATTTTCCGTCTATTATTTCTCTTGTCAAATCAACCATAATATTTTTAGAGTGCAAAATAATATATGCAATAAAATTGTATAATAAGAGTCATAATATTAAATACATACCGTATTGTTTATTATTACCGTGGTTTATTAATGTTCCTTTAAAAGGTTTATCAACTAATTTCTTTACCTTATTTCGTACATAGTATATTACGTAACTCGCACTCTATTTGTATTATTATAAAGTTACAATATATATATACACTGTATTATCAAATACAAAAGTAATAAAGGTTATAAACTTTTTTAGATTCTGAACGGAGTGAAGAATGTATTACAATGATAATTATAATTTTCATTTTTTTTTATGTGAACACTTTTTATACGAGAAAGCTTACTCCGATTATCAAGTATAACAACTTTTCTGCAAGGATATGTTCTCTGGGTGATACTTTAAACAAGTAATTTTTTGAAATTCTCATTAATGTTAGAGATAATGAGGAATATCTGGTCCTTTTGGTTAAAAAAAGATTGAAAGATTAAAATTAAGGTTGTCATTGGCAACCGTTTTTATTTATTTATTGTTATTATTATTAAGTTTTTATTATTTTAATCTTTTTTTTAAACAATCATTGTTGTCATGGAAACGCGCATTGTTGAAAAAGCAATACTACAGCCGAGCTATATTATCGATTTCAATACATTCTTTTAACTATTAATCATTATATTATAATTCTTTATTCTATACTTAATTATCACTATCAACTGAACTCCACTCAGAATCAGTTTGTCATTAGCAATGGTTATCGTAACTTACAAATACATATTTAATTCCTTTCTGTACCCTACCTTTTTAACTTTCCACCTACAAAAGTGGATGCACCCACGTATGAAGTATGAAGTATGTCCGTCTTTTATTTTTAATAACGTTAGGTAGATATATATTATAAACAATTATTGTAATTTATAAACATAATTAAGCGAAAAACGATTTTATGAAAAAAAACAACAAACATACAAAACTCATAACGGAATAATTTAAAACTATTTTATAACCTAAAAATAAAATAAATTGGTTTTTATTTGTTTCTGTTTATAGGTTTTGTGGATGTGTGTTATTATTTTTACGATCTATTTTATAACCATTCAATACCCAAGTATTATTTCGTATAGCCATATTTGATTTTTTATATTGTCGATAATTTTATTTCTAAGGCCCGTGCCGTACTGAGCGCCAAACGGGCGGGTTGCCCGCTATAACTAAATATTTACCACACTTGGCCTTTTGATGGTTAATTTAAATATATGACATCATGATAATAATGTAATAATCGATTAATCTGTTATCCGGTTAATTGGAAATTTATTTTTATATTTATGTACATAAATATGTTAAATATAGCACATTTTCAATAAACTTTATACTGTAGTTGTGTATTAAAATTATAATTGATAACGTAACACTCATAATTAACTTAACGTTATAATTTTTCATAATGTTAAGCCAAAAAAAGACGGACATACTTCAAACATGGGTGCAGCCACTTTTGTAGGTGGGAAGTTAAGGTAGGGTACAGAAGGGAATTTAATGTACATCTGTAAGTACCGATGAACCATTGCTAACGAAAAACTTATTCTGAGCGAAGTTCAGTCGATAGTAATAACTAAGTATAGAATAAAGAATTATAATATAATTATTAATAGTTAAAAGAATGTATTGAAATCGAAATTTATTTTATTTTAATATAGCTCGGTTAATAGTATTGCTATTTCAACAATGTGCGTTTTCATGACAACAATAATTGTTTAAAAAAGATTAAAATAATAAAAACTTATGAATATGAAAAATAAATAAAAATGGTTGCCAATGACAGCCTTATTTTTAATCTTTCAATTTGTTTTAACGTAAAGAACCAAATTTTCCTCATTATCTTGAATATTAATGAGAATTTCAAAAAATTATCTTTTTAAAGTACCACCAAAAGAACATTTTCTTTCAGAAAAAATTCTTTACTTGATAATTGGAGTAAGCTTTCTGATAAAAAAAAAATAAAAAAAATCATTGTAAAACTAATACATTTTTCGCACCTCTCGGAATCTAAAATATATTAAAATACCCAGAAAACAGATAAAATATAATATCTATAATAATAATCCAAATACAGACAAATAGTTACTATAGTATTACTAGATAATAACAAATTTCCATCTAGATACAAAAAAAATAATTATATTCGCTAAGTATCACAAAACTAAGTGCACAAATTTGTAAAAGATAAGGGCTAATAAAAATTTGGATGATTTGATATACATTTATATTTCAAAGAAGTTGTATGATTAGAGAAAAGTGTAATAATAATTAATTTACCACAAATTAGTATTAATTAAAATATGTTACCTATAATTTTAAATAATATGTACTTAAATTACGATTTAAAAAAAGAGTTATCTAGATGATAAATTATTTAACTCAGATAACTTATTGCTCATTAATTGGTAAGATACGAAATAAAAATATACCTATCTAGATGAAACACAACACGGGTTATAATGATAAATCATAATACTTTCAAGCTACGTAATTTTGATATAACAAATCGATCCTCAATCAATCTACGTTTATTATTTCAATTACATAAAATCCGAAGTCTCTAGGTTATTTCGAAGTTTTATCGTTTCACGACGGTGTTTGTACCTATACGTAGACATAAAATCCTTATTATTGTCACTTGAATCTTTTAATATTCATTGACGATGGAGTTTTCGGGTTGGTACTATTTACTGCAATTTATTATCATTTAATTTTTTTTCACGTTACTGTATTATCCTTGAAAAAAATAACATTTTAATCCGAAACGATATATAGTCTCGTCTATTTTGAGCCGGAAACAATTTAAATATTTACGCGCTTACCGCAATATTAAGTCCTCGGGATAAAGCTTATCAAAAAGTTTAATAATTATAAATGACGTTTAATTTACAATCGCAAGCTGTACCTGCGGTTTTCTTAACACGCGGTTAAAACACCAAGAAACCCGTGAATGTACATTTTTACCAAAGTTTAATGGGTTAGAAAATGTTAACAGGAAACCTATGCAGAGTCCTGTTGTAAAAAAAAATATTATAAAAAAACATAATTATATTATTAACTTTCCGTTGAAACACTTGAAACTCATCAAATTCGCGCACCAATTTATTTTATTTTTGTATGATTTTCATCGTAAAAAATTAATTTGTTACCAATGTTTTCCTATAAATGTGTTTCAAATACCGCGATCTTAGATTGTCTCTGAATCGTTTTCGAAATCGAATAGTTTGCTTTAAATGATCGTTAGTTGTTAAGTCAGTATTTAAAAATCCTTCGTTGTAAATCGACGATGCGAAGATGGGCATTTGAATATGCAAACTTGTGAAATAAATATGAAAAAAAAAAAGATTGAATTTAATTCTAATAAATAATTATGAACTAAATAATAAACTATATATATATATTTTACTCATATATGCATACAAGTCCATAGACAATCACCAACAAATTGAAAATAAAAACATATATAATTAAGTATTAAAAACTCATTGTATTATAGGACAGAATATTTGCTCGCCTAGCTATACATACAATAAACAAGCAAAGATGTATAATTTCTCATCCCTAATAATTATATATGCGTGTTTCGACAGGTGGATATACTGGACACGTGCGGAAATCCACAGTTTCCGGCAATGCGACGGTTGAGCATAGCTAACGCTAACGCGTTTTTGTTCGTCTATTCAATCGATTGCGAGCGGTCGTTCGAGATGGTCAAACGCAACTTCGAGGAGGTCCGCGAACAGCGTGAGGACTACCAGGCATTGCCAATCGTGGTGGCCGGCAACAAACTCGACCTTCCAGCCGACCATAGACGTATCGCCGTGGAAGATGCATCTGAGTGGCTATACTGTGAACTTCCAAAAATGAGGCGAGTAAACAAAACTGTTTGATGAGAACTCGTAAGCAAAAGTTGTTAAGACAACTTTAGAGACATGCACCAATTGTCCTCAAAAATAACTTTTTTTTATATCGATTCTCCTCGAACTACCTAGAGTAAAATGTACCAATTGCTCTCAAAATATGATATTATACATGACCACAATAAAACATATGGGCGTATAATGGAAATTTCGTCTTTTTCCTGTTACCTACCCGACGTGGTTTTGCTAAATAATCGGAATTTATTTAGTTCGCACTCAAGTTGGTAAGTGAAGTTAGCTGCACTTTAAATAATACACAGTTTGAAATTCCCCTCTTTGTATATTCTGCGTAACTGTGCTTTTTTATACATTGAGAGCAACTGGTACACTCGTCTGAGAGTGATTGGTAGATTTGGTTGAGGGTAGCTGCTACTTTTTTTAAATGCTGAAAATAGCCACCGAGGATAGTTATATACAATTACATAGGCGCAACTAGATCACCAACTATGGGGGTGCTAAAATTATGGATACGTCAAAGACCCACGGGAGTCTCCCACAATCCCCTTTATACGGCTTTTACAATAGTCAATCGCATCTTTCATTTACACTTTTGAACCTATAAATTTATCAAAAATATGTTGACATTATTTTTCATTCACACATGAATTGTCTATATAAAACTTGTATTTTGTTCTGCTCATTAATTATAAAATGTTATATGGATAAGATATTTAGTCGTTGCTCTGAAAAATATAATTGGGTTTTTTTAAGGGAGCTAATGACCCCTTAGCACCCCACTCTAGTTATTTCTATGGGTATGTATCTTTTAACAAGGCATATGGGTATATTACCTCGTAACTCATACGCATTATTATATTTCCAATTTATTTCTACGCATAATATTGCGTTATTATTATAATGCGAACGTCTATACACTAAGTACCTACTAACTTAAAATAATACATCATTTAAAATGTCTTTCTTCTGTGTATTCTGTGTTAGTGTATTTTATACATTGAGCATAAACGGTTTTTGTTATTGCTGTAGATTTTCTTCGGAGCAAAACCTTCTCTGTGGTTTGGTAACGTATATTATGTAAGTTGTCCTTTAATTCGTGAGATAAATATTCTTCCGATATAACGTCCTTATCAGATATTTCGTATAACAGTTGTTTAAATGTTTATCTAACTTTATCAACGAACTCGTTTTATTAAATCATTAATCCTAATTTACCTCCTCCACACTTGAATTTAGAGTTCTGTAAACAAAATATGTGATACGTCCATGTTAAAATTATGCTTTGACTTTTTGGACATTTAACGATGGTGCTAACAAGTATTACACGGCCCCGATAGACGTCCCAGAGATGAGCGTATTTCGGTTTCCGGTTATGAAAGAAATAAAAACACAAACGTCCTATCGATCACTGCAGACCGCGCGGGATTTGACGTATGCTATTACTTGGACCGAATACTGCGATTTATAATGCACACCGCGAGCAGTATAAGTATATTTCATTTCCGGGCCGACGGCGCAGGGCATTTGTTGTTGTTGCCCGGACGTCCGGTGTCGACAAGGGCCCCCTCGAGAGACGCTCAACGGTGGCAACAACAGTATCAAATTTCGTCATGCCGTATACAATACGTCATAATAACGACCTCCAGTAAACGGGTGTCGTTGCCTGAAGCGAATCTATCCGACCTCGATCACCGAAATATATTCATCACACATCAGACTGAGATGACATACCAAAGCCGTTCGTGCGTACGATGATATTTTTGTCGGTCCTCATGGTCGTTTCATTTTAGATTCTGAACGGGCAAGGAATATATTGGTTTAACAGTGAATATTTTTTTATAAGTGAAGAATGTTTCTTTTTTTTGATTTAATACTAATATTTTGCAAGTTTTTTCGTTTACTTTAATTCATTTAATAGTTCATTATTACTTCACAATTTCATGGACTTCCAACTTTAGAAATTTAAGAGCTCGTTTAAGCGAATATTGTGTGACTTTTTCAAATTGCTTTCAAAATATTTGTATTTATTGAATCTATCTATTATGATATGGGTATTAGGTAGGATAAAGGTAGGATAATAAAGATAAAATAAAAAATGAAATTACCTACCTAGTCAAAATAAGAATAATATAATAGATGCGCGGTCCAATGAAAACAACCTAATTAGTAATAGTACCCTAAAGGTATAGTATAAAAGTGAAACCACTAAAACGATACGAGTATATTGATAGAAATTGGATATGATTTAAAGTGTTGATGGAAGCTGGTGAAGAAATAGGTATAAAAGTTTTTAAAGGAGATAATATAAATACGTATATGGTAGATAAAAAATTGGTGGTTGAATAGGGGGTAGAAAATCATAAAGAGTGAAAGTAAAACTAGCTAATTCAAATATGTGAGATAATGGTGAATATGGATAAGAACATTATACTGTTTTCAATATTCAATGAATGAAAAACAAAATCCTACCGCAAATATTTCGTGAAAAAGGTTTTGATGTTATTTTATCTTAAAAATCTATGCGATCTCGTATATTCGTGTTTTCAAATTTGTGAGTGTTATTTTTCTAAAACCTATTTTGTCGCTAGCAGTGGTGTTCTCAGGAATTTCTATAGTAAGGGAGATATAATTATATAAAAATTATTTTCAAAAAGAGATAAGGAGGGTATGCTTCCATACCCTTGTATTAATAAAAGAACATACATTAAATTTTAACACATATTATATGATATGAGGCTTAGCTAAATTTTGAGAAGCTGATGGGGTTTTTTAGGGCTATTTTCGCCTATAGCCATGACGTAGATACACAGTACACACTACACAATATATTATCCTATTATTATGCGTAATAAGAAAACAACTATATGAAAAGATTTTCGAAATATTAATAAATATTTTTGTGACGTCTAAAACAAGAATTAAATCTATTAAAATAATATAATGAAAAAAATATTTTTTTAAAATGAAAAAATTGATTAAAAACCGTAAGCATTCATGAAAATATCCTAAATCTGCTCCTTTTTAAGCTTTTATTAATATTTTAGACCTTTGAGTTAAAATTATAAATCAGGGATACCAAACAAAAATGATTCGATATTAAAACTGTTTCCTTTGGCTATAATAATACTGTATTGTGTATAATATAGTCAATTAATTGTAATAGTTGTAAAAATTTACTTAAATATCTGTTTTTAAAAAATAATATGTTAAAATATTCAATCAATATTGTTATAAAAACAAAAAAAAAAAAACAAAATTAGTAAGGTACTAAATAATAGTTAGGTATTTATGAACATTTTAAGGTTTTTGGTACAATATTATTTATCTTCTTGTAGACTATATTATTATAATATTTATTTGAAAATAACCAAATTATATTGAATTCAAAATTGTTTACTTTTTATGTAGTTTTTTGACATATTCATACGCAATAATTATTGTCTTGTTATGTATTATAATTTTGAATCTAATTACTATAGAACTACATTATTCGGCCTGTACCGCGTTTGCCTGTTTACTAGATGTTTGCTTGTATTCGAGAAACTAACTTAGAATATTAGTTTCTTAATTTTAAAGTTTATAAAGTATATCGAATGTTAGTATAAATATTCAATTAAAAGAAATCAATATACCCCGCAGTGCTTATATTTTTGTTTAAGAACTAAAAGTTTAATTTACAATATATGAGAAAAATACCATAAATTTGGAATTTATAATAATTCACAGTACCTACCTACCTATCCACTCACATATTTTGTTGTCAAATATTTTTTAAAAACAATATATTTATAAGAAATTTTTAAAGGGTAAAAGCACTCGTGAGTAGAGCAGAGGTAGTCTAGCTGATAGTAGATTACTCCGTGGCGTTTATTAAGATTAATGTAATTTCTTCCGTAAAAAAAAATAAAGGAACTACGTAGTGCCGTCAGGGTAGATTTTCTGATTACCATGAAAAAAAAAAAACTAATGTCGCTTTTTAATTCTATATAGCTACACACAAAATCACATAATACAAATAATCTACAGATGATACAGAACATAGTATACGACTTATTTTATCAAATACTACTGATGAATGAATATGCAACTTATCATTCAATTCAATTGACAGTAATGGTTACATTTTATTCGTGCATAAAACCTCAAAAGACCGAGATAATATCAGAGATTTTCGAAAGTGTGGTGTCTTATTATACGCATGTACGGACTATAATTTCTGGAACAAATTTTAGAAGGGACAGCTAACTCCGATATATGTTTATGGGGGCGGGCTTCATTATACAACTCCATTCATCATTTTATTCCTAGGTCAGATCTATAAAATTTTGTATAGATACGCATATGTGGCTGAATTTAAGTTAAAAAGATTTCCGGCAAATATTTTGTCGTGGTGGATATAGCTGAAATCGTAAATTTAAAATATAATATCGTTATAACATACGAGTATTATATGAACAATTAAACATCTAGCAAATGCATAGTAACTAAATAATGAATGCATTAAATCAACGAGTTGCCTCGAAAGTATATCTGATTCGTGGAATATTTGATTTTCCTTTGAGTTTAAATGCTACGGATCGGTAATCGCCACGTTGACGTAACAGTATACCGCAGAAATGCATAAATAAATATCTAATAGCTGTGAGTATATATGAGTATCGACGGCGTTGAATATGCTCGAAAAATATTTATATTATACCATATGCAAACTCGTGACTTAACCTAATCCGACTTGTATGATTTAGCGTTTGTATAAAATAATCTGAGCGAACTGTTTTAGATGAGTGAATTTGACGAAATGAGATGATGATTTGAGATGAAACCGTTAATTTTAAACGCAGACCTTTCAAATAAGTGATATCAGTAAAATGAGAGGAGTGCTTGAGTGAAATGGTGCGGTGTGGAATGATTAGTGTGGGTAAAATGAATTTCAATGGTGATATTAACGAAATGTGCTAAATAAACCTCATAAATCTTATTTATTAAAAGGTACCCGAGCATAATGAAAATTATAATGATACCACGATTAACGTTTATTTTTGATATGAATATTTATGAAGCTTAAAGTAGGTATCTATTTAGTTAACATTAGATATACATTTATTATAATTTTAATTTAATTAAAATTATGTTGTACCTACATTAAAAAATGGCATTATTTTTTCGATTACTATATCCAAATCTCACTTATTCGTACAATTTTGCTAATTATCTATGTGTGATTATTTTACAAATTAAAAAACTATCAATTAATAATTAGATAATTTACAATGTGGATTGTTTGTTTTAGGTATTATTAATTATTTATCAAGTCTGTTATACACACAGTTATTTATACAAAGTTAGAGACAATTTTTATATTAAACCTGATAGTTGTACAGTATGCCCCACGAAGATACAAAAAAAAAAATAAAGACAGTCAAATTCTCTTTTTTTTATATATATATATATATATTATTCACAGGAATAAGGACTTTGATCTTATCCGATAGGTTGATAAGTGATAAGAATATTTAAGTTTTAATTAATTGTTTATGTTTTGGTAAAAAAATTTAAAAAATAACTATGTATAACACATATTTTTGAAACATTTGAAGATAACCATTTTAAAGAGGTTATTCTATTGATAATGTTGAATTTGATTATTTTTATTATATCAGGTGATATCACAATGGATATATCTTCATGGGATACCCTGTTTATAATATATTACTTCCACTTTTATGTAATCAAATTTTCGGTTTGCAAAGAAAATTAATTGACTTGTACGATATCACTATGATTTCAGATGATATTAGATGAGATCAATGACAAAAATGACAATAATCGTGACTCAAAAACTCTTCTCGTTGTGAGATTATAAAATTTATAAAATTAGATGATTGTGTTGATATAAATTAGATCACTCATATTTTTTAAAACCACCTTTGGCCTGACCCATTTTTACGATATTTTGAATACGTGGAAATAATTTTTAGATTTGAGTCCATGAAAAATACAAAAAAATAAATTAACAATAATTTACCGCCTTTGTTTTTATTATTATAAATCCTTAATAATTTTGGTGTAAATAAGTACGTCATGACCATATTTTTTTTTTTCGAAAGATGGCGTATGTCTACATTATATCCAAAAATAATTAATCTATATAAGTATACGAGTATAATATCGGTAATATTTTAGTTACGAATAATCTATATTGTAAACACTGAATAAAAGTGATAATTTACATACCTAATATCACCATATCGTTGTTTGGAAAACTTACATTTTCAAAATGTCCAAAGTTTTTAAAAACTGTGCCCCGTTTGGAATCTCTCCGCGGGATGATTTATCATTGTTTTCTACTGTATAATACGAGTACCTACTCATAATAATAAACGGACTCTGTGAAAAAAGATAAGTACCCAGCACCCGGTCGTATACCCTTTTCGTACTTAGATTATATAGGCGTTTCCGTGGTCCTTTAAAACCCGTCCTATACACTCAAAACGTTGAGATTTTTTTTTTCGTTATACATTTTATACTTGTTTGATGACTGATATTATTATTATTTTTTTTTTTAAAATAAAAAATCAGATAATGCGTACATAGAAAATATCAATAATTTTCGTATAAACCTATACGTATAGATAAATATCATTTATACATTGAATAGGTGGTTATAGGTACAATTTCATACATCAAGGTCATTTCGGTTTATTTTAAACAATGATACCACAGCAAATTATTTAACAATAATATGTGAGCATATTTCGTGAGTTACAACATAGTTATATGTTTTTGATAGCCAGGTCAAAATCCTGAAATAATTCATTAAGTCCAAAATTCAAGCACGAGTTCTCATATAGAAACTTATAATAAACCGTGTATACATTTTTCAAACTTTTTCTTAGACAAAAAAAAATGTGTTTACATAAATAGAAAATATACTAGTAAGAGTATAGCAGTAATTAACGTATAATTTTCATCATTTTTACGAGTTTCAATGAAATCTTATACATTCAGCGCCAATATGCAAATAAAAAATTATGACAATGGATTTTATAATACTTAATATTCTCGTTTGGATTATATCCAATTCTTGAGCATTTTTACAGAGGCAAAGAATTTGACAAGCATACATTTAAAATAAAACCAAATTAACTCAAATGCAGTAAAAATACTAGTAGGTATTACAAAACTTATACCACGTCTGGAAAATTTACGATTATTCCTCACTGAATTTTAACAATAAAACAAAATCGCTTTTACAAATCCTTTGTATAAATATTACTTATTTTCCAATGTTCTTTTACAATTTGCTATATTATTAGGGAAAATGCTTATAAGAAAAAAAAATGACCTCCCTAATACAACGACTAGATGACATTGTCTATCGTAAGCTATTCTTAATATTAATGGTTGGATGGAAAAAATATAACAAACACAAATCATAGTAAAATAGCGTACTCCTCACTTTGCTCACAATCTAAAATCACTCAGTAAACTACAAGATTATAAAATTAATTTATATATGTGTAGAATCGTATTCGTCGATCGCAAACACTAAACGCATCTATGAATTAAAAATACATTTTCTAAGAGGAATCCGTTTCTTGAAATTTTCCATAGCCTTGATGTAAAGGTTTTTATAATGTAATGGTATTATAGTTTAATGAAATAAATGTGTTCGTATTTTTGTAAAACGGAACGTTTTATTATGAATATTATAGATATTACCTATTATACCTATGATATTTGTGTATCGGCAAAAAGTTGGCCGGAAACCGTTAATAATAAAGTATTTAAAATTTCCCACGAGCGAAAAGTTGAATAGCTTACTGCCGGTCGTTTATTTCATCCAAGTCGCCGAGCAAATAGAATACAATAATTAAAACCGAACATTTATATCGGTTAAACGTGCAATGGCGCATTCGACAGAATGCGTATGACAGACGAGATAATGACGTTGCTGGGCAATTAAGAAGGTCCCTCGTGCGATTTATTTACTCTTGTCCAATCATAATAATTCACTAGCTCTACTACGATAAAATTGCTTATTTAATATGTCGTTAAAACCAGAGCTATTATAAAATTAAGCATCGAAAGATATATGGAAATTTTGCTTTTGGAAATTGTATTTGGTGATAGTGATATTGTAACACACCTTTTTAGTTTCCAAATGAAACGCAAGAGGCTGTCAGTATTTATACCTATTTCTATCTAATATATCCAACTACTCCCACCACACTAACCGGTCTTTGAAACAGGATCATAGGGACTGTTATAAATAAAGGTCTTTAGTTATATTTAACACGCCAAAGAGACTTAAGAGACTAGCTGCGTTTGAAACTCAACATAATAGTCAGTAAATTGAAAATAATTAAAAAACGATATAAAATGTATTCCAAGTAATAGAACTATACATATTAGAATAATTATTATACACTTCGGCACGGAGTAACTTTGATCTCCTTGGGTGATTATAAAATTATCCACCAAAGCCTATAGTGCGAGTGCGTGTGCCGATTAATTGAATGCGGACATTGATGGTTAATAATTAAAATTATATTATTGTTTAAAAGAAATACAAGCGCGCAAGTTAAGGTATTAAATATCCGAATCAATAATCGGCTGTTATTGGTACTTGGGTATTTAATTATTCACACATACGCTGTTGGGATTTCGGTGACGGATTTTTAACTGTCAGGATTTTTACCCAGGCTCGTAGATTAAATTAAGTTCAGGATACGATTTAATGCCTGTACCATTATACATGATTTATTGGTAATGTTGTATTATCGGTGTTACAGGGTCAAGTTGATTGAGTGTTCGGCTAAGGAAAATGTCAACGTGCGCGAACTTTTCAAGAATCTATTGATATTATCCCGGAAGCTGAACGGACAAGAAGACCAGTCAGCGTGCCCTTTGAAGCGCCGATCCAGCGCATATGTCAGCCATACAAAATCGTCAAGGCGCGCGGATAATGCGGTACCGGCGGGAGGGGCCGCGACCACTTCCGGTTCCCCGGCAACCAGTGCTTCCGGTCACGGCCGCGAAGAACATCAGCTCCAGCAGCACAAGGAACCGGAAAGGGCAAAACCACGTAGCCGCAGCTTGATCAGACGTTGCAGCCGGAAGACGAAACAGCAGATCCGGGACACGACCGCAAACGGCGGCGGGTCTGGAGTGGACGATTGCAACGTCAGCTAAACGATTAAAGCTGGGCGGTGCAGGATGGGAGAGACCAAAAAAAAAAAAAATTATAAAATAAAATAAACTTAACAGAAAAAAAACAAGTGAAATTCTCACATATCGCGTTTTATAACGACGGCTTATATGCGGAGTATAAAAAAAAATAAATTTACGACACTTCAGTCATCGTGTTTTTTCTCCCTATGCCCATAAGGTTTTTTTATTATTATTTCCTGGCAACGTTTGTCTAGTTTTTAGCAGTTTCCTTTAATATTAATAGTTCGTATCATAGTTTCCCGAAAATTCCCATTTTCTCGACGAAAACCACTACGAAACGAATAATAGTCTGGATTTGAAAAGTTTCAGTCGCGCATTGTCGAAATCTTTTCAATAATACCGCTCAAATATTTACATGTAAAATTAAATTAAAAATTAACAAACCTGACTGTGCCTAACCTAAACTAGCCGGCACAGTGGTATTTTTTAGTAAATATTCACTGTGTGCCCAATACACGTCTCTTAAAAAGCTCCACGAGTAGATTGTCAAATCATCCCCTAAATATTTTGACTTATCCCAATAACCACTCTTCCTGAGAATATGAGAATTTTTCTTACATAAAAATAATTATTTCCTTGCAAAATCTATTTATTTCCCAATTTCCATAATATCATCTATCTAAATTATATCCGTCTATTGTAAGCTGATAGCTATTGATACAATGATTTTTCCTGTAAGTAACTTAAAATGTTTTTTTTTTCAATGGGTTAATATTAAAATATTAAAAGTTATTTTATAAACAGTTTAAATTAATATAAATACGATTTTATACAGTTAGTATGTAAATACTAGAATACATTTTTTATGTATCTAGGTATCACAATATAATGATTACCGTGGATGTTTTAACTATAGCATTTATTTGTCCATGAAAACCTCAGAAGTTTCCTTTCCATGAGTGCACCTAAATAGGATATGGTGTACAAGTCTCCTCCTTCCCTACCAAATTAAAAAAAAAAGGATGTATCCCTCATTTTTCTAACTCACTCAATGAAATTTTCTTTAATAAATGTATCAGTCTATAAACTTATGTGTTAATGGTCCGGTCCACGGTGTGGTGATCCTATATAGTCCCTCATGTGTAATAATATTATCGGTTCGGTGGATTTTCGTTCCGTCTAAAAGCATTTTTTTTTGGTAAAAGAAAATGTTTATAATTTATTCGATTTTAATTAGTTACGATAAGTACTAAGCTTTATCATTAATCGATTAGTAAAGTATAGATAATTTATTTCATATTATCGTATCATATTATACACCTAACCGTAGATAGTTCAAAATAACGATAACGTTTTGTATTTTGATAAAAATTTGCTTTCGGTCATTGTGATGTTGTTTGTCTTTATGTGTACAGGTAACCATCAAAATGGGTTTTAACACCCGCGGTAGCCGTAGGTAAAATCATTTTCGTAATACAAAAATAATTATATTCAAATGTTTACTGATTTTGTTATGCATTTTCAATAAATTCTAATAAATAATACGCGTTAAATTATAATATTGTTAATATCGTGGTGGTGACCGGCGAACGTTGATTTTCTTTGTTGCACCATACCGGTCGTCATTTTCGTTACTTTGGTTCCCTTTAGTTGTATTCATTGCATTTCATTACCTTCGTTACATCACCTCATTACTGTTTAGAAAGCTTCAAAAAAACGTGTTTAAATGAATTTTGGCACATCATTAAGACAAATTAAATACTACAAAAGTAACAAAATTTCCAAAATTCACTTTAATTCTTATATTTTAGCCCAAATTATTTTTTTTTTTATCCGACCAAATATATTATCACCATATTATTTCATTAACATTAACGCCCATCATAATCGATTCTATCGTCACAATAGTCATGTTTTAAACAACAATCCCATGATAAATCGTAGTGAATTTATTGAAACCCTGTGTATCATAGCTGATCTCCGAGTGCTTCCGACTGAGTAATATTCAAACATAAATCATACATGGTCAGTGTCTGTAGTAAAATTAATCTCCAAAAATAAACAACGTTTCTAAATTCTTTACTATTCTTCAACTCTTTGTAGACACCGTGAAATTCATTAGACGGATATCATGGCTATATACTGCAGCAAATTTTACGATCCTCGTGATCACAGTGTTTCAGATACCATTAAATCTATTGGTTATTGGGGACAGCAAAAATTACCGAACGTATAGGCACACACCCTAAATAAAATATTTCGTATTGAATCTGAGATGGAATAGTTTCGATAAACCTATTAGAATATCGGTTAATACTTATGTACAAATTTATATAATATATGATGTGCGTTTATTACAAACATCGACCCGAATTTAGAATTTAAGGTATAAATGTGTGCTCCGGCATAACGATTTAATTACGCATTCGAATGGGTAATTTCCATACTCAAAATATTATAAAAATGGAATATAATATGCACGTGGTAACCAATTTGAAAAGTAACCAGTAAGCAAATAGACGAATCGTGTCGATGTTGCATCCGGTCAAAATGTCCGGTTTTATAATTTCCGACAGCATGACGACAAAAACTTTAAAAAAATAATCGTACTATGTTTTTATTACGTTTTCTTTTCCAGAAAAACCCAAAGAGCACCGAATACTAGGTACACTGTAACTTCACATAGTTCAATTCAAGTAACACAATTATAAACTACAAAGAATTAGCAACTAATTATTTTAATTTTAATCGACATTATAATACCAGCTTACTTATTATACACTTACTGCAATAATCATGGCAATTTAGTATTTTGGTCCAATACATAATTTCAGTCCACGATACACGTTTGTTCATTATGTAGGTACTTTTAGTCCACAATATTGAATGTGTTTGGCATTTATACTTTGAGAATCTAATTAGATTACCGTGGTTCTTCTTCCGAGTTTAATGTTATTTTGCGCGGCCATTATTTGTTTGGTTCTACGTTTATTTTTAAATATTCGACCGTTGGTAAAGGTCCGATAAATTATTCAGATGTGTTTAATGATGTGTTAATATTAATGAGTAAAAAAGTTATTGTAAATTATACATTTGTTTTCTTTGAAACTACTCAATTTAGTGTTGTATATCATCAGCATATTTTGATGATAATCGTAAAGTTTCAAAATGTTAAGAAAATGCAATGAAGTATACACCGAGCTCGTTAGTTTCTTTCTATTGGGTGTAACTTTGAACTATAATTCTCAATTTGTTCTTGATTGACGGTTCATTTAGTTGAAACCACTGGTGTATATACAATGTACACCTGCCCCCCCAAATAATAATAGTATCTAAAAACTAAATATCGGACTACTATTCTAGTAGTCCGATATTATTTATATAATATCATGAACGTAAATATTTTTAGCATGATTTAAGAAGGTAATCTGCACGTTACACGTTCACGTGCTTTCGTTGAAAATTTCAATTAGTTAGTAGCACCTATTTATTATTACATTCACACGTAATTATAGTTAAAACAAATTTTAACCGTTAATTTGAATAATTGGACCACATTAATATTAATATGTAAATTATCTGCAATGTGTTTTATATTTAATTCGAATTTACCATAATAATATACGACCAATAAAGCATAATATATAATAATTTTTTTTTACAATTTCGATCAAAGTTATTTCAATGAACAATTTATTAATTAATATACAATATAATATAGTTTAAAAACGCTTTACTTAAATAAATAACAATTTTTTTTTTTTAAATGTATTATTAGTAAAACTACCATAGTCGTGTTATTTGATGAAAAAATTATAAAATTGAACTTACATTACTTTTCATTAATACTTCTCATATTATTCTATTATGATATAACCTCAGATTTTTACGCCGTTATAATTGTGTAACTTTTCGAATTTTGTTTTTTCATTTTCGTAAATCACATCCAGAAAAATGTTCAAAATTATGTAACGAAATTAAGAACGAGTGTCTTCCGTTTAACATGTGTCGAAAACTCAACAATCTCAAAGAAAAAAAAAAATCTGATTTATACAATATACAATAGGTACCACTAATAAAATACCCAAACATATATTGTAAAATATTTATCACGTTATTTTTGATTTTAATATAAAACGAAAAGAATAATTAACAAACGGTTTCATTTTTATCAGTTGAAAACCGCGAACATATAGTGACCTCACCATTATCCTTTACCTCGTGCAATCTCGCCTTTCACATCACCTATATCCATCACCATTTCTTTGTCTAATCCACACACGCTTTCATTATATCTCCTTATAATCCCTAGTCATATCTTCTTTAGTCTATACCTATTCCACAGTTTCCATTTAAACTTAATGTACTTATATCATCGTTACTCCTTATTTCAACATGCTGATATTATCTCAATTCGTCATCACTCAATTGTCCTGCTATACCTACTCCTGATTCTCCTAGAATAGCTAGGTAAAAACCGTCACAGGTTGATAAACATTCCAAAACAATAAATAAATTATTATTCCATGTATTCCGTATATTATGTACATAATCTTATCATATTATAGAATTCATGAATAATGGCGTTGAAAAGACCAATCAAAATTATTCGTCATATTTGACATAATATTTATTTTGTAGATATTATGACAATGAATTTCATTAAATAAATCTATGACTTATCCCAGTTAATGGTGGTAAACGTCCTGAGGTTATCAGTTTATGACTGATAAAACAATAAACAAATTTTAAATTATATAGTTTCAATATTATAATTATTAAGAAATACGTAGAGTCATGGTGTGAACACTTTTAAATTGATTGATATATATTATTATAATGATGGATTTCAGATTATTAAATCCAATGAATAATATTGTACTGGCTACTGACTAAATATTTCAAATATGAAGAAATAGAATTTTTTAAATTTTTTTTTAATTAAATAAATTTATAAAATTATATCTAAGAATAGACGCATAAAGATTGCGAACATATTATATTTTAAGTATTTTATCGATTATCTATATACATTTTATTCAATACTCGATAAAAAAACCACTTTTTTAAGTTTAAAGTCAAAATACAATGAAAATATTATTTAAAAAAAAAAAAAATAACTCTTTTAAAGTAGTTTTCCCTAACGGAAAGTTATATAGTTTTCGAATGTTATTCATTTTTCTTTCAATGATGTTTATTGACCGATATGTATGGTCTTTGAAAAATCAGATTTTCAAAAAAATAATAATAATATCGCATTATGAAATTAACCTCCAAACCAGCTACCGTATAAGATAACCGTACATACAGATGTAGTAATCTAAATAATCTTATCACAATATTTCTAAGTTTCTGGATAGATACGTATATAACATTTAATTTATACAATTCTTAATATTCGTAATATATTAATTATGTATCATTAAACTATACTACTATAAACTTTCATATTCACAAACAAATTAAATCCACTCAATTTAAAATCCAACTCGTGAATAGAGCAAAACTTAATAAAATCATTTTTATGTAACGTCTATATTTATCAAACTTTATTTTGTCATTTTTTCATGTTATCATTAGAATAAGTTCGGAAGAAACGTTTTGATACGATTCTAAAAATAATATCATGGGTAAAACAAAATTGTACTCTCAATTATTTTTTAAAAAATGTCCATGAGTTTTATTTCACACATTAGTGTGATTACTTCTTTATTTAACGTTTTAATAAACTAGATTAAAAACAACTGTCAATTTTTTTTTTCTTAAACAATTTATCTACCGATAAGACGTGGGGTGTTTTCTCCCTATAAAAAAAAAGAGCGTTATCCAGTGTTTTTAAAAATTATTTATGGCAGAGTTTGCAATATAATATATTTAATGTTTCACCCAGATAATATTTTTTTGACTTTCTAGACAATTTTCTGGATAAAATGGCGTATTTGACATAAATCCTAGAGCAATAGATTATGAAATATGATTGAATATCGCATTTTTTTAAATCCATAAGCTACAGAACAATATCGAAAATATGAATGTTGTGATTAACCAATATAACCAATGTGAAATTTTAAACGACTGAAAAATGTTTTATTATTATTATTATTTTGGTAAGTTTCAATAATTTATTTTACTCATTTTCGGTGATAACCGACTTAATTTTTTATTCATCACCTATATATATATATATATATACATAAATATATAGGTACATTAAGCAACATATCCAAATATTATGTCAAATTTAATCCCAACGCGTCATTTAATTTAATTGGTGTATTCGTATTATGATATATTACGTAATAATAATATCGTATGTATCGGTTCGGTTTATAAGAATTAATTTACAAAATATAGGAACAGGGTGCGATAATAATACTTAGCACTTCTTTATACAAATAATATTTTAGTTCACGTTGTTTTTAATCAAACCGTAATGTGATGACCACTATTATATTGTCATGTTTTAATTTATTATTATTATTACTTAACTATGTTTAACGATTATCTAGCGTCTATACAATACATATTTTACTATAATAATATTATCGATCGTGTAACACATGTGTGTATATCATATCACAAATTAATATAATAACATTGCGACAGTATACACCTAAGTATAATAATATTGTATACATTTTAATAATATAAATTGTTGTATACATGATTTTTATTACAATTTTATTTACCAGTATAATATTTACGAGTTTAATAGTAAAGTTGTATTATAACGGTTTTAATATTATTATTATTATTATTATTATTATTATTATTATTATTATTATTACTATATTATAATAAACATAGTTTTGTTCCCGAACGTTGAATTCGTTGTTTGTTTGTAACCTATCTCACGACTATAAATTAAATCAAAATAATCATGCCTATTCAAATCCTATACTTATATCGTACCTGTTAATTATTCGGGCTTACTCAAATTATACATTTTAATGGATTATAAAAAAATCGAGGTAAGTATGGAATATTATTTTATACATTTTCTGTTTTTTCTTTTCTCTCTTTTTACAAGTTGTACAAGTTTTAAACCAGAACACAGGATACTTGTTCAAAATCGTCAACTTTACGGATGGTTTCTGGTGACGACTGACAAATTGTATAAAGTTGTTTTTTGTTTTTTTTTTTTTTTTTGTCATTTTCTTAATAGATGCGAAAACGTGTAGAAAAAACGGGCAAATGTACGCAATAACTGTTTTTATTATTCTCGATTTTGTTTTTTTCTTGTATTTCAGTAAAAAAAATCGTAGATACCTATTTGGCTCTTAGTATAATTTTCGAAGTATTCTGTCGGTTTTTCGGATATTTATAGTTATATATAAAATGCTTGAATTTTGGACTGTTTTGTCAGATTAACATCTGCAAACTCAGACAACCCTTCAGTCACACCACGGTTGTAAAGTTCACAGAGTCAACGGTCCGTCATTGAATGCACATGGCACTTGTTCGTTGACGTGCATTTTGTTTGAAAGCAATAATAAAATGTATAAACTGTGTTGTGGATAGTTTGAAAAAAATCAAAATTTTTTTATATAAGTTGGCTTGAATATAATTAATTTTTTAAAAAAAAAAAGAGATAGTACTCTGAATGAGTACTTTTGTTGTAGGTGAAAATTCGGGAAGGCAAGTTACATAACGTTATTTAATTTATATCTATAAGAAAAGGCAAATTTAAGTTTTTTACCAAAATTTCAAATTTCTATGAACATTTTTAACTGAATTACACCAAAAAAAGACGCATATACTTCACACGATGTGTGGGCCACTGTTAAATGTGAGAATTTGGGGAGGTAGGGCAAATAATTTACTATTCACTTTCCAAGTATTTCTGTTGAATCTAACAATTTTTACCACAGAATACCTAAAGAATAAAATTTACGTAAAATACTCTCAAAATTTAAATGTCTATAAATAGCTTAAAAATGGCTTAATTTTTTTTTTTTTTTTACATCTTACCACGTCTAGAAAAGGCAAATATAAGTTTTCTGTTAAAATTTCATGTCTCTACGAATATTTTTAACTGAATTACAACTAATAACTAAATTGAAAAATAATAAAAACATTATTTTGCGTAAATTTTCCGATTTTCTTACGTTTTATCCTGATTTTTCCCAGATATTATGAAAATTACTTGGAAAATTAAAAAATCACCTCCCAAAAGTACCATCTGAACAATATTTCCTTTCAGAAATGATGCTGTGTGTATATATCTGAGCAAGATGATTTCTAGTAGAATTTTTGTACAGAGTATAAAAAAAAAAAAAAACATCTGAGTAAAACCAATACATTCTTCGTTACACTTAGAATCTAAAATGAGAGTAAGTAAAATTACTTTGTTCAGTGTTGTTATTATTTTAAAATTAAAATTTAAACGTAATTGTACTATCTACAATCAGAACGTCGTGTCGGCTATTATTTCGTTTGATTCAAAATTATTGTTGTTTGGTCGTAAATTTGGTACCAAATAATAAAAATTGGTGCAGTCGGTCTTAATTTCTGGAACTTTCTACTTGAAGTTCACAAAGACAAATCCGACACATCTGGACTGCTGTTGAAACTAGTTAACTCGCTAGTATGCTACAAGTCGTACTAGAACTATTATGGTGTGAAACTGACTTCGAAAACTTATTTATTATTGTTTAACCAATTTGTTAATTTTAAAACACGACGGAGTCGATATGTCGGTATAGTATATTGTGAAGAAATAAATTGCAGTTAGTAATCACGCCTAATGTCTAGTTCACAGCCCATATACTGTATCAGCGGAATTTAATTGTGAAAAATGAAAAGTACGGGAGGTATATACAATTACAACGATTGCCTTATAACAATATAGTATTATATTGTATTTTATTTTAATTAAAAATACAACACGTTTTCACACGAGTAAAACATTAACAGGCAAATTTCAGTGGCATAGCACGTACCTAATAAATAAGAGGAGGGCATTTTAATTGTGACAATGTTTTACCAAACCACGTTCACATTCGATATAGACAAGTAATTCTATGTACAATTATAGACTAGGCCAATATCTAATCTAACCTATATGGTAAGGAAGTACATTAATTCTTATACAGTTATTACAATAATGATAAACGTAATATTTTAAATAATATTTAGTTATACCTTAGATCATATACAATGGATAGAGTCATTGCATGTCATGTTTATAGAACGAACTGAAGCTGACATAACCATAGGACCCGTGCCAACTGCACATTCACGACTGATTATCAATCTATTTTCTAGGAAGTTGATTGTTATCACCTTTATTTTATTTTATTAGACAATTAAAATCGGCGCCGAAATAAATTAAAAGAGGCTACGCGCATGTGCATATTATCATCTTGGTCCAATAGTTATGTTGACTTCACACATTTTACGAACTTTTTAAATGATCTAAGAGTAATACCCTAACAAATTATGAAGGTTTTTTTGGTCTATGGCTACGTTACGTTTTGTGGGTACTAAAATATAGTCCCCAAAGCCAAGAGGACCTGCTACGCCTGTTGTGGGCAATACGACGGCGACATGTGTGAACCTATGAACCTATATTATTTTAAACACTTAACCATTGCGAGAGGAGAAATAAACGTCTACTGTATTGACTTGCTGGCGTCGAAAACCGGCCGGAGGTTGTCCAGAAATCGTGCGGTACCCATGTTCCGCTGCCTCCTCTTGACCCACGTGTTGACGCGACCTGCCTGCGAACCAGTTTCGTGGCGGTAATGCAATCTGGTGACCGGCTCCGATTTCTCCAACACCACGAACGAAGGGTCGCCCAACCTCCGACCGACACCGCCACTGTCGCTGCCGCTGCCACCGCAGCCACTACTACAGTCCACTACTTCTAAACGAAACGGCGGTCTCTTCACGCTTCCGGGACGTCTGAGAAACAAACAGAGCGTTGATTTAATCAGTAGGTTTGTGAAACATAATATATTACCCGGATCCGAAATAGCCAACGAAAAAAACAAATGGACATATTTCACATGACGATGGGGTGGGCCACTCTTTTATTCGTGAGAAGTGGGAAAAGTAAAGGGAAAATTCAATTTTTGATTAATCAATTATGACAAAAAAAGATTCTGAGCGGAGTTCGGTTATACAAATATGTTTTAAAAGGCCGTAATATGTATGATTTGAATATAATACATTTTGTAAATTTCCCTACATTTTCCCCGGCTTTTCACATTTATTATGAAAAACCCATCAACCCCAAATCAAAAAAAAGATCTCCTTAAAATATCACATCAGTAAGAAATTTCAGTAAGATAGTGGATAATACAATATACTGTACTTTTATGTAATTTTTACTTTTGGTTATTTTTTTTTTTTTCGGATATTTCGAATACGGATATTTTTACAGTTACCGCGTTAATTATTTTACGAACATTCGTTGGTAAGCATCTCATACTGGTAAAAAAGGTCAACAGTATTAAACTATACACCTTTTTGTGTTTTACCGAGTGCTCGTTACGTCAGTCAAACACATCAATTGTTTAACAGAAGATAAGCGAACGAAAAAAAAAACCATTTATTTTTGTAATCTTAGATTCTGGTAATACGATTTCCACCAATAGAGGATTACAATAAGTGCAAGGTATTTTAAAAAGTTGCATTTTAAAAGTATCAACTAAATTCAAAATGCTATAAAAAAACAGTTTTACGATGTTTCCGAATGGGATTAGTCTTTAAGTGAAAAACCTGAAGATTAATCCGAAGAAGGCTGGTGCAGGAAAAAACCACCCAGCAGCCGGCTGTCGCAAAACGACCATGCACGACCCAGCAGTTACTAGATGGGTGCATTCAAATTGATTAATTTTCTTAAAACCGAATAAATAACTTGTTAAATAAATCGTATCGTTTAGTTCATAATTATGTACAATTGTATACTGATTTGATAGGTATTATCTATTTGTAGATCGTTGGTCCGTCTCATGATTTTGTACACTAAGTTAGATATTTTCATACATATAGATATTGTGGCATGCGAAGCGTTTAAGCTCTTAAGTAAATACGAAGCGCAGCCGACATGCTTGCATCTCACAGTTCAAACACACTCCTACAATTGTCGAAAACATTTTAGCGCAAAGCTTATGTTAAGCCGTCATTTTCAAGTGATGCTGTATTGTCTATTCCCACACGCAACTATTGGTAAAGTAATTTTTCATATTTTACTCAGTTTTACGGAGTCCACCGATGACGGAGAATGGATGCGCAGACCGTATCAACATGCCACTGTCCCGTGTCAGGATCATTTCCTTCATACTCTCGTCGAACGGCCGTCTTCCGTGACAATAACTGGTCTTGGTCATGGGCGCAAGCGCAATCATTTCATTTTTCATTTTTCGACCTTTATTTTTCCCCATATGACGTATAACACACACACACGCACACATACACATACACACACACATATCATAACATTAAATCATTTCACTACTGAACGCTACAACATAATATGATTATTTATGATTCACCATCATAATTTATAATATTATCTCATTTTCCATTCCAGGTCACATTTTTACATGCTATTTTTCACCAGCTACTATTTTTCAACCTAATGGTTCCACTTACCCACCGACAATATATACTGCATTTTCTCTGTTCTGGTGTACATTGTTATACCAGTACGCTCCTAGTGGTGAAACGAACGTTTGAATGACCATCGAAAAATATAAGTTGCAAGCGAAATATGGATACCACTTTATAAACGAGAATGTTAAACAATGAACACGTGTCTACCGGGAAACGAAAAAGAGTCATCGTTCGGAATAATGCGGTAAAAACTGTCTAAATCCTTACCGCCTGCAAACCAAATAGGTATCTTATAACCTCATTTTATATAGCATAGTCGTGTTTATTCGTGTTTACTAGCGAAATCAGCCCCTCTTCCACATACACACACATAATAAATTTAGAGACTGAACTTAATAATCATATAAAATATAAAAAAGATATAACTAGTAAAATATGTGTTATAACACAGAACGGAACCACGGAATTATTAAGTTTAATTCAATTGATTTGTTCCCACGTAAACATTAGAGGAACAAACTTGCCCACAGGATGAAACAGCAATAATCATAGATACTGCGATCGACACGAGCATATATCCATAGTTATAAGAGTTATGAAAAGTTATAAAACTCCACTCTCTCGTACTTCGTATCATACCGGATGATAAATTTAAAGTCAGTATCATAAGATAACTTAAAGAAAATTAAAAATGTCAACACCTAAATGTAATTAAACTGAAACTACATACATTGCAATTTTTAATGTCTAGGTTGCAACTTTAAAATTAAAATATAATTATGGTTTCATACTCAAACTTAAAGGTGAAAAATATAAGGGTATAATAATATTTTAAAGGCCTTTGTATTTTTAAATTTTCAAAAAAGAAATTCTAAAAAAAGTATCACATTTCGAGATAATAAGTGTCTTACGTCATATTTATAAATCACCCTGTACTATCTCCCGATAAAACAATAGAATCTATGAAACATTCACTATTCAAATTTATTCGTACAATTGAATAAGTATAACCATGTACCTATAATTATAGGTTAGGTTAAGTTAAATACCTACAGCAAAAGATATTTTTTTTTAAATATACAGACACACACACATACATACAAAATAAATTAAAATACCGTACCTCCTACGGCGTCCGGATGTGGCGTGGTCGGATATTTCCGGTAGTTGGCCATCTGCTCGGACTCGCCGTCCATAGGCAAATCGTCCATTCTAAGCCCAGTGCTAGGCCGCAAGTTGTCGGCCCTCCGGCCCTCTGGATGCGCCACGTACTGGCCATGTTGTTCTGACTCGAATGCCATGCCCTCTGGAGCCGGGTCGTCAGCGCACACGAACTTTCCGATGTGACTACCTTGCCGGGGTGCCAGGTTTCGTTCCCGGGGAACGTCCTTGTAGTGTTCCGCGTACTCGGGACTAAACTCGGCGTCGCCTTCCACCTGGAGTTCGTCCTTTGGCACGGCTGCGTGACGCCTGTTCTGGCTCATCTCCTCGGCTGTCGTATAAGGTGGCTCGAAACGGCACCTGTACTCTGTGTCGAACGATGGGCTTGCTGACAAGCTGATTGGTGGCTGTTCTGTGACTGCTGCGCCCAAATCGTCGTCGTTAACGACTCCAAATTCCTTCCGCCGATACCTGTGCAACTGGTCGACGGTGACAATAGGCTTGTGAGTGTACCAGTGTGATAATCGACCCAAAGATTGTTGACGGTACACTGAAGATGGTCGGTCCTGCCGCTTGGTTTTGCCGCCTCTCCGGTACCTACAGTAGCAGTATAACTCGCATTGATAAAAACGTTAATCAATCAGGATAAAACTTTCTTCCATGTCTCAAATAACAGCAGTGGAGGATCTGTGTGAACATTACTAACCCTTGCGATACTTTTCTTACTATGAAAAAAATCTTGGTGATTGCCATGGAGTAAAACTCGGAGAGTCGGAGGTCAAATAATAAATTTAATTAAATTTCAAATTGTATGACTAGTATGTAATTGAATAAATGGGTCTGATAGTGGAATCTTGAATAATAGATACCTAGTAAATACAAATAGAAGTAACAGGAACGAGATAAGTTAGGATTAAATATAATATAGTAGTAATCTAAGAGAAGGAGGTTTGACAGGAAAAATGAGAGAGAATAAATTAAGATTCTATTGGATAATATTGGATTGTGCATAAATGTGTGTTGAGAGAAAGAAAATAGATGAAATATTAAATTTTGTCTTCAATTGTGTGAAATTATTTATTACATTTGATCGGCTATCATAAAAAAAAATTAACGAATTGAAAACAAAATAAGTTAAAATACTTTAAGTTTATAGTGACGACGATCGAGAAGAAATATCTTTTAAATTACAATCACCGAAAAAAGGTGTCGGGGTTGTGGCAAGTTATTTGAAGATGATTGCTTTATAAAATTATACCTTAGAGATCACATACCAAATCGTATACGAATTTCCAGCTCCATTTTTGGTATTTAATTATTTTATATATTTTTTTTAATAAAATAAGAATAAAAGAATCTTGATACTAGACCGAGCCAAGGCCAAGGCTAAGTATAGACAACAATTGTTCCGAAAAACGACAAAGAGACTACCATAATCTCGATCTTTGTTTAATTATCACTAATTAAGATACATTCAGATATTATTTATTTATTAATATTCACATTTAAATATATATTTTATTTATACTGAGGCAATTTTTAATTTTTGATACACACCTTGTTTAATTCAGAGTTAAAATTTAAATAATGTTTTTTTGGTGTTTTTTTTTTTTTTAGTACAATATCATTATTGTCATTGCTTCGATTATACTAAAAAAAGTGGTCGACCCCGTAGGTAACCCTATTTTTCACTGGCTATGCCGCGTTCAATTCGTACCGAGACACGAACAAAAGACATGATTCATACTAATATCAGAAACAGCTTATAAAGGTGTCGGATGGCGCATAGAATTTGTGAGAAAAGAAAAAAATATACTACGTACTGTAAATTTGCTATCAAATATCGACCCCATTCTAGAAATCGACAAAACTTTCGTTTTCTATAATTTAAAATAAATTATACGACGTTTGCGTCTGCACTTTCAAGGGGAGAGGCCGATGCAAACAATTCTTATTAGATAAAACGAAAAACTATGGAAAATTAGAAAAGAAAAGAATGTTGTCTGGTTTTAATTATATATAACGCATTGATATTTGTTTTTTCAAAAAAAATATATACATCGATAAGAACTTGGCTCTTAATTTATTACTTTGTTCAGTTATTTTATAAATAATAATAATAATATAAAATATACAAATTTATTTTTTATGCAATGTAGATAGGTGCATTAACTTACCGTTGTTTATTCATTAAAATATTTAATTTTAAACCAATTAAACACATATAGCTCAAAATATTAAATGTAACGCATGGCCAGAAGGTATATGCGAAAATAATAATTTATAAAACTACTTAATACACCAGTAATCGTATAACCTATAAACTATCGAGTGGTATGATTAAAAATATTAAACAGACAACATTTGCAAACATTTGAAAATGTTTATTTATGTGACATGTAAAACGATATGTATGAACACATATTTTAAAAAAATTCAAACAAAAATTACCTATAGTACCTATACTAACCTAACCTAACCTAATATTATTTTAGTAAAAATACCAGCACCAAAATTGTATGTGTAAAGCGCGAAATTTTAGTGGAAAAGAATAATTAGAAACTCGAGTTTTCGAAAAATATTGACAAGCTTTCCCGAGTTTTGTATAAAACAAAAGTGCGAAGTTTCTAAACTAATTTAATCAAGAAAAACTGGTGACAGCAGTAATCGCAATACCTATTTTAATGATAATTTATTATTAGTAGGTATAGAAAAAGTTTTTTCAGAAGAAAAATGAATTGTGATTTTAAAATATTTAAAAAAAAATTATAATAATAGTGTACAAGAATAATAAAAAAAAAAAAAAATACTCACTCTTTACTTTGCGAATCCTGAAGAGCGAATAAACTCGGATTGAAAGTGCAAGTTGAGTATTTATATAGGTACGAGAATGTTCGCAAAAAACAAGTACCGCCGATCGTAGGTACGAAAGGACAGTATTACAATCGCGAATAAAGCGATAAAAAGAGTTATAAATTACTTTTGAGTTTTTCCACCTTTGAAATGGCTCTTTAATGACTATGCCACTCGACAATCGCCTTGAACTCAAACAAAATAAAATAATAAATCATAAAAACAGTAATGTGATGCATACGAATAAAACGTACCTATTATACCCAAACAAATTACCTGCACAAATTACTGTAGAGAATTATATTACATATTGTATAATGTGTGTGTGTATGTAAAAAGTGTGTTGGTACCAGTGGTGGATCCAGAGGGGGCGAGGCTACCCTCCAGACTATAGACCATACAAAAGTTTTTACTTTCACAAATAATTAATTGTCAAACCATAAATAATACAAGATTTTTAAGAAAAAAAAATCAGAATGATATATCAATATATTGATTGTACTATGGTGTATTTTAATTTTTTGAATTTTTTTTTTTTCTATCAGTGACTAAATTTTCTACTGGAAATCCTGCTTCAATTAAAAATAAATTAGCAATATTTTATTGATGCTTACAGATATACTCGTAAATTAATTAGTAAGTTGGATAGTTGGGTAATTGGACTGAGACAGTAGATACGGGTATAACGTCCTCTTAATGATCATACATTTGTAAATTAAATGATACTCGTAGGCATTACATTTATAATTTGACTGACATTTTTATTAAATTAGTAAAATCTTCTTTCGGCCCATATAGGATTAATGATTAATCCCTCCCTCAAGTATCCAATCAACCACCATTTTTTCATCTGCTCCACATGTCCCACATACCTAACTTTCCTTCAACCCCATTAACCTATAACCAATTTTTGTTTCTCCTACTTCTTCTCCGACTTTCATCTATACTTCAATAACCTATCTTTTTGTGACTATCTTTTATCTGTTTCCTACTTTTAACATGCCTATACCGTCTCAACCTATTCTTCTACATTTTTCCTAATATACGATCTATTCTTAAATTACCTCTTATATATTATGCATTCCCCATCCTATCCTACCACAACAGCCAAGGCAATGATATTCATACAGAATTAAGAGTAATATGAAAATACAACAATTAATAAACACCAAAAAAATTAGTTAACGTCAAAAAATAATGAAGATCACGGTGGTTGTAACGAAGGTTCTGGATAATCTACAAATATTCCAAGTCACAAAAGAAGAAGAATTCTAATCAATCTCACATCACACTGCACGTCATGAGATCCACCTTAACATTTGAATCTACTTCTATTACTTCTATTTATATTTCATACATTTTGTTTAATCCTCAACTGATCTCGTTCACATTTTTTTTAAATCTATGTGCCCTCAGAATGATGGATCGTTATGAATTATGATACACTCGATATGACTTATTCTTAAACTCTACAACCTTTAGTTATAAATCAATATTCTACCGAGACAACATGAGGCGATTAGAGAATATACTGAAAAAATTACCTATATTTTAACAACGCATTCATGTATCAGAAGAAACACATTAAATGACTGTTCCGAGTACATAAACAAGTTTAAATTACACGACCTGTGCATCATCACTGGCCTCGCAACTTCCAATAGTTTTATACAATTGTCCTATTATTTTTAATAACATTGTTTTTATCACACAACCTGTCACGTATCTCATCTAATAATCGCCTACAATATTCGTTAATTCTTCTTAATTCAACTTAACCTAAATTAGTCGAAAAATTAAATACTTAATAAATTTAATGTTTCTGAAAATTATGGTTAAAATATAATACAGTGAGTTCCGGTTAATGTGATCACATTGGTTCTGGTAATTTTGATTCTATTATCCAGTTGATTCCATAAAACATTTTTTTTTTATGATTTTATAATTATACCTAAACTAAATAAAATAAAGAAGCTATCTATTTTCAATTGTACTTGAGAATCAACTAATTTCAGTTTCATATTAGCCTGCAATTAAAATCCATATTCAATTAATATACATATAATTAAAATTAAATACAATATAAACACATATAATTATAATAAAAAAATACAATAGATACCTTAAAAACGATAAAAATGTTCGTAAAAGTGATTCAACTATCCAGTACTTAGTGATTCTAATAAAAGGTTAATTTAACATTAATAACATAGAATTTGGTCTCGGATTTTCGTTTTTGATTCCAATAAATGGTTTATTCTATAAACCAGTGATCACATTAAGCGGAATTCACTATAATAAAGTATACCAGCATATCATAGCGGCATAAACGTATTGGTGATTTAATGACTGTAACACATGCACGTGGAACTCCTAGCATTTCAGACACGATCAATAGTATTTTATTATAATAACATAATGACAATTATGTGAAGTTTAAATAATAAAAATAATATTTACATAAAAGATGTTTCTTTTAGTTTAATTATGTTTTTACATTATGCAAAATAATAAAAATGAAAACGATCAAAATATTTTTTCCTGCAACTTTTTTAAGATTTTACGCGAATTTCTTTATTTTAAACTAGTTAGTATTCGAATAATCTTTTTAGAACTCATAAAATGATAAAACTAAATAAAAGAGTGACTATAAATAAAAAATTAATAAACCATCCAAAAAATCCTAAGCATATGCATTATGACTTTGAATAGCTCTGTTTAATTTTTGTTTGGAATTTGTGTTCTTTATATAATTATTTGATCTTAGAAGTTTTTCAGATTTTAATATACTCTGCAATACCTCAATTCAACACCAATTATGTTACATTTATAATTAATGTAAACTATTATCAGCAATAATACTCAGTAGATTTTTGTACAGATATTAAGTTTACATTTACCAATTTAATAAATAGTCAACATTTTCTTGTACAAAAGTTAGTAAATTCTGTCGTTTTATCGAAAAATTAACGTGTTTTAAATTTGAAAAATAATAGTTAAAATTGTATGTAGAATTATTACGAATAATTCAATTAAATAGACCTCTCATGAATGAAACCATACGCCCAAATAATATATACTATAGCGATGTTAACATAAAGACACATGTACAAATTCGAGTTGTACAACTTTTTTTTTTATCAATCATTAATATTAAATTTAATTAATTCTCCTTCATCTGGCCAAGGTCTGAAGACGTGTTGTCTTGAGCCTGTCACGTCGTATTTATATCATAGTATTATTCTATCGAATGTTCACATCAGGTTACAACGCTAGTATAATTGTTAACTGAATATAATCATTGTATAATAATAATAACAATAATAGTATATTTTTACAATATTATAGCATCTACTTAGTAAACATTCAACTTGGTGTACTAAGTACTTCAATATACTAAGGCAATATTATTATAAATACAACAATTGTAATCGAAGCGTATACTAGATATAATATTTTTCCCTAACTACGAGTTATAACTTTATAAATGGCCGTAAAAATGTTATTTCTATACAGAATATTAAAAAAATACATGTTTTTAAAAAAAAATAATTCAAACATTATGGGTATATTATTATAAATAATCGTCTCACCTGGACATACTGGAACCGAAGTGGCCGTCTGGTCGTCTGACAGTGTCGACGTCCGAGTACTAAAAGAACACTTTTCTCACGTGAATACTGATATTGTGTGTTATCGTTTTATAGTTTGAAGGTCGTCTGTTGTTTCAAGACTGCACCCCCAAAATAGGTCATGGGGTCGATTTGTATCTACCGTCTACGAGGTTTCGTAGACACGCACAGAGTCTATATAGATATGACAAAAATGTGAAAATGGAAACGTAACTGGCAAGGCTCACTTGAGAATAAATTAATTTCACGGAAACGTTGTGGTTGTTGTACGTACGTACAGACGTTTTTATAATTAAACAGCACAATATAAACTATTGAACTTTCGAGTGTTCGATCGACGATGATTTAAATAATAAATAAGTATTATTGATTATCATATAGATACTTATAGAATTTGAATGTCCTAGTACACATGGAAATTAAATTATCCGAGATAGACAGGCAATATCGCTACTATTGCATTAAACATAAATTCAAATGTAGTTAACTACGGTAATCGGTTATTAGACAGTAAATGTCGTGTTCATTTACATGCTTATATACACTAAATATACAAGTGTCCCATGAAGATATACCCTTTGTATTATCACTGGAGATAATTAAAATAAATAAATTCTGAATTTTTTTTTTTTTTTTGTACTACTCACGGGGTTTGGGACTATAAATATTTATATTTAATTAATTTTCTATGTTTTTGTAAAAAAAACTACAATAAAAACTTTTTATTTAATTATTTTCAAACAATTTTGAAATTAATCATTTTATTGTGTTAATATTATTATTCTTTGGAAAATGTTGACGTTTCAACTTTTTCAGTAAATTCGTGATTTTTAACAAAAAATTTAAATTCAAAAAAAAAAAAAATGTACAGTCAATTAGCCATAATAATAATTATAATCAATTAGCAAATGCGATTACAGCCTGCTTCATAATTATAGATATTTTTCTCCAAAATTTAAAAACTATTAAAAATCACGAATTTACTGAAAATAAAAAGTAGGAACTTCAACATTTTCAGAACAATACACTCAATAAAATATTGTTCTTAAATTTTTCAAAAAATAAAATTATTTTTTTAACTTTTTGAAAAATGAATTCAAATATAAATACATATTTGTAGTCCTTATATCTACGAATAATAATAATGAGAAAAAAAACAAAATTCGGTTGTCTTTATTATTTCATGAGATATTGCAATGGGTATATTTTCGTGAGACACTGTGTACATAAAAAAAATAAAAACAAAATAAAACAAAATAATAGTTTTTATTTTCCGATTACCCATTTCGTTGAATTACAATATATAATAGGTATTTATTATAAGTTCAGTACAATATTCTTTATCTTTATTGTCTTTAAAAAAATAGAGGTCCTGTGCTCCACATGAAATACTGATATCTTTTTTTTTTTTTACTTATCGGCCTATCTTCGACATGGTCGTAATAATTACTTATTCAAACAATATTTATAATTTTTTTTTTTATATAGAACGGGAAGGGGGTCCTTAGAATTCGGGGTCCTTTGTGTTCGTGCATCGCATGCACATCCAGTATAAATATCCAGTAAGTGGGCCACTGATCCACATGGGCACTGGACAAATATATGCAAATATTATAGAGCACTGCACGAAAAGAAAACTTTATGAAGATTTCTTCATAATGAAACATCGAAAAAAATATTAAATACAGAAGAGTAAATTGATTACCTACATATTGTATATCTCCGAAATGTGCAGCGTTAACTGAAAAACAGACCGATTGGTAACGTTACAAAAACGAATACATAAATTAATATATTATTTTGAATTGTGTTATTATTTATTATCGTATACAGATAGTGCAGTAGCATATTTTATTCGTCCCGTTTCTGTTAGCAATCTCCCCTATGAGAATATAGGGGAACGCACGGCCATACATCAACTCCATAATAATACAATATTATGCTTACCGACATGATGAATTGCCTAACAATGTTTAAAACGCATAATATCCCACAATATTTGAATTCCTTCCGATTCCAAATTCAAACAATCAGTTTCATCTAGTAGCTATTAATATATTATCAATCATTTATTATAATATAATTAATTGATAATAGTATTATATCATTATATTGATCAATTCTTTAGTTGCCAGAACAATTAATAATGTTCATATAATGTTATCATATTCGCGTGTTTTATTAATATCGAACCCTCTGTTTTAAGTGAAAATTTATGTTTTTTTTAGACTTTGAACGTAGCGTGGGATCTAATAGTTTCACTATGATGTTTATATTAGTTTCTGAGTAGAGTGAGTAATGTATTGATTTTACAATGATGTTTATTTTTATTTTTTCTGTTAACTATTTTTCTATCAGAAACTATGCTCAGACTTTCACGTGAAGCACTATTTTTGAATGGAAATCTCACTAGAATGGTACATAAAAGAGGTAATTTTTTTATTTTTCGAGGAATTTTTATAGTAAATGGGAAAAACGTAGAAAAAACGGGACAATTTACGAAATGTATTGTTTTCGAATCATAAATATTACAGCCTTTCAAAACATGAACATGTATAACCGAACTTCGCCCAGAATCCATTTTTATTATCAATGATTAACCATTGTGTACATATATACATACAGTAGAATACAAAGTGAAAAAAATATACTGTACTCTACTAAAACGTTTTTAATCATAGCTATTTTGCTCGATAATAAAACTTTACACATCAATTCTAAGACCAACGTTTTCGTATGGCTGTGATACATGGCCACTAACAAAGAAAATGAAATAGTGTACATAATAAGGTTCGATAACACGTTAATATGTGGACCTATTTTTGATACAGAAAGAGACAAATAGAGAATCAGTTATAACAAAGAACTAAGAAAGGAAACTGGGATACCATGGGTTACTAACTACGTAAAATGCCAAAAAATTTAACAATGTGAATATATTAATGCAAAGGAAAACACAAAATGAATAGAAGCAACAATAAACTCATAACTTAAATCTCAATAGTAAGAGAGCATGAGTGTACATAAGAAATGGTGTAAGAACAAAGTAAAATATAATATGGAGCAATTAGAAATACCTTACAAATTGGGATGGGTATAAAATTGAGAACCATGGAGGTATTGTGTATTAGCCACAAAGGCTCTTGAAATGCCGTACAGCGAAAAAAGAAGAAGACAATTTGTACTTATCACTTAGAATTAAATTTATTTGTTATTAACTTTTAACTGAGAAATTTTGTTATTTATTGAACATAATTAATTCGATCATTTTCATAAATTTGGCTTACCTGTGATTGTGTGCAATCATATTATTATCATTGCATTAAATTTAATAAGAAGTAGCATTTTTATTCATGTGTTAAAAGCCGTTTATTCCGTCACGACATAGGAGGTCAAGTATAAATTTAAGATGACCTTGTAATAATATTACATATAATATTATATAGTATTATACCGAAATAAAACCTTAACTCGTAGTTGGCCTGTACACGCGCTATTCCAATCAGTTACATCGTTTTAGGTAGGTAGCCTAATTTTATAAGGGGTTATTGATTTCATCTACAGAAAATACAATTTTAAATCTAAGCAAATAGGTTAATTTAACAATGAAGAACGATTTTCGTATAAGTACCTAGTTATTTTTGTCAATAATATTCCTTATATATTAAACGGCATATTACAAAAATTAATGATATTCAGTTAAAAAAAATATTATACGAATACTCTTACGCAAATTAATTCGAATTTCGACAGTAATATGTCAAAAATTTACTTCAAATATAAAATCAAATTAAAAAAAAAACGAAATATATTTGTTTTGCGTTCTATGCAGTAGGCCATCAATGTTATTATCACTATTTTTATTTTTTTTTATTAATTTCAAGATAACTTTTGGTAAATTCGAAAAGCTTCTTATATATCAGGTACTTAAGTCTTAAAGTATACTTACTTACTGCGTGTGTTTTAACATAACTCTAACTTCGTTGCACAAAACTTCCTGAGAGGTTAAAAAAAACATGTACTACATTATACAAATAACATTATTCTTAATCGTTCTACTCAATATGTATAATCCAGGTTAATAACGTAAATAATAATTATTTATTTATATCATTGAATATGTTTTATGTCAATTACTTTTTTTTAAATTACAATATTCAACTTTAAAATGTTGATCATTTATATAGATACAGAATTATAGACACTTAATAATGTTTAAACAGGTGTATTAAACTCCAAAGTTAAAAACGTTCTTAAAGATTTATATAGCCTGATTATAAAAATGTCTAAATGATGTTGTTTAATTATATATTAAATTGTTAAAACAGTATTTACTTAATACTTTAATTTCTCAATTTATCCCATATATTTTATTATAAATATATTTTTTAGTGTATTTATATTGACAATTATTTTTAATATTGGGTACCTACTTGAAGTTTCTTCAAAGTTTTTCTCTAAATCAATAACAATCAGAGTGACGCTAATTTGTTATGTTAGTGTGCGTATAGTTATAATTGGTATTTAATATTCTCGTTCCGTTCTGAGGAAATATCTATAAATAGTACAAGCGGCTAGGTTTTTTTTTATATAGTCGTAGTACATTGTTTTTTCTGTGTTTGTTGCGATTTATTAACCTATAGAGTATATAAATATTAAAATCGTATAAGTTTGAAATTTAGTCAAATGATTTCTTTTAATATTCTAAAAGGAGCACGGAAATATTATGTTTACTCTGTAGTTAATGTATAGGTGTTTCATTATTCGCGTTCGTGTAAGTATGCTAACATATACAGTGTCTATATATAGCGTAATAATATATTATAGTTACGCCCTAGTCCCTGGTGAATTTATCGCACATTAACTCAACATCAATTATTCATTTATTCCACAAATATATCGTTGTGATTTACCTATGATATTTTCAAAGTTCGCACGAAACACAAAAAACGGAATTAAAAGTATTTAGAGGGAATACAAACGTGCACACTGTTCAGTCCTACGGAAAACATCGGCATAGATTCCAAGATTTTGAACTCATTATTTTCATCATATTCAATGAAATATGGAAAATTTAAAATAGCCGTATGACGTCAGGGTCGGTTCAGCATATGGCGGCGACCCATCTTCTTGTTCGTGTTAAAGTTACTCATCACGTGCAATATGATTTATATAGCTTTGAATAATATTTTCGAATTTTTAAGAACTGAGCCATGTGATCATAATGGGACTATACAGGGTGTCTCATCACCGTAATCAACGGATTTTTCTAGAGCTCTTATAATATTCAATTTTTTTTCGATATGATTTCCTTCGATGAGGACATATATGTATATATGTATATTTATAGAAATATTAGATTTGTGTTTTTATTAATTTTCTAGTGTGTATTAATTTATTAATTGTATGTAATTGAGTAAATGAATATAGGTGGACATTTTTGGATATTTCTGCAGTTTAATGCCCACCAAAAAAAAAAAAAAAAAACCAAACAATAATAATATACACGCAATATCCAGCGGTGACATTTGCAAAATAAGATTGGTATCTACACTCATCACTAGAATCCCCGGCTATTATTTTGGTTTGGTTTATACTCCCAATAAATCAGATTCGATTGTCTACGAAACTGATCAAATTAAAATAATTTTTACATAGAATTTATAAATTACTTTTCTAGTATTTGAAATACATCTTAATACAAATGATGAGCGTAATTATTTTTGTGGCGTTACGAGAAAAAGCAAAAAACACTATACGCTTGCTGGTTGAATATTAATATCGTCGTAATAAGAAGAGTGTGAAGTGCAGATAGGTAGGTAATCCATAAACGTAGTTATATGTACATTAGTTTAGACATTGTAATTTTCATTTAAACATTCAAGTACATTAAAAGTTCATTTAACTATTGATTTTCGCTAAATTTTAGAAGTTCCAGTAATGTTATTAAATACCATAATATTAGGTATGAATTATCTACGGTTAAAACTACATCAAGGGCATGTATCACAGTAGAATTTTCCATCTGCTAAATTACGTTGCCCACATTTATACTGCGGTGGTTAGGTTGATAAAAAATAAAAATTATTAAATTATTTTCTTAAACCTTCAATGTATAATTTGAAATTTGAAATAAAATTTAGGATCTAATTAAATTCCTGAAAGCAATTTAAATATATGAACGTAATTCAAAAATAGTTGATTGAAAATTCAAATACAATTGAAACTTAATTATAATGTTTGGTTCATACATTTTTAACTTTGTTCGTTTTTGAACTCGTTTATTCCGAAGTGTGTGTCGGACTTTGCGAATTTACTTCCGACGTGGCATCGCTACGTTGAAACTGTATTGTTTTATTAAATTTATATAGTGTAAAGCGTGCAATCCGCAGCCAATAATTGTAGAAACCATTAAAACGCCAAAAAGATGGAAACAAATAACAACAATTTACAGGTTACATATTCGATTCGCGTTCATAGGTTCGTTATTAGTGGTATATATTTTCTTTAGGAGTCCAACAATGGAGGACAAATGTAAGTAATAAATGTTTTAATTTTAAATTCCGTTAAATTAATTCCAAATCGTTTTAAAACCGTATACGTAATATAATCGTAAACAATATTGATCATAATTATTGTTAAGAAACAGTAAAAAATATTACATACACAATTTCATATATTTGTTCGGTTTTTTTATTATTTTTTTTTTTTTCATATAAATAACAAGTAAAATACTATTGATGTTATATCAGTAAATGATAAATAATAAATACCACTATAATACATCGCGAATGAAAATATAGCTAATTGACGAGAAAAATTATTTTTAAAAAGTACAAAATCATACATCGACTTTAGTTTAATTGAAATAAATATATTCTTCTTTCTTCACCGAAGAAATGACTATTCCGTGAAAATACGTTCAACTACTAGAATATTTTCCATCTATCACAATTACTCTTCGTATTATCCCCGTAACATCAAATTTCCCCTTATAACCTTTGGCAATTCCGCCCATTTTTCTTTAGCCTATCTTTTCTATAGCATTATATTATTTTTAAACAACTCTAAAAGAGTTCATTGAAGATTATATTTTTTTATTACGCTAACATGCCATGCAATAGTAACAAAGTTAAATTTTACCAATCAAAATGAAAACTTTAGCAAATAGTTTATTACTTACCTAGCTTACCTAGATACCTAGTTACGTACCTAAAAGGATTTAAAGTGTATAGAACATCCGAGATGTATAAGAGGAAGAATTATTTTCCGTCTCGACACAATAACTAATTACGAAACCCTCGTGAGATACGCCGTACTATCGTATTTCTACCAATGGAAAATCTCGAAATAATGTATAAAAGGCTTTACTACGATTGACCCAACCCAACTTACGTAAATATCTTCAGAATTATTTCCCAACGAGACCTCCTATAATTACAACATTGTATTTTAACAATAATACTGGCCATCAACGAATCGCATCAAAAAAAAAAAAAAAAAAAAAACAAATTATTACGTACCAAATTATAGATATATTTAGATTCAGAACGTAGCATGGGATCTGTTGGTTTTACTACGATGCATGCTTATTTCTTTATTTTCTGCCTGTCAACTAAATTTCAAAATAATTCTTGCTCCTAAGTATAAAGTATAGTATCTTTTCTGAAAGGAAATTTTTGAGAGAAATTTCTTGAGAGGTCATTTTTTGAATTCTCGTTAATATTTGAGATAAGGAGGAAAACTTGGTTCTTTAGGTTAAAAAAGATTGAAAGGCCAAATATTGTATTGTTGACAAAGCAACATTATCAACTAAACTCCGCTCGGAATCGTTTTTTCGTTGGCAATGGATTATCGTTGATATAGACTTAAAAAGACAACGAAATTCTACTAATGACGGTAGTTTAAGTTTTGTTCTCATTTTTCGTTCCTAAAAATAAAAACAATACTAACAAACAGGCTTGTTTTCGGGAGATTTTTGGCAAGGCGTTCAATTTTTTAGTGAATATACGCTCACAGTATTGGCCTAGGATTGCTCTGTAAAATATCTCAATGTTTATTCATTTATGTACTGATGTATAATATAATATATTATAATAATATAAACTGCTGTATCATTAAACAAAACATACAGTTAGTAAACTCTATATTTTATGGTATATTTTTTTTTATCAATAACAATATTATCAAGAAAATTATGAAAATATATTACAAGTTATACGGGTTTTCGATATTTTTACATTACTACGAGAACAACTATTACAATGAATATTTTAGTAAATTTGAATTCAATTATAAAGTGTTTTAAAAACTATAAAATTAAATAAATAGTTCAAAAACCAATAGCATATTTTAAACAACCCGTCAAGCTGATTATTTTTACAAAATAACTTCCTCGCAGATAATTTAATAATATCCATCATTTAGGTAATAAAACTAATAAGATGTACATCTAGAATCTAAAAAACTTTTCGAATATTCGTTAGATAGTTTCAAAACTTATAATGTGAGTTGCTGAAGAAAAAAAATTGTCAGTAGGTACTATTATATTTTTTTCATATATATGTAAACACTTTTAGACAAGTAAATTCCGTCATTTTATAGTTAAATGGTAGGTTTTAATGATGGATTATAATGATATGTAGTTGACTTATATTCAATGAATATTTGAGTATATAATTTATAATACACCAGCATCCGGTGACTATATGACAGTTACAAATAAATATTATGTTTAACATAAATATGTCCGTTTATTTTAAGCGTGAAATAGACATTACGCGTTATTGGCTATTACTCAAAAAATTGATTTTGTCTAATTCTCACTGTGACAAACCGACATTCTTCGTATAAATCTACAACTATTATAATATATTACGTGAAATGTATCGTTATGATATTTTGTTCGTAATGGTTTAATTTAAATGTCCAAACGCTTAAAAACAAAGCATTTCATAATAATATTATACATCGTGTATGTGCTAATACGATTATTATTGAAAATTGGATAATGTTAACGTTTCTTTCCTTAGATCCGATTTTGTGTCATTAGTTTTAATATTAGAGTGAATTGGCCTAATATCAAACTTAAAAGTAAAAACGTGGTCTGTGTCTGTAAGTTGTCTTTATTTTTTGATATTTTAATTTTTAAGTTAGATACTCGTTTAAGAACATAAATTAAATCGTACCTCGCTTAAAATATAGGATCGAAAAATCAACGTTTAAACATAGACAAATTCACTGATCCAATATCAAAAATAATAACACAAAATCGGTTCAACTGAACGAAAAGTTGACATTCTTCAGTGTTCAACATTAACCGTATAACAAATCGTATATATTATATCTTAGAAATCAATTTACATATTTTTTTTTAATGAAATCTACTCTTGAAGGTATTTTAATTAATTTACACATCATCAAAAATAATTATTATTTTGTTGGACGATTACATTTTTCATACTTGAATAGCTTAAATCGCTTTTATACTTAATTTATATTGCATTTGAATATTCATGTATATTTTTAGATTCGGAGAGTAATAAGAAATCTATTAGTTTTACTATAATGGATATTTTTTTTTTTTTCTGTCTGTGAACAACTTTTCTATAAGAAATCTTACTCCGATATATAGAGTATACCACTTTTCCTGAAAGTTGATAATTTCTAGTTAATATATTAGGAAAGTCAATTTTTGATTTTTTAAGAGGTTTTCAAAATAATTAGAAAAACCTGAAAAAAATATAGGCAAAACAGTAAATATTTACTGCGCATCGGGCCCTTACCATTTTCTATGTTTTTAATTATTCCTACTTATGTTTTCTACCGTAAATGTCGCTCCAATAAAAAGAACAACAATAAACCTTTTGTATTGCAGTTTTAATCTAGTTCTGAAGTAAGAAAGTCGTTTTTTGATTTTTTTTGTAGTCTTATAAAGAATTAGGAAAACCCGAACAAATTTACGAAAATTATTCTTTTATTATTTTATATTTCGTTTTTTAATGTATTTCAGTTAAAAATATTCGAGAAGACTTTTTAACAGAATACTTATATTTATTTTTCTAGATGTGTTAAAATTTTCAAAACATTTGAGCCATTTTTAGCTATTTATAGATGCTATAAGTTTGTGAGTTTTTTACGTAATTTTTATTAAGATACTCTGTTAGTTTAAAAAGAAATGCTTGAAAAAATAACAAGAGGTTCATTATAAGTTGTACTTACACACTTAGTGGTTAAAAAAAAAAAAATTGAGCATAATATTTTTTTATAAGTCATAAAATCAAATTTTGATGAAAATCGTTAATATTATGGCCATTCAAATTATGTATAACCGAAATTTGCTCTGAATCGTTTTTTGTTAGGTATTAATGGTTTATCGTTGATGACAGATACAAATTAAATACATTTATGCATCCCACCTTCCTAACTATCCACGTACAACAGTCGCATCACCCATCCTCAATATCGGATTTTTTTTGGATAAGGTACATCTTAATTTATTTTTTTTGTTTTTATCCTTTCAAAAAGGTGTGATATAAGGGTGCAACTCATAACCCTCACTATTTAATTTATATATTGAAGAAACACTTAAATAATTATTAGAGGAACATATATGCGAAATAATATTGAATGGAACACCGTGTGGAACATTTTATTAATGAACCAATCTACGAATTGAAAAAAAACACATCTTTATTATATATACATCAATAAAATAATGACGAAATTAACCTAAATCAGAATTATTACTACTGAAATTTTAGTTAAAATATATTATTTAATTGTATACTAATTTTAAATAATAACATGATACAAAGAAAACTAATAGCAAACTAAAATATTTGACAAAATAATTTTGAATTGTATACGTACAGCTAAAGTTAAAGAACTCGCTGAAAAAAAAAAATAACCAATGTCCTTCGCATTTTTAAGTAGGACAGTCAAATTTAGGTATAAATGTATAATTATCAGTGCAGTACTCGTTAGTTTAAGTCGTTCAAGATAAATATCTACAATGTTTTTTTTTAGACATACCTACGAGTAGATAAGCCTAAAATATTACTCAAGTATGTATTTCATTTTTTTTTTTTCTTTTTGGTAAATTCGCAAGTATTTTAATGTCTAGTTAAATTACATAAAAGTAATCTTTTTTTTCCATGTAATAAAATGGGTATTGAGGACACCTATATTAACTATTTTCAAAACAAAAAAATAATCGAGTTGTTTATAAAATATAATGTTTGCACACGACTGCAAATCAAATCATAATATACCTAGTTAGTTATAATTTAATAAGTATTCGAATATAAAATAAATTCTTAATTAATGAGTTACTAGAAATATAATATTATAAGCGAATATTATTATTAAAATCCAATGTTCATTCATTTTCTACATTGAAAAATAACGATGATAATTTACTATAAGACAATCTATATTCGATGTTGATTATTTCGAATTCACCATGCCCGCTTTACCGTCGAACTTAACAGCCTACGTGCTGAACAGTCTAGCGACTTTCGACGGAATCTCGTCGGAAATTTTAATATACATAACAACCTTATAAATTAATAAATAGCATTGATGATAACTGAATGCCGTTTAAAGGAAGGAAAATTAATTTTACGTAAATGTCGATACTGGTTTCTAATAAAATCGTATAAAACATATTAACAATATATTCAAACACCTACTAAACGCTATAGTATATTATAAAAGCAAACCACCTCGGTAGTTATTTTAAATTCTTCACTTAGGCGATCAAGTCATCCGAGTCATACTAAACCAATCTCTTAGAAGACATCGACACGTTTGTTGCGTCCTACACGTTATCGTGTATAAGTTAATACCAAATTTTAAATTCTTACTTTCTAGTCAAATTTCTTAAATCTCATACAGTCACATAGGCAAGTAGAATAAAACTCTAATGCTTTACAAGAAATGAATAAAATCTCGTTTTTCGGCGTAACACTTCATATTCCGTTACAAATTAGTTTTCATAGAACTTGCTCACTGTAAACAAAACATCAAAATGTCAACATACATGTTATTAAATTATATGATCCCGAAACGTATATAGATATCATACAAATTTCATAGAAATTTATTTAAGCCTAATTAATACTTATTAAACCTTACCATATCAAAAGCAATTTTCCAAACAATTTAAAATTCTCGCTTTCAAATTATATATAGCGATTTGAATTGATTTTTTTTGAACATTACATAATATAGTTATTAATTAATAATCACGAATATTAATAGCTAAGTAGATACCTAATTTAAATGAATAAGTAGAATTAGGTAACAATCCATACTAACACACATATTAATATTGCAAGTATGGTTTTTTCGTAACTTTCTATGTAAATAAATTATACATCACATACATTTTATATGCAAAACATTATGTTTTAGACCGTGTATAATTATTTTTTACAGTCATTAAAACTATTATTATCATCATAATTATTTTAGTAATAATAGTAGCATAATAATAGTAATAATAATATAATTTGCCATACAATCCGTAATATATTCCTAAATTCATATGTGGTGACACATGACGTCATTGATGTCCATACCATTCACCACGTTTAAACCCACCATGGTTAAATAGGTGTGATTGATTTGTTATCAATTTTTTTTTTTTGAAGTTAATTAAGTAAATAATATATATTATCTGGTACCGATAAAATAAATATTACTGTGATAACTATAATGATATTTCAACCACAATCACGGTTAAAAATAATGATATGAAATTATCTTTAATCTTTTATGATGTCATCACCGATCATCACACACCATCACAGCAAATTTAGGACCATGTGGAATGTAATACGTGTTCCTATAAAAAAAAAAAGCAAAAGATAACAAAATATTAAACGGGGTCTTAATATTAACATAATGTGTATTTGATTCTGAGCGAAGTGAAGAATGTATTGGTTTTAGAATAATGTTTATTTTTTTTTCCTTTTGTGTTTACATGAACACTTTTTCTACCAGAATACTCCGATATTCAAGTATAGCACCTTTTCTAAAATGCTCTCTAGGTGGTATTTTAAAGAAGTCATTTTTTGAAATTCTCATTAATATTCGAGATTATAATAATTAATAGCTAATGAACTCTATAAAATAGCTATCTTAAAATTTTAAAAATAAAATAAAAGTTTATTTTTTAAGATTTTTCAAAAACAAAAAATATTGTTTTTATCATTTAAGAAACAAGTATCTCTAAAATCTTACATTTTTTGTCACCCTTATTTTTAAAAAAAACGACTATATATTTTAGATTCTGAGTTCAGCGAAAGATGTATTGGTTTTACAAAGATGTTTATTTTTTTCTTATGTGAATACTTTTTCTACCAGAATACTTCGATATTCAAGTATAGCACCTTTTCTGAAAGGAAATGCTCACTAGGTGGTATTTTAAAGAGATTATTTTTGAAATTCTCATTAATATTCGAGATGATGGGGAAAATCTGGTTCTTTAGATTAAAACAGATTGAAAGATTAAAACTAAGATTGTCATTGACAACTGTTTTTAATTATTTTTTGTTATTCTTAATTATTTTTATTTTAATCTTTTTTAAACAATCATTGTTCCCATGGAAATGCTCATTGTTGTAATCAGTTTATCATTTATTGTATTGTTGATAAACCAACATTATCAACTAAACTCCACTCAGAATCGTTTTTTCGTTAGCAATGGTTTCATAGGCGTGCACAGGGAATGCCATAAATAAAACGGGCTATTTTTCTTTGGACTTTTATCCTCTCACTTAAACACAGAATATAATGAATACAAAATATCGTTTCATTAAAAATCATATTGTCCATCTACATTTTATACTAGTATTATATTATCTAAATATCTAAATATTTATCACGACGACGGTATTTTTTTTAATGACACAAGTAATATGTTAATGATTCATTTAATCAAGTCAACAATATTATATTTTGTGGAAATAGTAAGTATTATATAAAAAAATAGTTTTATTTGTTGAATTGTTTCTATAATAATAATTATTATTATTGTAATAAAAATACGGACATACTACGCACGATGGGTGGCAACTGTTGTAAATGAGAAGTTGGGAAGGTAGGAAAAAAATGGAATTTAATGTATTTTTATATGCAAAGATTAATTATTTCTAACAAAAAGCGATTCTGAGAGGAGTTCGGTTATAAATGTTTTAAAAGACAGTAATATTCACAGTTTTCTTCAAAAGTTGATATGACCTAACATTTTTGTAAAAAAAAAAAAAAAAACATTAAACTACATATAACTACATTAAACTTATATTTTTTTTTTATTTACCACTAAATAAAACATATAATGAATAACCTGTTAAATTTTCAAACATTTCTGTTTGGTCTAATAATTTTATCCACCGAGTACTTACCTAATAAAAATTACGTAAAATAACTCGCAAAATTAAAACGTCTTTAAATAGCTCAAATTTTTTGAAAATTCTACCACATCTATAAAAGGAAAATATAATTTTTTGTTGAAATTTCAAACCCTTATAAAAAATTTTAACTGCATTAAAATAAAAAAAAGGACAGACATAGTTCGTGCATAGGCGCAGCCACTGTTGTAGGTGAGAAGTTTGGAAGGTAGGATACAAATGGGAATTCAATGTATAACTAAATTTACAAAATTTAATAATAACATAATAAAATCTGTAAGTAACGATAAACCATTGCTAACGAAAAAACGATTCTGAGTGGAGTTCAGTTGATAATGTTAGTTTATCAACAATACAATAAATGATAAACTGATTACAACAATGAGCGTTTCTATGAGAACAATGATTGTTTACAAAAGATTAAAACAATAAAATCTAAATAATAACAAAAAATAAATAAAAAACTGTTGTTAATGACAACCTTATTTTTAATCTTTCAATCTTTTTAACCTAAAGAACCAGATTTTCCTCATCATCTCGAATATTAATAAGAATTTCAAAAAATGATCTTTTTAAAATTCCACCTAGCGAGTTTATTAATTGTTCTGGAAATGTTGAGTATTAAATTTTATTTCCATTAAATTCGTGATTTTTAATAATTTTTCAAGTTCCAAGAAAAATAGTGTACAGGTAATTTTCCATAATAATAATAATTAATTAGGTAAGGAAAGCCTACTACATAATTAGGGGTACTTTTCTCTAAACATAAAAATTATTGAAAATCACGAATTTAATGAAAATAAAATTTTAAACGTCAACATTTTATGAAGAATAAACTTACAAAATCTTCAAATTTGTCGAAAACAATGAATTAAAAATTTTTTTTTAGTAAAACATTTGTTTGCATAAACATAAAAAATTAATATTAATATAAATATTTATAGTCCTTATCCCTGTGAGTAATATAAAAATAAAACACAAACTTTTATTATCTTTATTATTATCTCTTAAGATATTATAATGGGTATACATTCATGGGACACCCTGTATATCATATTATATAGATAGGTATTTATTATTGTATACAATATTTAACTAACCGTGTAGGTATAATAAGTATATGACAAATGTATAAATAAATAAAAATTATCTTATTTAACTTTAGAGTACCAACACTACAAACCTAGCTATAATGACAACGCGAATACAATAATGTAATCCATACCTACGTTTTATATTGGTTTAAACATTTCTACATAATTTAACATTAAACAATTAAGTACAGATACCTAATACGAGTCAAATTAATATTGCAAAATAAAATATTTATAATTTTTCCTAAACATTAAACTATTATTCGTACAAGACAAACTCATAATCCAACTAAAGTAACCTTAATAAGTTATATCCTTTAATTTTAGTTTTTCATTACGAACAAAATTATAATATTTATAGATTTAATTTCAAAATAAAAAGTCCATACCTATACGTATCTATCACGAATCAACAGTAATCTTGGAGGATTTTAAATGAATTCGATTTCTGTTTTTTTTTTTAACCCTTACGAAATCATTTAAGTTTAATGTTAACACTATTTTCTATTTTTACCCGTGCTCCTTACTTCTGAAATAAGTATCCAATTTTGATTTTTAATTAACAATCCTTCCCACCTTTCAATCGCAGATTAAAATAGAGAATATTTGTGTAGAAACGATAATATGCATAACACTAATATTAGATTTACCGTTAATTAATTCTAACAGTTTAAAGTTTAAACCAAAGGGGTAGGAAACGGTAATATAGTTTGCATAATATCTACTTTTAAATGATGTATTATTAACTCTCCCATAATGGTTTGAAAAAAACTGAAATCATTGAATTCATTTAAAATCCCCCGAGAAAATGTCTGGCTCATGATAAAAGAATTACCCTGTGTATCATAATAAATGTGTATTTATTTTATATCTGTCGAGATATATTTTCGGATGATAAAATATTTAGTTAAGTGTAACCAATTAACTATTCCGTGAGTTGACAAAAAAAAAAAAAAAAAAAAAAAAAATGAATATGAATGATTAAAGCCGGTGTAATATTATGTTCTGTACGTTTGTTGCGTATATGATAAATTGACGTAAATTTAAAGATATTGCTATTGATACGTGCCTATTTTGAACTTAAATTAATCTTATTATTAATTAATGAGAATGTAATAAAATGTATGGTACAACACGCTCGATCGACTAATAATGTTTAGTGAATCGTAATTTTATTCACGAGTAATTGGCGGTTGAAAACGCCCACGACAAGCTTAACACGACGAATCGACATAATATACTAAGCCCTTCGACGGGCTTAGTGAACTTAAAAATAAAAAACATTTTTTTTTTCTCAGTCACAATCGGTACGTAAGTATGAAATTATTGCACAATAATTACACATTTTATTATGTTACCGTGTCCGGCAGATATTATCGATTTATTTCCACGATTAATTCATAAAACATGTAGAACCGTCGTCATACTATTTGTCTGCGCGGACATTCCATACACCCACGTAATAATTTTTGATTTAGTCACTTATATCACGTCCGTATGGTACGTTGAAGTTAAATCATAGTTACTCACGCTGATATACGCGGCCCCGTATTTAGCAATGGCGAACATTGAGGTACTCCGATGACGCCGGAATACAATAACTCCGATTTCGTCGCAGTGTTGTTCCCCGTGAATCAGTCCCTTTCACTTTGCTGTCAAATCGTAATCGCACCTCGGCAGCAAAGCGGAAAAAGACAAATCCACGCAAAGAACGGTTCCAGCCGACGACAGTTGCAATGCGATTAGTACCTATAGGTACCCGAGCACATACTCGGATTATTACACCGTGCTAACACGTACAATAACAATATAATAATACGATTAAAGGATCACGGAGAAAAAAAAAAAACAAAAAAAAGTCAAACTTAACCTGACCGGTTAAGAAGACGGCGTCATAAATATTGCGCAAAACTGTATTTGTTATAACGCGTACATAAATTTAGAAAAATAAAAAATGTATTCGTCTTAATTTCATAAATGATTTAAATTTAATTTTAATATGGATTTTTTTTTTTTTTTGGTTGACATGAAAAAAAAAACCGTATCCGCGCATATACGTATCCGTATACGTTATGCGGGTTTTGGCTTATCAAATTTGTTCGTCTGCCACTAAACATGTACTAAATGCTCTCCGTATCGATTGTCGACGACGACGTCCTTTATTATGCAAACTGTGCTGTAGTTATCGCCTAACAATATGCTTAAACTGAGTCGAGATAATAATATACAGGGTGCCCCATAGAAATCTGTCAATATTGCAGTAACATGTTTGTTCGGTTCGATGTATATATTTTTTTTTTTTTTTTTGAACAATTACACGTACTAGAGTCCGTTGTAATTCGTATAGTTTTTAATTTTTATGTACATAACATTTATTTTTTTTTATTTTCAAAACCCAAGATAATTATTGAACACGATTATTGTGAAACGAAGTTCAGACGTTATAAATGTTTACCAATGGTTAATCGATAATTATATGATATTTACGATAATTTAAATTTTGTATACATTAATTTCTATTAAACTAAAAAACATCAAATAATTTATCAATTTTTCCGCGAAAAATTACTCATAATACAACAATAATATTATTACATAACATAGTGATTATTTAATAATTATAATTTTAGGCAATAAATACAATTTAAAATGTCGTAAACATCAACAAATTATAAACAAATTAACGGCTTGTCGTTAGCAAACCACATTTTTAACACTAAGATTTTGTTTCGAAATAGACGTATAAAATAGCAATATTAATACATTTAGAATTTCGGTTAAACATGATTTGAAATGCCGTAGCTGTTACTGATTTTCATAAAAATTTGAATTTTAACGTTCATAAAAATAAAAACAACTACTTAACTTTTTTTTTACCGTCTATTATGATTTATAATGAACAGCTCGTCTTAAATTTTTAAACATTTCTGATCGGTCAAACGATTTTTGTCCACATAAAACTTACCAAATGGCTCAATGATTTTACCACGTCTATAAAAGACTAACAGAAGTATTATGTAAAAATAACAGCTCTTTCTAGGATTATTGGTAATCGATCTACAACGAAAAACATAAAAATTGAACGAACTAAAAATAATAATTGAAATCGTCAACGCCGTAAAATTGGTTCATTTTTCCTTAACTTTTTCTTTCAATTACTATGAAAACCGCTTGGGAAATCAAAAAATGGCATTCAATTAGTCCACCTTGATCTAAAATGCATCAAAAAAAAAATGTCTTTTTTCGTTTTTTGTTCGGAGCATGATTTCTGTTATAAAAGTTGTTCGTAGCCACAATTAGTAAACACACATCATAATATAATAAAACCCACACATTCCACGCTCCGCGCAGAGTCCAAACATTTCATAATATCGAACAAAACAAAAGATGTTCCGGTTTGTCTGATTTCCGTGGGATAACACTCTGTATATTATTATTTATGTTGAACGATAAAAACTACGAAATAAGAAAAAAACACGTTGATTACCTCTACTTGATATTTTCGTAGATACCTATATAAAATATCATTATATATTGCATAAAAAAAAAAAAAAAAAATGTTTTTTATAGCACGTACCTGAGTGCAGGTCGTAAATTAATACAAGTACTTGGATGTGTACCGTGGTGGCAGCGGCGGCGACGGAAGTGACTGTTCGACGGATATGAAATAGCTGACAGTATTTAAATTTTAAAATTGTATTGCGCCCGTGAATAATAGCGCTGCGCCGTCATCATCGAGAAACGCGTAAAACATATTAAAAAAAAAAAAACCGTAATCGCGCGTTAGGTTAGGGAATCGAGTTCGGTATAAGCGGCGAAGACGACCGCCGACGACGACGTGAGAATGCGCGATATACGGAGAGAAAAAAAAAACAACTCGGTCGGAAACTAAAATTAATACCGACGAACGAACGAAAATTTATACACGCACGTATAATAATAATACGATAATACGAGTAATATATACATGTGTACATGTATACGTGTGTGCATATATGCGATGACGCACGAACGTCCGCGCAAACTTTTTAGCTTCTTACATATATATATATATATAGTTTATACATCACCTCCCCGAAACGTTTTTAAACGCGATTTTATTTCGGTCCGACGGCGAGGGGGCGATTCTGGACCGGCGTCAAGGTCGCGGTGTGCCAAAAACGGATATACTGCATACATCACACACGCATAACAGTATACACACAAATAGTAATAATTATACACTCGCGTGCAATATTATACAGAGCGACCGGTCCTCGGACAAGACACTCGTTATCTCGGAGAGTATTGTTCGGCCCGTATCGAAATATAATTCGTTGTTTCGGTCAACTTATCGGACAAAACGGCTGTGAAACGATATATCCATTATCGTTGTTTTTCGATCATCCTAATTTTCGGCGGCTAAACCAACGCCGCTAAAATTTGATTTTCAAATAGCGACCAGCTGTATTGAAAACTGCACAGTTAAATGGGGTTTTAATTTTATAGCATTTTCGTGTTGATATTTTTAATTTTCGTCGACCCGTCGACGGGATATTCTATTTTTAAGCGTTCGTAAGAAGTGAGTAGTGGAGCTTCATTTTTGCGGCGGTACGGCACGCCGCGTTTGAATCAGTGGCGTACACAGAGGAGGGTTAGGGAGTCAGAACCCGAAACGTCTCGAAACGTCTTCCTTCGTTAAATTATTTTCAATCAAATTTTACACACAGCAGCATAACATTTTATACCACAGAGTAAAATAATCGAAAATCTTTTATTCGGTAATAACAGCGGTAGTACTGTATTGATAATATGTGCTATCCTCTTTCTAGGAAACTATTATAAACACGACATCCCCCTACCCCGAAAAAAATCTTACGTGCACTATTGGTTCGAATAGTGAATCTACTACTTTCTCACTACCTACAAAACAACAAATTTAAAAACGGAATATCCAAATATCCTCTTTAACGGCTCGACGAAAATTAAAAATGCCGACGTCTAAATGTATTAAAACTGAAACTTCATCTGTTTATGAAATTTATAATATAGGTTACTTTTTGAAAATCAAAAATGTGTAGTAATTTGTAATTTCAACCCCGAAAATAAAGTTTTTTAAAAAAAAAAATAATGTATCATTTTAGTGCTGCTTGGTCCATATGAAAATAATTAGTGTCTTATCGAGGATCGATCACCCTGTATACACGAATCATTTTGTAGGCCAAAACAACACTTTCAGCTGACAGCCGCCGTCGGACCGTCGAATAATGTGTATAATATTCAATATACAGTGTCTCACCGTGTTTACCCGACGCTAAGTAAAACAGTATGAACGCTCTGATAGCGTTCATACTGTTTTATTTTTCGGTCAGATTTTGTGTGAAGAGGTCATATTAAATTTAAAGAGAAAAATTGTATTTATTTTTTCACCTTTTAAAACCACTAGATAAATAGCATTTCATTTGTTCATTTTTTTTTTTTTAATTATCAAAGCAGCCATTTTGTAATAGATATTATTTTGAACATTTTAATGCTTTTGTCAGGATCCACATACTTTTGGTGATAAAAATCACATTGAACGTTGACAGAGATAATTCCTTAACTATGCAGCATTTGTACTATATAGACTTGGTTTGAGTATATCTCGGTATTGAAGACAACTTGCAAATTTCAATTTTCTCAAACGATTAATAAATGGCAATGTTGACACTCTTGAACTACTCTCTACCATTAACTTTAAAGTTCCATCCAATAATCTCCGTCACACATATCCATTCTTTATTCCTAGATTAAATACCATTTTTTTGTTGAACCGGCCAATAATTAGCACTATGAATATAGCATTTAGGAATTCGTCTTTTCTTTTTTTTCTAGTATTAGATGTGTGTTTTACGTGCCTCGTTCGTATTATATTAGTATACATCATGTATTTGATATTTTTTATGTAACTGGACTACAATAATACTATAATACTGCGTATTATACATAAATATATATAAATCCCAAAGTTTCCTAGTAATAGTTTTCATTATTAGAAAAGGGGTATAAGTTACTTTTATAGTTTTATCCACGATAGAATTATCAATCATATTTATATTATATAGTGCTGCGATAGTAACCATTGATTGTTATATTTCTCATATCCCTTTTCTAGAAATTAAAACGACTATTAATGGCTGTTAAATTTTCAAGCATTTTTTTTTAGTCTGACAATTTTATCCACAGAGTACCTACCAAGTAAAAAACTATCAAAATTAAAATGTATACAAATTGCTCAAAAATAGCTTAAATGTTTTGAACATTTTACCACGTCTAGAAAAAGCAAATATAAGTGTTTTGTCAAAATGTCGAATACTTTTATGTGAATTAAAATTAATAAAACGAATTTAAAAATTATAAAATAATAATTTTTCGTAATTTTTCCCATTCTTCTACGTATGTTTCGGTTTTGCTGAATTATTAAAAAAAACTACAAAGAAAACCAAAAAACTTTTTCATCATCACCAACAAAATCAAAAATGGATCAAAAAAGATTTCTTGTGAGTTTTTGAGAGAATCAAGATTTCTGATATAAAAATGAATTCGTTAAATTTAAATCATACGACATCAATTTGTTTGTTTTAATTATTCTTCTTTTTGGTTTATCTGAATCATTATTATAAAAACCACTTGAAAACCAAAATTGACCCCCTTAATGCACCGGCTAGATAATATTTTCTGTCAGCTACAATTGATACATCGGAACATGATTTCTGATAGAAAAGTTGCGTGTCACAGACACAATATATAAAAAAAAAAAAAAAACAAAAACATACGAGTACATTATAGTGAAATAAATTTATACAATAACAGAATCGGAAAAACATTGTGGGACAACCTGAATACTAACAGCTAACTGTTGCTGCTGCTGCTGTACTCGTGAAGATGTGACTTTTCATGTCGAGACATTTTTTTTTGCACGCATTTCTTTCACGGATCAGCCATCGATAGAATAATATTTTGTACTCAGATCTACTCTTCTCTCCCTCCCATACATATTTTTTTTTGCTATGATTTTTGAGTAACAAAACCAAATTTTCTTTTTTTTATTTTAATTTCGAGTGCAGCGAGAAACTAGTTATTAATCAATCAAATATATTTATTTAAGTTATTATTAAAATTGTTCTGATTTTTTTCATAACGTCGTATTGGTACTTAAAAAGAAAAACGAATTTATTGACTTGAGGTTAGGAATCTAGACAATTTTTTATAAAATTAAAAACTAACAACGAATGTCGATACATCAGTTCTCAATAACTTTTTTGATTTCTGAGTGTTACAAGGTTTTATTCCCCTTGTAGTAATATTGTACCGACCCAGAAATCCATAAAAATTCCGACATAAATACTACTGATAAGTAGTACTCCGCTAAAAAATGGTTTTTTGATTACAATGATTTATGGTAACTTTCAGTATTTAAACTATCAAATTACCCGAAAATAATAATCAAAAATCACGTATTTTCTTCCGAAGAACTTTATATACCTATTAGGTATATTACCTAATATGTTATTCACTTAGGTATTATTAATATTTAAAGTATAATAATGAAGTTGGTGATGGTTTCATATAATAGACGATATTGTTGACTAAAAACTTTATACCTGCAAAATGTTCAATAAATAATAAATAGTAGTAGGTACACGGTTTTATAATATATAATGTTTTTCAAAATATCTATTTTATTGTGTAAACATCAATCCTCGTAGATACTTCTAGCGTTACCTATTTGTAATGTGAATATATTTTAATCTTGCATTATTTAGAAGGCTAAACTGTCGCAGAAATCGTAAACTACGAAGCAAAAACCAGATTTGAAATAATTGTTCAAGATTCATTAACATTTTTTTGGAAGGAGGAGGAGAGATATATCTGAATTTTAACCTATCACACCAAAAATTAAATGTATTCAAGAGCACGTGCTCTGAATTTGTATCAGAATTCTAAAACAAGAAAGCGCCAATTGCTGTTGAAAACTGTATCTATTCAATTATATCGAATTTTTCGTATTGTTATTCCGAATTTAGAGATGTGATATCTATATATTACGCCGTCAAACACTACATTTTCGGAAAAAGCGGAGGTATCTGACTGTTGCATCTAAGTCTTTTTTTCAATGCAAAATATTTTTGATATTTTACATTATATAATAATAGTTCTAATTATATCGTATATAGTTATGCAGGTATCCAAGTCATATTTCAATAAGTATTCAAATTATTGAATTGAGTACCCGCTACCTATCTGTAATAGCATACAATCTGTTCATACTTACATTCTATAATAGCAATAAAATACTATCTGATTTGTGTAATAAACTAAAAAATAACTTTACTATGACAATGCGAAACGCGATACAGCCAGTCCTGTTGCGGTGGCGCGGAAGGTGGCAGTAGAAATCTCACTCACTCTAATAATAATATTACGGCCATACCGAGCGACGACAATTCGATTAAAAATCGCCTAAACGTTTGCCTCTTCATAATTAAAAGGTTCAAGACCACTTTTTTTTTTTAGATATTGTTTTACTTCGGAAAAACATGTTTAAAAGTCCAATTGTGTTGTTGTTGCGCTAAGCCCATTAGTTAAATGTATAAACTAAGTACACAATAATTAAATCAATTTAATATGGTCATATAATATTACGTGATAATATTAAGTAAAATATTATGACCAATGATCATACTGGATATTTGTGTTATACCTACTAATAGATCACTGAATAAAACAATTTTCTCTTATCAATATATAAGAACCGATCAGCTGCAATTAGTTACAAAAACAAGATAAAGTATTTATTGAAACAACTACTAGACTACTTTAAATTACTCGTATTCGATTGATATACCTTTTATTATAAAATGAATTCTGACTGTTTATAACCTCAACAAGTATTTAATCTGAATTAAATATAAAACAATTTTGTCAAAAATAATTGCCTCTATAAATTTGTATACAAATATGATTGTCTTGAAAACTATAATAGCGATAAATTTTTTTATGAAACTTGCTAAAAAAAAAAAAAAACTACAATTGGCCCTAATTCAAACTATGCGGAACAAATACCAGTTTATTGGTTTACAATAATAAAAATTAGTTAACTAATACAAATACAAACAAGTATTAAGTGCATCTGTTATTAAACCAATAAATGTAATAAGTTAAATTAAAATAAAACGATTACACCAAACTAATTTATTTATGTATTTTTTTTTTTTTTTTTTACTGTTGAGTTTTGTAGTAAAAAAATATGAGAACCTCACATAGGTTTTTATTGTAATAATACACATTTCGTTTTAAATGATTTTGATATAATGATAGATAATTTTTTTACTATTCTTCCCAATTATTATAAAAACCCCTTGGAAAATCAAAAAATGACCTTCCCTTTAACATGATATACTTGATACGTCGGAGCAAGTTTTCTGTTCGAAAAGTTGCTCACGGAACACGAAAAATAAAAATAATGAAAACACTTTTATGAATTATGCATTCTACAATAAATATTGCTTTAATCGATAAACGACAAGTGCCCTTATTTGTTGTATATTTGATCTAGTTTGCGAAAAAAAAAATTGTATTATGTATCATCAAGCACTTTTCAAAGTAATTAGGAAAAACCAGAAAATGACGTATTACAAAAATGTACGATTACATTATTATTAACTTTGGCGAGTTATGTTTTCTGTATTATTTACCAGAAATATTGATTGAATCGATAAATAACAAGTGTTATTTTTTGTTAAATTTTTGATCTAGTTAAATAAGTTAAATAGTTAGAACAAGTAAGTCGTTATTTGATAATTTAAACAGTTTTCAAAATAATTGAGCAAAAACTGAAAAAATAAAAACGTAAATTACAAACTTATAATAAATGTACAGCATTAAGACAATATTATTTGTTAATGCAAGAATATAGTTGTAATTTATTTACTTATAAAATTGGTATGTTGTAAAAAGTAAAACCTAGTAGTTAAAGTAGTTAAAAAATTTTACCGCAACATTTTTATTTTCCATTATATTTTATTTTTTATAGCAGTGTTTTTACTTCTATCTCCAGAACGGTAGTGGTACAGTGATGAGATTTTTTTTTATTTTAAATACCTAGACCTTTATATTGTACATTATTAAATAATATTACAAAACTCAAAATGTTTAGTTGTTTTTTTTTTTTTTTTGCGAATATAATATAATAAGTAACTCGCTCTTACGTTCAATGCTTTAACCACATAGATGAGTTCGTTAAATTTTACTAGATGGCGCTAACTGTACATGAACACGATTTATATTAACAATAGATATAATACATTGATTAAAAAATTAAGAGTCTTCTTCAACAAATTTATTAATCTTCAACAATCACAGTACATTTATGATAAATATAATAAAATATTATATTATTATATTATTTACGTATTACAGCGTTGTTTTATTTATATAGACTAAACGTTTCACAAGGCATGTTATAATCCGCGCAATAGAATTATCAACAAATTCCCACGAAAATTCAAATGATATGAAATGACTGTTACATGATGTGTTAATTTTTTTCTTTTAACCTAGGCATTCTTAAATGAAATGGAATGTTATTCCTAAATTTTAATTTTAGGTGGGGCTTATTTGAAATAATTTTTTCCAACTTCAAAGGATAAAATACAAAAACTAAACTAGTAATATAAGTATTTAGTGAAAATGTCAGGTTTCTACTATTATTTTTATTGAATAAAATGTTTACATTTTATTAAATATTTTTCTGTAATATTAATGTGTATTTGTTTAATAATTGTCTCTATAGATAATGAAAATAAGAAAGAGAGGTTGAGAAATTGTTCCAAATAGAGAGAGAACCGCCATAATATCTTTGGGCCGAATATTATTTCGACGACGGGATTGCCAGTGATAACCCACGGTGAGGATCATAAAACACTAAAGTCAATATTGACTCATTCGACAAAACCAACCGATTTCAAATTATGAAAATTAATATTTATATAACCGATTGAAATCGTTACTTATAATTTATAATAATACGAAGTAGGTCAAAACATATTCTCGTGTTTCAATAAACACACACACACACACACACACATTACTTTTGTAGTTTGTTTTTACTAAAGTTTAATGCCCACAATAGTAGGCAATAGTAGGCCTACTCTCAGAAACTTTATTGTAAACCATGAACTCGAGTTATTTTAACAATCGGTTAGTCTTCCTCGTTGTACAAATAATTATCTTCGCGGCTGTTAAAAATGCGTATAGTAAAGGTAACTTATTTTATACAATTATATAGTAGTACTGATTATGTTAACATAATAACGTCTAAAATGATGACGTTTGGAAAAAGTTCCTACTTAATTATTATAGTATTATTAATTTTTTTTTTTTTTTTTTTTTTTTTTTTTTGTAGTTAGCGAACAACAGCAATATGGTAAGTAAACTAACATCGTAAACATATGTTATAGGTATATAGGTGCAATAGACATTAACGAATTAACAAGTTAAAAGTTGAATGAAATTTCACATTTCATTTTGAAAATATTTTAACGCAGTATTCAATTTTCAATCTATTTGTATTCTACCTATTTTATTCAATCTATTATTATAATTCATTTACCTACACTATTTGCATATGTGCCAAAATACATCGTATAAATTAAAAATTATTGTTTTCAATCAAATATTAAATTGAATTAGGTAATAAAATAATATTAAATACCTAACTATCCGGTTTTAATGAAACGTGTTTTTTTTTTTCATTGTAATTTCAGATTGTCTACGTAAGCTATATGTTAAATTATAATTTATAGGCCCAATATGCATGTGTTAAGTTTTATTGTTCATAAATTATTATTTAGTTTTTTTTTTTTTTAGTTATACTATTACACATTAAAGTTATTTCCCTACTAAAATAATAGGAACACAACATTATTGTTTGTTCAATAACATTTTAGTAATTTATTTAAATGTTCAAAAAAACCATCGTGTACATTGTTTAGGTCAACTAAAACGTGCAGGATTCGAACGTGAGTACACATTTTACAATATAATTACAATATTGGTCAGTGTTTATTTTCCTTTAATTCATGAATATGTATTAATATGGTTAACTATCTGCCTCTACAATATAGTATTAAGACCTCTATAGAAAAAAGGGCTTTAGTCAATTTGGAACAGAAAAAGAAAATTAGGAAAAATGACAGATACTATGGAACTATGTTAAGGAAACGAACAATTATTGAAAAATTATACATTTTATAATGTAATAATTACTGTACGCCTACTGAAAATTGTAAAGAAAATATTCCAAAAATTCACTTAAGCCCTTCTTCCTTGAAGATGTACCGAATAACTAACAAATCGTTTTAATATTTCCTATGCTATACGATTTATAGGGGAATATGACGGAAAGGACGCTCTTATTGTGGCGTATTTTAATTTGAGTGAGTCGATTTAAATAAAATAACATATGATATCAGACATATTTATATATTATAATCTCCCTAAACAAAGGCGTTCCGAAAATGTCCACGATTTCGAATTTTCAATTTAGTTTAGGATAAAGAGACCTACTGTATACATTGTATAAAGACGAGTGTATACTATGAATCATTCTAATGGTTTTGTTTATATTTTCATTCGTCACAGTTTGTTATCAATGGTTAAAAATAAAAGGAAATTAAAATATTAAAAACTCATCCGTATGATCCATGGTAAATACTTATCATTATAGAATGTAAAAATGACCTCTTTGCTCCAAACTCGACTAGAAAGTCTCAATAGTAGAAATGCAGAATTTTTCGCAACTGTATTACGTGTGAGACAGACAGAGAAAACAATACCATATGTTAATGCCGAGACCCCTTAATACAATTATGCGTGGGACGAAGGTGGAGAAGAAGAATATGATGTATAGCATCGAATATTAGATAATAACAATAATTGTAATTATAGAATAATATGACGTCGCATTTTATGTTTTTTTTTTTAGCCGAAGAACATATCACTCAATTAAAATATAGTACGTTTTTATAATTTGTTCTCTCGTTGTAAATATTGAGAATCAGGATTGATTTATATTCATTATTATTTGAATCGATTTCCTAACTGAATATACTATTATAGTATAATAAGTATTAATTATTTTTAATTTTGGTTATAGACGATATAAAAATGTATTTTGGTGATTTTTTCGATATGGACAATTCTGCAGGTACCCATTGTATTATTATCAAAATATTTTATATTATGTTTTGTGATTAAATCATCCAACTTGATTGCAATACATTAAAAATGAGAAAGAATTGCAATCGATTTGTTTCTTCGTTTAAGCATTTATAATTGAATATTTAAACTCTGATTGGATCGAACGCATTGGAGTTTGAAATAAATGATCACCATATGAAACCTTACAATTCCAACGCGAAAGAGTCATCAGTAATATTCACTATCACCAGGAATAATATATAGTAGTCTAATCAATATTGTACTTAAGCTTGCAATTCACATTTATATTACTCGCGTGTGATACACGATTTCTAAAATTTAAACAATGGTTGTATTGGTGCTCATGTAAAAATGAACAAGTTTGATATTTTTTTTTTTTTTTTTAGATATACCGAATTACCGTTATTACATATAAATACTTATATCAATAACTAATCAATAAATAAAAACAATGAATTCCAACAAATTAACCGAAAATAAATTCAATAAAAATCCTCAATTATTATAAGTCTACGTACTGTTTATTTTATTTTTAGACGACAGTGAAGTTAAACAGTTGTATAATTTGTTCTTCGGAGAGGACACCTTAGGTATGTATTTTATTGTACATAAAGAACGTACATCAATTATTAATCAATCATCAATTATATATATGATACTGATATTTTCACATTGCCCTAGTAGTGATGACGTAACTATTAATGTGATAAGGTACTGACTTCAAATTCGTCTTTATTTTAACTACCGGTTTGATCTTTTCGTATCGGTCTTCAGCTCTAGGTCCCCTTTTTATTCCAATAAGCAGTAATTTGCATCACCTTGTCTAAAAAATCAGTTGTCATCGTACAATCTTCTTTTCTAAATTTAATCGTTACATAGTATGAGTAGTAGGCATTCTAAAATATATTGTGTCTTGCTTCGCACATTATTCGACCATTGTAAATAACGCCCCGATGACGGTAAGCTTCATTACGAATCGTTTCATTTCTGAAAATTATGCTCATTCGTTTTCTTCTTCCACAGGTCTACTGTTTGTTCATAATAATAATAATATTCTCTTGTCGAATATTGCTTTTAACACTAATATACCTACATAAAAATTAATATTTTAATTTCAGATAACAATGTAATAAAACATTATCACAATCATCTCTTCGATAACGTCATAGTCGGTATGTGTAAATAAATTCAATTGAATCCATATTTATTATATTAGGTTAGATTAAGGTTTACTTGTGATCCTACTTTGACGAGAATCGGGGATATATTAAAATCAAAGACATTACAAAAAAATATTGTTTACCTAATGTAATATAATAATAACCCACCTAAATATTTATTGGCACCTTTACATGCATAAGTGATTGATTCGTTAGTATGAACGAATACGACTAATAATTACAGTGGAATAGCCAGGAGAAGGGAGGGGAGGGTTAAAGGGTTATATCCCTATCTGAAAAATCGCTGACACAATCTCTATACTTTTTAAGACTTACAAACGTACATATTGTTTAAAATATAACAACATTTGGAATCTATCAAGTATAAGCATACAGAACATCAGGTAATGTATATTAGATACCTGGTCTAAAAGTCACCAACCTAATTCAACAAAAAAGACTTTCTTGACCATGCGAACTATAATAATATTTAATAGAATCTAAAGATATTATTATGTTAAGTTAAAAATATTAAAACAAAATTGAAATACCATTTTTTTTTTAGATTACAATAAAATTCAATCACCAAACGATTTTTGTCGAGAAAAAATATCTACAGGTTCGTAAAAAGTATTTATTTTAGTAAAAAATATTTTATTTTTTTTTTTTGTACACTCAAATTTAAAAACACTCGTGAACAGCAGAATTCAATCACTAGAATATAATTTTCCCGCATTAATCCATTTCCAAAATTAAAATCTACGCATATATGCACACAATTTCGTCCCATTGCCTTCATTTTGGAGAGATCTGTAGGGATTTCCCGCTAAAAAAAACTATTCCCACAACAAAATGGTGAAATAATTTTGATATTTAACCCAACTCTTTTTTTATCACTACAATCCGCCTGCAAATGTATCAATAAAAAAAATTAATTAATTTAAACACTCATTCTAATGTACAAAATATAAAACAATAGCACAATATATTATACCTGGTAAATTATGTAAATAGTAAGCATTACGTTAAGTATAGCTACTTATGAAATGTTAATTATTTTAAAATAATACAGAATTTCATTACGAAAAATATAAAAAAATTCTCTTTTTATTTATTATTTTTAACAAAAGATTCCGCTTCAGAAGATAATATTACGTATTGTGAAAGTAAGTTTAAAAATTTAAATATATACATTTGAGCGTGAGAACAAAATAATAGACTTCAAAATAATAACTTATTATAATTTATTGTAATCATCGATCTGCAGATAAACATACAGGTGAGGTCGGTAGCCATAAAGCCGTACCGATACATACAAATATTTACTACGTGTCAATCGCATTTATTGGTACCTTTACTTTTTATAATAATTATTAGTTTACACGGATTTCTGACAATTATCTAAATAGTTGGGCGTTATACGTCATACTAAACTAGCTTCCGGTAAAAATTCGAAATATTTGAAATTATGAGATAAAAATGTACACTATTATAACCATTTGGGACTAGATTCGAATATGGGGTTAAAAACAGGAATTTCCGTGTAAGAAACTGTAAGTTTTAATGAAATTTGCGAATATAATAGCAACGGCACGCCACAGAGTTACAGATTTCGACATTTTTACTTATCCCGAACTATGTTTTCTACAAGAAATATTACTTTAATGTATCCTATCTCATTAACTTCCCACCTTAAATAGTGGCGGATACATCAACAGTATCAGCTTTTTCTTTTAAAATAGTGAAATATTTTATTTAATGGATATTAAATACTATTACTGTTTCTAATAATAATACATAGATCCGTTAACTGTTGGAGGATTTGAACGTAAGTTTTTTTAAATAGTTTACATAATAACGAATGACAATATAGTATTTCAACATTTTTTACAGGACTTTTTTTACAACTTGACATTTTATGAAGGACAATTTTCTCGATTCACCCTTACTAATTTTACCTTAAATGTGTTCATTCATCTTTTTATCGAAGGTAAAATATTAGATATACAAATGATTAAAAAAAAATATAGTGCATGTATCAATAGAAAAATTTTGTTCTACTGAACAGTTTTCAAAAATAGGCTACTTCACGTTTTCATACGCATTATACTGAAATCGGATTTAACGTGTATGAGCTTAACCGATAAAATTTAAACCACATGAGTTGGGAAGGGTAATAATAAACTGCATATCTATTTTTAGACGATCGTTTTAGTTGAACTTGGTTTACGATTACCTATTCTGATGTTAAGTTAATATGAAAACTTACAAAATAACGTTGTTTATTCCCAAGTAGTTATTTCGCAAACCCAATAAATAAAGTTTAAAAATGATATAAAAATAAAATTTATTTTTTTTTGTTTTAGTCATCGGTCAAATTCTATCCCTAAAATCGCATGTATGTCTAGATAAAGGTAATTGGAATGTTATATATAAACATCATAATAAGCTTAAAGCTCTAAACAATAATATATTTGAATTCAAATGAATAAATTACTAAATGATTACGTTAATTTATATGTAATAGAATCTCCGTCGAAAGAGATGTTGAATTGTCAAAGTAAGTTCAATGAATCTGATTGTATTATTATATGTTGATACGATAAATTATAATACCGTGTCAGTTATAAATATAATTACGTTAATTATATAAAAAAATTAAAATAATATTATAGACCAACTAAGAGTCGGCGGATTCGATCGTAAGTTCATTTATTTTGTTTTAGAAACAATGAAGTTTTGTTGTATTCATAATTTTTAAATTTTAACTCCTTTGTTTTTTTCTTGTTAACTGTATATGAATAATAATTATTCATTTATACAAACATATTCTATATTAATTTAGAATTTGATTTATTATTATTCTTTAGATTTTATTATTATTATTATTATTATTTTTTAGTGCATCTTAGTAAAGAATATATTCTCCATTATTCATTTTTCCGAACGGGTGAGTATATATTATATATACAAAAACAAAAATACCTTGGTAGTTAACTTTTACATAATCGATAATATTATTACTGTTCTTCAGAGTTGTTCTATAGCGTATATTTATTAAATTTTGAACTGATAAAGTCCAATCAAATTATAGGATTCCCATTAAACGATATTGATATAAATTTAAAAACGGAAGCTGTTCAATTGTATTTTTACAGCTTTGGTCTCAGGATGACAAGTTAAAATTATCTTATTAATTTATAGTTTTCAATACAAGTATATTAAATTTTAAAAATGCATACACTTATGCAATTTAGACAAAAAATTAAATTATACAAAAATGACTTAGCTCTTTTTCCTGCGGCCAAATATAGTATAATAAATATATTAATAAATTAATAGTGCATAAAAAACAAATAATATCGATTAATCATTATTTAGATCTAAAGAAGGTTAGTGAAAAAAATGGTAAGTTTTTTTGCATATATATGACTGCCACTTGTAGCGGCGTGCCTAAGAATTTTCAATGTAATGGTAACAGTATACACAGTAACAATAATCAAGAATAAATCGTAAAACCGTATTATTGACAATTTTAAAGTCAAATCTGAAAAAAAAAAAATATTAGTATTCAGTTAATCAAGTTTTTCCTTATAACTTGGCTAAAATAAATACATAGTTTCAAGATACAATTACTAAATTAATCCTTATATGTATATGGTATATTTTTAAACAAATTCAAATAAAACTCTAGGCGCCTCCTTCCCTGCGCACGTCATTAGCCTTTTAAACGGTTTTTATATTTGTGCTTTATCAATTAAATTTATAATTAATTGAAAATATTGCCCGTATTTATATTTTCAAGTAAAAGAAAAAAGAATACATTAAAATTATTGTTACTTTTATCATAAATAATTATATAGTAATAAATTGAACATGTGAACAATTTTTTTTTTTTTAGTTTTAACAAATGAATACTTCAGAAATGTAGGAGTTAATTTTGTTAATATGTCGAGTATGTGTATAAGCAAACTATTATAAAAGTATATACCATACATTAAATAATAAATTGTAACAAACCTTAACCTCATTGGTTTTTAATCGTTTTTAGACATAGACAATTTACTAAGTCCAGCTAAGTTTTGTTCTACCCATGAATCTGAGGTATCACAATCTAATTCAACTGAAAATACCGACGAATCGTTAGAGTCGGATAATTATAATTTTAACGAAAAATATCAATGAATTGTGTTGATAAGTTTTTATTTTATTTTTAGTTTTTTAAATAAAGGTATCTGATTTTTATAGGAACATTAATTGTTTACATTATTAAACGTATTGTATAAAACTTAAAATAAAATTATCGATTTTATTTTTACCTATCTACAACTAATACGCAGCTATTTTTACTATATTGTACATATTACTATATTATTATATTATCTTATACAAAATTATTATTTATAATTTGTATGTATATAAAGATATATTTTTTTTTCCTTTTCTACCCCTCCTCTGTTGAGAAATCGTGGATGGAATGTTGTAACATTTTTTTTTTTTTTTTTTCCATTAGTTAATACTTAAATATTTAAATATTTGGTTTACATATTTTCATAATATTATAGTGATATAATAAATAAAATAAAAAAATAACCTATATACTATAGTTATATCACGTGATTTACTGCAAAGTTCTACCCTTCAGTGACGCATCAGTTTTTTTTTATGAAAATGGTGATTGTATGGTGTGAATATGTGACATTTTAATATTTGAATAATTTTATTGGAAAAGTTCAATTTATGGAACCCAGAATTTTAAAATAGAATTGTTCATCAAACCACTCTATTTATGTTAATTTTAATGTTTTCTAATATTAATAATAAGAATAATATTAATAAGTAGCTAAACTAGGTGAGTCCAAAATATTGGAAATAACAAAAACCGGAAATAAAATTATTTTCATTTGTTCATTTGTATGGCTCGTATACGATTGCTTATAGTCTTCAAAGGAACACCCTGTACAACAAATTCATAACGACGATGACCTGCAGTTAAGACATCATTGGTCATTGACACATATCACTGTATAACGGGTGAAAGCATGAAAATTAACTGGACAGTTTTAAATGTTCTAATCTTCGTTTAGGCGAAAGATTAGAAGAGTCATTGTGTCGCAATCAATGTCGTTTATGAGGTATCAACCAGGTGTTTCCAGGCGCTATATAATCAATTTATAATTAATATACGTGTACTAAAAACCCAAATAATTATAAAATTTATATATACAATAAATTCGGAACATTGAGTGCGTATAAAAAATAATAATATTATAGTAGGTGAACTAATTATGTATAGGCACTCAGTATGTTTTATTTGCTCGTCATTGCTGTAATATAAGTTCTCACGTGAGTGCCTTTTGTAGAGTACCTGCAATAATCGTTAAAAATTGCAAAAAAAAAAAACTGTTCGATATCTGTTTTTTTTCCACAAATATATACGACAGTCTTTAATGAATACTATAAAACCATAATAAATAATTTTTTTAAAATCCTTCATTATAATACCTGTATTTTATGAAAGATTTTTTTTTAAAAAAATCGTGGGAATCGGAGATATCTGGGTAATAATAAAAATCATTAAAATTCCATTATAGGTGTCTATATGTTTATTCCGCGTAATGATGCAAAATTATTTAATTATATTTTTATAATTATTTAATTATATTTGGATGAATAGGTAATTAAAAAATTAAAAATGCATGCTTAATCAATAAATATGACATTACTGAATAATAATTATTGTAGTTTAAAAAGTAAATCAGATTTCGTATTTGCTATTTGTAGACTGCTGATATTGTTACGAAACTTAAATCGATTACAAAATCCTATAATATATTATCGTCTCGGAGTAATTTTACTCGTTTGAAATCCTCTCGGGTGGGAAAGAGCCATACAATTTACATTTCAGACTTCTATCGTATCCGAGTATACGATCAGTCCAGTCATTGGGTTATGGATAATTCAAAACCTGCAACTTGACAATCGTCAATGTAAAAAAATAGACAATTATACACCAAAAATCCCACAAATTTAGTTATTCTGTTGCCTATAATGTTCTGCAGATATCGGTTTAGTTGAAAGTATAATATGCGGTTGAGTCAATTATTTTCCTTCCCGATTTAAGTATATGCTTTCGAAACGAAAATCTAGAAATAATAATTACATTATTATTGAGTTTTGATAAAAATAAACAATAATAATAATTTGTTCGGCGAGTATTAAACTGCTAGATACTATTATAATATTACGTATATGCTCGACCGGAATAATATTTCTCAGTCCCGGTATTATTTATAACGTACCGCATGTAATAGACTAATCATAGGTATCATTATTATAATTATTATTCGTCCTCTATAGCCATTCCGTCTCACAACCAATCCTCTATATCCATTCGTTGTCAAAATCTTCTCATTATTGGTCCACCACCTCCTTATAAAACGTCCGTTATATACTTCTTACTGCGTTATCCTCGGCCTTCCCAAAATTCGTTTTGTTTTGACTTCCCCTCATGCATGCCTGCTCAATCATCTTCCTTTTTTGATGATCTCGAAACAAATTCGCTTACAAACATTGCGCTTACAAAACCTATGCGATCTTTGTTTTATTTCTTCGTGTTTATACTCTCTACGGGATATATATTATCCTTTACTTGTCCGATGTTTTTCAGCAATATTTTTCTTTTGAGTATTAAACATTTATTTTCGTCTGTTTTCCTCGGTTCCCAAATTTCAGATTCATGCAATATAACTAGTCATATTAAGATAAAATAACTACAGTTTTTCATATTATAATAATAATGAATATAAGTATTCAGTATTCAGAAAATCTATGTATTTTGTGTTCTATATTCGATTGAGTCCATTAACATAAATAACCGTACGTATAAAAACGTCCTTATTTATACAGATTTTTTTTTTTATGTTATCCATATAATATTATAATGATATTATTATGATAATAGCTGATGATATTTTGTGTATACTTCAGCATATCATATTTGAATTTTCTAATGATAATTTTTATAACGACGCTTGAGACTTAGTAGTCTTGCAAACTCAGTAACGAAATAATATGAGTAATTATAATTTATAATACTTTCAGCTATTGGGCTGTGTACATTAACTTATCAGACTCGTTAATAATGAATCACTGGCTTCACGGAGGCGTATACCGATATTATAATACCTATTGTCTTATAAACTGTGCAAATTGTGCAGCATAATATACAAGTTTTGCAACAAACATGATATTACTATATGAAGTTCAACAGACCGACGTGCAGAATAATATGAAATTCACTATGTGTGATGATAAGGTGCAGATAATTATAAACGCGAATTACGGTAATCTACAGCTGTGACTCTATTCTTAGCCAACACATTTACTATTTACGCGATTTATATTTTAGCAATTGGACGCCATTTTAACTTATTGCACAAATAGTTCGTATTTATTTCCACCGGCAACGGTCTCGAGTGATTAAAAAGGTAATAATAATAATAATAATAATTGTATATACAAATTAAAAATACATTTTTTTTTTTTTTGTTATTCTTTTTCAAATAATGTCATCAATGAAAGGATCAATAGACAATTTGTTCAATTTTTTTAACCGATTAATCACGAATAACAATATAGAGACGATAATGGAAACGGGCAGACGCGTTAAATTTAATTCCCTTCTTTTATTGATTTCTATTTTCAAAATGATTGAACCTGGAAAATACCGGGTAATTCAGCAACAGGTATAGTACAAAATAACCGTGTAAAATATTATACTATTATTATAATGCCATTGAACGAAAAAAAACACGCCGATCGTCGTCTTTTTCTTTATCGTATCTCTACCTATACGAAAAAACCATGTCAATCTAGGTTTGTAACCGTGTTTTAAACCCGCTTATAATATCAAAAGGGAAAATATTTTTTAGAATATTTATGATCTGCAGTATTATATTATTATCATTATTATTATTTACCTTCACGGATCAATTCATTAAGTTCGAAAGAGGGTCATATACTACGTGTAAAACGCGTAAAAGATAATATAATATTATAACAACCGTTTTATAATTTAGTATACCTACTATACACCTATTAATATTGTATACTGAAACGCACATTTTTTCGTTTTATTTTCCATTAGAAAATAAAAATATACTCGTACAAACTTAAAAAAAAAAAAAAACTGTCTTATATAACGAGAATATTATTAAAACAAACATCTATATTGAATGCAACAACATAAATACGTTTAATAATAATACTTATGTGAAACGTAAAAATATCGAAACTATTTTATAGCCACCTATATCTAAAAACCGTTTCATTTCGTTATAGCTGCCAAATTATATAGGTATTATGTATCGTTAAAAAGTCCTCCTAAAATATTGATAATAATGGTAAAGGCAAAAAAAAGATTTATTTATTATAAAGTTTTACAGTGTCAAAATAACCGTTTAAATGTCTGCAAAACTAATATCACGCGAATTTTGTACAGATGCCTGATGGATTTATTATATCACTAAAATCTCAATGAAAATGTTTTAAATATTTATATAATATTAATTTATTGCACGGGCTCGTGTCTAAAATAACATTATAATCAATATTGAGCTGCAGTTAACTCGTTAAAAAGTTACTTTGTATTGATAACTTTTAAAATAACTTATTCACAAAAAAACGTCAGAATAATAATTTAATTATTTCTTTTAATAAATAATTTCAACTTAACTGAAATGTTCTCTCTCTAAAAGCTTTAAAAAAGTTATTTACGAATTTACAAAATAAAAATATATATATTTATTAATGTATTATTACTTACCTAATATTATATTTTTTCATTTTGTTTTCAAAGAAAAATCTGTATTTATTCGTGAATATCATATCAAATAACAAGATGATAATGCGACCTATCCAGACTACAAAAGTCAAAAAAATATAATGAAAAATGCGTCTGTGAGTGCGCAAAGTGTAATGTATAATAAAGGGTCATTTTTAAAAAGTAACTAGGAACTTTATTTTTAACATACATATTTTTGTTACAGTGAATTTCCACTTATATCCGGAAATGTTCAATCGCCCTGGTGTCTTGACGCTGAAGCATTTAAGTTATCCCTCCAACGTTGATTGTAAATTAATCTTAGCGATGTTATATTCGATTCAATTCGATTAATAAAAGTATAGAATCATACCGTCTACGACAAATAACATTACTAATAGAAAAAGTCGATTTTCAAAACTCTTTACTCTTACGTTATTTTACACATTCTAATCGTCGTCGTCGTTTTAATGTCTAAGACGAGAATTTATTGTGGTCGTGCATGAGATACGACGACCGTTTACAATAAGGGTTTGTAAAGACTTCGGATATAGTTGGATAGATTTACTACACGTAGACAACAACTGCAGTCGCATTCGTTTCCTAATCTTTTATTAGTAGTATGTTATGCGAATTAGGCAGAGGTGTTAGCTGTTGTAATCACTGGCCAGAGACCATATCCGTGCGGTTTGATTGAGTTATTTATACAGGTATACACGGGACATTATTGCAAACAATGAACATATCTAATGAAAATTAAAAAAAAAAACACAGGGTTACAAATATATAACCGCGTAATGAATAGAATAGTTAATTTTACAAACACGCGTTATTATTTTGACATGAACAAGCTGTTACTTACATTTATGTATGAATTGAATGGTGTAGTTTAATATTTTCTTTGATTTTCATACGCGAGTATAGTATCTATTTTAGATTCTAAGTAGAGCGAAGAAGCTTAAAGTTTTACAAAGATAATTATTTATTTTTTCTGTGAACAACTTTTCTACCAGATCTTGCTTCGATTTTTAAGTGTAGCATTTTTTCTAAAAGAAAATCGATTTTCTCAGGATTTTTCTCATCAAATGTGAAAAATCGAAAAAAAAATGGATAAGAAACGGGAAAATGTACTAAATATATTAGTAAAAAATAAAAAAGGACGGACATACTTCATGCGTGGGTGTAGCTACTCTTGTAGATGAGAAATTAGGAAAATAGGCTACAGACGGGAATTTAATGTATATCTGTAAGCAACGATAAACCATTGCTCACGAAAAAACGATTCAGAGCCGAGTTCAGTTGATAATGATGCTTTGTCAACATTACGATATCGCTAGCAGTCCACGAGAATCTGAATGATTTACGGGAATGTATAATTCAAAAATTGTCTTTAAATAGTCTACTATAAACGTTCTCCAGAACTGTTTAAAATGAAAAAACGCTCAATTTGTTGTGCAAAACCATATGAGATAGGTAACAAGGGGAAAACACGTGCATTTTTAGTGTACCTAGAGACCCGGCGGGGTAACTCGTTCGTTCAGACAGCTTAAAACGAAAATATCTTTCGATTTCCTAAATGCAACACCACCTCAAGTAGATCACAGGGTAAAAAAATTACATTTTACAAGACAAATCGCTTTTAATAATTCCGATATTTTTGTATCGTTTTTCGATGTTAGACGAGCTAACTGATCGTTTAATTCCTACACGGACATAAGTAAATAAATATAGTAAAAAATATATAAATAAAAAATGTACATTTAAAAATAAAATTAATAATTAATCAATGCGTCGCCTGAAGTTTTATGATAAATTTATTATACGACCGGTTTCAAATTAAAAATTTATCATCAGGTATATCACAGTCAAAATTTAAAACGCGACTGAAAATAAAAAATTAAATGAAGGAATATTTAGAAAAAAAATAATTTACAAATTAGTCGTTTTACATAGAATTTAGAAATAATTTTTTTTAATAGAAGTGATTATTTAAAATTTGTTTTTATTAGACATACATACGTTAAGAAATATAAATTATTTGGTTATTATTTATTATCTAAAATGTATTGATATAAGATATTATTTTTAAAATCGATTTGAACATTTAAAATATTATTAAAATTATTTTCCTTTATTTCATTGTGTACGTGTAATTCTTCTAAAACTGAATTGATGTAAATATTATTTCGGGTATTTAATATTTCTAAGTCTGTATTAATATCAAAACTTATAGTATGGTTATTTTCTGAAACATGTTTCAAATATTTTAGCGTACCTTATATACCAACCCAACTGGCCCCTTCTAATTTCAAAACTCAAACTAGGTACCTATTCAGTATTCACTTCGTTTCGGCGTACAAAGGACGGCGTCCATTTAAATCTACACATTATCCGTGAACTTTGTTCGAACTACACTAAACGCTGTACATCGATAAATAAAAACCGTAGTGTATAGCCAGCTACATATATAGAGCAACTCTGTGGTCTTTATTTTTAAACTAAATGTGTTTTTCCGGGAAGAAAAAAAAATACCAAACAAAAAAATTACAAGATTACAAGAGTCTTGCAGTTTTTGTATGTACGTCCGGCCCAGCTTTGGTCTTGGTCTTGCAGATTCAATCTTAGTCTTGGTCTTGCTAGTGACAATTTTGCTCATTACTACTACACGCTCACTATCACACGTCTGTTCGCTGACTAGTAGCGAGAAGACTCGGAAAATGTAGTCGACATTAAATATAATGTACTATTCTACTCGTTTTATGAAGGACTATATTTTATTGGAAAATATTTGCTCAGGACCATATTTTTTGGACTATAACTTATTGTAAACGTATTTTATGGAAAATGGGAACTTTTTTTTCCGGAGTATATACCGCAGTTAGGTAGGTAAGTATAGTATTTTTCCAAAATATCATTCGAGCTATTGTGTATCCGTTATGTGGATATAGAAAACAAAGAGGAATCATCCGGTTCGTCGAATGTACTGAACCTGTCTGGTAAACGAATCGACGAATTTGCATTTTTACGGGCGGAAAATTTGCGGTTCATTCGAACGATTAGCTTTTAAAACTACTGGCGCAGCAGGTGTACACGGTTGACGACGAGCTGCTCTATTTGCAGTATAGCGGTTGGATTCGAAATGTACCTTCCACCAAATTATATAAGTGCGTATAGTTAATGATAAATCCCAACCGACTTGTTATCCCGTTTGACAGGAAAAAACCTATCAACACAAAATAAATTATGCTTCATCCGCTACTCTGAATAGAGTGATGTCTATCGCTAATGATGAACAGATTGATTTTTTTATATTATAATACTGTTAATTCTTTCAAAATGTATGTTGGAAACATTTTTTTTATACTAATTTTTTGTGATTTTTAGTTTTAGGTGTATAATATTTATTTTATTTTATTTTTTTATTTTCCAGTGTTATTTTTACTATATATATATATATACATGTACTAATTTATTAATTTTTTGTAATTGTGTTCTTACCCGTAAATAAAATAAATAATAATGTGTCTGATTTATCAAAAATTACAAAAACAATTATAAAACAAAAAAACGAATTTTCTACGATTGACCGAAATTAACTTAGAAATGTGTAAAACATGAACCCGGTTTCATATGACCCGGTTTCTCGTGTATTGCAATAGCCTAACCAAACCAACCAGAAATTATACGAAAAATATTATATTTCTTGTATTCAAAGACAGCGACTTAAGTGTTGTATTTTATAAAACCCTAATCGCAGCTAAAAATAGCTTTAAGATATAAATTTTTCCATTTTTACCCCATTTTACACTTTTTAACCAGCTTAGGGGTTGAATTTTGAAAAATCCTTTTTTAATAGGTCTTTATAGTTATTCAAGGCATGTATATATATTTAAAGTATTTGTCAATATTTTGTGCTAAATAGTATGTATTTTACTTGCACATGAGGTTTTTACGTCCAACACCTCCGATTTATTTTTTATCAATCGCATAAAACTGTACGAGGTGGGTAATTTAAATGGAGAACGCTTAAGTTTCGATCTCCATTTATCATTCGTTCTACTGAAATGTAGATTGCAGGTATAGCATTATCTTTTATCGCATCAAAATCCTTATACCTGTACAACGTTGTCGTTGATATAAAAAATCTCTTATGTACTAGAACTATTTTTTTTACCATATTTCTATAAGAGATATTTTTTTTTAATGTACGTAGGATGGTTTTTGAATGGTTGATATTGTTATCAATACTTTATAGGTTATAGATGCTTTGGTTGATTTCAAAAACTTTTTAAAACTTAAAATATCTCCATGTACAAATGTACCATATTGTACCACTATACCACGGTTATCTGCACGGATTGGAGCACGCGGCTGTACAGCCCGTGCTTTCGCTCTGTCGAAGTGGCGTTTATGTGAACTATAAACGCTCGCAGTCAACGACCTGATTTTAACTGATAAATCATAAAAAAAATATAGTTTTTCATATTTTCTGTATAGATAATTACATGAACATAAAAAATGCTAAGCGCCTAAATATTAAATAGAAAAAATAGATTGAATAATTGCATGTCTAATTGAACTATTTTGGTGTTAAAATCTGGTGGTTTAATACTAGCACTAATAGCTCACGCAAACGCTACTTCGGCAACGATAACACTCCGTACGCCAACCTGTGTAGACAAACGTGTACTACACCATCCATTGTATACAACCTTTAATGTAATTTTGACTGGATTTTTAATCACATAGATGATATTCCTCAGCATATAAAAGGTATTTTATAAACGATCTATAGTAGCTAAACAGACGAACGGTTTAATTGTTATATCTCGTTATATTGCTCCTCAATGAAGATAGCATAACGATTTGACCGCAATAGTACGCCAGTATCGTTACTGTGCACTGAACCGAGTACTGTATTATACGAGCCTGAACAATAAGCTCTTAATTCGGGGATACCGGAGATCCGAAACTCGTAAATTTAGCACGCGGGAGGTTTTTCCGTGTCGACGACGGTGCCGATTCGAACCAACTGATTATGATATACAGAAAAGACACGACTCGGCGTTTCCCCGTAAACCGTTACCGAAAAATACCGTCCGCGGAAACGTTTTTTTTTTTTTTTTTTTTGTCTCTATTAAAGCACATACGGGTCGATGGATATCGTAAACGTTTACGGCGAATTTCGGATCCGCGTCCGCCGCACGGGACGCGATCGATTATCGGCGTAACTTTTGAGACGGTTATCGTCACGCGCGGACGGCCCGGGGCCCCCTCTGCGCGCATAACGACGACGCCAATCACCGGCCGGCCCGAAGACCGGTCTTTGGCGGCGGCGGACCGGAGCCGGCCGCGTCAGTACTCAGTACCAGTTTGCACGCCGCCGTCGCGCGAAGTGAACGCCAAACGTGACGCGATCAGCTCCGCACACCGCCATGTGATCGTTATCGGAATATTTATTACAACCGCCGTCGCACCACGGCCGAATCTCCGAAACGCGAAAACCGACGCCGTCGCCGACAATTAGTGTTTTTTTTTTTTCTGTGTGTACGTTTTTCCATTTGGTTCCGCCGTAAACACGGCCGTCGCAATCGCGTTTACCGAATAATACCTGTACTGTACCTGCATAGGCGTCATTTTATTTGTCTGGCAAAAACGGCCGGACGTTCGTAACGCGACGTCGCCGTCCGTGACCCGCTGCCGCCCGCAGAGGCGCAAGAGTGCAGGTGCGTGTGCCGCCGGCTGCGGCCGCGGGCCAGGACACGCTGCGCGTCCAGAGCGCCACCGCGGAAAAGATGTCCGAGCTCGGCCGGCGCCACGGACGACGCGCGACCACCGTCGCCGCGGTCTTGGCGGCCGTCGTCTGGTCGCTGGCCGCCGCGATGTCCGTGAACGGCCAAGACGCTGCCGCTACAGGTACGGTTAAAAAATCTGTAGGATTAGTTTCGGGGAGGATTTTTTGGAAAGCGAGGGCTACAAGGTCTTTGCAAACGTATTGTTTGAACAGGGAGTTCCTTATAGTGTTCTTCTGAACAGTGGCATATCCAAACGTTGGGGTAGGTAATGGTGTAATGTAATTCCCCCTTCCTATATTATAGTACGCCACATCGAGTAAAAAAATTATGATAAATAATGCAAACACATATAGGCACTATCCCGTAGAATAAGACTTACGTCTTAATTAACTACCCTTTTGAATATTTCTTGGATATGCCTCTGCTCTGGGATCTCCATTTTTAAATATACGAGAGCTACGTAAATAAGGGGGACCCTCTATAACGCTTTGTGTATTTTCAAACTCTATTAATGTCCATGTAAACCTGACTTCACGGACACCTACCTCTCACGAAGTTCTCTTGGTCGGATCTGTGAAAAAAAAATCCTAAACACGTTTATTATGAACACTAATTGGTGTATTAGAGTTTTAAAAAAAATGTCAACCGTTTCTACTGAGAAATTAATTTTAGAAACTTACGAAGGCCTGAAAAACCCCTCAAATTGGCTACATGTCTGGTACACAGAGTATTTTATTCGTAATAATAAACGATAATTGATTTACACCGATATTGAAATTTTCAATAGATTCGCGTTTATTTTGACTAGATTTCATTGTTTCTATTATTATATTATAAAGTGTAAGTAGACAAGGATCCGCATAAAATCACAACAAACAATAACGCATATCATTTTTGTATCGATAATTTTGCAAAAATCGATAATAAATAAAATAAAATTTAGCTTCTGTGCGATATTCTCAATGGTTTATAACAAAAATCAATATACTAACCGCAGCAATGAAACGTTTTAGAATGTAAAAAAAACAAAAACAAAAAGTTTGTTCGGCACATTAATTCGTGTGCTCCTTATGGTTTATGAACATGATTTTAAAATATACTCACTAAATTTATGTAATATTCAAAAATAAAACTTTATACCGTTTACAAACCATTATGATCAAATCGTACTATTGCGAAATACATTCCTCTCTATGTGTATCAGCTATATGATGTCCTTGAATTTACACTCTGCCCACATTTTTTTTCGGCTTATAATATATTTTATAATTTATTTAAACATATCACACTGACAATACGATTTAATAATAGGTACGTAAGAAAAATGACTTAGGTATAGATATTATATTGTATTATATTTATATGACAAAATAATGCATATAGGTATCAACCTAAATTCGTTAATTTGTTCATAATATTTACTATATACTTTATGCCCAAACGAAATTACTAACTTTGTGTACCCAATACTTAACTTTAGCATTAATATCGGTGACACAGATATAGAAATTGTTGAAGGGAGTGTCATATGTTTACATATAAAATAATCTTAAACACGTTTTAATACATTTATATTTCCTAAACACGGATATGGGGGGTGGTCCAGACACCCGAAAAACCTCCTCCATCCCTGGTTGCGCCACTGATTAATATTATATAGGTAATTTATAAATATGTCAATTCATATTATATAATGTTACTCATAAAAATATGAAAACCGTTCATAAATCATATCATTTCACCGTTTTCGTATTTTTTTTTATTATTGTTAACAAATACTTGGCCACTTGAGTACGTTTATGGGATAAAAGAAAAGAAAAAAAACCGGTGATTTTTTTCATATAATAAATATTACCTATCTATATAATAAGCATGTATAGAAGGATGTGGTCTATAATTTCGTCAAGGCCCACTAGATATTTGTTGACATCGATGTTTAACCTTCCGTGGTGGTTAAACATTTGCGAATAATTCGAAGATTTCTTTGATAATTTTTAGCTGTCCAACATTATCCGCAGCACCGACAGATCTGCAGTAGTTATATTTTCGTTATAACCGTACACGGGAAACTGATTTTCTGGATATCGGTTACAACAGGCCGTATTGCAATTTCACGAATCTATTAAACTGTTTTTAACAAAATTATCATATATGGCGGTAGGTTTATATACATAGAGTTAAGTTCACGGACCCAAAACAATAGGTATATTATACATACCACATCGGTTTTTATTTAATTTTGTATCTCCCCCCACCCCCTGTTCGACGTTTAAAAATTGGTTCCACTGCTTGCAAACTATAATCTTTCGACCTCAGTCGTAATAATAATCAGTAAAAGTGTACATTATTATGCCAAGTGTTAAACCGATAACATTTAACTATTAGACACACTATTTATATCATAAGGGAACAATACAGTACCTATAATATTTTAATTTTCTCCCTGCGATTATACCTTATGTCGATTCATTTTTCAACGTTCTAGAAATACGAAATAAACAATATATATACTAATATTGTAACTAAACGAATTATTTCCGCACTGAATATATATTTATAGTTCAAAGGGTCTAACTCGTAGTTTTTTACAAATTATAATCAATTGCTAATAACAAATTGTTATCATTTACAATTAAATAGGCCTGCGATATGTTTTTTTTGCTAAAAACACAATTTAGGTACGCTGTTTACAGGATTAACTTTCTCGCTTCGTATTGAGACGTCTAAATTGAATATTTATGGTTTTTGTTGGAAAGAGGATAAATTCCTACAGAGATCGTAGGATTTAAATTTCGCATTATATAAGCGAAAATCATAACAACAAAAAATAAGTTAAACGCAACTGGTAAAATTTGTTGGCGTATTTAAACTCTAAAATATACCGTCTGGGAATGTATAAATTCCAAAATTTCCAATTTTCAACTTCCGACGAAAGAAAAGATCGAAATCGAACCGCTCCAACAGATAGAACAGTTAACCATGTAAAGTATATTTTCGGGCAAAAAAACAAGTCGCGTGCAATCCCCTTAAAATATTGCCAACACTCAACATTATTGTGTATTCTTTATAAGAATTAAAAATCGGTATGTTAAGATAGGAATAATAAATACATATTATAAATAGCTTACACGCGGTCTCGGAGTAATACTCGTATTTGTTATTCAAATAATACAGTTATGCAATGAAAAATAGACTGTACAGTGTACTTGCAGTCCAATATAAATGCGGTAAACGACGGCCTTCGCAATTACATATTAATAATATTGTAAACTGGTCTTTATATTATTAAAACTATATAAAAAACCCACATTAATATTTAATAGTTTAAAACATATATGAGATAATATGATTTGCATTTTAAAACCAGCTATAAATATCGTAGTAGATAAATATTATAACATTTTATAGATTCACGAGTGTGGCGAAAAAGCTATATGATTATTCATTATACCGGGATAATTTGTGATTTTTTCACGCCGTTCCTTAAAATATTACGCAGATTATGTTTCGTCCGTTGGTATTATATTTACTTGAAATATTTGATGAAATCTGAACACTTCTACTTTTTCTCCCGGAAAACACTTTTATTTACTTCGGACCGTTTTATTTTTGTTGGTATTTAGTTTTGCCTTGCAAGGAAAAAATACACCACTATAAATAATATAAACTGGCTTTTTGTACTCAAATTTTATTTTGTTTATGAGCAATAGGTTATATCGTCATTTTTGGTGTTTATAAACTATAATATTACTGCCCTATAATATCCCAACTCCACACCTACAACAACGGCAAATCCGTAGCGGGGCAAAGTATGTTCGGATGTTTTTTAATACGGTATAATAATATTATCGTTTAATATTTTTTGTATTATTATCGAACAATGTAAAAAAATACACATATTACTGACGTAAAAAATTAGCTTTTTTTTTTTTAACAATATTTAACATAAATATACATAGGTATCCTACATGTATGTATATTATATTATTCGTGTTTCATTTCCCTAACCATTAGCTTGCTATTATACAATATAACGTAAATTTGGTAAATATATACAAGTCTTCCCGTTATTTGATGCTTTACGATATTTGCCTACTCGGTACATATAATATTACTCGTCGTGCACGTGATGCATTTAATACACTGAACTGTGGGAATTAATTTGATGTGGTTGGTTTTTTTTCTTTTCCTTTTTTTTTTTTTTTTTTTAACGCGTAAACAAAAACAATGGAATACGAACCGTTTGTTGACAAAACTGGTAAAAACGGCTATATACTCGTACATACCTAACGTTATTACTATATATTATATTGTCTATTATGACAGAAAAACTTTCACATTCTCCGGACCGTTATTTTTGTTGTAACTTTTAGGAACCTAAATATACAAAATAAATTATAATATATATATATAGTATATAATAGCAATAGTTAAGTATTGTATTTGAAATGTTGGAAACCTTTATCAATTTTAATGTATAATATGTAGGGGTAAGTAGCTGATAATTCGATACGTTCAATAATATTATTATTTTCAAATTATTTGATATTTACAATAATCTGTATACGGATAACATAATAATATTCTTATATGTTGAAAATACATTTCTAGTGCGTTAAAGTCTCCGGAATTTTTTTTTTTTTGTTTAGTTGTGTTTAATATGTTTATTCGTAATAATATGTAATTTAATTAATTGTACACAAAATATTTAAGTTACGACGGGGGTAAACTAAACATTTTTACAAAGCACAAAAATAGGTTTATTTTATTTAATTGTGTATTGTGTATTTAATTTATGTATAACATATTCAGTAGCGTATGATTTATCAATGTGAGGAATCTACAACCATCTTAACCTTATTAATCTTAAAACAGTCAATGGGACTTCCCATGGGTTTGAAGAGCCAGTTCAACTCTGGAGTAAACCGATAAATATATATTATAATATTCGAATATTGAATAAATTTGTTATTTATACAGTACATACTTTAAATCGTTATATATTAGGTACATAATTATATAAGAATAATTTGATACGAAATCATATTCGTGGGTTTTTTTTATTTGTACACGATTATGGCTTCGGACAAAATCATCTCACCGATATATGCTCATAGTATGAGTACATTGTCGCGCATGTGTCACAATAAAGAAAATCGAATTTTCCACGGTCATTTCAGTCGCAAAGGAAAAGTATACCATATAAGTATAAGGTGCAACATCGCATCGTATACATTCGTGCGATTGCTGCGACATAAATACGAATCCTTTTTTTTTTTTTTTAATCCATCACACCACGTACATAATATATATTTTTTAATGAGAAAAACGAACTGTGTCTGCAGTATATATGCATCCTTTTGTACACTACGCAGGACGAAAACGCGATTCTATCGCCTGTCAATAATTTTTACACGAATACGTTTTCTGATACGACAACGCAGACAATGACTCACAGATTTGACTATACCTATACTGCAAAATTCGTTTTACGTGAATCACCTACGTCACATACGCAACATAATAATATTAACAATAATAATAATAATGTATATAGAGTTATGCGGTTCGACTGGGCGATAAAGAACGAAATGAAAGTACGCTTGTTTTTCGCACATCATCATGCATAATATTTTGTCGATGTATGTATATTATGATATATATACGCACGTATTTTGATCTGGTGTAGGTATATTTTATAACTTCATGCGGATTTGATGGTTGTGTTACAATACAAGTACATAATAATTACATATAATTTGTATACTTCATAGGGATAGTTTCAATGTAAATTTTACATAAATACGACATGTTATTACTTTGAGTGGTAGTAATTTTCAATAATTATTATTCCTATACGACTTTTACTATTCAAGCAATAAAATAGGAAAATACGGAAAATACGGATGTTACGAGAAAAATATACACTTCCTCGGAGGTAACTTTTTGTCGTAAATTACAGCGGTATCAGAGTATAGTAATAAAATGCGGTTTTTGACCAAATTGCATGTTTTTCTGGTAACTATCATTATTTCTTTAATCACATTTATAAATATACCTACTACTAAACGGATGAACGAAACATAAAAAAACTTTATAGCTATACACCAAAATATAAATTAAAACATATAATTATAAACAAGAAATAATTATGATAAAAATACGACCAATGGGTAAGGGAGTGCATGGCCCTTGTGTCCCCTTCTGGCTATGCCACTAATACAGTGATACCTACTATGCATTTTATAAATTATAAATATTATATTTTTTAATTGCATCTAATCATTTAACCAAACGTTATTAACTCAAATTTAAAAGTCGACAATTCGAACATAATATGTTCGCTAAATGTGTATATAAATATATGTTATTGTGACAATCGGAAACAAAATTTGCAATACCGTAGTCGAGTTGTATCGCCTTACCAAATTTTTTAATAAAGTATAAATTATTATAAAAAGACGTCCTAGGATAATAGAAACGGCTGCAGCCATTGTTATTAACAATTTAATATATACCTGCAGTGTAAGCAACAATAAACTATTGCTTACGAAAAAAACGATTTTGAGCGAAGTTCAATTGATAATGATGCTTTATCAACAATACAAGTATATGTCATTTTATAGTAAAATAATTAAAGAAGCTTTATATATTTTCTTTGATAATATTTGTTTAATTTTGAACCGATTTTCCCAGTTTTCTTACATTTTTCTCGTTTTTCAAATTTGATGAAAACATTTTTGAGAAAATCGAAAAATGATTTCCTTAAAGTACCTCCCCACACTCCGAATTCCTTTCAGAAAAGATGCTATAATTACAAATCTGAGCAGGTATTCTGGTATAAAAGTTGCGCACGATTAAAAAAAAAAATAAACATCTTTGTAAAACTATAAGTTTCTTTGCTCCGCTCAGAATCTAAAGCAAATACGAAGGGAACGTTTTTTGGGTATTTTTTTTTATAATAATCGAACAATATTACAGGTGCCTATCTAATTATAATTTACGCATTTGGCTTGACACTGAATAACGTGTCAGATTATATTTAATGTATACAATTGAACTTTTTATGCTTACGCAACGTGAACGTAAAAAGTTCAATTTATTATAAATAAAAACCTGTTAATGTTTGCACAGAGAACAGTTGTTTCGTATGACGTGTTTAAGTATAAATCTATGTGTATCGATTTAACACCGATGATTACGGCTTATTTTTTAAGTTAATGACGTATTTATATTAATTCTAATGTACATATAAGTAGTAATTAATTTGTTTTAAATGAATTTAATAGTATACAATATACATATACATAAATACATTTTTAATTATTCAAAGGTATTTATTCCAATGTGTAAATAAAAATATGATTTTTTTTTTCACTTTCGTTATGAAGGCTTTATCGGTGTAAAAGACGTGACCAGACTTCGTTTGCAGAGGAAACATATAATATAATGTTTATATAATGTGACGTATGTATATTGTACAGGTATATAATAAGCGAGAGCCAACAAATGTGTCAACAACATTTTTAATTACTTCGTATGTTATATTATAATATGTTGACCACCGTTATCGAAAATATAATTATAATTTGGACCCTTCTCATGTAATCAGATTTTTTCATAAAATCTGAATAAACATCAAAATGTCTGTAACTCATAAACCTAACAGCTATTATTGTTTCACTAAAGCCCATATAATATTGTATTAGTATTTGACTGTAGTCCGGCAGATTAGACACGATTAAATTACTTGTATTAAAAATAATTATGGTAAATGGTGAACATAGAATAAAACCTAAAAATTTGCCACGAAAACGGTTCCTAAACTTATGTCAAATTTATATGTTGACTATATTAGATAACTGAATGTATAGGCAATAATTGCTTAACTCTTACATTATATCAGATGGAATTTGAAAAATACCTCGAAGAAGTCTTCGAAACGCAGATAATGTGGGTACATCTTAGATAAATTTCTTATAAATACAATTATTTTTCATTATCATCATATTCAAATACGCTTTTCCTCTAGTAAAACTAATGATAATAAGTACAATGCAGTTCTGTTATTGCATCGATCTATGAGACTCTAAACCCTTCAATTCAGCAACTGATTTCTGTTTCATTATTTGGTTCAAAGTTTTGGATCCTATTTGATTTTTCATAATTTGTTTGTATTAACATTATTAGATAGTAAAAATATAAAAAAATTATTTTAAACTTTTCAATATATCATATAGGTACTATATTAAATAGGTACCTAATGAAATGATTTTGATAATATCTTAATTTATTAATTATCTTCATAAAATTATAACGATCAATTAATTTTTAATAATAATTATTCACGCTTATATTATGAAATGAATTATAAATTACATCGTGCGTTTTGCTTGAATATAAATTCACGAGTATAACAAGAATTTCGTAAGAATTTCTCACTGCAAAATACAATAATTGCGTTTGCGGTAAACGTCGTTGCAGTTGTTGGAAACTATCATTCATTAAAATAAAATAATAATTGTCGAAATACCAGAACACGCAGAACAGACATATGTAAAATAATATATATACATATTTTACAATTGTAGTGAAAACTATGTTGGAACTGCCTACGTGTGTGATAAAATATAATATCGATCGGGGTTAACGTGTTACCTATATAAATTTCGCAAAATCCAAAACCCGCAGACAAAAAAAAAAAAAAGTGACAAGACGAAGTGTCTCCCCGGATAATACTTATAATAATTAACAATGGACACTAGTGTGGGACACGGTGAAAACAATGTCAAATATTTAGCCGGCGGAAAAGGAGACCGTGTCGAGGGCAATGTATAATATGTAGACCTTCGTTCCTAATAATATTCGTATTATATTATGCATTTTATAAACTCGAGTGCACTGGGATCGTATTGTCACGTGATGTTATCCCATATTATATTATATTACTAAACCTGTGGATATGTGTATTGACAAAAAAAAATTTGTTGTTGATGCCCGAAAAAAATTGTAGATACGAATTTCGGATCAAATCTTTAAGCATTTTTATGGAGACTGAAAAAATTTAACTCGCATAACTAAAAAAAATTAAAGATAGTACCTATCCAAAATGTTAACAATTTGTATGGTTTTCAAATATTAAACTTCAAAAAAAAAGTAATAATAAATAAAACCATAATCACAGATTTGTTTTATATTTGTATAGTAATATGTAAGAATAATTTACGACTAGAGTTATAAGGAACCTTTGTGACAACTTTTCGTGAAACAATTTTGAGAAATTAAAAAAACCTTGACGATTTCTAATAACTATGAATAACACATGAACGTCAGAATGTTTTGAAAATTGCACCACTACGACAACTAGTCAAAATTGATTATCCTTAAAGTGATTCTAACCAATTTGACCAATTTACTGTTTATAAATAGAAATATAAAAAACACATGATAATATATAGTTTAACTATATTTATATATATTACTATACCGTTCTCGCTTTGCTCAAAATTTAAAAATATAATACGTCTAGACGAATTACAATTTTACTACTTCGATTTCTTAATTATCATTACTCATATATTAGAGATATTAGTGGATATTCGATACGTTTCGATTACAGTTTAAATCAATGATGAACTTAAAGAGGGGCAAATGCGAACAAATTCGGACACAGTGAAAATTGAAAGAAACTCAAGTACCTATATACTTTATTCCTACCTGTAAATAAAGCGAAATAAAAGAAAAGTAGTCGCTTATGTTGGTCATTACTCACAGGATAATGTATTATATATTATTTGTATAGCTTTATCTCTCCAGAAGAAACACGCGGTTAAAAGAACAAGGAAGTGCCTATTAACGGAACCAAACAGTACGTTATCGTCGTATTTAGACGCGTAATACAATTACATTTACTATACAATACATCCTGTAAATCGTATACAGCAATAGTAATAGAATTAAGTCCGAAGTAAAAATATGACAGTTAAGTTCTATTTACAAAACGAAAACGGTTCGTTAGCAGAAAGAAAAGAAAAAGAAAATGTATAACCGCCACACTCGTATATTGAATGAAATGTAATTTATTTTATTTCGATATAGAATTGTAACTACTATATAAGTAAAATAATATGTTTGTACGTTTTTTTATACCTTTGTGTAGTAAAAACCAAAATATATATATATAATACGTAATATAGGTAGTCGTTTGTAATATATGTGTATAGCTAATTTCGCCGTCATAATATTATAATCGCGATAATAAAGAACAAATCGTCATTTCATCAAACAGACAGATTTAATATAGACAATTTGTATAGTATACAATTTATCATTTAATTAACCATTATTAGACAAAATAATACGTACCACTATATTTTAATAAAAAATATAACGTTTGATTTCAGCAGCCGTTTGATAGTAAACATCGAAATCGTGATGTCTGCAAACGTGAAAATAGACTAAATAGACTATTTAGTTGTTTTACAAGTCTAATATTTTAAAATCAACATTATCGATGTAGTTCATTTACTATCAATTTTTTAGAATAATAGTCGAGAATCTAGATAATTGTTTAAATTAAGTATACAGCACCGATTGAGAAGTCCCCATCTTTTAAGGTACAATGCAAATAATTTAGAACATTTATAAGACTATCCGAAATATTTCCCGAAAAAAAAATACATATTAGTAAACTTATAGCTTCTTCACTGCTCTCAGACTTGGAAAAAATAAATTATATTCTAATATATTTCAAATCGATTTAAGGATTTTTTATTTATTTTTCGTGAAATATGTTTCTGTTTTCGGGACAAATCCGATAGCACAATTGAACTTGGATGAAAATAGTGTTTAAATTGAGACGACAAATAATTAGGTAACATTTGCAAGATCGAACCGTCGGCCTTCGTAATCGCAATAATATTTTTGTTGGGATCGTCTCTGAGAAGCTGTACAAAACGGTCCACATAAAACTACAAGATAATTGTCTATACATTTGAACTCAAAAAGACGAGTGGAAACAATTAAAACGATATTATATTACATTTTTTCTAGCTTAACATGGCTTACCGCACATACGTATGACCAGTGGGAATAATGGGTACGATTGTTGTGACCGTTCTCTCTCGCATTGTCACGTATTATGGGAAAACTAAAAAAAAATTAAAAAAAATAATAATAATTTGACGGACGCGCCGAGGAGGTCCTCCAAACGACTGCACTTGTACCATGTAATTAAAACACGCGCGTTGTACATTTCACATTCGCTTTACAGAAGCACTTTGGCCAGTCACCGTTTTCTTATAGGTACTTATTTTCTATAAAATCACGAGTAACTATATACTATATTGAGAAAGTTTTCACTATCGCATGATAGATACATAATATTATGTAGTAGGTAACTTTTATATGTAGGTATCAATATTTAAATAAATAACGTGATTGTATCTGTGTCTCGCCGGAGATCTTATCACAAGTGCAACAGTTCTAGAAAACGTTTTTATAGAAACTTTCTTTTCGTATCTTCTTTGATTAAAAGCATACTATAATAATTAAACAAAAATTGATTTTATTCACATGACGAAGCTATAATTTTAGTCATTCTTTTTTTCACTTTAAGAAGTATTCTATATTTTAGTATATAGACCGAATACCGAAATGCAATTAATACATTTTTTCGTGAGAATCGATTAACAAACGATATCATACGCATACGCTCGAGTGCCGAAATCATGCAAAGTCGATGAAACCATTAAAATAGATCGATAAATAAAGACACTGGACAACTCAAAAAAATTATAATTAACTATCACTAAACAAACTACTGTAAAATTAATATTACAGCTAACATTACGGGTATAGATCACGCAGATCTAAGAATAGCCACCTGAAATAGATAAATACAAAAAACATGACTTTAAGCGTCAGTAAATGCACATACATATAAGTTCATCATGCGTTCGCCAGATAAGAAAATATACGTTTACTTTCACATGCATAAATTCGTCGGCGGTAGCGCAAAATGTTCCGGCAATAGTGAAAGGTTGTTTATGATTTATGCACTTATAAATTATATTATTTTTAAATCGAATTCGCGTTATTCATAATAATTCATTATTTTAATTCACTGTCGAATTTTGTTATCAAAAACGGTACACCTTTCAATTTCAATATACCTGTTCCTAATAATATATTTACTACTTCAAAATCAAGGTTACTCTTAAGCGAAGAGATTAAATCAAATTATAGTTTGAACGATTTCGTTTTAAAATCGATAGCCGTTTTGGAATTGCATTTTTCGCAAGTCTTCGCTTTTGTATTGCACTTCGCTAAATAATTATTTAAAAAAAAAAAAAGAAGATTTAATCAATTTCGCCGGTGTAATATAGGTACCTACACTAGAAAATTATATCGAGTATATAAACCTGTAGTATTTTCGTGACATATATGAACGAGCATCACTGAATGTGAAAAATATTTTCGGCTAAGATCCGCGGGGGCTTGAAGTGAAAGCACGATTTTTCTTGGATTTGGCAACTATACAATAATATTGTATACCGTTTTTATCAGCTGATTAAAGTTATATTTTTTACAATAGGTTGTTATTATTATTATTACATCAATTATGTCGGCTTATATATTATTTATTATTTCGTATTATATATATATATATATATATATATATATTATAAGGAAATACATTTAGAAAGTCGCATATAAGCTGCGTTATGTCGGAAATCTATAGATAAAGCCAATAAAAAGCATATAATAGAAAAAGGAAACATTTCTTGTTTGTCACGTATGTATAGTGCTAAAAAGTAGTATTTGTCTTGTCAATGTATTATTGTGTGCGTCAAAATTGTGACGAAAAACGAAAAATCATCCGCACACCGCATCCCGTGCACTCGCACGAGATAAATAAATAACAAAATAACATATTACTATGATTTCATAAAATATCGATGAAATTATTTTTTCAGGTACACCTATTTACTACACCTTTCAATACATCTTTCATACACCTTTTTAATCATTACGGAATTGTTTGAGCTTTATTTTAAAATCATTTTTTTAATTTTTACCCTTATCGTGTACACCTTAAATAATTATATACTTTTGATTATCAAAAAGAGGAGTTCCTATTCACTTAAAATCCTTCGAAAAAATTGTTGGTTCACGATAAGAATCATAAAAGAATCAATCTGTACACCCACAATTATTTAGGCAGATATATTTGTATTATGTCTTTCGTTGATAACAATACTGCAACTCTGAATTCATTACGATAAAAAAATTAAAAATTCTATAGTCTCGGAGAAACGTTCCGTACATTCATTTATATAATATACTCGCGTAACGTCCCCTCTCCCTATCCTATTGAATGACATAATATTATTATTATTATTACTATACAGATCGGGTCTATTTTATTATTATTACAATAATCGAATTGATAATAAAAATACTGACGCGCTCGTTAAATTTTTATAGGTGTTTAGCATAATTTTCGCCTTGGGTTAATAATATAATGTATTTTGTTATAATCCGTTTGTTAGGTATTATCGTAAAAAAAATATTTTACTGTTTCCTGCGAACGGTTACCTCTATAACACACCGACAACGCAGAGATACCTAACTATTGTTTTACACTTTGAATTCGATTACTTTCTCCACTGAATTATTCATCGTGTGGACAGTGTGTTGTTGCCATTTTTCTATTTTTACAGCGCGGCGTTTCGTGTTTATCGGGGTAATTTCTTCATCTATAAACTGCCGGTACATTATTATTGTTAATTTTTTATTTTTTGTGTTAATTAAACATAATATGCGCAAAACTATCGTTGATTATACAGACGGGCTTATGAATTTTAAAATATTTAAATATCTACCTAATATTTTATCGTTGACGACCGCGGCTATATTACCATAAGTATTATACTGGTTTTCGCCGAATAAATTCTTTTTTTTACTTTGTGAAATACCATAAGATACAAAGATACAAAAAATAACTGTGGTCGTCTAATAAATTATAATTTATAATTTATTAAACTAACCTAAATGTATATTATTATTTTACCGTTCGGTCCTATCAATTTGGGGTTTTTAGGTTTTGTATTAAACAAACTTACTAAAAATAAGTAGGTAAGTAAATACTCGAATAATTTATAATTTGTCCATCTCGGTAGTGTCCTTCTATAGCATTGATTCGTATTTAAATTGTATTCTATTCAATCTGCGGCCCCAAGGAAGAAAAGCTTAAGTCTTATGAGACTGCCTTTCTTTTATTTTTTGATCCAAATGGCAAAATTATATGAATACTATAACACATGTTGAATGCCTTAAATATCTTAAGTCTCTATAATGTACTTTTTGTTTGGTAAGAAAGGCCAACCTGTATATAGTATGCATAGCAATTTAACCATTGAGCAGTTTTTTTAATTTTATACAAATTACAAATACAAATTTGACTTAAGCTCCCTTAGCTTCTCGATACTAAAGCATTATTGTTGATGTGTATTAAAAATACGAAAATAAATACAATTTAATTCGTATATAATTGTAAATATTTTGCATTTTCAATTTAAATAGAAGATATAATACCATAATACCTAGTTATATTCGTTGAAATTGCATTACTTTCATATTATTACAATTTGGGACACTTTTTGAATAGTTGATTTTAAATTGAAAATAATATATTTTTGAGTATTCTATCAGTTCTCGGTGAGTTTCAATTTGATTAGATATATTCGTGTTTAGAAACTTCCAATCGTGTAACGACATCGGTCTTGTTAATTATTGTTACTGTCATCATACGAAAGCATATTGTATTCGTCGTACTTTTTTTATTTTTGAAACGCGGTACATTGAAATAGATCCCAGACTGTCACGACGTAATTTAAAAATATAATATATTATAAGCGCATTAACGCAAAACAGTTAAGTCCAGAACGATTTACAACCTTGTAATTTAAGGGTCACGCCGTGTAAGAAGATACAACACTGCAGCAATGACCATGGTGAAACTGCTTGTTCTAAAAAAAAAAAAAAAATGATCACAAAATAATAGCGCATTGTAGTAATTTGCACGTACAGTTACAGTTTCGTTTTATAATAGTTATACTAACTGCGACGAGAAATAAACCGACCCCAAAGGCCTCAAGGTCAGAGTAACAGCAGCAGAATAATTTATATTATATTAACTAAACCATTCTTCAGTCATTTAAATATATATATATATGAATAAGAGTTATTATGTGTGCTTTTCTATAGGTCGAATATAATTGTTCATTATGCGTGTATATGAAGACTCAATTATAATCTATGACTTCGAGTGATTGTATACTTTTATATTCGATAATGTTGAATTGTATAACTGATTGTTACTACAGCACAATAAAAAACAAGTCAACAATAATTGAAATTGATTTAAGTATATTGGACCTCGATAAAAATATAATGACCACGGTTTACACACGCGATTCAAAAAATCATTATATTTTAAATGTGATAAAAACATAATATTTATCACCGATATACTTATGATAAAACTAACGTGTCCGGCTGTGTTTCCAAAAAAACTATTACTATATTTTAATACATCCAATCAAATATATATATTATAATATGTATTTAATTTAAGATTTTAAATTCGGAACGTAGCGAGGGGCTATTGGTTTTACTAAGATGTTTATTTTTTATTTTCTTTATTCTAGTCTGTGGACACATATTTTCTAAGTAAACTTGTTCCCGTTTTTACGTGTAGCAATTTTTCTGAAAGTTCAAATTGTCTAGACAAAAATCTTGATTCGTCGACATACATATTATAATACACAGAAAATCCGCTAGGTGATTTTAACGAACGCACAAAATAATGACTACACGTCATAATACACCACTACAATTGTATTGAATTAGTGGACTTTTTTAGGCCATCACTTGATCATGTTTTGTATTCCGCGAGGATTTCTGCCGTATAATAACGCTACATAATATGTGTTTACATATATCAGTGTGCACGTGTGTCCAGTTTATCCTATTTACGATAGTTTTTTTTTTTTTTTGTTTTTGATTTCGTTCCAACTTGCAACATAACGGTGGTGACGACGGCGGCGGTTAGGTCACGCGGTTTATGTGTAATTTCTACACGTCTGCGCGATCGCGTACCTTACCGGAATATCAAAACTTGTTTCGACCCACACACGGACGATATATCGCGAGAAGTATGTGTTTACTATTCGGCGAGTATGTTCGTTCACAGATAAATCCATGTGTATCCAATATTATATCGGTGGGTGCGTCGAGCCCGACGATCACATCGAACGTGCAATTTTAGATAGTACTATAATCTGCATCGCAGACAAATATAGAAGTACTCCATCTGATATTCTAATGATACCCACGGACCAGTCCATGGTAGTTACCTTATTGCAGAAAATTAGAAAATGCATCCTCCTCTCTATTTCCGCACTCGTCTCAAAATTTTAATCGTAGATCTACAGCAAATAATCCGTATAATTAACAAAACTAAACGATTTATCCTCGTCATCGTCCTTTTTTTTATTTTTTTTTTATAAATAATTTAAAAAGGTGGTCGTTTAACCTACTAGGCCTTAATAGAATATATGTATATATATATACATATGCATCAAGTATCAGCCGGCTATGGTCAACAGACCATGAACGCGACTGGACCCTCAGTCATATTTGTGTCTTGCGGCTCCTCGGGTCCCAAAATGTATAAAATATCATAATTTTTTTAAACTACTGACCGTCTTTCGTGCAGAAATTAAATATACATAGTATTGTTTAGACTTAAGTTGACTATTTTAGACTGTAATAAAATAATAAAATTTAACTATTTATTATTTATAATTGTGTGAGCCAGTAAATTTATACACAAATTACTGAAAACTAAAATGTTGCTGAAAATCACTTTTGTGAATATATACTATATTAATATCATATTATGTCACCATGAAATCTATTATTATTTTCAAAAACATAACTGACCCATAATACTGACTTCCGACTCAATTCCGCACTGATTTTCATGGTCCTTAAATTCTTCATCTATAGGGCCAAATATTCCAGGGATCTTTGTTATACCAGACCAGCATTGTATAATATTGTCCTGTATGTTCCACTTGAAAAAAAGAAAATTAAATATATTGAAAAATATAAATCGGGGTTTTCAGTGTCCCGGTACCCCAAGTCATGCATAGGGTATAACACACTTCAAATATTCTTCGAATCGTAGCTGCAATGAAAGGAATTCGTTTCGTACATTAAAAAATAATACACATACGGATCTCGAATAACGACGATGATATATTATTTAAACTGCTACTCTCAATTCATCTCGGGACAAAAGATGATGGTGGCAAAAGACAAAGAAACCGCTTAACCACTTACGAATATAATTGTACAAGATCTAGACGGCATTCTACGTAGCTGGATTGATCATATTGTTCCCGGACAAGTGTAATGGTCCGCCGGATCACGCAACTCCAGTCGGAATGAATTCAATTGCGGTAGTTAACCAAATACGTGTTATAATTCTATGTATATATTATTATTGTGTATCGTTGTCGTATTGTAAGTTTACAAGTCACCCGGAAACCAAGGTCGTGTCCCGCAATAGTAAGAATAATAATAATTGGAAACCGTGATGCAATCATCGCGCCGTCGTGAAACGCGTCTCGCGCGGATTGTTCGACGTTTTCAATCAAGAAGTGACTATTATTACAAATATAAAATAATAATGGTGTAGTGTGCAGTTATCAATGCAGTGCACCGGATAAACACACCACCGACATAAACTTATTGTACGAGTGGATGTGCGTGTGTGTGTATTATAAACAATTTATAATATGTCGATTAACACTCGTATAGTGGATGGTTTTTTCAAATTTTGGCGTAAACCCAAAAAAATTACACTGTTTTTACACATTTCAAAAACACCGTTTATGACATATACGGTTCATTTTATGAATCGTACATTAGTAACAATAAACAATTAATATTGATAGTGTTAGGACTAAAAAAAATGTCTCTCCACCCAAATTCACCAAGCATTTAACGTACGATTATGTACATGACAATTTCTGGCCAGGAAAAGGCCATTGAAATGGGGCAGAATTCCGTCCACAACACAAAACCATTTTATTCAACATTTATTCTAATTAGAAAATTTTAAATACATTATTATAATATAACATTATAGCCTTGATTTTATTGTAAAATCAATGATGATCAATATGGTAATGGACCACTAACAATAGTTTCTTTTACCTACAGCGATCAGATATAATGAATTGTTATTTTGACAATCGTAGATTATTGTTATATTATAGTCATCGGAATATTCCATCGGTTTATATTTCGTAAGATGGCCGAATATCAACATAACAGTAAAACATAACGAGAAACGAAAAACGAAACGAAAAAACTAACGACGATTATGATGCTCTAATGATATCGAGAATTTTCAAATACAAAAATAATTTGAGTGCAATATTAAATTATACACCCCATTGGTGCACATGGAGAGGGGTGCTTAGCACCCCTAAATCTAAAATTAGTTCCCCCAGATACTAAATAAAATAAATATAATACTCAAATACAGTACTCAGATATGAGATAATAGTAATTACTATTATACTATTGTGTATTGATTTATATTATATATAATATATTAATAATTCATATTATATAGTATTTATATTATATTATTATGTAAATTTGTGTAAATTGTTTTCATATTTTTAAACAGGTACCTATCCCTTGTTGGTTATTTATTAGGCAATGAAAGATTCATTATTGAAAATCGGATCTCATTATTTCAATTTTTGATTCTGATGTGCATCTTTATTACCAAAAGTCTTGCTACAGTTTATAATAATAGCAATGTTTCTAAAAGGAAATCCGACTAAGGATATACATTAACGAGGTCATTTTTCGATTTTCTCAGGATTTGTCACATATAATGTGAAAAACCGTGAAAAATGTAGGAAAATCGATACAAGATTAAACAAATATTATCAAAGAAAATATATAAAACCTATTTAATTATTTCACTATTATATGGCACATATACTGTTGACAAAGCATCATTATCAACTTAACTCCACTCAGAATCGGTTTTTCGTAAGCAATGGTTATCGTTGCTTACAGGTATACATTGAATTACCTATAACAGTGGTTGCACCCGTCCCTATTATCCTAGGACGTCTTTTATGTGTTTTATGTTTATTTAATGTACAAGTAATATTATATAATTATATTATGAAATGTTGAATAGGTTGGGGGTCTGGAGAGCAATCCCCCCCCCGTGATACTCTATCGTAAATAATTTAAGCTTTCTCAAGTTTTAGATTGAATGTTTACCAATGATACACCCTACATAATTCAATAATAAAATAAATATTAATTGAGAATTTTTTCTTCAGTTTTTATGACACAAATTTTTAACTGTCCGTAAAACAAATGGATTTGTAATTAAATCGCGTTATTCGCACATTACATTTAAAATTTAAATTATTTTTTATAAAATGTAAATTTGTATAGTTAATAAAAACAGGAGGGGAGGTGAATTCGTTTAAGTGAAATATTTTGCATTTCACATACTCAATTATAATATATTTTTTTTCGTCAATTTGCTGTAACTTGTATTGACATACAATATAATATACATAGTCTAATTGTTGCGTTCGTATCTATTTATTATTGTTATTTTTTATTTTTCATTTAGTTTGATTAGTTCCATATATACAATAATATATAAAAACATTTAAAACAATAAAATAGTTGTATATCACGAACAAAACGCGTCACAATCGTTTTTTTCCATATAGATATCATAGAAAATTAAACAAATTACGCACAACACGCACAATTTGTGGGCAGATATAATGTCCTCCCCTTCTATAAAATAATATTATATATAAAGGTACATAAAATAATGATTATTCATAATTTTAGACGTTTCGCAAGCCATCCAAATATAATAATTATTAATTACATACATTATTAGTATGAATAATTTAGTTGGAACCCATATGTATATACTATATCTACGCCACTTCAACAAAAGACAAAAGTTTCTATATTATAATCTTCGTGTTATATTATTTTTGAACTTTTATAAATGAAAGAACTAAGTAAACAAGTTACTTCTTCGCCGACAAAATATTAACACAATACCCTGTTAAACAGTTAATATCATACAAAAAATGCAAAATACTTAGGTACAATATCGTAATATTTTGATTTTGCAATATTCGCGCGGGTGTAGGTGTTGGTATATGGGTAAATTATGTTTCTAATCTTTCTATAGGTAAAAAAAACAATTCGAAAATACTCGTTTTTAACAAATCCAGTTTTATACGATTACCTATCTATAATATTGTTGTTCTAGCTAAATAACCCAGTATTTCTCGGGCGCAATCCTTTTAGAAACAAATATCAATATTAATATTAATTTAATTAAATTTTCGTTCCTAAAATTCTAAGAAAACCGATGTCAGTCACCCTATAGTAGTTGAACTTCGACATATAAAGAAGACGACGATCTTTCTGTTGTTATGAATGTCAATAAGTGTTCAAAATTTCATCAAAATCGGTATAAAATTTTAGATTTGAATGGCACACGGACAAATACACAAATAGAATTTCAATTTTAAAAACATAATAACATATGAGTTAGGTATGCCCGTAAGATTTCCAATAAAATAAATATTACGAGGATAATATAGACTATTTTCACTATTTTATTTTTTGGTCTAAAATAGAAGTGACATTTTGCAGCAAAAGTCTGTCACGAGGGCAAAACAACGATGTGTATACGCTCGTATATTTTATATATGCCCCACCGAGTTGTAATTATATTGGGTACATATCGTTATTCTTCCGGTACGTCAAACGTTACAATATTTGTAAAATATATAAGATATGTATTCTGATATACATGCAAATATAATAGTATACAGGTATTCGTTTAGGAAATCGTTTTTTGACGAAACTTTTACCCAAAGTACGCTAATAAATGATGTGCGCCCAACCCACCACTATTGAAAACGTACAAATTAATTATAAACAAAGTACAATAAATTCAGTTTTGCTAATGTGATAGCAAAAAACGGTTAGGTTTATAAATACACAAAAGTGATTTGCAGCGGTCCTCCGTCTTTACTCTATCCTTAGATTTCCTTTTCATCATTTATGAATACGAGATGCATTATCCTTGGCCCTTTTTTACGCTTCATTATTTATTAATTAAAAAGGACTTTGACTCTTTGGTTTATTCCCTTCCACTTTCCCTCTTCTATAATCGTTTTAAATAATCCACTCGTTTCATCTTTTAAATAAACGTCACTTGATATAGCCTTATTTTTTCGGACATTCACTCTAGTACTTTTTGTTATTGGTTAGGTACCTATTTTATCTATCCGGCTTATCTTTAATATTCATCTATAACACCAAAAATACGAACGTTAGGTTGCAGGCTTCGCATTCATGTATTAGACATTTTACTCCAACTATCATAGGCCTGAGATAAGGTAATAAATCAACACATCATTTAACTTGGGTTAAATTATTATTAAAATCATAATTTTTATTTAGAAAAAAACATTGCAATTTCAAATTATACGACAAATATTCTTTTTATTTTTTTTTTATTTATTTAACTATAATCAATTATAATATTAACTGGCAGTTACAACATTATTCATTATTAATCTGTAATTTAAATGGAAAAACACCTGTACACTCAATATGGTACTTATATTTAAATTCGACTGTACATGGATATGAATAAATCGGTAACAGAAATTAATTTGATTTGTTTTCGTTTTATCGTTGTATACCTAATTCTCGAGTGCAGTTTTAACTTAAAATTCAATTTAATACATTTACAAAACGAGGATTAAACATGAAAAATCCTTTGAAACTTTTAATTTTTGCACTTTTTTTTTATTTTTTTATAACATCCGCGACAGCAAGAGATTGCGATCCAAAAGACGGATGTTACAGTGATCATGAAACGGCGGTCAAAAAATGCGGAGGTGATAACAATGAGCGGGTTCATATTTTTAAAGGTTGCCACTGTTGCAAAAACAAAAGCTCTTAAAAGTGGTCTGACATTTAATACTATTTTTTTATACAAATATTATTTGAAGATTAAGAAGATTAAGAAGAAGGTTGGATTTTTAAAACAGTAAATATAATTAAGGTATTTTTTTCTATTTTGGGTGTTTTATTTTATTTCTCACACGAGCTCATATCTTTATTTATTCCACTCGTTTCTCGTATCACATAAATATTTGCATGATACAACACGATTAGAAACAGAAAATAATATCATAGTCACAAATGTAGTCGACTTAGACATTCGCTGGACATGCAGTAGTACATCACACGAATGATTATTGTTTTAATGATGATTATTAAGAATATATGAACAACACTATGTATCAGAAATACCGATCGATTTCGATTCGATTAAAATTAATCGTAAAGGTATTTAACCGTGTTGGTCTGCAAAATCCAGATAACTTGAAATGTATACAATATCTTCGCACTTTATTCAGCTCGAGTATCGTCGTCAAAGAGAAATTAAATATAGGTACACACAACAAATTCAAGCTTCCAAGTAAGAATTATTCTACCTATTTCAACGTGACGTCTTATAGTAATACATACCTAATACAAGCTATACAACCTTAAATGTCTGAGCACAACGACGTTAATACCTTCAATTAATTTACAATAATATTAGTGTTGATTTAAATATTATTTTATTAAAAATACCCTTATATTTAAAATTGTTATACATTTTATTGTGTTTTCTATTACGTTAAATTCCTTAGTTGGCATTAACGTATCTAATTTATTATAATCTATAAAAAGATATATAATGTAAAATTAATTACTATAGATAATGCATATCAGCATTCATTATGTGTATATTGTATATATAAAATATATATTTAAAAAATATTACGTTATATTATAATATTTTATTCGTGTTATTTTTTTTTTAAATTTCTATTATATTTATTTTGCAAAATATACTTTTGTTTTTCTCGAAATTTTATAAATCGTACATTATTAATTAATAATTAATATTCAATACCCATGATAGGACTGGAAAAACGTCTCTCCGCCCAAACACACCAAATTCATAGCACTTGATTATTTACACGATAACTTCTGTCCGGGAAAATACCTTTCAAACGTTTCAAACTTGGACAGATAAGTATTGGTGAAATTGTTAAAAAAGAAAAAATAAATTTGTTTGCACATATTGAAGTAAATAATAATTTTCTAAAATCAAAACTTAATATTATACCATATCTATGGTCCATGCGAATATGCCTCTATGGAATTATTTTTAAGTGTACCCTATCGTATTCTATAGGTGATACGTAATCGTATTGTAGCAAAGTAACGGTTGAGAGAATGTTTATTGTAAGTAAAAAAAAATATAAAATTGTTATTATTTAACTTAAAACTATGCACATTGTTTAGTTATTTTATATTTGAGTTTATGGTATACATTTTATTACTAAAATTGTTTTATAATTATCAAATTAAGTACCAGATCTTAAGGAATGAAGAAGAATTATTTTGTATTTTAATGTTAGTATTATTTACTAACTCAGCTATAGAGCGAAAGATGTGGGGGGAAAAACCCTCCTCGGGTCTATGGTAAATCTATAATGTAAACCCTAACCTAACTAAAATCATGCATACGCTACTTTGTATACCTATATGTATATCTACATGCCATTTCAACAAAAGTCAAAAGTTTCTATATTGCATAATATTCGTATAATATTATTTTCGAACTCGTATAAATGAAATAACTAAGTAAAAAAATACCCCTGCGACGACGAAAAAATAACACAATTACCCGTTAACATCATCCAAAAATGTAAATTAATATACAGATTATAATATAGTAATACTTTGTTTTTGCAGTATTCACGCAAAGGTAGGTGTAGGTATACGAGTAAATTATATTTCAATTTCGCTATATTATAACAATTTGAAAATACTCGTTTTTTAGTCTAGTTTTATACGATTACTTACCTATCTATATTATATTATTATACTAACTGAATTTCCCAATATTTCCCGGGCTCAATTCTTTTAAAAACAAATACCAATAAAAAAAAAATTGAATTAATACTGTTCCCTGCTTAAACCATTATCCTATATCCTACATATAAAACAAAACAAATTTGAATTAAATTTACGTTCCAAAAATACTAAAAATATCCAATGTTATCCTCCCTATAGCGGTTGAATTTTGAGATTAAAAGTAGACAACGATTTAACTCTTGTTTTGAATGTCAATCAAGACCAAGATTAAAATCAAGGAATATTTTTTTGAAGTGTAAAAATATCCTAATAAAGCCCCCCCCCGAGCAAACCCGTAAAGACAACTAGAAAATTGCTATAGGTAATTTTAAAAACTGCCGACAGAACACTTACCAGCGGTACATGGTCTTAACTCCAAAGATGTAAGGTTTACAAGAAAACACGAGATGCGAATGTGGATACGAACATGCCATTCGCCATCTACTGACATGTCCAAACTGCCCTACAACATGCACTGTCATATACATTTTATTGTGTTTTCTGTTATATTGAATTCCTCATTAAGCATAAACGCATTTAATTCACTATAATACATAAAAAGATATAATTTAAAAATATATTATAGATAATGCATATGCATAAAAATCATTCATTGTGTGTGTATATATAAATATATATATATACTCATACTCGTATATATTTATTTTGCTAAATAGCTAAATATACTTTCGTTTATCTCAAAAAAGTACCGATGAAATTCTTTATAATTTTTTTAGTTTGGTATATTCTATTATATGTTAATTCAATAAAAAAAACTTAATAAGCGTTCCCATTTATTTAGCCACGGTTATTTAATTTTCATTCCGATTTTTTATTAGACGTGAAACAATTATAAGTACACAAAACGATTTTTCATACAGGAGGAAAACTCAATTTGCAATAGTCTTGCAAGATGTGCCCACCTCCCTATTTCTTTGTAAAAAATGTAAATTGCACAATTTGTATGAAAAATTGTTTCCGAAAAACGTGCAGTAAATACGTCTAAAATCGGTTTTTTTATCAAATCAACACTGAATAGATATGACTTACATATATTATACGAATCCGATTCTCGCATAGAGCTGTAATCGAACTTGATGTTTTTTTTTTTTTTTTTACTCTATTCGTTCTCGTCCTACAGTACAAAAATAATACATATTTGTATGTGTGCGTGTGTGTGTGTCAATGACCGCGAATAAAATAAAATAAAATAATTATACTTATTTCATCGCACACGGCCATCATATCGCTCCTATATTCATATATAGTGTGTACCTATGCTTTAAACAAGCATTATACAAATGTTAAAAGTACGTTCCGAACGTGCGAGTATAATGAATATACAATCCACCACCCACTGGGTTCGTCTATGACGACGGCTCCTATTATTATACAGGCGAACGCTTAAACGCTGACAACTTGGTATATAATTGTTCGTAAATAATATAATAAGAATAATATAAAATATATATTTATTAATATGTAACACCGGAAACATTATCATTAAAATAATACAAGTTTATATTTTACGATTAGTTACTTTTGAGTATTTCGAGTATCAATAATCGAATATAGGTATATAAAATTGAAAATCTATTTGTTTGCCCGTCTGTCTTGACCGCCGTATTAATCTGTATAGTTTTATTCTGGTCGTGAAATTGTGCATGCTTAATATTCAAAACTTAGAAAAAAGGGCATTCATTTTCGAACGACGATAAACTTTAATAGGAATAAGCCTGGGAAATACCGGATAATTCAGCTAGTACATTACCTATGTTAAAGAATTTCGACCATTTTTTAAATTTCGTTCATTTTTCCGTAAGTCTTGTTACAATTGAATATAACTGTACATTTTTTTATGCAACTTTTTTCCGGCGTACAATCGTTAAATTCCAATACGCCTACTAGGTACCTAAACAAAAAAAAAAAAAAAAAAAACCCACCTAATTTTTCGTTTACGTATTTGGCGTTCCCCGTTTACGTAAATCTGCGCGATACACGATGATAATATTAAGTAGATATATATGCACGATGAGTATAATGCAAATAATTCCAACAGCTATATACGGACATGTACGATGAACTTGAAAAATGATAACAAAAAAATAAATATAAACGTTTGAAAATTTAAACTCAATAATATTGTACGATAATTAAACGCAATTCACATCCGAACATACACCATGTAGTAGACATTTTGTTAACATTCAGACAGAAACTACAATAAACAAAAATAATGTGAACAAAAATCAATTAAATTACATTATAAAAGTCTTTACTAAATATACAACTGACAACTGGAATAATTATGGAAAAAAAGACATACCATTAATTCAATATTTAAAAATTATGGGAATTCGAAACCAAGGAAATACAATACAATATTATATTATTTATTTGGTTTAACTTATGTAGGCTATATAATTAGGTATATTATTATTTTGGATTATTATAAAATTTGATTTGAAATAAGTTATTTTATTTATACATGTTTGTATTTGTACAATATATAATATGTATTTACCGATACATATTTTATGTACTTCTTTAACAAAGGCGTATACATTTTTCATTTTAATGCCTTTGACGTCCTATGTGTTTGGAAATATTGAGTGCAAAAACGTTGTGTAAAAGTATAAAAGTGTCCAAATGTGCTGCACCGCCCAAAAACGACAAAATACAAATATTCATCATAGTATTATAATGCAATTATGATAGTTACTTATTAATTTTTATCAATCCCAATTTAAAGAGGGCGACAAGTAGTCCACTAACTCTGGGTTCTACGAATATAAATAAAATACATTTAAAAATCAACATATTTTCACATGGCCAACTAAATACCTCAGATCAATGCTGTTGTGAAAAAAATACAACTAGTCAACTACAGGTTTTTATTTGTATGATGCTACTAGTAAATTGTCTATTATTTACTTGAAATTTTTAATCGATTGTAGACCTCAAAAAAAAAAATTAATTAATTTGATACATTGAATAATAATATATATATATATATAATACAATACACCTCATATTGAATTAAATTAAAATACACCAATTGAAGACTATTTTAACTATAAGTACACAGTTAAAATAGCCGTACGAAACACCTTGAAATATAAAAACAACCGACACAATACCATATAAGGGATATATAGTTCAGATTAAATACTAGAATAAAATAATGACTTGAGTATACTTTTAAATAATTTGTGGATTAGCCGCGAAGCGGTAATAGGAATTGTCGAAGTCCATACGATTCTGAACCTGCAAACTAGCACTGTCCTTATATAAAAATATACGTGCAATAAAACAAAATTAATTATTTATTATTATAAATAATTGTTTTAATTTTTAGTTACGTTTTATCAAAGACATATTTTCGACATGTTTTTTCTAGGGAAAATGCAATAACATTTAACACAATTTAGACGGCCCTAAACTATACCAAGCCCGCCAATCTTATCGAAATCATGTGCTTCTAAATAGAGGCGGAAACTTCTATTGCACCCTCACCCCCCGTGAATATACCACTGATAATTATTAAGACCAAGTCCGATTTCAAATTAAAAAATTAATTTTTAGACCACAAAATATAAATAACGTTCTTAAACACGAGCGATTTAAATAACGAGACGTGGTTGGTCTATCATGTCCCGTGCAATGAGAATATTGTCTAGAAACATTACTTTAGATCGGCTATAGCAGTTTTTTATAAATATATATAGCGACCTAAATTCGTTGTTCGGATTAACGAGAAATAAATCTATATAGACTAATTTTATTTCAACTATAATTAATTTCTTTTTCTTATGTAATTTACATTTTACGGAGTCTTGCCTACTTATATTATTAAACTAGCCAAGCAAAACGTTTTCTTTTGTCTCTTACAGCGCTGGTGCAGCATATGACTCGATACAATTTCTTTCCGCTCATATTATTACGTTATGTGCTCTATGTACCTCCTTATTTCATAACATTATACCTAATATACTTAATATAACCATTTTATGTATATATATATATATATATACACATACATTTATACGAACGGATATTACATATATTATGTTAAATTATGAATTATTATTGATAGGTAATCGTCGTATTATTTGTTCCCGAAGATTTTTCTGTTCATATCTTTGTCTGTACTTCGATAATTTTTGACCGTACGACTTTGGAAACAATTACGGAAGGCTGGATATTTTATAAATCCATAACATGCATAGGTTAATTTCGGGGAAGAAGGGCTTAAGGCACTTTTTGGAAAATTTAGTCATATAATTTTGTCTAAAGAAATTCGTTTCCCTTTAATCTCACTCTAAATCGCACAGTAAGTGTATGTATTTTCAAAATTTAATTTGCTAGTATTGAAAACTATACGTAATTTACTTAGCCCTTCTTTCCTGGGACCAAAGAAATAACTGCGTTAATATAAACATAATAAAATTTCCCCGTAATCACATCCACCGGTTGCACGTAATATCTGCAAATTTGACATTCCATTATTGTTTTATGAACTGAAACGATCACTTCAGTTTTAAAAATGGACATGAACCGAAATAGACCATGAGGACTGGCACCGTGAAAAATCACGTCCGGGGTCGAAATTTATTATAATTTTAAAAAAATTATGACGTTTTTCGGGAACAAATTCGATAACATGTTCGCTGTTACAATATACCAAACCGAATGAGTTACCGGCAGTTACTTGATTTCCGCAAATTGTACCTGTCTGTGAATATATAGCTAAATGAGGCCGTAATAATTTCGATTGACGTCCATCAAAACGATTGTTAGTGCGGGGCATGTGCGTCTGCAAATTACATAAATTAATTTCATTTTTTATCGCCCGTTTATTCGTGACGCGTGTGCGTAGTGAAACGGCATCATAATAATAATATTAAAAAACAGCCGAATTCTACAATTTCTTAAAAGGAGAAAAAAACGCAGCGTACAAATACTGCAATTCAAATGTTATAATAATGTTATATATATATATATATATATATATATACGATCCGAGCATATAGGTTATATTATGTTATATCAGGACAACAATATTATTATTTCAGTCAATTTTAGATTTTGAGCACAGCAAAAAATGTATTAGGTTTTATTATATATTATGTGTGTGTATGTTTTTTTTTTCTAGTTGCAGTTAACAAATTTTCTACCATAAATATTGATCTGGTTTTCAAGTGTAGTATCTTTTCCTAAAGCAAATTGTATCTTGTTGGTGCCTTGGAGAAGTAAATTTCTCTTGTAGTTATTTTTAATAATTGGAAAAAAAGAAAACATATTTTATTTACATAACTTATTTTTATTGATGTATCCGAATTGGTTCCCGAACTCATACCCCACATGCCGATTTGGTTCCCGTTTGAAAAAGGTACTTCATGAAGGTGAGCGAATTGGTTCCCGTTTAATTTTACCTATATATTTAAACAATTAATATAATAAATGTAGATATAATGTAGATAATACATGTTTAAACAATTATTTAACTTTTATCATACTACGGCTGGTATATTACAGTTATTAAGGTAGATAATAAAATAATATTACATCGGCGTATTGCCAAAATACCGCAATCGATTAATCTGGATATACGTATCTATATGGCTATATATACCGAATATAAAATACAGAAACGTTTCTAGTTTAAAACCTATGTAATTCTTAATTGACAGCCCTAAGACTGTAAGAATGGGAAAGAAAATGTGCGTATTTGACTATTTTACTGCGAACAGTGGGAACCAATTCGGCTCACCTTCATAAAATACCGTTTTCAAACAAGAACCAATTCGGATACATCCATATTTATACTTTTTACTCTGCGGGCATCGAATAAACCATCGACGCGACGATGAGCAATGGTCGCGCGGAATCGAATAATATAACTGCGTCTAAGTGTAGCGTACAACATAATATTAAATTATAATAATTATTATTATATCTGCGGTAAGGTTTTCAACATAGATGACTATTCCAGAGTGTTTGATTTTAATTTAATATGTGTATATACAGAGTGTATCTGCAGGATTTAACAATTTACTATTCGCAATTACTGCATAGGTATTGGTCGAATCCTGTAGATACACTCTGTATGTTATTTATACTTTTATATGAGTATAATATTATGTGTGCATGTGTGTGTATTTGTATACTAATACGTGTACCCACACGGCCACACAGCGCTCTTGCGATTATAAAATTATGACGTAATTCGAACTCACCAGACAGAAATAATATCATAGCGAACAGCAGGGGCGGGCACGCGGTAGTGTAGAACAAAATTTTAAACGTTAACGGAAAACATTCGTTAGTGGTTTCCAAATTTGTGCCTCAACCGTTATTAGTTCCGGTCACTGGGTGCGATTTAAATGTTTAACTCGGGTGACATACTACGTTGTTTATGAAGAGCAGGTAAACAAAATTAGGTTTATTTAATTTAGATAGGATATTCGATTTGTATAGTTTAATGATTTTAAAAGTCTTTTAAGGGTCTATCGTCCTCCCTTCGTTGCACCTATTATACGCTAATGCCACACCACGAAACCCGCAGATCGTACCTAATAGTTTTATGCATCGGTTGAGACGAAGATTATTGGCAATCAGATTCTAAGGGACACTCTTGTGGCAGTTTATTGTACAAAAATAAGGGTGCTAGCTTTGAAATTTTAGGACCGTATAAAATAATATTGTGGCGGTGTAGACGTGTATGTTGCACACCGGTATACGATTTGAAATAACGAACGTTTTAAACGATAAAACACATGGCGTATTGGCGTATGATATAAACATGTATACATGTATCATGTATGAGGGTGCCCCTACGATAAATAAGATCAATGCTACCAATAGCTGAATTTAGATCCTAAATAGTGTGTTTTACATAGTGTGTTTGTATAGGTAGGTATTTGTTTTCATTTTAATAAACATATTATATTTTAAACCGATGACCACGAAATAAATGTTATTAAATCAAAATTCAAGGGAGAAACGACCGTCTTTAAATGGATAAAAAATAAATAAAATAAGAAATTTTTTCGTAAATGCAATACAGCCGACATTTGTTTTGTATTTACGGAGGTGATAAAAAGAAGGACGAGAGGCGTTATATCCGCGCGGGAAACTGTTTCTGACCATCACGCCACTGTGGTCGAAGGTCTTCGTTATCTAGATCTGCACGTTTCCTTGGATCCTCGGCTTAGTATGTCATAATTATTTTGACCGACAATAATATTGCCGTATATCATAACCTAATATTCGCATTTGAAAATTGTTTTTAAACGACTCTAATATTAGAGAAAAAAAAACCCTATGTGTATCATTGTGTCCGCAAGCGTGTGTGTTGTGTCTTGTGTGTTGCTCGTAATCTGTCCGAATCCTCGCCTTGGTGACGAAGGATCTGCTGCAGTTCTTAAAGAAACATATTATAATAGGAACCAAATATTATACCTAACAATAAAGCACATACAATATAAACGCCTATTATAGTCACAGACATATACAATCCGCGTTGTCTAGTTTGCCGCATATAATATACAGGGTGATGGGTTTTCTCTCGGGTTTTCTATCATGGATCAACGTTGGAAATCAATTCCCTTTTCTATTATAATATGTAATATACCCACAAAGTCAATAGAATGACTAGTATTTTAAATTGATGTTTATTTAAAGTATATAAATTATATACGTATACCTAAAGAGTTAAGAACGGAATAGAAGTATATAAGTTGTATAGATCTTTATCTATACAAATTACAAGACCTGCATGGAAGGGGCATAAATTATTAACGTTAATTTTATACCTCCTACTTAGCCAATAATTTGTGTGAGCCTAAACTGATAACAATTGAAGCAGTTTATTTACATTTTAGTGTACGATGACCTCAGTGCCAAACAACAGAGGCCATTCAAATATCGAGCCGATAATAATAATTTACCCGTATTAAATGGTCATAATATCTATTTAACACTTGTAAAATTGTATTTCAAATGTTGTGGATAGAATAACGAAAACAAATTTTTGAGTCGCCAACCGTTTTAAATGATACTTTTATTTTGAAATCTAAAAATTATCGTTATAATAACCAAAAATAAAGGACCAAGTACTTGGTCGAATCATCCTGTATATAAGTACAACAACACTCTGCGCTTCCATAACCATAAACCGCGCATGCACACACACATACACACACACACACTTATTTGTAAAACTATAAACGACGGTGGCGGCGTGTTGGTCGTGTCGTGGCCCGAGGCCACTGGAAAAATGTTATTTTCTCGCGTATATTATTTTGATGTTTTCGTACGCGCGTGCGTATACATATCGCATGTACGAATACACGACGATTGTATCACACTCACACACACACGTATTTATTTTAAGACGGTGATAATAATAATAATAATAATATGAAAGTCGGTGTACTCGCCACTCGGTGCAACGCGAATACGTGTGCGAGCAAGAGCGCGGACTTATAACACACACCGGGCCGGTGAATGTGAATACAAATAATACACAGCCGTCCGTGACGAGTCGTTCGCCTTGGGAGTTAAACGCTACGACGACCGCGGTCCGTCTCGCGTACAATAATACAATAATTATCGTGCCTTTTTTTGTATTATTAAATAGTCATCGTACCGTTTTTGATTATTGTTACAATTATTATTATAATCATAAAATATATATATATTTATTTGTACGTATTAGCAACTTATTAGCGACACGCACAGTGGTCGCTGTTCTCTCCACATGCCGTACGTAAGTCTGCAGTTGGCCGAATATAATATTATCCATAGCTATTTTAACATAGCGTTTATCGACAACCGTTGGTCGTTCGTTTTTTATTCTATAGTCCATCGATAAAATGAATACTATATTAGTTCAATTGGTTATACTACATGGTATCTAATTAATTTGTTTAATGAAATTAAATCGTTTTGAATTGAAAGAGTGTTTTATTTTAAATACACAATTATCACGTGCCAATTAAAATATCATGTTTCGGCGATAAATGAAATCAGGAGAACTATATTACATTGAGCGTATTGGTACGCTAGATCGGACGGGAAACCGTACCAATGCGATCCTACCTATACATTATTTTGTCACGATTATAATAATAACATGTAAAGCAGAGCTGCATACATAGTTTATAATAATATTAATTTTTTTTTTTTCGGCGCGATGACTGAGACTGCGGAGACCGGCCGAACGATTATAAGATTTTAACAATTGAAATCCGTTTACGGACGAGGTTTCGGTCCTTGAGAAACCCGCGAAAATTTAATAACAATATTACAACGCGAACAGATAGGTACCTACTAATAATAATTATATATAGTGTGTCAGTATAATATAATACAATATATGGGTGAGAAAATAAAACTCTTATCGTTCGTAAAAAATAAACCTCATAAAACGTCAGAACCACGCCTATATGTAAGCAATATTAAGAGATCGTATTTATGTAAATCTATCAACTCGACAAAATATTTAAATTAGTTTACAATATGTACAAGTAGGTATAAAGTCCCGCGTGACATTTTGGTGATTTATGGCGGTAAAACATCTATAGTAAAAATTATGGGTGAAAAATATTTCCGAGAAAACCTCATGATAATAAATGTTTTGCATAAGTCAATATTATGACTACAAAAACACGTATGTAATTTTTTTTTTTATTCTTTTAAACCTCTGCCACCTATTGTTCTGATCAATATTTTGAAAAAAAAACGCATAATTCGAGATTCCCTTCGAAATATTGTCCTCTATAATATATTTAGTTATATCATTTGTATTTTATTACTAAACTATTTTTAAAAAGGTATTTTTTTGTTTAGCTAATTCTGTTTTGTCAAGTGGTTTTTTTCTACCAAATATTCGAAAAATAAAATTGCGAAATTGCATATTTTATTTAAAGAAGAATTAAAAAACCAATCACGTACGTAATTGTTCGTAAACTATGGACCCTTCTTAAACCTTAAAAAAAATTGAAAATACATCCCTGTCTGTACAGTTTATTATTCAACCGTCTAAATTAAAACAATATAGTATCCCAAATTTATTGCTATCATTAGGGCACGGTTGCATTTACAACTTATTTTATACCTTTTTAATTTATTACTAAGTAAGTTTTAAATACGTTCCATGTAAGTACGAATTCAAATTTAGAAGTTGTAAGTGTATAATTTTTTTTTTTTAGAATTTTTTCAATTTTATTGCAATTTTGTTGAATTTACTCATTTATACAACTATTTTAGATATAGTCGACACTCGACAGTCGTATAGATAATATTATATTACACATAATATCGCCAGACATATAATCTAATAATGGTATCTTATCTTTATTTTGATAATTTCAAGTTGGTAGGTGTTCAATACAATACGAAAATAATTTGTGAAATGTTTGACTGTTATAATCTGTTTTCAGTCACTTCGTTAATTTTGAGCGATCGTATTCTTTTATTTTTTTTTTTTTGTAAAGATGCCAAAAATTAAGCCAACTATTTGTTCCACTGTTGCAATAGTTTTTAGAGCAATTTTTAATATTTTTATTATAATTGTCGGTATTTTTTATTACCTCAGTATTAATACTGCAGTCGATTTTACTAGTTTTTTAATACTACAACATCCGTACTCTAGTTACCATATTACTGACTGCGACTGTCGTCTTTGATTTATAACCGATATTAATTATTGTGTGCCTAGGTGACTCTGTCGTGTTTCAACACGGTTTTCAAAATATGTTTTTTATAACGTTCAAAATATTGGCCTGATGTAAATGTATAAAATATTATTTTTAAAACACGAATCGAATCGCTCAGATTACTTATATTTGTACAGTGTTAATGATTTATATTACGTATTAGGTGTACCTGCAGTAAAACGTTCGAGTAGGGTCGATGTACACGATTCGTCGATTTTCAGACGGATTTTTTTTTTCCTATTCATTATATGATCATAACGTGCTTGGTATAATTTTTTTCTTAAACATTATGATCATTAAATTATACTATACTTGGCCGCGTTTTAAAAATAGTAATTTGTAACCCTGATCAGTTTGCCTCTATACCTTATATTATAATACAATTTATTATATTCGCACACGCCTTTCTGCTATTACTAATAATGTACAAAAATACAAAATATATTATAACCACTTGTATATGATGCATTTTTTTAATATTTAATAAATCAATTTATTTTATCGACTTTTTGTTACATTATTAATATACTCATATTATCCATATTAAGACCTTGAGATTAACAAACCGCATTTTATTTTAAATATGTTTTACCTATTAAAAATGTATTTTCAACATTATTATAATATTTATAATACTCTATGTACGTATACTTACCTGTAAATATTCATCACTATTATAGAGTAAAATGTTAAACCAGTATAATAATAATTTAATAATCCGTAAGCGAATATATAAAGCTGATGTATAGAGAAAAAACATTTCATTTTTTTTTTTAATTTTTTAAGTACCTCCAGAGTATTTTAGCATATATAAACAAGTCGTTAGGTTTTTTTTTTGTTCAGAATTATTTAAAACAAATTATACTTTTAACTTAACGGTCACTTGCATTCATTTTAATTTTAAAATATAGGTACCTAGTATAACATATAAGATTAAATAAATTGTAAATTTTATGTATTTGGTACATATTATTTAATTTTCAATCACTTTGCGGGTAAAACCATCAGTGATCAAATAGAGTATAACAAAATTATGCATTTTCAAAAAACATAACTATTACTCGAAAAACGAGTAACGATTATTAAAAAATGAATTTTTATAATATATTCAACTCGATTTTAAATAGTGATGTAAGATTTATAAAATAAAATTATACTCGTATTTTCTATAAGGTATAAATTTGAAATAATACGATTTTTATACAAATCTGTGTACCTATTCAAATATTCGGGCAAATATATACCAATATTATCATGTTTATATTTATTTTGAACACATTTTTAAACTCGGAGATCAAAATGGGAAACATTTTGAAGAGGAATCAAACATATTTACCAAAATTGAGTGGCGTTCCTGAGAACTAACTAAACTCCGTTCCCTCACTTTAACCGCTATTTAAACTTGATTAAAAATAGATATTTCAAAAGAAACGCCCAGAGATGTATTATTGTTATTATTCTACTGCAACGTCTGTAGCTATAATAGAAGCGATAAAATACACGTATTCGTTGTTAATAAAACGACCTAAACATGAACTCGCAATAATAATATATTGGTTACCTATACAAATTAAAGAAGAAATAAACGCAAACATACAATTACTGCGTATGCCCTAGAGTACACAATTATTTCTATGAATTTACAATTTAGTAGAGTCGAAGTGAACAACAAAAAAAAAAAACTGCACAAAAATCTCCGTGGGCACTATAACTCGTTTCGAAACAATTATTTTAACTTTTTTTTTCGTATATAATAATGTACAGCGAATCCCAAAAATCACAAATCCGGAAAAGAATCACAGCAGAAAACCTATTCAAACGGTTTACTATAAATATAATATTATCACGTAGGTACTATTGTAAAACTATGTAGGCATAATATTTATTATGTATAAATGTATGATTACTGAGAAAAAATAAAAATTATATTAAAATCTATTTAACTCGACACACATTTTGACAAAAGCTTCGCTACATTAAAACAAAAAATCAAATTCTACGTGAAATACACATTTATACCTCAGTATTTTTTCGTATCAAACAATTTTTTTTTTCGTGCTGACTCATGTCCAACAATTAGTTTGTGATCGTAAAACCGTAATATCCATGATTACCCTACAACCATAACGACAACCGTAAATCGTAATACTATTTGTACATTACATTATTTCTTCAATGTACCTACTTACAAAAAAGGACCAATTTGTTAACATTGAGTCTGTATTTATACTATGAATTAGATAACAACATGTGTGCAGATAAGTTTCTTTTAAAACATTTACTTCTGATTAAGAGGCATTAAGGTAAAAATAAAATAAAATTATAGGTAATGAATTATATACAGTTGTATATTATTAGTCCGAAAATGACAATAACAATTGAATGGAAACAACAGTTATTTAATTTCAACATTTCAAGAGCATAAGGCTTTTAAGGATTTTAATTTTGACCATATAAAACACATAAATATATTTTGTATATTTTAGTCTTTACATAATTCGATTATACACAATATGCATAACTTAGTCAAATTATTTATTTTTTTCCTCGGTTTACTACGAAAATTCACGTTGAGTGGTACTGTAAGGTTAGGTTAACATATATAAAAAAAAATAGGCTAGTGAATAATTCGCGTGTTTGACACTCGTAATTTTGAACTGAAAATTAAAAATATCCACATAGACTTTTTATATAAAAAAAAAAAAAAAAAAACCACTCTAGGATTTAATCATATTTATATACGCGTTAATGAGGTTAGCTATAGTCATAAAAATCGTATAATATTCAAGATTCTAAGGGAATTCTGAATGTGCGAAAACGAGTCACGTTATGGGTTTTCAAATAAGAATTTTAAAATATGTGCAAACGAGTTTCACTGATTAAAAATGAATACTTTAACTATGTTTCAACTTTCTAAAATTGTAAATGATAAAGTGCAAACTAATAAATTTCGAAAACGTTTTTTTAAGTATAAACAAGAAAATAGTATTAAGGGATGGTCTTAAACGTACAATATTTTTTATATTAAAAAAAAAATATACTGTGAACGTAATATTTCATTGGGTCTTTTCCCTAAAAATGGGCCAATCAGAGCGCTTTTCACTATATAACGTTCCATTGGCCGGCGATAACAATATAATTGTGATGATTATAATATATTTGTACACCATAGACACGAGGTGACGAATAAGGGTCAGCGCTTCGAAGGACATTGCAGACGAAGAATATAAGAGCTAGTACTTGTACTCGATTTCTTTACTCGTATATAAAATGATGGACATCGAAAATTACCTACTGTATGTACGATAATTTATTATAATATATGCGAGGGACTTTGGAGGTAGTTATATAAATATATAAGTATAGTTAAGCGTTCATAAAGTTTAAAAAACTCAGAAGATCGCATACAATTATAAATATTAGAGGATTTTACAGTTTTGTGTGGTGTAATTAAATACACTAGCTGCAAGTACGAATTGCGTAATTTAAAAATACATAGATTTTTTAATTTACGTGCGGGCACTAACCTTGCCCCCTTGGCTATTTTTAATAGGTAGGTACCCGTTTTTTAAATACATGTATAATTCTTATAAAGAATCGCAAATATTTTTCTTGCGATGCATATTTCATTGTAAGTATGTAGTCATGATTTGAAACATGTTTTTTTAATTTTTAAGATAATAATTATATATTTATAAAATATATATTATACTGTTATTGTTTGTATAAATTTATTATATAATATTATATTAACAAGCATTATACAGAGTGATTATTATAATATAAGATATTATCTTGAAAAGAATTAACTTTTATCGACATTTTTTATTTATGAAAAACTACATAGCCGATCTAAAACGTAATATGTTATACTACAGTTTTTGTTCAAATATACGTATATTTCAATACCAATATTTATTTACGATTTCAAATAGTATTAATACAATAATATTTTTTAAGTTCAAACTGTGTTTTTATTTATTTCCTACATTAACATTATATTGCGATATTGTATTTTATGTATAATTAGAGATAGTAATTACTAATTAATAATCAACCTGTTTCGTTAACTTTCATCTACACAATACATAAACACGCGGTGTAGGACGTACCTATGGTATAATATAATTATTACTTTATACCTACATTTACGAGCACATTACGTGTGCATCTATTCTATAGACAATATTATTATTAATTTCGTGAAATGTTATTGTAACACATTCTCACGGCTTAATTAATTGCTAATTATTATTTAAAACAATTTTCTTTAAAATAGGCAAGGACTTTACCAAAGTGTTATACATGCATACCTACACACTACAATACGCTACGCCTCTGATTCTTAACATTAAAATTAATACTAGGTATCAAAAATTAATAATTATCAACTCTGTATATATCAAAGTTAGTCTATATACGGGGTGTCATACAGTGTTATCCCAATGCTAATAACCTTTTTATATTTTTTTTTTTTGAAATTGGTTTTTTCTATCGGGTTTTGTGTCAGTGGCACACAAATGTAAAAAGAAAAAAATAACTTTTTATTTTTTCTCTCTTTAAAATGTTCAAAATAACCAACTTGTGAAATATTACATTACCGTATAATTCATAGACCCGACACCGCCTATTATACCATATTTAAAAACGTATTCCCTTTAATACAACACAAATATTGTATTATTGAATTTGCTTGGATGTGTTTGTGACAAGGACGACGGTTTATAATATTGTATTTTATAATATCATATAAAGTAAATGTAGTGCCAATTTTTTTTTCTTTGTCGTATAAAACCGCGTATCGTATAGTCTCGCGGTATCAGATAATTAAAATAATAAAAATCAATATAATGCAGTCGAATAACACCACCAGCTGCTGCTATAGTCAACATTTATTGTAATATTGTCTAATAAAAACAAACTGGCAATACCTATACGTTTTATTACACTGTACCGCCCGTCCGTACGTCACAGTATTATTTTCACTAATGCAAATAATTATTATCCGTATACCTAAGACAAGATTTTTATCACTTGTTGCGCAACGGTCATAAAAACAACACGAACAATAATTTTTGTATTTTACTTTCATTAATTTATGTACAATGCGTGTAATATAATGTGGATAAGTGTATTATCGCGGTCAGCTGTTATGCGTATACAACACGTGTAGGTATTATGTTTATGCCGGACGCCAGCGAGTTTTCGTGTGTCTAAATAGTAGTCGTGTTTAATCGCGCTTTGTTTGTCTAGCGGTGCATCAACGGTCATAATTATTAATGATGCCTCCGTAATAGTGCTCACGTAGACGTGCATTTATTGTACAGAGTGTGCCGCCGTGTTTTCCCTGCCGCTAGAAATCTTTATTAATATTCTATTTTTTTTTTTTTTTTTTTTTTAAATTTTCCACTAGGATTTTGTGGCAGGGCGACAATTTAGTTTTATTTTCAGCCAATAATCACTATAGAAAATAATTACCTACTGTCGTTTGTTCAGTTTTCAAAATGTTCAAAATAGTCACTTTGTAATAAACATGATTTTATTTTGAACGTATCCGACGATTATAATTTCTGAGTATAAATTGTTTTTATAATTTGTGCTACTCTGTCGCGTAACGTAATAAAAACCCCGCCTATTCAATACATATTTTTTTTCATGCCCCTGTTGTAGTTATTTCATATTTTTTGAAGGCTTCAGTGTTATTTTTTAGCGTATCGGTAAGTCCGCAGTAGATCGACAGTATCGAATGACGTAAAAAAACTCCAGTTCTACCATTTCCGACATATCGAGAAAATTGAAAATATTCATATCTATTATACGACAATGTTATACTATAGTATTATGCATAGCAAATCGAATTACTGTTTATTTTGATTGTATCCTATCCATCTATAAATATAATTTATTACCAAAACACCTATGTTGATATCGATATTTTTAAAACGTAAGCGATAAAAACACAAAAAATTCAAGGAATAACTAATGCACTACCACATACATAGCTCATAATTTTAAATAGCTTATTCTAGCTATCTAAGTATAAAAAGATGATTCCAGCGTGTAGTTTTATTCTCTAAAATCAGATACCTATTCAATATGTAAACACAATCTAAAGTCCATTAAAATTCATATATAATAAAATTGAGAAATTAAACAAACAAAAATTCGTCGGACAATATTTAAATGATTATAATAATTTGGTAATCAGATATAAAAAAAAAAAAAATATCATCGAACGAATTTTGATGAATAGTTTTACTGAATATACTGATAGCATCTCATTATTATTGGTTTTCAACAATAATTTCTTTGGCCCATCGTGAATAACGAATCATACGAGAGAAAGTGTACTTAAAATATTATTGTTATTCAAAAAAAAAATTTTAAAAAATAACTAAATTGTATTAAACATCTTATATTTGTATAGTTAAGGGCATCTTGAAATAAACGATCGGATACATAATCATGACGATATTTAGATAAATACTTGAAGCCATATGTAGGTAAAACTTTAGATTATAAAAATAAAATATTTAAAAGTGAACCTAAAATATAATTTAAAAAGATTTTGTTTTTATATTTTTAATTCTTCTTTGTTGATAAAAATATTTAATGATAAATATCTGAAAATGGTTTACTAGACATTTTTCGAGGTAATATGAAATCGTAATAATTAGGTATATAATTTTAATGAAAGTAAAGATTTGTCGTCTATATTATATCCCCAGGAAAGATTCTCATTTTTTTTTTTCCCATCGTAATAAATATGACTAGAAATACCTGTATCAAGAACGCATTCAATTTAATGTGTGTATTATTAGAAATTGAAGTAGTTGATTTAAAAAAAAAAAAACTATCCCACCAAAAATTTAGATAATTAAATATCGTATAAGGAATTGACCGGATAATTTATATAAAAATATAAAACTATGCCATGAGGTGAGAAATCATTATTTTTACAACTCGGTGAGAATGCCGCCAACTTATATTAATCGAATTATAGACATGATGGTAAAAATAATAAAACGTTTACTCCGATATTTCTAAACTACAATATTATACTGAAATCGTTAACATGCATGGCCTGTTTTCCAGTTAGTCGATTCAAGTAACTAGTGGATTCGAGTAATTTTTTATAATTCCAAACTATATCTACGTGTATAAACGCGAGTGTAAATACTATATTATATTATTACCTATTATGTAGTAATGTAAAAATATTCTAGAATTAATAAATAAATCGGGATTTTTTAAGTATCTATATTATATTCATGTATTTTTTTATAATTATAATTTTTTATTCGGTTTCAAAGATATTATTTAAGAAATTAGTATAAATATATTTATATACTCGCAATATATAATTCATGACACTGGTGTTATTCATAATGTAATTGTTTTCCATCTCGATAATATACAGAGTGATCTACTTATCATAAACCAGCAATTTTCTATGAGGATTAATAGTGAATTTTATTCACCAGTTTTTTGAAAACCATTATGGGATTGTTTAAAATTTATTTTTTAACTATTTTTAATTTCTAACCCTACTCTTCATACCTTTAATGAGTATATACTTTTGAATTTCAAATATTAACCCACCATTTTTTACGCACTTTTAAATGAAGACTATTTTTCTAACAATTTTGATATTTTTTTCATCAAATTCCTCGTTTATGAGTCGTAACAGTTAAAAATTGCTTTCCCTACTCCTCAAGTTTAAAACTCTCCTCCTAACCTCTTCCATACTCCTCCGGTCTAAACTTAAAATTGTTATAACTCATAAACGGTAAATCCGATTGTAGTGTTATCGTTATGCATATCAAAATATATAGAAAAATATCCTCTATTTGTAACTATGTTCCTGTTTGAAAATCAAAATTATTTACTAATTTAAGGAGTAGGGATAAAAATTAAAAATAGTCTTAAAAACCAAGCTTATACAATTCCATAATGATTAGAAAAAACAGAAATTAAATTCACTTAAAATCCTCCGATAAAATCGCTAGATACTGAATCACTCTATACATAAATACAAACATCTTATTGTCTAAACAAATAAAAGTAATAAATTGCCAATCTATATCCCTTTCTTACTCCTCCGGTCTAAACTTTAAACTGTTATAACTCATAAACGGTAAATCTGATATAAGTGTTATGCATATTCAAATTTCTAGAAAAATATTCTCTATTCAAATCTGTGCTCAAAAGGGGGTTCCTATTTTAAAATCAAAAGTATCTACTTATTTAAAGTATATCGAGTAGGGGTAAAAAATTAAAAATGGCTTTAAAATAAAGACTAAAGATTCCATAATGATAAGAAAAAACAAAAATCGAATTTACATAAAATCCTCTGAGATAATTGCTGATTCATGATAAAAAATCATTCTGTATATGTAGTTCACTTCTTTTTTCCATCAAATATAAATATTATTGTCTACATTATAATAAATATAGTTTACACATTTTGTAGTTTTATGTTTTTTACAATGCATAATAAGGTGTTTCATTTTAAATTATTTATACTTATAAAGTTATAAAGGATTTATAATAAAAATGAAAATATAAAAATCGAATTTAATATTCGGAACACGGTTTATAAACTACGTCCGACTGTCCGGACACGAACAAACCTATCGGTATGTGTGTGCCCATTTAATGTTTATACGTACTCATGAAAACGCACAGTCGTATCTGTATGACTGTATGTATATTATATAAATATATTATACAAATAATACATTTATATGAAAATATAAAAATATACAATTTTTTGTTTTTTTTTTTCTTTACACGTGCCTATAATATTTTATAATATTCGAGTATGTTGTGTATGATTTTCGAAAAGACTGCGGACATAATAATAAACGACGGCAATTTAACTACTTCACCAAGTTGTAATTTATAAGTATAGGTACCGCCTAATCGTGTAAACACAAAACTGAAATCCTAACTGTACCTACGTCTGTATGTTTGCCATAAAAATCTATAGTTTTATTCCGATTTTGATGAAAATTTGCTCATTTAACATCCAAAACAAAAGTAAAATCATTGTCTATTTTTCATCACGAAATTCAACACCTGAAGGGTAGCGAAGATTTTGGTATTTTTAAAATAAAGATTGAAATTTTTTTTTATTGATTTATGAACTATACCATGGCGACACGGATGAAAAACATGTTATTAATATTTTATTTGGTTGTCGTAATCAAGGTGAGTATCCTTTTTTAAAAGATAACTTATCTGGCAACACAGCGATTAACTGTGACCGGGGATAAAACGGAGGACGGAAACGGGAAAATACGTTAATATGAATTTCTTTTATTGATTTCTGTTTTTTTGCAAGGATCGAGTCCGGTAAATAACGGGTAATTCAGTTATAGTAAGTACATAATATTATATAGTGTGTCACCGAGTGGCGGTCGCGGCTCTATATACGTTTTTGCGTTCAATGTATCCACGACTGCTGCTCGACTAGATGAGAATGAGGACGAACAGAAGTCGACTGATGTAGATACTTACGTGATAGGTAACTGAAACAAAATATAATATTTCGATGTTCTTCCGCACGATTTATATAATATATTATAAAAACGTATACCTACCTATATAACTACTAGGTACGTCCTACGCTCGTATAATATGAAATATAATACATTAATATATATTCTATAGGTATATATATATAACAATATTATGTACGATTTAATATAAAGTACCTAGATAATACCCTACGCGAAACATATTTTTTTTTTTTTTTAAGATATTATTCACCGTCATAGATTAAAGAGCAGTATTATTATATCGTCGACTCGTCAGCGCGTCAAGTCGTTAAGACGATATTATCGTGCGTCGTCGGTGTACTATCGTAGATATAATAAATTATGAGTCGACAATTAAAAATGAATGTGATATTATCAAAAAATCGTGTTGTTTGTCGACGGTAGACACGATAGTGTAATACTACTTATACGGTAGGTGTGTTACGATTTGATTTATTTCGTTTTCGCTGTCTCGGCAATCGTTAAATATTGCGACAAATCGACGGCGTTTTTCGTGATTTTCGTGTTCGCGATTTCTATTCAACGATAAAATATTAATATAATCGCTAATATTTAACATTAGAATGAATTGGTTTAACTTATTCAAACTTAAAGTAATTAAGAACATTATCTGTGCAACGTTGGCGTAATATTTTAATTTTCAAACGAGATATAAGCATTATTCTATTTTGGTGTTTCGTTTTCTCATAACTCTCTTAAAAATTAAAATATCGAAAAAATTGTGCCAACATTACATAGATAATGTTATTATCTTTAAGTTTGATCGTTGGTCAATTCACTCTAATATAAATGCCATCAGTACAATATGTTTTTCCTACTGAATTTAAATTTGTTATGTAGTACATTTGTAAGACGTAGACAAGACACGCGGATAACACACCCTCTTATTATAATCGTTTAAAACAGAAAAGTCGTCTCTGACAATCGTATCACGTATGTACCTGTGTGTACTGCAAGCGCGTGTATAAATTTCCGATAGAATCGATACAGGTAATATTAACGTAACAACGTTTACGTGCGAATAATGTTTTCGTTGACGTTATACAATTTTCAAAGTATATGACGGTAATAGACAAGTACCCATAACTATTATAGACAGAAATAAACGTAAGCATGTAACATGCGTAAAACGAAAACTCTCCGAATGAATCGACAATAATTTAATAAACGCCGACGAGCCGAAGAATATAAAAAAAATATACGTCATATTATTATGACGTTCGCGCAGATTTGTTATTTTATCAGTTTTTGTACAGTGAACGTATAATATATTTTCATAATATTATCCATACACGGGTACGGGCCACATACACACAATGATAACGCGAATAAATATTAGTGAAACCGAAATACCATTTCGTACGCGCGCGCGTATAGAATTAAATGTACAAAAAAAAAACCCTAAAAATTACTGTGCCAAAACACTACTGCGCTGGACACTGCAAGCACAATGAACTGCTCGCACTAGAAACCCAGTGGTATACCTACCTATATTATACTATAACATGATATTTTATATGCAATGCGATTACAATATTCGCAATGATCGAATTTCGCGCGCAAACCGGTCCCCGGTTGATATTTCATATTATATTATTATTATACGCGTGTGACCGTGTTTACGTGTTACCGCGTGTGGATTATAATATCCGTACACGCACACGGATCGAAACACGAAGTTTGGTCGGATGTGCATTAAAGTCACGCGTAGTGCCCGTGAATGTCCCCCGACCGGTTTTTTCGGACAAGTGTCGTTTACCATACTGCTAAAGTAGCTGCACGTATATAATGACCGTATACAGAGTGGTCGGCACGCCGTCAAAAACATATTAATATATTATTATTATCTACTTTTCAACCGTCCGATTTTCACAGATCGCGGACCTATAACAAGCTGACTACGTTACCGTCATTAACCAATGCCGTGACCTTAATTGAGAGGCGAGGCTGATTTTAAACCGGAGTAAATGATATTGTTTAAATTGTATCGTAGCCGAAAACAAACGGAAAAATAATATTTAAACGCGGAAAGTGACAATAAGAAAACCGTTCCGTATTTCGGGAAGTTTTAATAAAAAAAGTTTGAGAACCGCTGGGTATGTAACCTCATATCGGCATAGAAATTAAACAGTCGAACTAGAATCGCCGGGAGACGAACGTGACGACTATATGAATATAATATATATAACTGCGTATAACCTGCACCACTCGAGGTGCCGTCCATCGTGTTTTTTACGACTGTTACGGTATACTTGAACATCTTGAGTGTTTATTTATACAATATAGTAGTAATAAATAATAATTATTATTATTTATACAAAAGAATATCACAACTTTGAAAATCAGAAAATCTGCAGACAAACAACAAACATCGTAGCGTAGATTAAGCAATCTGTTGTTATTTAGGAGACTTTCTGACGTTTAATTTGGTTGCCAAAAGTTATTGCTTGAAGCGTCGCCTTGTTTATTTGTTGTTATTTAATTAAAATGGCAAGCGTTCAACAGGAAGCTATGTGTACTATCGAAAACGGTGAAACTCAACCGGCGACAGCTGTTCAACGTGCATTTTGAACCATGTACGGCTTGATCCTCCCTATTGATAGGATAACACGTATTTGTACAATTTACTGAGAAAGGGTGTGTGTGCAAATAGGAAATGTCCCGGAACGTCATGAGTGTGGAACGATTTCGACTATTAGGTTGATGTGATCGAGTCAGGTTCGAGTTTCTCAGTGGGTCACATTGAACATTAAATGTCAACATGTCTACTACGGAAAAAACTATACTATTTATTTTTACATTGATTTATTAACCTATGTCCCATCATATTTATTTTAATAAATCCGATTTCAAATGTTTTGCTATTCTTATGTAATCACTGTATATATTATTATAATACAATTCGATCGGATCGTACAACTATGCATTTTTCATAACGCGCAGCTTATACACTTTGAAATATTAATGTTTTATATATTTTACACTCGCATACAATTTGCACGTTAGGTATATGAGAAAAATAGAAAATTGGTCATTTTTTTATTATACCTACTCGTATATGTTCATACCTATACCTATTGCACATGTGTGATTTGTCTTTATTTCGATCATTCTATTTACAATTATTGCATAATATTATATTGTATTATATGTTCCATGTGAACATTGTCATGGTTTGATGAACGAAACACATTGTACCTAAATATACTCATAGGTATGTAAATTTGTATAATAAACCGTCATCATAAATATATAATATTTCGAGTCTGAGAGTGATTTATAACAAAAATAACGTCCTTGTTTTTTTTGTTCTTTATTTTTTTATACGAATAAATAATATAATTATTAATATCCAATTAGTGGTTTTATAAAATTCGTATTTTTTCAGGTATAGTCAAATAGTAATTTGCCATACTTATTAACTTTGTTACATAGCGTGCTGTAATATTACAACAATATTATAATACATACTTATTATTATAGACGTATTAATACAGTACATTTATATTATTTTATTTTATTGTACATATTATAATAAAATATCATTATATATATATATGTATAAGTGATATTGTATTCATTTTAGGAAATTTCGTTTAATTTCTATACGATTTAGGTATTATTCAAGTGTTAAGTATATAGGTATATTTATTATACATATATATATACGCTACAGTACCTACACACTGCGAAATATTACAATTTGTTTTCTATAGAGTAGAGATAATAATAATAATAACATACATTCATTTTAAGGAGGGTAGTAAAAATATAAATAAAAAAAAAACTGCTGCAGCTGCGCATACTATATACCTATAATACCTATAGGTAGTTAAATAACCTGTTAGAATTTGTAACGTTTTTAAGGGGGGAGATTGGCGCATGGGCGCTTAGTGTGGTTACGCATCGCCAATAACCTAAAACTACTCTACATGTACATTAAATAATAAAAACAAAAATATATTTACCGGCAAAAAAAAACAAACTTGCTGATATTAAAAATAATAAACGGCCGCGTGTACTTACAGCACTCGTAAATCGTAATAGAATAACGAATTATGTGATAATTGCGTACAATAATAACACAAAAACTCGTTTGATATTTATAAAATAATAAAATGTTATTCACATCCATTATATATATTAGTTACTAGAAAGACTAGATAAATATCTAGTCTCTTTAGTTATATTTGCTGTAAATTATCTATTTATACTTGAATAATTTGTACAGATTCGGTCTGAACTCAATTTTTAACGATAATGATCGCGAAATTGCTCTAATACAATTGAACAATATGACGGATAATTGGATATTAAATATTATCTGTATTATAATATTTAATAATAGTATTATCGACCGTTAATATGTTAATCGTAACTGTTTTCAACTGTAACGTTGATATACAATGCCGCGACATGATAGACACTATTAAAATAATTTTAGGTACAATGCTGATCGATATAGGTAGGTACTTAAAATGTGTCGTGCGAAAAACTGCAGATCGATGGACGTTAAAGTCTCCCATCATGTCCGAATCTCATCGGTAGACTATAATAATACCCGTGAGTAGCAGCACTCACTAGATTCGAATTTTCCCTCAGTCGACTTGTCACCTTGGATCGCTACCCTCAGTCCTTCTCTATATCACGGTCTATAATACATCACCTCATCCAAGCATAAAAAAATAGTAATACCTTACGGTAACAATAAGGCATCGACCAAAAAATAAATAACCACAGACGGTGTGGGCGAATTATGGAAGTTAAATCTTCTAAAGAGTAAAGGGACATCTTCAACGACAATGTTATTTACATATATACATTTTAACACCGTTATTTTTACTTTGATAAATATGTAAGGGTATTTAAAAACCGGTGTTTCCTGTAAAAATGTGACATTTGAGCATACGAATAGTTGAGGAAGCGATTGAAAGTTGAATCTTCCAAAATGTACACCCTTGATACTTACATCAAACACACACACAATTTTTTCCTCTTGATTCATTTGAGAGGGTCTTAAAGGGTGTTCATAGCTAAAAAAACTACCCTCCTTCCCGTAACAATGGTGAAATCCATAATGAAATTCAACCAAAATGTCATCGCTTTTAATAGCTAATTTGGTCCAAAAGGAAGTCCTAAAAGTATCCAAAAATAGCGAGAAAAAAAAATATTATGTACTATATGCGTAAAGGTATACAATAATATAACAATACAGCGTATTTAGTCTCTATTTTCAGAGGAAATTCAATAATAATAACACCACCAACGATATTATTTTGTATATTATCCCTTATCAAATTATGTACACTTAAACTATATATTATTATATTTGAATTATTATTTCGTCTGTATTTATTATTTTATATCCGTTACACCCGGTCGTAACTCGTAATAATATTCTAAAAATTTACATAATGCACCTTCGAATCAATAGTTTATTTTATAAGTACGACAATATATTATATCAGCCGTATCAAATATATAAAAATATTACTCGTAAATTTAAAAACCATTTTGTTTGTAAAACTGTTAGATATTATAATAACGAGGTCATGATCGACTGCAGTCCAAGGCGTCGCAGGACATGTTTTTGACATTGCTTTCTCGAATTTTTTTTTTTTAATATTATTATTATAGTTTAGTTTTATTTTATTATTATTATTTCTTTTTTTTTTTTGCACTGTTCTATTGTCTATTATTTAATACGTACATGTATGTGTAAACTGCAGTAAAAATATGTCTACGACATAATATTATATACTTAGATATACCCATACCGCTCACGGTTTAAAACCGACCAATTTAATTCGTTCGCTCGCGTTATGCATACAAGCTTATTGAATTTTTCAAAAAAAATTAGCACAATAATACTATTAATAATAGTTAAGTATTTATTATAACTCGAAGGGAAATTTAATGTTGCTATATACTTATATGGGTATATATATATGTATAATACGTGATATGTATACGAGATAACTGCGAGTCGAGATACTCGGACTAATGTATAGAGAAAGGGACAGAGTAAAACGTTGTTATTTTTTTTTCCGGAAGAACAGTATTGGAACGGAATAAAACGACCTTGGAAAATCGTTTGAGTAGGATAAATTGCGAACATTATCATACGCTTGAAATAAAATCGGTTTTAAGTATTAATAATTGTATTTAATATCATTATAGTATTATTACCTCAGAGTAAAAAAACATAGACACATATTAAGTTTTATTTTTTTCAATTCGTAGGTTGGTTTGCAACTCGTTTTCTTCATTCTCCACGGTTACTTGCCATTTCTTTTAGTGCTCAATGTCTTAAAACTATAAATGTATTGCAAGGTCTTCCAAGTCGTCCAGGTCTTTTCCCTTCAACCATGCCCTCTAATATTGGGCTGTGCAGTTTTTCTGGATATCTTAGTGTATGTCCCACCATATTAGATATACGTGTATTTAATTCGTAAGCCATGAGGTATCCTTATATATTGTTAAACACATCGATGATGCCGATCTATACTGACAATATATCGATCACTATACTATATTCCTCTTAGTAAAAATAATACAGTAGTATTATCATAGTAACGATAAATCATTACTAACGAAAAATCATTCTCAGCGAGGTTCGATTAAAAATGTTTTGAAATGATTTTTATTAATTTTTATGATTTTCATCAACATTTGAACTTGAAATGCTAAAAACATAAACTATTATGTTTAGCTTTTTTTTAAACACAAGTCTAACTACACGCTGCGCTCTACTAAGTGAACCTCGCGTGTTAAATTTTCGAAGATTTTTATTGAACCAAAACAGTATACGTTGAAAATTTCAGGTCTCTACGATTATTTTCAACTGAAAATCCGCGGTAATTGGGTACATTTTCCCGTTTTTCACCAATTGTTAAAAAAACTACAAAGAAAATTAAAACAACTCGCCACCGCACCAATAACTAAACAACATTAATTACTACCAGAAACGGCAGAAACCACCCCTGATGTTGATGATTAGAGCAGGATTTTTAGTAGAAAAGTTGTTTACAGGGGGGNGGGGGGGGGGGGGGGGAAAGATACCGCTACGTTCAGAATCTGAAATTATTATATTAAAAGTGTGATTTTTAAAATTGTTTTTATTCAATCACGCGTGTTTGTAGATATCCGGAATAAACAACGGACATACGGAAAATTGTATAGGTCAATCAAATTATTATACTTAGTGTACGCTATACCTACGTGCTGATGTGAGAACAATAGAAACTATATTTATAAATAATATACCTATATGTGTATTATACTATAATTCGCTGTTCGCATGAAAAATTGTTATGAAACACAACCCGCATATATCAAACACATACCTACCTATACATATTTTATATTAAATTATATGTACGAAAACAACAGAGTACTACATAGATATTTTGTTCGATGAAAAATTGAAAGAAATACCGTATATACCAGGTAGTATACATTATATAGTTGGCGGCAATAATTCGTGTAACGAAATATTTAATAATAAAATGTGAAATACAAATCTGCGCCGCCACGGAGTCATTGGTGCAGTAATAATAATACTGCAGATATATTAATGTCCGTACAGGTACAGAGAACGGCTATAGACAATCGAACGGTTTGCGAGTAGGCGCTGCGGTTATTTGCAGCAACTATACATAACAGAAACTACAATATAAGGGCGTATTTCAAAATTTAAAGATCGTAAATAAAATTTAAAAAACAACTCGTTAAATTGTAATTTATAAATGCAATTTTTTTTTTTTTTTTACTTTACCCGCATTTTATTATTACTATCGAATACTTGACAATATAATTTAATATATATTTACATACAATTTGAATACCATCGATGTTACAAGTTATGAGTTAAGATTTTTTTTTTTTTTTGTACCGCTTTATACACACTAAAAAATACGTGCATGGTTTGATATAATAAATATAATATGTGCATTGTATATAAAAAAAAATTATACTTTCGACTTCTCCAAATAAATAAATGTGTATAATTAATTCATTAAAAAAACCGTTAACTACCAGTTTATTATTCAAACATTTCAAACCATACGTATACTCCCACGGTTAATTTCTATTCCTTTGAGAATTTTTTATTTTTTTCGTTATTTGTTTGTTTGTTATTTTTCTTTTTTCTTTTAACAAATCATCATATTAATCCTCCGTGTATAATATTTAACGGCGCTTATCACAAAATGAAAGCAAATGAGCATTTTTGCATTTTTATAAAACGCCGAGTGAAGCTATTTTGACATTGAAACAAGTATATAATATATTGTCGATGTAATAACAGAGTTTTCTAGATTTTAAAATCGACTGCAATTATGTTATAGACATTATTTAATAATGTTATTATAACTTTTTGAAAAGGCCACAAGTCACTCCTATTATTAGTGTTGATAAATTGAAACCCAACTAATGTTAAATTAATCACAAATCTGCAGTCTTAGCTGGAAAACGACGTTCAAATGTGGATAACTCCGACATTTATAGCGGTTGGTTTGATCCCAGGTTTTCATACGCCATAGATATGTATTCATACCATTATTAAGTATATTTTTTAAAGTTCTGACAAAAAAATTATGCATGTACACCTATATAATTTTCAGATTATTATATCTATACAATATTATGACGTACACTTAAAATATCAACATAATGGACTTTTTATAATTTATTTCTCAGATCGATACTGTTAATATTTTGTTCCCAATTCGAGTCATTATACTCGTATATGAATTTATTGTGTTCACTCGTTGACGTTAACTGTAACTCGGGTGTCCGCGCAAAACGGGAGTTGAATGGGTCGATAGGAGACTGTATTGTACCGATACGTATAAATATTTTAAGTACCTATATATTATTATTGTATAGTCGCAATTTTTCATCGGGCCATTATTGTTATTCAGGATAACGCACACCTATACGACCGTAATAATATAATGCATTGTACACAATATTGCCGCGTTAATTTTAGAAAATGACTCGAATCTATTCGGTTTCACAGTGCCAAATGCGTGCATTGCCTATTCTTGCTGCTATCCTCTGTCTTCTCCGTATTGGGTATTGGTAAGCAGGTACCGTTGGAATCGTTTCACACACTTTTAACGACTTGACGACTCTTTTCACGAGTACTCGTTTATTTATAACGTATCGCTATATGTGCAAGATGTATATGTATAATATAGACTCGTAATTATTCGTGTATATGGCTCCACCGTGATTTTCGAATACCTACTACAGCTAAATTATATTATATTATTTAATAAATTCTCTAGCGCTCATTTCGCGTATATAATAAAAATATGCGTTGTAAAAAAAAAAAAAAAATGAGACCATTAACCAATGAAGAAAAAAATGGAGGTCTTCTACACGAGAACCCGAAGTGTCTAGTCCTGTAGGTACCTATACCGCAATTAAAAAAAAAAAAATCAAAACAAAAACTCATTAGATATTTTGACGTTGATGGCTGTCATTATAAATTCGGTGACGTACCGCGTGTAGGTAGACATATTTACAGGGTAGTATTTTTTATCGCGGCCATTGATTTTAATATTTTTCAACTGTATAATAATACATTTGGCAATCTTATTTGCAAAGGTAAATATAGGTTAGGTTAACCTTACCTAATTTATTTTTCGAAATGTTCAGTTCGACGGCTTTATAACATTCGAAAAAATATATATTTAAATTTCTCTTTTTATATTCTTGCAGCCTAAACTTTTGACTTGTACCATGTTATCACTCGTAAACTTGCCATCCGTAAATGACTCGTGTCCGTAACCGTATTGCTATTTTAAAAATATCTACACGGAATATAAGTCATATTAAATATTCGAAAATATAATATACTGTAAAGTGTATGTAAACATATAAAATTCTTAAAGTTATCTATAGCGATTGAAAAAAAAAATCAAATTTATCTAATGTTATAATAATAATATAATAATCTTCTTTGATGATTCCTTTATGATCACCCTGTACAAATATATACATATATATATAGTATATTATATACGTACGTATTCGACTAATTTGATGATGCAGCGGATAACAGATTACTATACGGATAAAAGGACGGTCATTGTCGTTTTCCAGGCAAGAAATATTAAGAACAATATACGTGCATGAGTGTAACCTATGTTATATAAAATTTGAAATGTAGGTACCAACAGTATTGACAAACGTATACACAAACATCACCAGTGATGTTTGTATGATGGTTGCAATAATTGATTATCCATAATAAGAACTAGAAACTACATATTATTAGGCCTATGTTCTCTTTATTTTAGACACTAAACATTTGTTAAGATTCTAATAAATTAACTTAATTTAACTTATTTTACTCGACAATTTGTATTACTACAGTAAACTTTGTCTTATCAAGAACGTCTAACCCCTCTTATTTTTTAAAATCTCGGTCCATTTCAGGTACTCCCCCCCCCCTGATAGAGCACTAAAATAACAGTGCCTCAAGGCGCTAAAAATGTAAATACGTCTCTGCTGATAGGTATACAGTAATCCACCTTCACCGAAATTGAAAAAACCGAGTGCGTTTACGTCGCTCGATTGCATGTACGAAAGTTGTTCATATTGTTGTGTTTATCTCACCAAAACCCAATCGCATTTATAATATTAACATCGACAGCCGTACCGCCGTCTCTACAGTATGATAAAATAACAATAATAATAATATCACAATATTATGCAGCTATACGGGTCTTTGGTCAAAATCATAGTTAATAAAGACCTGGATGATCGACCACTATATTTTTGCGGTCCTGCACAACTGATAACAAGTGAGGCCGTATGTCAATACCATTGAATTTAGAACTAATGGCTACATGGTAAATATTTTTATGAAAACCACATTCAGTATTCACTGATAAGCTGACCATGTTTTTATTATTTTTATTATCTGTGACGGTCTAAACACGAGCGCGGGCTATGACAATAAGGAACCGAATGGTATAATATAATATTTTGGTGCTAGTGGCGACGACAAATTACTGTAATACTGACCTTGTGATTCGGGTGGGTAGTTCGGAAAATACTGAAAGCACGTTAGCGAAATGCGAATAACACATTACTTAATACTTTATTAGCATTGTACCAGTCCCCGCTTCAGTATATACGGTGTCCTTTAGCGACGACTATAAGGAAGTGAGTGCGTTTTCCTATGGGCGGCAACAACGCGACGTTAAGTCACTCAGATTATCGTTCGCTGCAGACACGATTACCACCGATCGCGGCCCACGCGCGCACGATTTTTTCTCTTTTTATATAATACAATAATATTCTAAAATACTTCATTAGCGTTTTCGATTTGATGCAAATACTGAATGCTAAAACATGACAAACTTGTGTACAATATTATGTATCAGGGCTGCAAATCTTATCTATAGAAGACCAAATACATCTATCTATAGGTCTGTCTGTAACACTTTTTCTCTTATACTTAAAACGTAAACTATGACGTTTGAAAAATGAAGTTTAAACATAAATAACAAAATTTGAAGAGAAGAATATAATCTGAGGGTTGTATGCTGTACGTAGCTTTTTTTTTCTAAAAATATTACATACATGTTAGTTTTTCCTTTTTTTTAAATTGTTTTATTTGGGATTAAACTGATCAACTCCAGTTTTAATCTAAACGCCTTAATTTATGTTTTAAATAACTCAATTTTACTATGTCGTGCGTTAGTAAGACGGAGACAACATGTGCGGGTACGACATTCTCATAACCAAAAAATCGTAGATGTACCCATAACCCACTTATTTATAATTTATTTTTCGTAATAATCACAACTGCAATGCAACTTTGTGTCATGATGCAACTAGTTTACTAGTTTTCTAAGTTGTAAATGCGATGATTGTATTTATGAATTTTGTAGTGAATTTTTATCAGATCCTAAATAAGTTCGATTAACGTACAATATATTATTGTCATTTGAATTTTAATAATTTATTTACAGTTTTGTACATAATTATAATGATTATTTTAATGTTAATAAAGAAATGTAACCTGGGTTTGGTTTCGTCATAATTCGTATGTAAAAAAAGTTTTCACCATGTGACAAAATGAAAAATTAAGTTGTACATTTGCTTTTCCAATATATTCGTATTCGATATGAATATATAGTGTTGTGAAAGTGTTGCACTCGTGCAGTACCTAACGCTATGGTGCGCACGTTAATAATCGTCAAAAATCGGAAACGGTATATTGTATTAAGTATACGTAAATGTATATTACAATATATTTATATGTGTGTGTAAATAAATTAAAATATTCTAATAATATTTGATATTTTTGTAAGTATAACAGAACCCGGAGGCACGGATGACGACAAAATGGAAATTTGATTAGATATAAAAGAGAAAAAACACAAATACCTAAGAACGTTATATATTGTTAGGACTTTTTTCCTCGTCGTCCGTGGCCACTGGGTTGTGACCCACATTGGTCACGGCAGCGGCGGCGACGGCGGAAACCTATTGTGTCCGAGTCTCGTGTCGCGTAGTTTGCCACGGATCGATGTCGGCGGCCATGGCGCGACGTGTCACACCGGTGAACGGTTTTTAAATCGCGAGGCTATGTATCATATTATCACTATATACATTTTCGATAATTAGGTTCGAAGTATAATAATTTTTATACACGTGTCGGATCGCTGCTATATGTAATATACGACACTCGGTTTTTGTGGTTAAGTGAATTATTTTTAACCGTCTCTATTGTTTAGTTTGTCTATACCATACGATATTCGATAAAATGTAATACTTTCAAAGTCTCTTCTTACTTCACACGTCATAAAACACAATCCCTTATTTCACATCACACCGTCGACTTTCAACGAAATGAGACTCTCTATCCTCGATCGTTTCAGCTCTATATACCGTCTCTCCCTCCGAGAGAGTCAAATTATTTTAAGTGTTTATAATAATATTAGTTATTGATTTTGATATTTTCTACCTGGGCAAAAACCCGCATTACATTGGCATTATTGCTATTGCTTGTTAATAATTTTCTTGAACCAAGATGAAATGTGTAAATTAACCGATTTTTTCTAATAGACGATTAGTTAATGTATTTATTTATTTATTAAACTATATTTTATACTATATAAAAAAAAAACTAACGATTGAAAAAACAAACACATTCCTTGGTACATTCAGAACCTAAAAATTATCGAAGTAATATTACATATTATATTGTACATTTATTACACTTTATAATATTTTACATTATATGTGAAAAATGTATGTCGATGTCTGTTTTTTTGTTTCGAGTAACTTTATGGTCATGCCTTCATAAGAGTAGCGTTTGAAGCATTTTTCATCTGTGCGATGCTGAATTGCTCGACCGAGAACACTAAAAGCTTCCACAGTTTTTTTATTTGATGTGTGTTTCTCGCTATTTTCTTCTTCTAAATCATCAGTGTCAGTCCGTTTAAGTATTTAAGGATTTAAAACCGCGTTATAGATCTCCTCTTCTGTATTCGAAAAACCCCGCATTTTAAAATATATAAGTAATCGGTATATGGTTGACAAAAGAACTGTTTTTTTTTTCTATTGGTACTTGGTATATACAATTGACTTCATAATGGCATACAGAGTGCCGTGCGTATAGGTAGCAGTCGATTCTTGTCGAGATAAAAACTTATGTAGGTATACTTACCTACAGTCCAACCGTACAAACTCGAGTAAATTCCATAATATATATATCATTATACTACATAATATAAATCCACCCACTCACGACCTACTTCTATAAATAATATAATCTATATCGTTCAATAAAATCCATATGACTTTCGAGACTCGTTAAACTACGGCCACGATCCGCCCCGGTGACGAATATTTGACCGTGGCTACGCGGCAGCGGTAGCGTGAAGATACGGCACGATTTATACACAAAATTGATGTAAAATGTGAAGATATTCATTTGAGGTTGTAGTACATGTATTTGTATTATTATTACCACGAGATTTACGCTATAAACTATAGCGTAGCATACTTCCATTCATTTTTTTTTTTTTTTTCTAAGTACCTTTCAATTTTTTATACTCTGAGACGTTTTTTTTTTTCATTCCTTATGGTCATAGAAAAAATTTGCCGTCGCGAACAACCTAATAATATGATTAATTCGGCAGTTCATCACGGACCACCGGTTGAGAAACACCGGACATTGCAGTACCGCGGACACTTTCTTTTCGACCGCGGCGGTAAAAGTCATATAGACCAGTATTATCGGCGCGTATTATTCATACGGATTTTTTTTTCGTTAATTTTTTTTTTTTTGAAACCGCGCTATAAACTGTCTGTATATATGGTCGACCCTATAATACACTAGCACATAAACCCACACATGCAATTGTCGCTATATTATTATTTCATTCGCTCGACCGCCGGTCATTTTCTCTCCGACCGTTCGTTCTTATAATCATAATATTATAGCGGCTAATTTTTCGAATTTTACTTTCGAAATCCCCCCCCCTCCCCGTAACAAAACCCGTAACTCGTTTTTACAATAATTATTTAATGTATTCTGCGGAATAGCTGATGGTATACATCAAAGGTACAAAGATATTTTCTTATAATTTTGGACGATCTATCATGTTTATATTTTTTTTGTTTACTTAAATTCCAGATTTTTATAAGGCTCCAGTTCGCCCGCGAAGACGCACCGTATGAAAATGTCTCCCTCTCTCTTTCAATTGTAAACGATTATTTTTTGTATTGTTTTTTTTTTTTTTTTTGGTTAAAACCGGCATTGCGCAGTTATGAATGTTTAAAATATGTTCGCTATATATGTATATAGATTTGCTCGTTTTTCCGTTTCGCAACAGAAACGTCTCGACCGCGCAGTTCGATGAATTGGGGTGATTCTTTATTTATCATGAACCAACAATTTCCTAGGTAAATTTGATTTCATTACTTTTTTTTTTTTTTCGTAATATTTTTAATGTGATTTAACGTTATCCCTACTTTTAGGTCTTTAATATTTAGATGTTCGGTACCCGTTTTATTTTATTTTTTTTTTCGGATCGTTAATATATTATTTTTTAATCGGCTATTCATGTATGTATGTGCATTTCGGTTATGGTATCTCTACTTTTTTACGCGCCAATATATTCGAGTAATTATGTCCAAAAATTGGATCGAGTTAAGGTGGATCATCAATAAATACCAGAAAAAAAATTGCTATTGGTTGGTAGCGGAATCGATAAGTTATTTATAGTCTATACCTGCAATTATGGCGGAATCGATACAGGGCCCGTTTGATTTGTGTTTGGCGGTCGTGTATTCGGAGTTCGCGGACGCCTTCGCGCATAAACAAAGGTATATAAATAACAATCAACAATAACAGCGGATATTTACATACGCGGACGTAGTAATAATATTATAATGCGATACGCTATACACTAAAATATACATACTTGCATATATACATTTGAATATAGGTAGGAACAGACTACAGGTGCTTATAATAATAATAATAAAAGGTACTTGACCGGGCGCATGCCAAGACGATGACGGACGTGAGCGTTATTTCTATGTAATAGTATAATTAAATGTGTATAATATCGTTTTTGAAGTTTTTCTCTTTCGTATAACACGCACCGAGACGCGTTTTTTGTGAAATGGAACCGAAAGAAAAAAATCAAACAAGTAAACGATTATATTATTATTATTATGTGTGACACGATTTTCGTAGTGTATTCGTCATAACCACGCGTAATAGACGCTTGTGTATTTACATTTTAAAATGCGTATTCATGTACCTATTACCTATTCACAATTTTGTCGATGTGAACGAATAATATTAAATAACCGTTGTAAACCATTGAATTTGGTTCATTTTTCTTGAAAATATCGCCGCGTTATGGTGTGTGATGAAAATGGCAAGACACGCGGGCATTATTATATTATGGCAAACTATATATTATCGTTATACATCATTTAACGGACATCTGAAATGAAAATTGGTTTATGAATATATTCAGGGTGTATATTCTGCAGGATTTGACGATTTCCTATTTGCAATTATACGGGAAATTGTGTAGCTACTTACGACTTAACACTGTGTGCAGTTGTCCCGAACAATGTTACAGATGTTCATTAGTGCATTAGTATTTTATTCGCGGGAAAACGTTTTAACAAATATTCGATTTCGATATTATTAAGTCCTCCGTTACATATAAACACTAGAGCTGCAACGTTTTTGTATTATTCACTGCAGATTGCGCACACATTGTAATAAATGTTCAGAGTAATAATGAGCCACATTTGTACGGTTTTATTTTACCAGGGAAAAGCCTTTTTTTTTTTATTTGTCCGACAACTACTATTCACGTGTATTTTTTTATTTTTAATAATACATAATAAAACAACAAAGTAAAAACAAAATTATTAAAATGGTTAATACTCGTAAATAAATATTTAAATAAAAATAAAAAATACATTTTTCATTTATATATTTATTTTCTATATTCACATAATACATGTATGCGGGGGACGGAAGGAAACATCATCGTATAGGTGTATGCAATCGGTTCGCGAAAGAAAAGCAAATACAAATTATACTTGCACTAACAAAATATAATAATGATACGTGGCTATAACACGTTGGTGCCTAAAATTTATAATATTTAGGTACAAGATCGATCGACTGGGTCGACACGTGGGTATACAGGTCACGAGAGGACGTGAGGAGATAAAACGCAAAAAAAAAAAATACAAAACAAATCATTAGTCTGCTTGATAAAAAAAAATACAATCCACACATATCGAAACAGTTTAATCCGTCGTGGCGTGTATGATACGGATCGCGCGTGTCGTTTCGTAGATTTTCCGTACTCATGGGTTTTATCTCGTCGACTCGATCCGTGTGTAAATCCCGTAAAAACGAAACAATTTCACTTTTCATTCGCAACGCTTCACTACGAAAATATAGTAGCGGATGTTGTTGCGAACGCACCGCAGCGTGTACCTGCCCGCAATAACCATAAACATATCTATACTTACGCATAAATAAACTGGCAAACGGCAAATCCAGTGGCGTGGCGAGCCATGTTTTTTAGAATCGGTTTTGACGTGGTGCAGGTAGATGGGTCCTATATGAATCGGTCACTTGTTCACTTGTTGGTAAACGATGGATACATAATATATGTCGGAGGATAGACAGGACCGTCCTTTGGGAGGGCGGACAGTGCACAGGTCCTGGGTCTCGCATTAGAAAAACATACGTATTATGGTTTAATAAAATATGTACAAATATTTAAAATTTCTCCCTGCGGGACCTCACGAATCCCAAGGACGGTCTTGAGGATAGCATATACATTATTACTGTACATTTGCGGTACACCCCAAATCGTTCACTATTGTAAAATAATAATAATTCGAAGTTTAAGAAAGTTAAGTTTAAGTAAATAAAGCTAATACTGCATCGATGAACTTTACACCGAGTGTAAACAAATATTTCAATCGCGTTGCGGAGATATAATTACGCAGTACGTTAAACGGTTAAACGGGTCACTCGTACATAAAACGATTTTCGACGACCCAAATATCGGAAAATTAATTTTCAACTGTCGACCGAAAAATGCCCCGCGGCGATCACGACTGTGACGGTGACGACACACACAACAGATCGCATTCGAATAAAACTTTGTTCGTGTACCCGCTAATATAGCCTGCTGATGCGACGACACGATAATAGTTATTATTTTTACGGGCATGCCGTACTGGAATGAATAAAAAAAAAAAAACCTAACAAAACACCAGTCTCGACTACTAGTATATAAATTATTATTACCATTGTTGTTAGGCGGCGGTTATTGGTTAATTGTTGGCGTTTATTTATTATTATATATAGGACGTCGTTTCGCACTGATTAAAACACGAAAATATAATCGATTTTCGAAATGAATCGTCAGACAATGATATCACACTGCACTCTATTAAATATGGCCCAACAACGATAATACTCTTTTACTTTAATTTCTGTGTACGTATATATATGACGCGAGGTTTGGCCGTATAGGTATAATTAGATTCTGAGCGAAAAACGACGAGCTCTGAACGTCTATATTGGTTTTACTGCCATTAGTTTTTTTTTGTTTTGCCCTCTGAAAACACACTTTTTCGACCAGAAATCTTGCACCGACCATCAACTTCTCGAGTGGTTTCCGGTAGTGAACTTTGTCTAGTCGGCACGGGGGTCGTTTTTTTGATTTACCTTGTAGTTATTAATGGGGAAAACCCCCATATTTACGCAATTATACGTTTTCTATTAATTTTGAATTTGTCTTTCCGTTGTAATCCAATGAAAATTAATCGTGGAAACCCGAAACTAACACCGAATACCGAAATCATCACTTTTTGGACGTGGCGAAGTTTTCAAAACATTCTGGCATTTTTTAAGTTGACTCGTCTGTGTATTTATAACGTAATCTAATTTTGAATTAAAATTTATTAGGGGAGGGTCCAAATCAGTTAAAATATACAACGCGTTTATATTTTTTTAATAATTTCTGGGAGCTCTGAACCACCGGACACGTGTCGTGTACCCAGAAATCCTTTCTAACTCTTTTGTGCCTAGACATTTTAAGATAAACGGTTTTATATATAATAATCTCATTTTCAATATTTTTCTTTATATATCTACAAATTTAACTAAATTATTCTAAAACTGTCGAAGAATACCTAAAAAAATTAATATTTAAATATCTATAAAGTAAACAGATAGGTTTCTATTTTATAAAAATTAAGTGATTACAGATCGATACGTCAGTGGTGGTAAAATGATTTATCTGTTATCTATAATCAATAACTATACTACCGTTGTCTACTACAACTGTGGTCGTAATCAATTTGTTTTAAACATTTAAACATAGTGTTATTTAAATTCGATAATTTGTATTAGATATGTGCAAGATAATCAAAAGATATCAGCAGACCACATTATTATACAGTATCAATATCATTTAATAAATGAAGTTTAAAGTTATATTTGTGAGTTTATGACTTATGAAAATGCACACGCGGCTTTAGTTTAAGTATAACAAAAACTAAGTCAAAGAAAGGAGGGGGGAGGGGCGATTACCACGTGGCCCCCTCACAAATCCACCACATATCGTTACACATACGGTATACAAACTAGACTACCCTATATATAATATCCTACCTAACAACTTCCCACCGGTAACAGATAGAGGTCTACTTATTGCTAACACTATATCCTGTTCCTGTACGACAATTAATTGTACGAAAATACCCCGCCGCAACGGACTGGTTTTTATAATAATTATTGCATTTACGGCGGAGTTACGAGAACCATTTGTGCATAGACATCTGTACAATGTACGTATATCATATTACCTACTAAACCGTGTGCAAAACTACGTTTTGCGGTGTGTTTTTTTTTTTTTTTTAATTTATCGTGTGTTTTTCGAGAAACATCGGCTGTCGTAATACTATATAGGTGCGTTTGAGAAACGGGTAATTTGTGCGATTACAAATGGATAATAACAGCTGCGAACGCGCGTGTATTATACGTATCATTATAATAATAATAACAATAATACAACGGTTCGTGTTGTTAAATAAGACGTCTTGCATAGTTGCATCGCGTAGAGTGCAAGACACGCGGTTACAGCGGTATAGGTTAGGTACACACCATCCAACCGAACGTGCTTTAACCATAATTATTACTACGAGCCGCATAATTAAATGTATGGGTACACGAGTAGAGTATGCTCCTATCCGCGGTACAATATTGTCGGTTTCGTTGGTACATTGACGACGGCGATCACCCGTCCGAACGGTTATCCTCGTAATCGTTCGAATGATTTTCTTAAAAAATTATAATAATAATCGTTTTATTCGTCTTCGCCTTTATCCTACCATTACACTCTGCGTTTCACCCTCGTACCTCCCTTAGTGTCCATCGTCTAGGGTCTAGGCCAGTGTTTCTCAAACTTTTTACTGCGGCGATACGCCTAAATGTATACTGATGTATACGAACGTGTACTCAGTCATATAGAATATCGTTAAAAAAAAAAACCACCTAGTAATTTTCCCGGGTAATTTGTCCGGGGTCCGGTAATTTTCAAGCAGCCCGGGCCAACAAAAAAAATTGGCCATTAAAAATCAGACGTAACGCTAAAAAAAATAAATGGGCCCGGTAGATTCTGTCGGCCCGGGGCCCGGCAACGCTGATCACCGCGGCCGCGCACACGTAGTGTACGTACCGTGTATGTTCTCGACCTGGCGCTTCGTCTCCCATTCTCTTCGCGGCGTGTCCGCGCTCGTACAAATGTCCGCACTCCCGTACGTACGTGCGGACCGCCAACTATGCGCGCGTATCGAAATCCCACACCCGGCCACGGTCGCGCGTTCGAACCGACCGTCCTGTGCACGCTACCGTCGTCTCGTGTTTTTCAACGACCGCGAGAACGTCACAGACAGGTACGATGTCATAACGGCCGGGTCGACGAAAAAAAAATGCGCCGGTGTTGAATTTACCGCGACGCGGCTGCACCGCGTTGGTGCCGGTGCGCCAGGCTCGGCTCCGGCGCAGACGCACAGCGGACGTCATACCGTTGCCCGCGGCGCGTATCGGATTGTCGGGAAATTCGACCGCGGTGTCGCCGCGTTACCTCCCGCCCCCCCTCCCCCCCCCCCCGACGATTTCGAATCCGTTTTCGAACGCGCGCTTGGACGGCAACAATTAATGTTATTACCCGTAAAAACATTCCGGGTGCCCGGTTGCTCTACAGTCTTACGGCGGCGTTGCGTTCTCGCGAAACGCGGGTTGCAACACGATTGCTCGTACGGCCGCGGACGGCGCGTAAAAAAAAAAAAAATACCACACTTATCGGATATAACGATTACGCGTGTAAAACGATACATACACAATACGTATAATACGTATGCACGGGTATTTTTATTTTTTTATTTTTTTTATTTTTTTTACACACATAATACACGCCATTGTGTCCGCGGTTGTGATAGGTTTTACAGCGTGCGCGTATAGACAATATATTAGGACACGGTTTTGCACACGGGTGCAAACACTCTACACGGCGTGCACGTACGCGTTATCGTTAATCTTATCGGCCGATATTATCTATTTTTCTGACGAGGATTTTTTTTTCCGCTTTTTTTTTTTTTATTTTCTAATTAAACACTATTGCCCGCGTTTTATGGGACACGTCGCTCGAGTTCGGCGAAAATCACTGTGCCCACATCACAATCAGCGCGTTCTATTGCAATTGCGTTGGTGGCGCGTTGGAAAGCGCGCGTCAGTCGTTTACAAATATCCATAGCATTATTATTGTACGGGACGTAATTTTAATTTTTTAATTTTTATTTTCAGATGATACGTGCGGTCATCCGCCGGTACCGGTCAACGCGAAACTCGTCCGACAGGGCGCTAAAGCCACGTTCGTCTGTGACGAGGGATACAGGCTCTTCGGGTAACAATCGCAATATTATACCGTTTACATTGTCCGGATAACGTTATCACATATCAAAATGATAAACAGTGTACTGTTGACCAACCCGAATTGATGGAACACGTTGCGATCGAGCGTGTTTATGGTTGAAATGACAAAAATCGGGATGGTCGAATATTCCACTTTTTGTCTAAATTAAATGGTCCGACTCCACAGTTTTTAAAACACTAATTTCACTCTCTACATAAGACCGACAATCATTTGCGTGGTTAAAAATCAGTCAAAAAAAAAAAAAACAACTGTGAATTGTGAATTTTCGTTTAATATGCTGTATTCGTTTAAACGTTTATTGCTATCCGTGTATTAACTCGTTTATTGTAAACTATGTCACTAGTACTCAAATAAAAAAAAACCCAAACACTTCACTTTTAAACAAGGCAATCGCGTACACCTATTATCTTTTAAATTCTATTTTATAATTTCCATAGAAAAAAAAAACCATTTTGCTAAATTTAATGATAACAATAATTTGATAAGTTCAAAAAACTACTATAAGTGTAAAGAAACTAATATTCTTAACCACGTCAATGATAAAATTGTAAGTAGAGAGGAAACGAGTGTTATTAAAACTTTTACATAGAATTTATTTTCCCATCATTTTTGTTGAATCAGCTTTTTTGACCCGAATGCAGTTCGACCATTAACTGTTTTTGATCACAGCGCAATTCGATCTTACCCACACAAATAAATTTTGTTTTTATTTCCCATAGGACCGAATCGATAACCTGTTCCCCGAACGGCGCTTGGACCGGAGACTTGCCGTTTTGCGGTGAGTTCGTTCAAACAAAAACGATTTATTGTTATTTTGTTTTACTATATTATTATTACCGTGTTATGTTATCCTGTGCTATATTAATGCTATGCATATTTTTTTAGTTTGTGCCAATGAGCTAAAGCCAGGGCTTAAAATTATGTGTAGGAATAATATTTTTAATTTATATTTAATGACCAATCAAAGTTTTGGTTCCTCTAATATTACGTAATCGAAACACCTACATACTATATTATGCTTCTATTGATTATTTCTATTTCTATGAAAAATACAATCTATTTATGTCTACGAAAATACATATAAAATTGTGTAAGATGGCAATTCTGTTGAAATAAAAATGTAAACATAGATTTTCGAGCGGAGTATAGGTTTTATTTTAAAATTTATACGATTTGGTCAAAACTGTTCGCCCCCTCCACACCATAAAAAACTGAAATGACACCATTGAGTTATTAAAATAATATTTGTGCGTATATAGTGTATTCATACATTATATTTTTATAAAGGGGTTGTGTATAGGCAATTTTAACGTATTCCTTGGAAAAATGTAAAATTAATCTATAAGTACATAATAATGGGCATACTTCGCACGCACCACTGTACAATGGGCCGGAATATGGAATATTGGGATTAAAATTTTATCATTATTTCTTGTTTGAAAATTTTGGAAATCTAAGCGTTATGCAACGTGTATAAGAGGTACTCAAAAAACCTAATCTAGGCATATAACGTGTCGACAATCCATATCTTTTGGAGTAGCAAGAGATGTCTCTCTTATATATCTGACTTGATGAATTATCACAAATAGCATTACACACTTTCCCATAAATCATACTTAATACCAATTCATATTGTTTTTCTTTTTGAGTAACATTTAAATATTCTAATTTTAAATTCTAAGCGGAGCTAATTGAGTTAACTCAGTTATTTCTTTTTCAAATTGGTCGAATAGGTTGACTGTACTTGGTGGGATTTTTAACCATACACATACTATAATTAAGTTTTATGCTATCATTGCTTTCGAGCCTTCTACAATATTGGAACAAAAGACAAAATAAAATACATCACTATCTGTATTTTTGTTTGTATTGCATTTACATATAAGAATTAATGTCTGATTTTCAAGAAATTAAAAAATTGTATTTATTTACTGATTTAATTATTCGACTAACTGGGTGGTCAAGTAAACCCTGCAGGAGTTCAACTTCTGCGCGTGTTTCAGACATACTAATATATTTTTGTTCAGGAAAATAACGCGATTGTGCTGCTTTCAAATTATTGCAAGATGGATATAAATTAGCTTTTTTGCTTTTTGTTTATAATAATGTAATCTAAAATGTACTAAAATTTGATTGGTTTAACATCCATTACTAAAGCTAAAGCCTCATCTTCAGAATAAGGTACAATCTCATGAAGGGTTACTAAATTTGTATCTTCCTAATTTTATAAGCACGAGTAGTTGATATTGATTCTTTTTAAGAGCTTACTCTCGTCGTCTTTACCGTGCTTCTTAAAACTGACTTGTGTAGCATAAACAAGTTCATCAACAGAAATAGATTTTCTTAACGACTCCGCTCGTCGATTATTAGTCATTTCACTGAAACTTAAAAATGTCATTTGAGGTCTATGAAGGACGAAACTGGAAAGTGAATGCTAGGAAGTTAAACATTTGTTTGAAGCCAATCGTAATTTTTTAATTCAAAACGGTCTCGTATTCTATAACATATTTTCGATTGCTTATCAAGCTCGTACAAGAAAACATTTTTTTTTTTTTTTTAAATAGTTTTTAATTTCAACAAAAATATTTTCACGTTATATTTTATTTTGATTTTATGAATAAGAAAAGAGCGTTAGCACAATCGTTATCATTTGTTGGTGCATTTGCAATTAATACATATAATTTTTGCCGAAAAACATTTTTGTATCCTCATTGGAATGCTAAAAAATTGGTCCTTCTAGTGATGATGCTCGCAGAGTACCTCAAGTATTTTGATCTATTGGTTTTACTGTTTTTTTTTTCGGTAAACAACTTTTAAAAAAAAAAAAACTTGCTCTGATACATCAAATGCAGCAAGTTTCCTAAAAACCCTGGTGGCTGGAGGTGTAAGGGTAGGTAACCTAACCTCTTCTTGGATTCGTTTTACCGACGATTTCTTTACTTATTATGTACATATTACATAATATATTATTTTTAATTGTATACCTATACGGCTATACGCATCACGTTATTCACTAATGAGTTTTTCGTTTCTTCCTGTTGCGTGATAATACTGTAGTCTGTAATAGAATTAATACACAATCGTACATTATTTTCAACTCATTTTCATCCCAATCATATGAGTTTTATTTACAACAATCGAACAAAATATTTGGGAACGTTATCCTGAGTGTCTCGTGGTTACAACTTACAACACATAATATTCTACAAAACAATGTAAGACACACATTATCGCAAAAAAGTATTAACTTTTACTTCAGATTTTGTTAATGTAGGGTAGTGTTTCGCCTCCTGAAATAAGGTTGACAAAAAAGAGTAATGTAACATTTTAGAAGTACTGATTTCCTAAATGTTCTAAAAAGCAAATTACGAAAAAAAGTTAATACTTCCGAGATAATGAATGTCTTATACGTTATGTTAATCACTCTAAACAAGTACATGGATTCATGTGCTCATATTCTCAGAAGCAACCGATCTAATAGAACCACTTAGTAAAAATATTATGTTTTTGGATAAAATGGATGTTTAAAATGTTGTACATGATTTTTCCCCGTATCTTAACAACTTATCTTTCAGAAATCTTACTTCGATAATCAAATTCGGGGATTGTTTCTGATGGCAAAAATCATAAAAAAAAACACGGCATTTTTAACATGTTTAACCGAACTTCATTTTAAATCGTTGGCATATAGAATTTTTTTTGTTAGAAATTTTGTAAAATTTAAAAATACACTAGGTACCAAATAAAACACAATGTTGATAATTTTTAAAAAAAGTTTAAATTTAAATTGTTTTATTTTATTTTTTAAACAGGAACCAACGTGGCCGTCCACAAACCAACTAACCAGTCAACAACGGCCAGGGGCGGAAATTCCGGGAACGCCAACGATGGGGACTCGACTACCGTACATGATGGTCGTAGGTGCACAGAAACGCTCAAGGAACCGTCCCCGTGGTGGTCTGTTGATCTGCTCCAGCCATACCCTGTCCGAGCGGTATCAATTACGACCAGAGGATGCTGTGGTAAGTACCAGAAAACAACCAAACACACACACACAGACACCCCAAATTACACTTTAGCGTTAACCAACCCGAGAATATTTTTTTTTATGATAGTAAATTTGTATGTATAAAAATAGACACATAATTCTTTAAACAACTTAGTCTATGCTCAACCAAACATAAAATACATTTATTTAAACTACTTTGCTCTTGATTGTATCATCATGGAGTAAATAGAATATAATTCATTAACATTAAAATTCAACAATTCTTGCCTCTGATACAGGTTAACGTTAAATTCTATCTGCACGTCAACAAATTTGGGAAAAGTATTAGGCTACTGATTGACAACAACAAAGAGAATCGATTTCATGTACAATTTTATTTAAATTACAAAAAAAAAATTAATAATGGCGTAGTAATAATATTAGTATTGCTTTTAATAATTCCGACAAAAATATAACATATTATAGCCACGGACGAGTAAATTTAAGAAAAAATAAAATATCATCAAAGTCCGTTTGACATCTACTTATAATATAATATCCGTAAATTGGCTATAATACTATTATTATAATCTATAACATGTAAATATGTACTAAGTTTTCTTTTTTTTAGTAAAATATATGTACTTATAAGTAATGTGTAACCATACCTATAAATATATGATGTGTACACCATCTAATTAGTACACATCATCTCTGTGATTTAAAATGTATAAATAGTTTACTTTACACTATGTACTACGTGATTACTTACATAGTGAATTGGTCTAAACATTCGACAGATTTTCGCCAAGATTTGAACGAAATTCTGATACCGAATTTGGAAAAATAAAACATAATAATTGGTGCGTTAGAAACAATAAATAAAAAAAAAAAAAAAAAAAAAAAAAAATAATAATAATAATAAACTAATATTTGTCCATTCATTTAATATAATAATAAATTATTCATATTACTTACGAGTACTTTACTCCGTAATAGGATATAATTTGAATAATAATATTTAGTGCACGGTGTAATGACAAATATCAAACTACATAAAATATAAGACTCCGATAAAAAAATACTCGCGTGTTAGTAGGTGAGCGGCCGCGGCGTTTACACATTTTACATTTTTCACTCGTTTACTAAAATATTATAACATTATTATATTTTAAACAATTTATTATAATTACAACAATGCTCTCTACCTGGAAAATTTTCCCTAAAATCCCTAAGGATTAGAAAAAAGAAAGTTTTCAAAATAATAATAATAATAGTAATAATAATTGGGCAGTGTCGTCGTCGCGGCGCGCGCATTCTATTCGACGTCAGACACGTCCAATTCCTTGATGACAGGCCCTGATGGAGGCTGGGGTTTCCTCATTAGATTTTTGCCCAACTCTGGCAGTTTCTTGATAAGCAGTTCGAACACCTGATCAGGTAACGTCCGCTGGAGTACGTTGAGCAGTTCGGTAGGCTGTCCACACACCACTACCGCGTTGGCCAAATGTTCCACGCCCTTAACCACGTCACCTTGTTCCAAATACGATTCGCCCATCTGCACCTCCTGCAAGAAGAACCGTTGAACGGCTTGTTGGTCCGTGAAATCCGGAAACGCTGACTTGGCAGCTCGCGCAGCCTGTTCTTGTTCCTTAGCCATCAACCGCTTCTTGCGTAGGTTCGATCTAAAATTCGGGTCGCTGCGGCGCTTACGATCGAAATAAATACAGTAGCCGACGAAACACAGTCCCGCGATGCCGGCAGCAGCCGCGCTGATTGCCGTTTTTGATACTTCAGTCTGAAAAAAAAGAAATACAAACATATAGTACATTTTAAAAGAAAAAAAAATGTATTTTTATTTATCGCTTCAAATCAACCAGGACCGCAGCGGTCTTTTGGAATTATAATTTAAAAACCAAGGACCTGTGAGTTGACAGTAACACGTCGCGCACTTATCGTCATTATGAAGTACAATTACAGTTTAATTCCGAAGGAAAATAAAAACATACGGGTAGGTATAATTTTGATACGATCTGACCACTGTGGAAGGTTACAAATTTGTACGGACGTGACTGGCGTGACGTTATCAAAATAATGGAATGAAAAAATCTGTGTAGGATTATACTGGATATAATAATAATATTGTATAGAAACGATTCAAAAACTAGTTTCAAGGAGTAATGAACCTCTGCTGCTCCTGTATCGCCCACGACTTTTTTTTTCTCGTATACACACACAGTACCTAATTTTTTTTTATATATTTTATTCATATTTAAACGGATAGTTACAACCGAGACTCGCGCGCGAAGGACAGTATTGCCCTTCGCTATAACTAGTTAGCAGCTCTATACGGATCATTTGCACGCCACACCCATTTTAATTATTTTTTTGTACGCGTGTTTGTGTACAAGAATAACGTAATTAACGGAGGTAAAAATAATTGTTTTTCTGTAAGCAATCTTATAAATCATTAAAAACGCCGAAAAATCATAATAATATACGTAGTAAACTAATAGTTATTAATACTGTTACTGGACACAAATTTAAAGGATAAATAAATCTTTCAGGTCATATGCCATTGCAGGATATAGAAATCAGAGTCGGTAACAGTAGCACAGAATTGCAAAGGAACCCGTTATGTTCGTGGTTTCCGGGAACAATCGGTAAGAATCGAAAAGCGCAAACTGCATTCTACTACGTTTATATATGATAACAAAATAACCGAATACATTTCATACGATTTTCAGAGGAAGGTACGACTAAAATTCTAAGTTGTGCCCGACAAATAATCGGGCAGTACGTGTTTCTGCAACTGGTAGGCGTCGAAGGCTCGTTATCATTATGCGAAGTCGAAGTCTATTCTACAGAAGGTTAGTCAGTATATAAAAAACAAATTTATATAGATATAGGAGTAGGTAACCTAAAATTATATTATATTATATGTCGCTCGAGAACTCCTAAAGGAATAACATGCACATATTTATGAGGGGGACTTGATGAGAGTCCCACCCTTACAAATGATAAACTTAATTCGTTTTCCACACGTTTTGTAGAATTTTCCCTCGACCGCTGTGCGCCGGGAGGTACTTCCTCGCAGACCGACGTGGCCGTTTTCGATAATAAGTGTTATGAGTTCAACGTCAACCGAGGCGCTTCGTTCGCGGACGCCCGTCAAAAATGTCAGGCCGCTGGAAGTGGCGACATAGTACACGGGTTCCGGGGTTCGGCTTCAACGTTTTTGGCTGCCGAACTAGAACGGCGCAAATCCAGGCTCAAGACCCAATTGATTTGGATCGGAGCGCAAAAAGAGCCGGGTCTCACGTCGAGGACGTGGAAATGGGTGAACGGTAAGACCGACAAAATTATGTTAACTTACCACAAGTAGGGCTGTAAAAAACCGATGATGTATTTCTTTGGCACGCGCACTTTGCAGTATACAAAACTTAGGGAACTCTTAATAATTTTGTACAAAATGCGCTGCAGGTGATGTGATAACGAAACCGTCTTGGGGAAAAGATCAACCCAACAACTACAACGGTGAACAGAATTGCGTGGTGCTCGACGGCGGCCGGGAATGGCTGTGGAATGATGTAGGATGCAATTTGGATTATTTACATTGGATTTGTCAATACAGTGAGTTGAACGGCACACTTTCACTAATAAAATACGATATTTAATAAAATATTAAATTATTGTAATATTCCCACTCGTTAAAGCGCCGACAACGTGTGGAAGTCCCGACATCAAGGTCAACAGCACAATCATGAGTCCGTACACTTTTAAAGTGGCGTCAGTCATCGAGTACGTTTGTCCAGAAGGACATTACACGCAGGGCTCGGCCAAGAGGACGTGCGGCGACAACGGATTTTGGACCGGATCGTCACCGACGTGCAAATGTATTAAGATAAATAAAATCGATTTAGTTACACAATCATTACTATTAATCTTCTTACACAGACGTCGATTGTGGACCGTTAAACGGCATAGAAAACGGTACAGTCATACTGGAAGATAACAGGACCACGTTCAAAGCGATTGCCAAATACTCTTGTAATCAGAATTACAGTTTGTCGAACGGGGACGCCAAGAGGACGTGCGCCGAAGATGGCAAATGGAGCGGACGCACGCCGCAGTGCTTATGTACGTGCCACCTTCGTTTTCCCAATATTATTCTTGAAATATACTAGAAAATAAAATTTATTTCGTTTTCCTCTTCAATATAGTCGATTGGTGCGGAGATCCTACCGAAGTACAAGGAGCTACAGTCACGATCACGGGTCACAAGACCGGGTCGGTAGCTGTTTATTCTTGTCAACAAGGATTCGTGGCCGTCGGCGGACAACAGGTTAGATCGATATTTTTGTTTATTTTGTAATATACTAAATAATATATAGATATTAAGACATTAAAATAATTTTGAAACATTTTTTTATGTAGGAGTTAAAATGCGGACTCGGCGGAGAATGGTCAGGAAAACCGCTAGTCTGTAGATTTGTCGACTGCGGACCGCCACAAATAATCGAAAACGGACTGGCTTCGTTGGTCAATAGTACGACGACGCACGGAAGCATTGTTGAGTACACGTGCGACCAAGACTATTGGCTTCAACCTCACACCAGTCGCCGACAGATTTGCACAAAAGAGGCGAAATGGTCGGCGGACCCACCCACGTGCCAACGTAAGTTACGATCAAACATAATAAAAAAATCTTAAAAGATCGATAAAATATTGTTTTGTTGTCGGCGATGCAGTGATCACATGTCAAGAACCCGAAGTACCCACCGGAGGCTATGTGGTTGGATACGACTTTAACATCCACTCGAGCATCGAATACCACTGTGATCCAGGCCATAAACTGATCGGAACGTCGATATTGCAGTGTAATAATAATGGCGAATGGAGTACAACACCGCCAGAATGTGAATGTGAGTATTTATACGCGTACGGACGAAAAAATTAATATTTTCAGATTTTTATTATTTATAATAGCAATATTTTCTCTACCTCTAATTATGCCACACCACTGATTATGTTATAGAGTTATTACAATAAATTATTATTATGTCCATAGATATTGATTGTGGTAAACTCATGCCGCCAGTTTATGGTACATTACATTATTTCAATGACTCTACGCACCTCGACAGTGAAGTAAAATATAGCTGTAGTAATAACTACAGATTAACCGGAACAGCTATACGACGCTGTCAAGAAAATCAAGCATGGAGTGGGACTGCTCCAAAATGTGAAGGTAAAAACAACTCTTAAAAAAAAAAAAAAAATTAAAAGTTAAAAATTATATAAACAAAGGTTTAAGAGTTATAACAAAGCATATTCTATAAATTTAAAATGTATTATATTTTGTCTAAAGAAATAAGATGTCCAGAACCAATTCTACCAGAACACAGTGTATTATCAGTAACAGGTAATGATCGTTTGTACGGACGAACTTTAATAAGAACTTCTTCTGATGTAGTTTCAACTTCTACTTACAAAATTGGAGCACTAGTCAAATATCGATGTGAACGAGGATATAAGGTTGTTGGTGAACCAATAAGTAATTGTGACGATACAGGATCATGGACTGGTGTGATACCACAATGTGTTTGTACGTACAGTTATAATTATAACAAAAGTAAATATTTTAACATCTATACTTTTCATAGATGTCGATTGCGGTACTCCTGAAAGTATTGATAATGGAAAGTTCAACTTGGTATCCAATGTTACATATTATGGTTCAGCTGTGTTGTACGAATGCAATGATCACTTTCAACTCGATGGACATGGTAGAAGATTATGTCTTGAAAATGGTACATGGAGTTCAGAAACTCCAAAATGTCAAGGTAAATGAATAATCAACAATTAAAAAAAGCAAATTAATTTGTAACACATGTACCTATTTATATTAAGAAATAAATTGTGATGAGCTCAAGACCGAAAACAATCTATCAATCAGGATTACATCAAGAACTGTTGGTGGAACAGCAGAATACACATGTCCACGAGGATATTTCACAATTGACAATGCCACAAGACATTGCTTACCCAAAGGATCGTGGAGTGGGAGACCACCAACATGTCAAAGTATAAAAAAAATACTTAAAAACCTAATATGCAATTAGTAAATATTTAAAATTTGTTTTTATTTTAGTGATCGACTGTAAACACCCTGGTTTAATAGAAAATGGTAGGGTTATAATAATGAATGATACAACAACTTACAACAGTGCAGCAGAATACCATTGTATCCCTCATTTTCAAAGAATAGGTCCTTACATGAGAAAATGTCTGGATGATGGCCAATGGTCAGGAGAACAACCTTATTGCCAATGTAAGTTCAAATATATCATAGCATTTAAATATCAGAATAAATTGTCATAATTTTGTATTATTATTTATTTATAAATACACTTATAAAATAATAATGTATGCATATTTTTTTTTTTTATAGCAATAAGTACAGCAATAAGTGATACTAGAACGCTAGGTTTAGCGGTTACTGTTGGAGGTGGCATCGTTTTATTCCTAGTCATACTTCTCGCCTTAATTTATTTAAGATTGTAAGTATATTTAAAATATATTTTTGTAAAAGAAACAATCAATTTAAAAATAAAATTGTGTCAAAATAGAAAACGTCCAACTCCAGTCAAAAATACAGAAAATGTCGAAGGAGCAGTACGTAAAGAAGAACAAAATACGGCGGTTATGTCATATGCTTCATTAAGTGATGTACAGAATCATATTTACGATTCAGTAACGGATTACACATATGATGAGCCAAACAGCTACTATGAGACATCACCGGTCTCTAAAGCAAAATCAGACCATTCAGGGGCCACAGTAACTATTAATGGTGTAGCTATTCGATAATGTTCCAAATTAATGATTTAAGATATATTTTATAATTGTGTATAAAAATCTATAATTAATGTACAGTTATAAGTAAGTTAGATAGTCGATGCAAAAAAAGCACAGGAAATATGTTTTGGACATGTTAACATTTGATAAAGGAACTTTGTTCATTTATTTGTGTAAAAAAATGTAATTATTATTTAATATGTATAACTAGTGAGCGCTGTGTTAAATAAGTCATATGTTTTAAGTATTTTATAGATAAATAATATGTTTTGTAATCAATATTTGGTTAGTTTTAACTGTAACTATAGTTATGGTTAATGGAATAAAATAAAACTATATATTTTATTAGAATGTGACAATTATAAAGTTAATCATTTTAGTATAATATACTATAAAATATATATATTATATATTTTGTGTTACTTAATTATTAAATGACACTGGAAAAAACTCAAATGGATTTGATTTATTATTAATTTAAGAACAAAATTTAATTTAAAAATTAGTAAAAATACTAATTAACTCGCTAATTAATATGACCTATTTAATGAACTTATTAAAATAAATCATAAATCATAGTACAGTAAGTTTAAATTATATAAATAATTTTAATAACTAATTATCAAATCATTTATAACTTGACTTTTTGATAACATTTAGTCGCTCATAAGTATTAGAAAGTTTTATGTACTAACTACATGTATTTTCATAATTATATGAAGCTATTACCCAAATTATTCTTAAATACCTACACTATAGATATATTTAGTAAAAAATATTTAAAAGAACAGTACAGGTAGAGGTTTAAAAAGGTTCCAATCTATTGTTATTGACTTGTTAAAAATAATTTTTTAACACTAAAAAACAATTATTACAAAGTAATTTTCTTCAAATATATTTGTACATGTTATAAAAAGACAAAAATGCTTGAAATTAATTTACTTATGTTAAAAATTTGAATTAAATAGGGTTAGAACCGTTAGAGTGGGGACTTTAAAACCCTTTTGCCACATTTGCTTTTTTAAATATTTGTAAGTGCTTTATTGCGGACTTGAAGTACATATAAATCTGTTTCCTATTCATAGCCATTAGAAATATTCTTAGATCTATTAAGTTATAAAATATAGCAACAGACCTACCAAATAAAAGCAATTGTACAGATACAGTACAATATACAGGATACTCAGTGAGAAATTATTTTGGTTAGTTGTTTGCCAGTTGCAATCAGAACCACGATACAGAATACCACTACCTAATGTTTCCAAAAATACCCACAGACAAATCTATATCAATTACAACAGTCGTAACCTAGCTTGAGTCATCAAACAGTTCAAATCATTATTTTTAAATCAAAGCTAACCATGGACTTCAAGTGCCATGTACCACAGGTTATAAACCCTTGATTTACAAGTACACTTCCTAGAAATAATAATTTCAGTTTTACATAATTCAATAATTTAGAAATTTAAAATATAAAATTAAATTTTGTTTTACACCTTCTTCATTTGTTGGTATAAAATAATAACTAAATGTACAATCTACTAAGTTATAGAATAAAGCTAATCCTATTTTTTCAGAGGGGAGAAATTTAGTTATGATTATTTTGCCTTAGGTGGAGATTACAAACAATTAATAACTATCAATACAAATATCCAATATCATATAACTAATATCAATATTAAAATATACCTTCAACAATTAAAAATCAACTAACCAAGATAAAAAGTCTCAACTAAATAATGATGTATAAGTGCACAAAAAAAAAAATGGATATTAATATAATAACTTCATTTCAACAATAACACCAAAAAACAATATTTCCTAATTTATACACTTTATACTAAAAAAAAAATAATCACAATGTTTCAGTTCTATTAAATGAACTGCAATAATCTGAAAATAAATTTGTTCGGTAATCTAATTTTTTTACAATAAACTACAATTAAAAAAAAAATCACTTTAGGTAGGATTTTATTTTACATCTTACAAATAATTGTTAAAATTAAATTTTAAGTATCAATGCTATTGAAATGTTGATATTTTGCATTAAAATATCAATCGCCTAGATATATTAGCAAAGCAGTATTAATAAAAAAAAAAAATGAACAATATTTCGACACAAAGTATTGATACAATCAATATATTGTTTCCTTACCTAGCTCAAGTTGTGTTAATAATATTAAGTTCCATCATAAATATAATTATTTATAAAATAAATCAATAAAATGAGTTATTTGTGTTTTTGTAAGTTGTTGTTTTTACTTTGGTTATTTCATATTTAATTTTTGCTATGTTAATATAATATACAAGCTGTCCCACGAAAACATACCACTTCAATATCTCTAGAGATAATAAAGATGATCAAATTCTATTTTTTTTTTTAAATATATTACTCACAGAGAAGAGGACTACAAATATTTATATTTGTATTCAATTTTATTTTAGTAAAAAAATTTAAAAAATAACATTATTCTATTATTTTCAGAAAATTTTATTGTATCACACATTTATATCCAATGAATAGTTTCTAAGTAACGTTTTAAATTCTACTAATCCATATGAAAACCAATGTCATCACATAACGCAGTTAGATTATTCCCTAGATAACATTGGTTTTCATATGGATTAGTAGAATTTAAAACGTTACTTAGAAACTATTCATTGGATATAAATGTGTGATACATTAAAATTTTCCGAAAATAACAAAATAAAGTTATATTTTTAAAAAAAAAAAAAAAAAAAAACAGAATTTGATTATCTTTATTATCTCCAGAGATATTCAAGAGATATATTTTTGTGGGACAGTCTGTATAATTAGGAAGATATTAGAGAATTTGAAAATGTAAATATTTTTAGTTTTTATTAAAGTTGTTAGTATATCAAAACTTGAAAATTATCTTTATCAAAAGCATACAAAATTATTTTAAACACTTAAATTGTTTATTGTGACAGTAATATTATATTCAAGGATTTTTAATAGTTAACTTCCTTTATAATATATACAACCATGACTATATAAAATAAATAAACACATTAAAATAATAAATTACTAGCTATGACTATCTATAGAACATCAGTACAGGGAATAGTACATGGAATCATCTATACAGGGTCTTTCAAATTTCATGTTATAGTCAACATTTCTATGATATCCTTTATTTTTTTTATTTTATAAAGTAAATTACAATCTATACAAGAATATGAACATTTAGCAATAAAGATATAAGAATATAAGTAATGACAATTAATATTTTGAATTTATTAATCAATTTGGTTAAAGATTTTTTTCATCATATGTTAATACAGAAGGTCCCCACACCATTTCCTTTTTAATCTTCAACATGAGTTGTCAGGTACTGTTCTTGAATATTGTTTGGTGATTAGAGGGTTTAATATGCGACTGTAGGTTATTGTGGAATTTGGTGTAGTAAATTTTGGAGATTTTATTCAAGGTGTGAACTTTGAGATCTTTGTGGAGTTTAATGTTTATTATGTACCTAGGTGCAGAAGAATGGATTGTATTTTTCAGGCGTTAAAGGGTTTATCGGCACCCCACAGTTGAATGCCGTAAGTCTATAGATGTTTAAGTAAAGATGTATAAATTATTAATTTACTATTATTGTTCATTTTTGATTGCAAGAGTAATGATATCCTTATATTTAAAAAAAATGAATTTTTGTTATCATATATTCTAAAATAAAAGTTACATTGTTTTTATTTTCAAGAGTGAAATTAACACGTCTAGAATAGGAATTTCCTATCTAAATTTCAATTCTCCACAAAGATTTTGAACTGAATTATAATAAATAAAAACAAAATTGAAAATAATAAAATCACTACTTTCATACATTTTCAGGTTTTTGCCCAATTATTATGAAAATTGCTAGTAAAATCAAAAAAAGGTCTTATTGTACAAAAAGATAAAAATTTCCTTTCAAAAAAGGTGTAACACTTAAAAATCGAATCAAGATTTCCGGTAGAAATTTTGTGCCATATAAAAAAAGTAAAATAATAAAAAATAAAAATAAACATTATTATAAAACCAATAAACTTCACTCAGAATTTGAAATTCTATGAATAGATTAAGTTTTAATTTGAATTGAGATTTAAATACATTTTGGTGTTGTAATTTTTAATTTCGGTCAACCCATTGACAAGTTATTCCAATTTTAAATTTAGGTTGAGTATTAGAGCACCATTCATGTGACCTCACGCATTGTTTAAATATTGCTTACATAATATTTATGAAGAATTAAACTATTTTTCCAAAAAATATTTTAGAAAAAACTTACATTCATTTTCAGTTATTGGTATTAATACCTACCCAATATAAACTTTATACATTGACATTAATTAATTTGGATTAAATATTAAAGTAAAACACTACACTACACGCAACATATTAAAACAATATTAAATTATTATGCTTTCGATTTGTATAGGCTAGCCCAAGATTTCTTTTATTGTTAATAAATATAGTTTCTATACTAATATAGAAACTTAACATCTGATAACTGATAGACTAGGTAGAAAGGAAATTTGATTAGGTACCTAATATTAGTTTTTTACATTATTTATCCAGAGTATAGGTAGCAATTGTCTACACAAACCCAAACAGAAAAATAAATCCTAAGTAATATTAACAAGTGAATGTTTATCATCAATGAATAGCAATAATGTTTAAACATAAAACAAATAATTACAAGTACCTATCTAAACATCAATTTTTGAACCTGTAAATCCATAAAACTATATTTGTGAAATAAATGTGTAGTAAATCATCTACCTATATGAAATATATTGTAAAACGAGATATAGCACTATCCTTAAGTACTCATATTCAATAGAATTTGATGGACACAGACAACAATATACATTCATTGTTTATTTAAAACAAGTTTAAACGCTAAGTATACATTTACCATGTTTGTGAGTAAATTCATCATCTAATGGTTAGTATCAAAATATCTTCTCATCAATATTATTTCAAATTACAATAGAACTGTAGATTTCACGATTTCCCAAAATAAGGGTCAAGGTCAGTATTGTGCGGATTGCATTGCCTACCCCATGGAACAAAAATCAATAATGCCGGGCAAAGCCGGTCTATGAGCTACACAAATTTCACTTTCTATACATTAACAAGGGATACAGTGTAACATTCTATAGGAGAGGACACCAGTGTTATAGAAATACGGTTTTACAAGACCATATAAAGTATCATTGGACCACTATTAAGCTTTCACAACAACTAGTCCATATATGGTAAAAGACAGACCGCCGTGGACAGTGAGGCGCGTGCTGTAATAACAATCCATTTACAGTCAATCCTTCAGAGGTGGACCCAATTAGGTACCTACACAAGACCCGAAGAACGAATACTAGGTTGAAACTATCACAAACGTTCTCTTCATAACAAGCAAAGGTAAGTAACACGATAGAATTTAATAATATCTATGCTTCGGAAAACCGTGTTATTTTTTTTTACTCACCGTTATCATGGCGATTGTTCGAGTGTCGTCGGTCTTCGATGAAACACGCGCGCTATCAGGTTTTCAAGAGGTGTGTCGTCCACCGGGCAGTGTGCTAGCATAAAATAATAACCGAAACCGATTAGTTCATTGTCCACGCCGCGTGCGATTCATGCGAAAAAGGTTTGCATGAAAGCAGACCGGAGCGGGAAAAGAGAAAAAAATAATAAACTTCTTTTTTTTAAATAAACCCAAAGGAATATTATAGCAAACTACTCACACACGGACACACATACATGTCATACAGTGTACACACGCATGGAATACAGATACCGAATTGGGGGAAAAAAAATGTGTTAATAATGATTTCAGTGCATCCACATTTGGAGCGTAAACCCTCGCGAACGCCTTAGGTTACGCTGAACTCAGCGTATGGCGGGGAGGACGTCTATCAGTGTGATAACGCTGTTTGTTGTAGTCCTCCAAACTCGACGTTCCATATTATTTTTTCCATAAACTACCATGTTATCCGTGTTCCTTATCGCACGCCACAACTAGGCGGAGCATTCCATAATAACAATATTTTATTAGTCATTTTACTTACAAACAAACGTAGAGAAACCGCTACTACCGTGACTCATCTTATCTTACCTACTCCGTTTTTCTTTTCGTCATTCTATAGTCCCGACTCCCGACTCTCGACTCGTCAAGACGTCAACCATTCGCATTCCGTACTTCTTACGCGCTAAACTAACTATTTCTACGCTACGTGGCCTACCGTCCGACGAAAAGACATTTTTCTCCACCATCCGTTTTTTTTAAGACTTCAAAATTGTAAGTATAATTTAATAATATAGATACTTATATTTAAACAGCTTCTGAAATTTAAAGCAAAATGAAAAGATCTATATAAAACCAAACTGAAAACTTGTTATACCTATCTATATGTTTTTCCATTGTCGTTGTTTATTCTGTATTATTATTCTACATCGAATCTATTGTTTTCTACACTATTCATACATCAATTTTTTGATTCTATTAGAATACGAGTTGGTCGCCTTATTACACATGTATAATATAATCATTTTTGTCTTGACATTATTTTCCTATTTAAGTTTTAATATTGAAACAATTTAATTAAAAATCGAGTGACAATTTATTGCAAAATTTGACCGATGTAGGTAAATTGTTTAACAAAATGATTACCACGACTACAAAAATAGTGACTTAAAAAATCACCATGAGCAATCCACCTACTCCAGTACTAATCTAACAAGTTATTTATTTTGTAAATCTGTTTCAGTTTTGTGTTTTTGATCTGAATTTTAAGAATTTTATTTTTAATCCTAAACCTATAAGGCTATACTACTTAATAATGCAATCAGAAATAATACGAAGTAAAGCATTACTTGATTGTCATTACATTATTACACATTTATTTTAAAAAGGACCTTGTTCTTTAAGTAAAATAATTATAGGTACCTTTGAGAAAGATAAAAATTGTTAATAGCTCTAATTTATTTTATTATCTACGTGTAAAAACATTTCTTTTTATCTCTTTTTATCGATTAGCTACTAATGGTCAAAATATTTCCTGATATTAATGTGTTGCATATTAAAAAATTCCGTAAGTGGGATAATATTAAGTAAACATATATGTACGTGCCATAATTATTACATTACTACCTATTTTTTTTTCTACATAGGAAATTGTAAATAAATATAGAATGTGTATTCTATATAGTTACTACTGAACAACATTTTAGCTTTTGTTTTTAAAACATAAAAAAATGCTTTAAAGTAATAATAATTTATTTGTAAATAATAAATTAATTGAAAGTATTATTAAAAAGTATATTCTTTAAAACTTATTTATGAACATTTTTAAATGTTTAATGCTGAGTAAGTATCATAACATGTATTTTATACATAGTTAACTTTAATTTTTTATTCTGTTACTTACAAGTTATAAGTGAATTAAAACAATTTACATTTTTACCCAATAAAATATGGCTCTATTATTCGTAATTTTTGTCTTCTACATAATCGAAAACACCAAGTTTTGATACAAAAAAATAGTAGAGTATTCAACATGTTTGGTGGTGTAACTATTCTAATTCTACTACAAAAATATATGAAATCAAGAAGCTAATACCAAATACTCATAACCACTTAGTTTACTTTTAAATTTCATTCTAAAAATCTCAATTTTTTCTTCGCATACACCTTTGTGGCTAATTAAATTTATGAAACAAACAGCTCTAAAATATTATATTGTCATTATTTTTAGGGATTAAATCACTTACCACTTTAATTTTCAATTGCAACCTATATTTAAAATTCCATAAATATATGAAGTATTGATTTAAATTAATTTTGGTGTTCAAATGTTTGATTTCCATCAATCCATATTAACAAGATATTCTACTTTTAAGTTTGGGTAGGGAGCTAATAGTGGAGCTTCATTTGTGTGACATTACGGAATGTCACATTTTAATAATGTTCCATTACTCTCTTCCTACCTAAACTTAAAAGAGAAATACCTTGTCTCTGAGTTGACAAAAATAAAAAAATGTAATCACCAAAGTTAATTTAAAACAATACTCTAATTATCCAATTTTTAACATAGATTGCCATTTGAAAACTAAAAGCGAATTGTGGTTTACCCCCCCCCCCCCCCCCCNCCCCCCGAAAAAAATGACTGAAAATAACTGTTTAGCAACATTTTATAGCGGCTTGTTTCTTCAATTTATCAAGATAATTAGTGTCTTATCCAAGATTGTTGACTTATTTATTGTGCAAAATATATAATATGAATCTATTAATTGATTTAAAAAATGATGATACTGCTAATGGGTGTACTATCATTTTAGGAGGGCAATTATAAGGAAAGATATATAGGTATTTATACCTCGCTACACTCAGAATTAAATATAAATTTAATATGTTGGTTAAATTTAGTTTTTATTTATAAGTTATTAAATTTCCAAATAAATTTATTTAAAAAATATATATTTCATTATTATTTTAGAGCGAATCAAGCATGTCACGGAAAACGGCAGTGAGGAGGGCTACCACAAAGAAACGGGCGCAGCGCGCTACGTCTAATGTGTTTGCCATGTTTGGACAAGCACAGATACAGGAATTTAAAGAAGCATTTAATTTGATAGACCAAAATCGTGATGGATTTATTGATAAAGAAGATTTGCATGATATGCTGGCTTCCCTAGGTAAATTATATTATTCAAATTGTTCTTCACACAAGACAGACCGTGCATAATACGGCTTCCCTGTCCGTGACATAGTTAGCCATTGTTGTCTAGTAATTTATTTATAAAAATAGTATTTTATTATCCGTAACAACCAAATTAACTAATATTTTTCAAATTCTGAGGGTAGCAGGGATTTATTGGTTTTGTAAGTTGTTTTTTTTATTATTTCCCAATTAGTTTTCATCATAATAGATCACAGAAATTTTATGAAAATAGTGATTTCATTATTTTTAATTTTGTTTTTTGTTGTAATTTATTTAGCAATATATTTAAGATTTGACAATTGGAAAGAAAACATGTATTGGCATTTACTAGACTTAAGATTTTTTTCTAAATTTTTAAAAATGTTTAGCTATTTGTAGTTATTTTACATTTTCTACTCTTTTTTTATATAGTTTTTCTTTGCCAGGTAGGTACTGTGTGGATAAAATTATTTGAACAGAACCACTTAAAAATTTAACATGAGATTCATTATATTTAATTCATTCAATGATAAAAAAAAAAAAGTTAAACTGTATCTAGTTTTTTTTGATAATCGTATTAAGATATTAAGAAGCATTAAAGAAAATTGTAAATATTACAACATTTGAAAATATAACATATATAACCGAACTACACTCAATTTTTTTTTTTATCTGTATTGCCAAGGTAACACATAATTTTTTTAAATAATTCAATATTCATTTCATAAATAGCTAAACTTTAAATTTTGAAAATGGATCTTCAAGGCTCACATGAAACCATTTATTTGCTTATAATATAGTGGTTCTCAAATTTTTTTTTCGGCAGTGCCCTTTTTTGGACTTAATTAATTCAAGGTGTCCTGTGAGTATTGTGAGGAATATAAATAAAAAATCAACACTGATTATTAATTATAAACAGTTTTTTATAATTATATTGAATATAATAAAATATAGGCATTCTAAAACCATAGTCACGGTGCCCCTGGAAAGTACTTACGGTGCTCTTAGAGAACCGTGGTGCACAGTTTAGGAACCGCTGACTTACATATTAATGTATATTTTCAGACCTATGTGGATCCCAAGCAGACAGACAGACACTTCTTTTTATTAATATCGATTATACAAACATATTATGATTATATGAATGTTAAATATTTTTTAGGCAAAGATCCAACTGATGATTATTTGGAAGGTATGATGAATGATGCTCCTGGCCCAATTAATTTCACTATGTTTTTGACATTATTTGGTGAAAGGCTTCAAGGTACTGATCCGGAAGATGTAATAAAGAACGCCTTTGGTTGTTTTGACGAAAACAATGAAGGCGTTATTAATGAAGAACGGCTTAGAGAGCTTTTAGTGACCATGGGAGACAGATTTACAGATGAAGACGTATGTATAACTTTTATATATATATGCCTATTTAATATACAAATTAATTTTTTTATTTGAACTACAATCCGTAATTTTATATATTTTATCTTTAGGTTGATGAAATGTATCGTGAAGCCCCTATTGCAAAGGGAATGTTCAATTACATAGAATTCACACGTATTTTGAAACATGGTGCAAAAGAAAAAGATGAAGTTTAAAAGTTTCTTTTACTTGCTCTAAAATTCTTTATTATACAATTTTACTCAACAATATAACATAAATTATTAAGGATATATATATATATATATAAATACAAAACGTATTATTAAATAATAATTTATACAAAATAATAGGTGAAATAATTATTAAGTTTATATAACTTTTATTATTCAATTTTTTAACATTAGTTTAGACTTTTATTTCACTTAGAATTATTAATTTGTGAATATTCATAAATATGGCATTTATATCTATTTTTCAATGTTATTCATGTTTATGAAAAAAAAAAATAATAATAATAATATAATCCATTCTATTGATTATCAAAATAATTTGTTTAATATTAATTATATCTACCCTATCTATTAAAAAATATCCTTTTATATATGAAACTGCAATTATTATTATTTAATCAATTTTTTTTTTTTTTTTACTGATTTATGATTGAATTAATAATGGGAAATACATTTTTTTTTTTTTTGTATCTTTATATTAAATTTATATATTTATGTTTTTATAGTTAAAAACCCTTTACTAAAAAAATAAAAATTGTACATGTATTTTTAAATATGCATATATTTTTTTAATTTTCCTCAAATATAGCAACTAATTGTATCTGTTATAAATGTATCCTTATCTCATTAGTTTTGGATAGTGGCTCTTTAGTAAACAGTTCTACAGTCCTGCAGGAATGAAGTTAGGACGATGGAAATTTGTACAAGCATAGTGTTAATATGAACTTAGATAGACAACTATAGTTAGTATTGAATTATTCTAGTATTCAGTTGTTTGTTTAACAAAAAATAATAATTCTATAATATATAATTGGTAAGAGAAAGTTTGACTTTTGATTGGTGGAGCTCTGCTGTTCATGTGTTATTAATGTCTTTAAAAGAGTAATATCTGTATAGATACCTTTAAGGAATGTAATTAACTAATATGAACCAGTATTTTTTTTTTATCTGAATAACTTTTCTACCAAATATTTTATTCCAATATCCAAGTGTAGCACTTTTCTTAAAGGAAATCTGACAGGGGTGATACTTTCAAGAGGTAATTTTTAGATTTTCCTAAAGGTTTTCCTAATAATTAGGAAAATTTGCAAAATTTATTATTTTTAAATTGTAAATATTACGTGGTTAAAAAACGTATAACCAAACACCACTCAAAATCATTTTTTGATAGCAATGATTAATCATTGCACAGATATGTACATTAAATTCCTCCTCTATATCCTAATTTTCCAACTTTTCACCAGTGGCCCACCCATCATGTGAAGTATATTCATATCTTTTTAGTTTTGATGTATGTTTTCTAACAAGCTCACTATATTAAAATCATTGGTATAGTTTTTAAAGACATAATTTACAATGTTTTATGAGTTCACTACTAATTTTGCAGAGTATATCAATTTTATAAAATACTCATGTATTACATGAGTAATTGGTTTCTGACATCAATGTTTTAAATTCTTAGTTAGTTAGGTTTAGAAGTTGGCAATGAATATAAGATACATTTATACAATTTAGTGGAAGCAATTGTAACCCTGACCATTATAATGCAATTAACACACAATAAAAGTGTTCTAATTATACTTATAATAAACAGATAATTAATTTGTTCATTAATGTCATATACATATAAAACTAATGCTTATAATATTTTAAAGTAAAACAATTTATTGTTTGGTACGCCATTAAATAGATAACTATAATTCATATAAATAAAAAACATCACATTAAAAATTATAATATAAACTAATTTTATTTTCCTATCATAGACTACTACTAATAGTTCACTTGGATAATATATGAATATTTAAGTTCAATAAAAAAAAAAAAATTAAACTAAATAAATCTAATTCCACCATCTAATCTAATAACTTCCCCATTAAAAAATGGGTTATTAAAAATATTAACAACAAGATCAGCAAATTCTTCTGGTTTTCCAAATCTTTTGGGAGAAAGTGTCATATCAGCAAAATAATTTTTAACTTTACTTGGTAAATGATTTATTAATGGGGTATCAAACAATCCTGGAGCTATTGAACAATGCCTAATGCCTTGTAATGCCATATCTCGAGCAAGAGGTAATGTCATAGCTGCTATAGCTCCTTTGCTGGCGGCAAAAGCTACTTGACCAGTTTGTCCATCATAAGCTGAATATCCAGACGTATTGATTACTACTCCTCGTTGTCCATTTTCATCAGGTTCATTAGACCCTATTAGAGCGACACCTAATCTAATAACATTAAAACTACCTACTGTGTTTACCATAAGTACATTGATAAATTCTTCTAAATCATGGGCACTACTTTTGTTGAAATTATACACTTTACGTGCTAAACTAACACCAGCACAATTAACAATTAAATCTAATTTTCCGTGGAGATTTTTACATGTATCAATGGCATTTTGGACATCAGTTTCTGATCTAACGTCAACAGGAACAAAATTTGTATTTGAACCAATTGTTTCTGCCACAGTTTTTCCTAATGATGTTGGTAAATCACACATAATTACTTTGTGACCATCTTTTACAAGTCGTTCAACAGTGGCTTTTCCTAGACCTGATGCCGCTCCAGTGACCAAACTTACAAGAACTTTAGACATGATAGAATTTTATGATTACCTGAAATAAAAAAATCAACAAAATTGTTTACATGGAAATAGTTAAAAATATATTATTATCATTATGGGATGCATAACTCTTTATCATATGTCTTTTTCTCCTTAATAATGCGACTGCCTATTTCATAAATATCTATTTCAGTTTGTTTGGTCTTTCATTAAAGTTATTTAAGAGCATGATAATAATACCTATTTAAATCATTATTTACTTACGTTTGTATGTAGGAAAATTTAAATAAACTACAATAATTATTGGCAAATTTAAAAATTCTATTAAAAAGTAAATAAAATTATTATTACAAAAACAAAATATTATATGTACTAGACAGGCAATAAGAATACTACAAAATACAATTTTTAGTAAAATCACATGTGATGCAAATGTAAATATAAATGATAAGGTGATTGTTATTGTAATTGCCGGTTAGAGAAAATGATAAGATTAATAAACAGTCAACAATTACTTGTCATTTTGTAACAGCTGTCTCATGGAGAAAAAATAACCATTTTCCTACTGACGGTAGTTCGGAAGTATCGGGCAACACTGAAATCGTGACTATTCCTAATCCCCGCTACGGTCGCTGCGGATGCCTAGGAAATGTTTGCCGTCCTTAGAAAAATATTTTAATTTTCTCCATTGTGTTTTTCCATAGAAAATGTTTATTTATTGAATAATTTCTTTGTTGTTGTATGTTTTTTTTTTGTATTAATTGTGCCCTTTTATTCGGTTTTATTGTATCACTTACATCGTCTTTTCAGTACTGCCATCGACGATTGAAATAATGTAACACCTACTTACTGTAGACAAAGTAATGGTCTCCGTTTAAGTCGGACGGTAGCCGTTCATCGGCTTTGTTATTGACGAGACGGACATCAGCTAAACCGTTCGTTCGGAGCGACGTTAATCGTCGATATATCTACGATCCTCGCACGTTGGAAATATATGGATCGTTTCATCACGTTCTCGACTACCATATCGAAATTTTGGGTTCTCCATTTTGGTTCCATTGACGGTGAATTTCAACGTGTGATCGTCGCGTTTAATGATAATTTAATATTATCATTATTACATTCTTCTGCATTAAAGAAGAGAGCTTCAAATAGTCTTGAAGCTTTCGAGGCCTTCATGGAACTATGAACCTGGATTCATTGTCATATACGTTGTCGCAAATCAGCTATCTCGTTGCTAATTTGTCGAAAAAAAACTACAAATCCAGTGTTCAGGAATTGTCAGACGTAAGTAAAATACAGTAACAATAAGAATAAATGTTTAAATAATATTAAACATATAATAATATATCAAGGATTTCTTATCTTATTCAAATGTGTTTATTCTTGTATCTAATGACTAATTTTTTTTATTATGCTTTAATTATAAAACAAGTACATTTTTTATATTATGAGTTTACTTAATTACTATTTATAACTGACTACCAGATTAGAATCATTGATTAATGGTTCTAAATTATCATATTTATTCTAGGTACACTATAAGCCGAGTTATCACTTAATAGTATATCCACGTTATTCTTTTTAAATTAAGTTGTATTACTTATATTTAATCCATAAATATATACAATTTACTATAATGAAAGTAGTTGATTAAAAAATTATTATTTTGAACTGGAATTTTGTATATAATATTTTTTCGGTACCTACTATTAGAGTTACTTAGTTGTTAGATAAACAGTTTGGTACTTGAATGTTTAGTTTACAAATAAATCGAATATTTTTTGCTCATTCATTATTAAAATTCACTAAATTGCTTTTTTACTAATATTTAGTTATTAATTTATTCTTATATTACCAAGACTCAATACTTTTAGCATTTGTGTATCTGTTTTGATAGGTACTAAAAACACCCAAGTGAGCTATAGATTTGTTTTGTAATAATTAAAGAAAAAAAAAATTGTTCCGCGTTTCAAAGTTTTGATGGTATTTTGCTAATTTTTGACATTTTATCATTTTAAGTATATATATAAATGATATGATTTTTATTATTGACATCATCAAAAAGATATCATTGCGCTTATTACAACCGTTTTTGGAGTTACAAGTTACGAGCTTTGCTTATTACGCTTGAAAGTCATAAATGAAAAGTGGTATACACATTTATTATTGAATCACTTTTTCATATAATATATCTAATTAGAATGAAATATTATTTAATATAAACTATATTAGGTACTTGGCCAAAATATAATAAATTCAATTTTAAAAAGTAGGTAGTTGTTAATCTAGTTAGATCTAGATTACTTTTAGAATTATATGGTGAAATAAATATATAGCTACTACTTTACTATTTACCTATAAGGCTATAACCATTGATGTTACAGTAGTTAAAATTATTGGTACAACTAGTACTTAACAATCTAATTTACACCATAGATTATATAATCTGTGCCTAAACTCTATTCAGAATAAGTAGCTCGATAAAATGGCACCAATTTGTGCATCCATAACTGAGCATTCAAATGCAGAACCACCACCGGTAAACACTAACTTTATGTAACACATACATGTTTTTTTACACTGCCCGGTGCCTTCTTATTTTGAATAGAGTATTTGTAGTACATTATATTTTGATTTGATGGTTTAACCTTGGATTTTACAATAATTTTTTTTTTCAAAAACAAATTTTATCTATAATCTGGCAGGTGAGAGAATGTTACTGAGTGGCGAAAAAAACTCATCTGTTCTTGCACATTCCTACGACGAGTAGATAGTAGAGTGAGATAAATTAGGGCACAAAACCGCGGGAGCTTGTTCATTTAGATGCACCAAGGAGTTGCGTTCTCTCAACAACCGGAGTATAGTTAGTGTATTGAAGAAGTCAATATTTTATTTTCCTTGTAGTTTCCAAATAATTGGAGTTACTCGTGGGAGGGGGGAGTTGAAGCCATAACAGTCTGTTATTTTTGTTTTTACTTTTGTTATTTGGTTAAAAATGTGGATATCTGACATAAAGCCTTTCTTAATGTGTTGATATGTTCAAAACATTTTTAGTTATTTTTAAGTTATTTAAAATAATTTTAAATTTTTGAGATTTTAACTTTTAATTTAGTTTTATGTGGATAAATTGTTTTGGTTGAGCAGAAATATTTGAAGTATAAAAACTCTAGGTTTGTCATAAATGATATCTAGAGTAAATTAAGAATTTGTTATATAGAATGATTATAGAATTAATTGACTTTACTTGCACAAAATAAAGTTGGTAAAGATATTAATAAGTTAATCTTTTCAGTTTTCAGTGTTTTTTGTTACATGGAAAATAAGAGAATTATTGTTGGAATATAATTTATAACCCTGTAATACAAGGTTGACATTTCATTACCTTACGGATCTATTTCTAAATCAGTGACCTAATTTTTAATTTTTAATTTTTTCTGGGAGACGAGGAAGATATTATTTATAATAAGATCTATCTTTTATGTCTCCCCTCCCCCCCATATTATGCTTTTAGCTTTTGGATAGCTTGCTGGCTTAACTTGGCCCCTAAATTGAAACCCCGTATGAATAGAAAGTGGTTATCATATATATTAGTTTCTAATTTAATGAATGAAGGACATTTAAGAGTATATTTGATTGATTCCTTTTGTTTTTAATGTGGGGAGTCCAATTGTTTTAACTAATTTCATTGTATTCAACTTTTCTGTAATTTTACATTTAAATATAAATTATAGAATAAATAATAAATTGTATGAAACATTTACAAACTATAATAATATAAATATTTGAAGTATGATGAATTCTTAGTTATTATGTTATGCTATATTATTATTGTTTGGTGTATGACAATGTTTTATATTTTGTTAAGTTTTTTTTTTTTTTTTTGGAACGTAGCGAGAGATCTATTGGTTTTATTATGTTTATGATGTATGTTTTTTTTTCTGTCTATAAACAAAATTTTTCGAAAAGAAATCTTGATCTGATGTATTAAGTGTAGCACCTTCCCTAAAAAGAAATAATTAGTAATAATTGGGAAAACAGCAAATAAATATATTGATAAAACATTAAATATTTACAGTGCTCTGCTGCGTTGCTGATTTCATTGTTTTCAGTTTTTTCAAACCATGTTTTAATCAAAAAGTGCCTAGATACTTTCTTTATTGGATTTTATTTAGATCTAGTTGCTCATAGTAAGTTGTTTTTGCTTTTCCAAATAATTTTTATAGTAATCGGGAAAACGAAAAAAATGTAAAACTGAACCAATTTAAGTCGTACACTTTCATTATTTTAAATTTGTACGCGAAATATTTCTTCAATAGACAAATGACAAAAGATCTTTTTAGTTTTTTTTTGTAACATTTTTAATCTATTGTATAAGAAAGTTGTTTTTTTTTTTTTTATTTTTCTTGTAGTTTTAAATATTCATACAGACTTGACATTTTTACAGACAACTTGCTTTTATTATGTTATATTTATTTTTTCCAGACATGGTAAAATGTTCAAAGCATTTGAGCTATTTTTGAACTAGGTGTTTATAGACATTTTAATTTTGTGAGTTTTTTTTTGCCTAATTTGTATTTGGTAGATACTCTGTGGATTGTTAGACCAAACAGAAATTCTTGAAAATTTAACAAGAGGTTCATTATAAGTTGTACTTACTGGTCAACAAGAAAAAGTTGATTTTTATGTTTTATTTTTTTTGTTATAAGAATTAATATTAAATTTTGATGAACATTTTAAATATGTCTTAAATGTCTTTAAATACTGTCTTTCAAAATATAATGTGTAACTGAACTTTGCTCTGAATCGTAACTTGCATAACTTAATTTTAATTCAAACATTATTATACTTTTTATCTATTTGTTTAAAAATTAATTATTTGTAAGTATTTTTTTTGAATGTAGATACTATGGAAAGTGGATCTGTGAAGTAATTCTCTCGGTAATCCCTTTATTGTTGTGATATTAAAGTTTAAGACAAAAATTTAATTTAATAAGTAGTATGAAAATTAAAGTTTTACCCATTTTTTTTTTTTTTACTAATATCTTTGATTTGTCTAGCCTTCCTTGAAAGTATATAATAATAAATTAAATAATAGTAGGTATTTTAGAAGTTTATTGGTTTTTATCCCTGGTTTTGTTATGTTGTGTGCTATTTTTATGTCTGTTTACAATTTTCAAATTAAATTTAGAAAAATATAGTTTTTACTTTATACAATGATAATTTATTGTTGCAGATAGTATTTAGCTAGGAAAATTGGGTGAGGACATATCCAGAAATATTTTATTTGGGGGAGAGAAACTGCTTTCACATTAATTACCATTCCAAGAACGCAGAACCCATGTTATTTTTATTTTAAACTACTGTTTCTTCACTTAAGTAAATTAACTTGTATTTTATTTTTATACTAGGTATATAGGATGTAATGAATATCTGGAATTATTCTTAAAATCGTCAATAAACCCCTAGATTATTAGTTTTAAAATTAATAAATAATAGTAATTATAAATTTATAATTTATTGTAAAATTTAAACTATAAAAAAAAATTAGTTATTAATCAATTTTTTTTCAAACCAATTTTATTGAATCATTGCTATTATGATTATGTAAATTGTTTACTGACATATAATAATTTTTTTTTTTTTTTTGCTTACAGGCAATTCAATCTCAAGGATTTGAAGCAGATCGGCATCTTTTACGTTGTCTTCTTTCTCATATAGATATAAAAGAAATTGAAGGGCCACGAAATATATCACATAAGGATTATTATCAGGTTCAATTGTTAGCGCAACAGTGTACAACTCTCTTAAATAAACCTTCACTTACATCAATTCTTTGTTTTGCTCTTGATAATCCACTTCATTTACAAAAAGTAATTTAATTATAATATTTTTGTCTTTAAATTATTTATTTTTATGAAATGTGATTGATAGCCTATTAAATCATCAATACAGCATTTGAAACCATCAATACAGTTATTTATCCAGCTTAGTAGAATATTACATCTCAGCCTTGTACAAGAAGTTGTTTTTGGGCTCGTTTGTTTGGAATCTACAAATTATTCAGCATTTGCATTACAATTTGTAAAACAAAAATTACCAGAGCTCATCAAATCATATATTAACTCAGGTACAGAAATACAATTTCTTAATTTCTTCAAAATTAATCTTATCTTTTTAAATGTATGTATATTTAGATAACAACACTGAACAAGTTACTGGAGGAGGATTGCACGATTCTAGCCCTGAAGTTTTACATTTAATTTTAAGCCACGTATTTGCTGCCGATGATCAAATATTTGGTATATTATTTATATACATATATACATAATTAATCAATTATTATTAAAATTTCTTATTTAGGTATAAGCAAAGAGGTTAAAGAAGTTTTATTACAAAATTTAAGACGAGATTTTCCCCTTGAAGTGGCTCCTGTTTTATTGGCACCTTTAATATATCCTGGCAACCCAGATCGTCCAATGGATAAAATAAATCAAGACACCTCGTCTATTACTAGCACAATGGTTATTATTATATATTTTTTTATGAGTTATAATTATACAGTTTTACCTCATTATAATGAAATATATGTTATATGATTCTGTTTTAGTTGGATCCTTCATTAGCTGATTTAGTTATGGAAATGGGTTACTCTATTTGTTCGTCATTAGAAGAATGCCGTAGAAACTTGTTATCAGTAACTAATGGAAGTGGTTCTTCAGTTATTTTTGGTGCTGCTTCAATTGCTAAAGTGTTATCAATGATGATCCGAACACATACTGGTCTTGATACTCAATCTACTTTAACATATTGGCCTGGTGAAAATACTAACCATGACTCAGATAAAACATCTAAAACCTTGTTAACTTGGAATGTTGAAATATTTGTACTCACGATTAAAGACTTGGTATTTATTAAACAAATATTTCATTAAATTCATAATTATTATTGCTAACTTTTTTTTGTAAAAATGTTTTAGAATCCGTCATTGTCTTGGTTAGACATTATCAAGGAATTTGATCATACTGATTTTCTTATTAAAGATAGACAAGGTTTAGTTCTTCTGTTTACTGCTTTTCGTCTTGGTTTGAAATCTCAAGGATATCGTGTGGATAGCTTCCCTGTAGAAATCATTTATCAGCATTGGTCTAATTCAGAAGCACAAGTAATGTTAAATGTTAATTAAAAGATCTTACATTAAAAATAAAAAATAAATTTTCATGTTTTATTTATTTTTTTAGATGTCCTTGGTGCAGCACATCTTGCAAAACTCTGATATTTTTTGCTTTGCGGATTATCCATATCGTTCTGTGTCGATAGATTTGTTAAAAGTTACACCAGAAGTGGACAACAAAGATATAAATAACTGGTAAAATAATTTATTTACTCATTTTGATTATTATTGATATTTTATATCAATATAAATATGAGTTTTTTTTATTATTAAAGGAGATCAATTGAACTTGCTGATTTAATGTTATATTTGGCTGAATGTGGTCATTATTATCAAGTACAAGAGTGTTTAAAATTCCCAGCTCAAAAATGCCCTGATCTTTTAGCACTTGCTCTTATTCAATCGAGCGGCCCCTTAAGTATGGTTAGAGTTGAAATGATAAGTGGTCTTATACCAATATTTCTTGGAAATCATAATAATGCTGCTGTGATTTTGCATAATGCATGGAATCATCAGGTACTATTTGTTTCATTGGATATTATTTACAAGTATAATCTATTATTTGTATTTTAGAATGTTGGACTTAGACATACTGTAGTACAGGCAATGAGTGAATGGTACATACGCAGTGATCATGATCATGTAAAACTTTCCCGAATTTTAGACATAGCTCAAGATTTAAAAGTAAAAATAGTTATTTATAGTATTGAATTTCTATTAATTTAATTTTATTCTTAATAACTTAATTTGTATAATTTTTTAACAAGGCATTATCATTCTTGCTAAGTGTTCAGCAGTATGCATTTGTCATCGATTTAGCCTGTTTAGCTTCACGGCGAGAGTATTTAAAACTTGATAAATGGTTATCAGATAAAATACGTGAACATGGAGAAAATTTCATATCAGCTTGTATTAAATTTTTGCATGTAAGTAACATCTTAATTAATATTTATTTCATAAAGAATAATACACTAACAATACAAGATAAATTTATTTCATTATTGTTGATTATAATTAGAAACGATGCCCTCAATTAGTTGGATCGTCAACCAAAGATGACAGTTTGTCTAAATGTACTCCTTTATCATCGGAGACTATTCTTACAATGTTGAATTGCTTACGTAATGTTACTGGGTAAGTTTTTTTTTTTTTTATTATTATTATTCTTGTTAACTAAATTATGATTATTATAATAAGAATATGACAGGATACAAAAAATAATGTGTTTTAGTAATAACCCTAGGCAAAATAAATCCATATATTTACACAAAAAGATTTGAAAACATTATCTAAGGTATATCTAAGTTTTAAAATTCACTCAATTATACAATCATAATAATACACATAATATGCTGTGTTATGATCTGTTATTATTTACTTAAGCCACTATTTTAGATTTGAATCATAACAAGGAATAAATTAATTTTATAATGATGTTTGTTTTTTATTTTTACTGTGAAGAAATTTTCTTCCAGAAATCTCTCAGATTTATCAAGTGTAGCACCATTTTTTGGATTCTCCTTTTATAATTATTTAGAAAAAACAAGAAATATGAAAATAATGTATTTTATTTACTTTTATTATTTTCAATTTTGGTTTTTTGTTGTAATTCTGTTAAAAATATTTGTAAAACCTTTAAATTTGGACAGAAAACTCATTTTTCTTTTTTAGACAGCATAACTTTAACATTTATGAGCTCATTTTTGAGCTATTAATAGGTAACATTTTAATTTTGAGAGTTTTGCATAATTTTGAATTGTTAAGTACTCTGCGGATAAAATTGTTGGACTGAGTAGAATTGCTGGAGATTTGTTATAAATTATCCTTAGTGGCTAACAAGAAAAGTTCAGTTAAATGTAGTATTTTTATATTTATATATAAGAATTTAAATAGAAATCATAAGTATAACGACCTTTTAAACCATGTATAACCGAACTCCACTTATAATCGTTTTTAGTTAGCAATGGTTAATCTTTGCATAGAGATATACATTAAATAACTTAATTGAGCGTTTGTGTTAAACTATCAGTATTTGTTTCCTAACTTATTTTTAATTCAAATATTATTATACTTCAAATAATATATCTATTTGTTGAAAAATGAAGTGTTGATTTAAACTTCATTATTATCATTAATTTAAAGTATTTTTTTTAAGTGTACATACTATGGAAATTGGGTTTGTGAAGTAATTCTCTTGAGTAATCTCATATTGTTTTAATATTAGGAAGGTATTATTTTCTAGAGAATTGTTAATTAATTAATAATAATAGAAAAACATTGCAATTAATTAGGAATTCTTACAGATGCCAATAAGCAATTTTAGATTCTGAGTGGAACGAAGAAGCTTATGGTTTTAAAAGATGTTTATTTTATTTTTATTTGTTTCTGTAGATAACATTTCTACCAGAGATCTAATCCAATTTTTAAGTATAACACCTTTTCTGAAAGGGAATTTAACTAGGAAGGTACTTTGTGATATCATTATTTTAATCCAGGATTTTTCCTAACAAATGTGAATAACCAGGAAATACCAGAGAAAACTGAAATGAGAAACAGGAACAAATATTATTTAAGAAAATATATAACGCATATGTAATTATTTTACCATAATATGACATAATATATTATACTATCGACAAAGCATCACTATCAACTAAACTCCGCACAGAATGGTTTTTTTGTTAGCAATGATTTATCGTTACTTTCAGGTATACATTAAATTACTTATAACAGAGGCTACACCTGTCCCCATTATCCTAGGACATTTATAAAAAAACTGTATTCGTATTAATTTGTCACAGTCTCGTGAGCAAATTGTCTGGAGCAATTTCAACTAAATTCTATACTCATAATATGAATTATGAGGTAGAAAAAATAATTTAGGGAATAAAAAACCTTAAAATATCAATGAAAGAAGGAAAGCATTTCAAATTTTATTTTATTTTTTATTAATTTATAGTTTTTCTTTGAACACCTTTGTTGTGTATATATATGTATGTTTAATTTGTACTCTTTTAACAATATTATTAGAAAAATTAATTTATTATAATAATTTTTGTATTATTTTCATGTTTTTAATTTATTTACAGAACAATTTCACAAGAACTTTCTGATGCCATTATGCAAATGGTAACAAACTGTACTAATATGTATATGTCTAAAGTAGCATCAGCCCGGATAAATGCTACAGCTCCACCACCAGCTATCCTTCGTGCTTCACAACATCGACCACTTGAAGGACCTTCACAGCAAGTATTAGTTGACCAACTTACTGGCCTTGCAACTAGTCTTGCCAGTTTGGGTTTAAATCCTTCTGCACAATCGGGCTCTACGTTTACTTTACCAGGTTTGAATTACACTACATATTTAAGGCCTGGTCTCACCACCATAAACGTTGATTTTTAAATAGAGTTTGTAAGATAACTGACCAATCTTGGTCGATTATCAGCTATAAACTCAGTTTAAGAATCAGATAAACACCTTTTTCTAAATTGATAAGAATGTCCCTAAGTATACAATTCTTAAACTTTTATGGTTTTTAGGATCTTTTGGACAGTTAGTTCAAACTCCAGGTTCGCCCTCCCGCAATATTGTTGGTAATGGAGGTTTCTCTATCATGACTCCATCTTCAAATGCCCCTGGTCCTAATGTTTCTAGCCAATTATCTGGTCCATCTAATATGTTAAGTCGTTTACCACCACAGCAAGTCACACCTTCAGTTATACAGATAGCTAATTGTAATCTGCCAAGTAAGTAATATTAATAAATATGAACTAGTTTTTTTTTTTTTTCTTTTTTTTTAAGAAGAAAATTAAATACATAAATATAAAATTAAACCAAAAATGTATTTTATCATTTATTCACTAAAGTTTAGAAAAAAGAGGAAATTATAAAAAAAAAAAAATTTTCTCACAGTAATCAGCACTATACAATAAATAATAAAATAATATAGTATTATAAAATATTGATAAATAATTTAATTAATTATTTGTTATTCTCTTATTTAAATAAATAACAATATATTATATAGTTAAAACAATTTTAACAAAAAGTTAATTTACTTAATTTTTAGTTGACAACAGTTTATTTCTTGATGGAAATATGCCACTAAATGTACCCAAAGAAATAGAAGATGAAGCAAACAGCTATTTTCAGCGAATATATAATTTAGCTCCACAACATTCTCTATCAATTGATGAAGTGCTAGAAATGTTAAAAAAATTTCAATCGTCTGGAATTAAGAGAGAAAAGGTAATCCTTTTATCTAATTTCAATTTAGTAATATTGATTTTAATTTTATTGGTAATATTTATTTTATTTATTTATTAACCTTATTCTATAAAAAATCAATTTGTTTTCTTTTTACTTATTTAAATTTAAGTTCCTAAAAATTCTATCTAGTTGATTTTAATACTGATGGCAATTTTAAAAGTTTAGCACCCGGAAACCAAATAACTCTAAAAGTCAATTTCATAATGTAATTTGTACTAAAAGTCAATTTCATAATGTAATTTGTATAAAATCTAATTTAATTAATTTATTCATCAAATTAATTGTATTTATATTGTAGTTACTCAAATTTTCTTAGTGATTATTTCTTTTTCTTCTCATTAATCCTTAATATTTGTTGGAGTCTGCCACCCTCGTTCTAAACTTCCATTTGACTTGATCACCACATCTCATGCATCCGCTGTTTTCATATTCTCAATCAAACCGACCATTTGTACTTATCTTTAGTCTCGTTCCTCAAGTCCAGTAGAACCTCGAGCCCCCATTCCACTAGCGTTCCTTGAGGATCATTTATGTTTAAAACTGTTAAATACAAATTGTTGAAAAAATTCCATTACTGGGTTTTAAAATAATATAGTATTTTAGAAATATATTATAGTATTTATTACAAAACAGTAAAATTGTTGTATAAATATTTTGCAGGAAGTTTTTTGTTGTATGTTAAGAAATTTATTTGAAGAATATAGATTTTTCCCTGCATACCCAGAAAAAGAACTTATAACAACAGCCCATCTTTTTGGTGGTATTGTAGAACAAGGTCTTGTTTCGTAAGTCATTTAAAGATAATTAATTTAAGTACATTATAATAAATTGTTTTTTATTTTTTATTTTTTTATAGAAATTATAAAGCTTTGGGTCTTGCACTTCGCTTTATTTTGGATGCATTGAAAAAGAATCCAAATTCCAAGATGTATAACTTTGGTATAACTGCACTTGACCGCTTTAAAAATCGTTTAAAGGATTACCACCAATATTGCACTCATATTTGTGCAATCCCCCATTTCCAACAATTTCCACAACATCTTATTGAGGTATGTTATAAAAAAAAAATAACTTGAGTTATTGCTTATATTTTCGGTATTTCTAAAACTTTATTATAATTTTTTTTTTTGTTATTGTGATAAGTTATAGTCTTTTTATTTCATAACTCTAAAATTGTATTATTACTACAGTATGTAGAATATGGTAAAAATTCACAAGAACCGCCATCTTCTCGCGTCGCAGATTTAGCAGGGGCAGGTAGTAATACAATATCGCAAGGATCATTCATGCCAAACTCTCACAGTGTTTACAAAGCACAAAGTATCACTACTACTACAACCACTACTGTTTCATCTTCATCTAAACTTATTACCACTAATGCTGTTTTACCATCTCGCGTTAGTTAAACTAAATAATATTTAAATTCCCATTATTGTTATAATAATTATTATGTATATAATACATTTTTAATTTTTAGCCTTCTATCGCAAATACAACTAACATTGATACTTTACTGGTAGCAACAGAAAAAGATGATAAAATTGTCCCACCAGCTGAAAATGTTCAAGATAAAATAGCTTTTATCTTTAACAACTTAAGTCAAGTCAATCTTCAAACTAAGGTAAATTATAACACTATTAAAATTCTATTCAAAAAATGTCAGTTAAATATGCTGTATCTGTTAAAATATTAATAATTTATTTTAATTTTATATCTATTAGTGTGATGAAATTAGAGATATTATTACCAGTGAATGTTTACCATGGTTATCCCAATACTTAGTCATGAAGCGTGTCAGCATTGAATTGAACTTCCACACATTGTATTCTAACTTTTTGGATTGTTTGAACAATGAAGCTCTTAATTCTTTAATAACATTGGAAACCTTTAGAAATATAAGAGTGAGTAAAAATATTTTATTGAACATGGAAAGTTAAGTAATTTGTTTTAAAATATTATTTCATCTTTAGGTTTTATTAAAAAGTGATAAAGGAATGGCGAACTTCTCTGATAGATCATTACTAAAAAATTTAGGTCATTGGTTAGGTATGATTACATTAGCTAAGAATAAACCAATATTATTGGATGATATCAACCTCAAAATGTTATTGGTTGAAGCTTATAACAAAGGACACCAAGAATTATTATTCACAGTACCATTTATTGCTAAAATTATTGAATCCTGTGCTAAGAGCAAAGTATGTTAAATATATATATACGTATTTTTATTTAATTTAATTCCTAATTATTTTTTTAAATATAGGTTTTTAAACCAAGAAATCCTTGGACAATGTCTGTTATGAACTGTTTAGCTGAACTCCATCAAGAACCAGATTTAAAATTAACTTTGAAATTTGAGGTTGAAGTATTGTGTAAAGCTTTAAACATTGAACTCAAAGTAAGAATTTATTTAAATTATTTGCTCAAAGTAAGAATTTATTTAAATTATTTGTCAACATAAATATCATATTTTTTATTTTAGGATTTAAAGCCTGGATATGTTCTTAAAGATCCAGAGTTAGCAAAGAAATTAGTTCCACAATTGTCTAATGGTGAAAAATCTAAACCTCAACCACAAAGTGCTCCAGAACAACCAAAAGTTTCAGTTCCCACCCCTCAACGTCAAACACCTATTCTTCAAAGTAATAAATATTATTTATAAGTTCAATTTGCTTGCTTCATGCTTGTTATAATTGGTTATTGTATATTTAAAATTAAATTATGGCAACAATATTAAGATTGCACTAATGTGAAATATTTTGTTTTAAAAACTAACAAATTAATATCATAAATTATGATCGCATAAGTACTTATTTCTAGTGTAGATATGATTTGCTGTATTTTTTCAAATGTATGTAACCAACAGATTTTATTGAAAATTCATTTTCAATCTTTTAAAATGTTCATAAAACCAATTTTTAATGAACTTTGTATTGCTTATCAAACCAATATCGAGAATTATCAAATTGTAATTTTAATTGCCTAACAATAATTGAACATTATGTTTTGTTTAAAAATGATTAAGTATTAGGTATTAACAAGTCCAAAAGAAAATATTTGATAATTTCTGATCTCATTATTTTTTTTTTTTTACTGAAATATAACTACAAAAAGTGAAAATAAAATTCTTTCAATAAAAGGTACTATGTAAATATTCCTGTTATTTCATCAGGAATAAGTACTAGCAATTTTAAAATTAATAAAAGTATTGTTTTAGGAACTAGCTGTATTATATATTTATTAGGTGTTTGCAATAATATCAATTTTTAAGGTAAATGGTGATATCAATATCTTATTTAAATAAAGCAATATTTTTTTAATTTTAACACAGCAGATTTTCTGTTAATCAATGGAATAACCCAAAACTAAATAGTCTCCATGGTACATACATTGATGTTGTTTATCTAATACTTAGTATTAAGTTTTTAAATTGTTTGTTTTACTTATTCTAATATCTAGTTCTGTAGTGTCATTTCATTGGAGTATCACTAATTGATTAGATGTTTTTTGGAATAAAATAATTTTACAATATTTAAAAAAAATTATTATTGAAATATAATATAGTAGATTATTTGAATTGATATATATATATATATTAGATGTGAGACAATTATTGAAGTTCTAATACTTTGAACATACGTTTACTGAAAGTATTTTATTTGATTTTTTTCATTAAACATTTTGAGGAATTGCAATACTTGAAAAAAATATGTATTTAAATTGTAATACATTAAACAGGCATTTATTGGAATTCTTATATTTTTTATTGGGGAAACTTGATTTTTTTAACTTATGTATTTAACATATTTATTTATTTATGTATTTAAAGTATTCAATCTCTGTTGTGATGAATGTTATCACTTATTTTATTGTATTTTTATTTTATATCCAATATACAGACAGGAGATCCTATTACAATTTATAACAACAGTACTTAAGTTTACCGTAACTTAATATTAATCTATAGTTGATGTATCAACGTTATTATAAAATTATTGTTTATGAGTTGTACATGATTAACAATTTTATTCTAAATATTTTTGAATGCATACTTTGCCAAATTTACCTTTTATAACATTAAATTCAATTTCAATCGAAAATTATCCCTCAAAATTAATTTTAAAACGCCAATAAATAATTTACAATATTTATTTGTTTAACAGTTTTATAAATTAAGAATCTGTTAAAAATGTTATGTTATTATGTAAATTTAAGATGTAAAATTGGTTTTTAGATTCTGAGCAGATCAAAGAATGTATTTGTTTTACAATGATATTTATTTATATTTTTTTCTGTGAACAACTTTTCTACCAGAATTTTTGCTCAGATTTTCAAGTGTAGCACTTTTACCGAAAGAAAATTTGACTGAGGTGATACTTTAGAGAGAATATTATTTGGTTTTTCTAAGAGTTTTATTTATAAATGGAAAATGTATTATTTCCAAATTCTAAATATTACTGCCTTTTCAAAACATACATAACCGAATTCTGCTCAGAATCATTTTTTTTTTAGAATTAGTGTATTGTTGCGTACAAATATAAATTAATTTCCCTTTTATATCCTACCTTTCCAATTTCTCACATACTACAGTGGCCCCCCCATCATGCTAAATATGTCCGGTTTTTTTATAAATGTTAATATTCAATTTTTTTTTTTTTCAAACGGATTTTACATCAGGTGATTATGTATCTAGATAACAATTGCATTTTTGTTTTACCCCTTATTATTATAGAAAAAACCTTATTTGTTAACTTTTTGAAATTTTCAAAATAATTGATTTAAAATAGATATTGTTCTATAAAAATAATCTACATGGTGGACACCCTATGTATTGATAATATTTTATTTTTATATTTGGTACTCAATTTCCTCAATATATATATTTATGGTTTTCCATTCTAATGAGAATATTATGCATAGATTTTAAGACTTCAAAGTTTTAAAAATGTTATAAAACCCAATAAATAGTTTTTATTTAGTAGAATTTTAATTTTTACATTTGTATTTTATTTAATTAAGAATAATAGTTTTTAATGGTCCAAATACATAGTGCTGATGACCGACAAAGCCTGACAACCCTTAGGCAGTGGTAAGTCCAATTTAAATTCAGTAAATTGGTTTAGATTCATTAACATGTTTTCTAAAATATATTTAACTTACTTTAACATAACTTTATTCATTAAATTTGAATTTTACAATCATTTACTTCTTCTTAATAAACACTGGTTGTTTATTTATAAAATGTGTTAAAAATCTAAAATTTTAATTTCACTAAAAAAGTAATTCTTTTGACACTAAATATTTAAAATATTATAATTTGGTCTTTTATATTTTATCCCTAAATTATTTTTGAGTATCTTTTTTGTAAATCATTATCAATATTTTAAACTTAAATGCTGTTTGTTGCTATTGCATGTTATATACTATTAGCAAATATTTTTGATTTTTTATAAGACTAATAGCATATAGTTTTTACTTGCTTAAAATACATAATTTACTCTATCAAAATTATTTTCATACTACAAACTTTTAATTTACAAAAATGTTAATTGAATAATTATAATAAAGATTATTACTAAAAAAATTTTTAATTTGGATTTAATGTTTTACAATTAAAATTCTATTTATGTACCTAATTTTGTATGACAAATAATCTATTACTAATTAACAAATAAAACTTAATTGAAACGTAACTACATATAAAGTATACCAAATACATGTAGAGAGAGATAACAGTACAGTAATTTGTTACTACCCTTTATAATATTGCTATGGCAATAAATTCAAGGAAATCATAATATGCATTTTATTGGAATTTTTTTTTCATTAGATCTGATAGAATTAAATTTTAAAAGATATTAAAATATTTGTTCTTCATTAAAGCATTTGTATGGCCATTATAAATTATTACAATATCTCGTAAAATGTAAGCACTAATTTTACAGGGCTTAATAATGCATAATATTAAAAATGAGTATTATTAAATTAATAGTATATAATGCATATAAATATTTTGGTGCTTATAATGCACTTATATCTATATTGTGTGGGAAATACCGCTTATTTAAAAAAATGTATATTTTATACATAACTGTTTGTTTATTTTTATTCCTTTTTTCCTCACATACAGGAAAATTTACCCGCGTATTTTATTAAAGGTTTAAAGTGCATTTTTCCCTGCATGCTTTAGTTTTTTTCACTATGTATTAGTCCCATAGGTATAATTATCAAGTGTTATTTTAAATTTTATAGCAATTGTTTCTTCTCAAGCTCAACAGAATATACCTTCAACAGTTCCACCAATAAGTTCTAATACACGATTCAATGATGAGCTTGTCGGCCACGTTGTGGCTGCCGGTGGAGTTACAACATTGACGTCAACTGGTAGCATGGGTATAAGTGGTACACCAGGCATGTCTCCACCGCTATCTTTAATCGAGCCAAAATTCAACTATGTAACTTTTAATACTACCAATTCATCGCAAATAATGTCCATGATCGTTATCAATTCACAAGTAAATCTTTTAGCTAATTTATTTATTTTTGTTTTTATAATTATATCTCCTTATTTTTTTCATAAAATATAGATTCCACTATTCCACAGTCAACCCACACTCAAGACATATGTGCGAAATGCCATTGAACGGTCAATCCAAGAATGGATAAATCCTGTTGTTGAAAGGTCGGTTAAAATTGCTGTAATTACCACAGAAAATATTGTTAAAAAAGTTAGTATGTCATTTTAATATAAATATATTATATAATAATGTTGATTATTATAAATAAGTAAAAAAAATTCTAGGATTTTGGTATGGACCCAGATGACACACATTTGCGGAAAGCAGCACATTGTATGGTAAGACATTTAACCTCTGGATTAGCAATGATCACATGCCGGGAACAAGTTATTCAAACATTGACAACAAATTTGAGACAACATTTTATGAGTGTTTTAATTGTATGTATTGACAATAGAATTTTAATACTTAACTTAGTTTGTTTTTATAATTAATTGAATTTTCTGTTTAGTCACCGTCCCCAACGCAAAAAGAAATGATTGATCAAGCTTGTACCATGTGTGCTAATGACAATTTAGAGTTGGCTTGTGCTTTTGTTCAAAAAACTGCTACTGAAAAGGCAGTAATAGAAATTGACAAGTACTTAAAAAGTGTAAGTAGTTATATTTTAAAAAATTATTAATATTTCTATAAATTAATAAAAAAGTTATTTTCATGCAAATATATCCTTTGTACAAACTTACAAACATATTATTTATAACAATTTTAATATTTAGGAATATGACAGACGCAGTTTATCCAGAATGGAAGGCCGTCGTTATTGTGACCCATCAGTTTTAGGTGGTCAAGCTGAATATTTGCCCGATACTCTTCGCAATAAAGTAGGATTGCCTCAACCACAAATGATTGGAGTTTATGAAGAATTTGCCAGAAACATACCAGGCTTTCAGCCATTAGATCGAGAAGCTGTTTCATTATTCATTCCTAAATCTGTAACTATTTAAATGATTTAATTTATATGTTATTTAATTGATTTTAATATAAATTGTTAATGTAACATTAGGGCTTTCCATCTGATGAGATGACTGTTGTCTATGAAAAACTTATTAGCGATATTGAAGCACTTTTACAACTGTACATGACCAACCAAAGAATTCTTTCCAATACAACTCAACCAGCAAATTTGCATGGTGTGTTGGAAGCAATGATGACATTACGAAGATCCCGTGATATTATGACTGCAACCAATGTTGTTAATAAAGTAAATGAATAATATATTTATGTTTTAATTCTCATACAAAATAATTTCTTTACTAATCTTCTCTATACAGAGTATTTTAAACCTCAAAGACTTAAGTTAAATAATAAGAATGTTTTAAAACACTTAATACTATTTCTGACTGTTGGTAGTTTATTCAAATTTTATTTACATCAGTAACATATTTAACTTCCATAATTCCGTAGACCTTTCTCTATGGAATGTATAGAAATTAATAAATAAAAGTTTAGGCAGACAGTTAAATGTAACAGCTAGAATACAATGTAATTACTATTTTCAGACTGTCGAAAGTTATTTGGATGGATTGAGTCCACCGGCTAACCATGATTTAGATATGACTATAAGATATCGAGACATGCACCTTAATATATTTAGAGCTTTCCAAGATCCTCGTGCTTACAATTTACAATGGACCAACAAAACTCTAACCAAGTATGTCAAGTATAATTAAGTTATTTTACATAAAAATAATGGTTTTTGTTTGTTTAAAAAAAAAAAATAGAGCTCTCATGGAATCTAGAGAAGAGTTATGTTTTAATAGTGATGCAATTGATGTGTTAATACGTGCTGGAATGGTGAATATTAGCATGTATGACATGCACTTGGCTTTGTCAATGGAGTCTGGTGCAAATTTTGTAGCCATTGTTTATGTTAAACAATTTTTGCAAAACTACTTGATAGACAATCGTGCAAACTCACCTATTACTGAACATCATCTTCAAGCAACTATCGATGCACTTAATAATATTGTTCTTAATGTCCGTGGCCCTCTTCCTGATGGGTGAATAAATAATTTTTAAAACATAATATTCTAGGTGTCCCACAATGATTTGCCACTTGGAATAACTTTTGTTCTATTCAATATTAATATTTGTATTATATATGTTTTTTAAATAATTTGTATGTTTGTGCTACAGTGAATATTTTTTTTCAAATGTGAATATTATTGTGGTTTATAATATATTTTAATATTTAATCAGTTGTTAAAAAAACATCAAATGATTAGGATTTTATTTTCCTTGAGTTAATATTATATTATACAGTAATACTATTAACTCCTGAATTTCCAATTTTTTTTTTTAATTATTGTAAAAATTAAAATTTTGTATTTTGATTCCTCCACCTAAAAAAAAAAATATTTAATAGAACGAAATTTATTTCAATTAAATCATCGTGGAACACCCTATATACTTTTATATTTTTGTTTAAACCGTGTAAATGAAAATGCAAATTATAATTTTCCTTCTAGATTGGCAGCACTAATGGAAGTAATTAGACCATCACAAGCAGCAGAAAACACAGCTCCAGAAAGAATGGCTAGTACCAGTAGTGGTTCTACATCAAATAATATTCAACATGGAATGTCACAGGTTGGTTTTAATCTGTGTACATAAATTATTAATGAGTTTATTATTAAATTTCGTAACAATGGTCTATTCATTTGACTTTAGGGCAGAGACTTTGATGACCCCCCTGGTCTGTTAGAAAAAACTGAATATTTACTTAAAGAATGGTTAACTATTTATAGTGCAGCACCCAATAGAGATCCTGGAAAAACATTCAGCGTTTACATCCATCAAGTTGGTCAAATTTATTATAATATTTTTAGCATTACTCTTTACGTTTTCTTATGTACATACAGATGAATGTTCAAGGAATTTTGAAGTCTGACGACATTATAACTCGTTTTTTCCGACTAAGCACTCAAATGATGGTTGAACTGTGTTATAGACAGATACCAGATCAAACACTGTCTCCTTCCACTGTACGCGCTAAACTTTTTCACACAATTGATGCCTATGTTAAACTCATTGTATTACTTGTCAAACATTCTGGTGATGCTACTGCTATAACTACAAAAACAAATCTTTTAAATAAAGTAAACAAATTATTTTTAATTAAATTTTAGAAGTTAGATTATCATAATTTGTAATGCATAGGTTCTTGGGATTGTTGTTGGTGTCTTACTCCAAGATCATGATGTCCAAGCAACTGACTTTCACCAATTACCATACCATAGAATATTGATTACTCTTTTCCTTGATTTAAATGCACCAGACCCAGTATTAGAATCTATCAATTATCCAGTAATGTTCAAAATTAAAATCAATATGATAAAACTCATTATTTAATACTATTATATCATTGCTAGATACTTGCTGCTTTTTGTCATACTTTCCACCTTCTACGACCAAGAAAAGTTCCAGGATTCGCATATGCTTGGCTTGAACTTATATCACATCGCATATTCATTGGTCGTCTTTTGGGATTAACTCCACAGCAAAAGGTAACTTAAATATTTTAGACATTTTTAGTGAAAGGCAAATTAAAATTCATACAATAATTCAAAATTATGGTGTTAAAAATATTCTTTCAAGTAAAGATGCCTTTCATTACTTGCTTTCCTTTATACAAATTAATTTAGCGGCAACGTGCTTATGATCAAACTCCGGTTACCGATGTTCAGGGTTGGAATTTCTATGCCCAATTACTCATCGACCTATTCAAATACCTGGCACCATTCTTACGCAATGCTGAACTTGCCAAGCCTGTTCATCTGTTATACAAGGGAACATTAAGAGTACTGCTCATTTTACTTCATGATTTTCCTGAATTTTTATGCGAGTTCCACTATGGTTTTTGTGATGTAATACCTCCAAATTGTATTCAGGTTTGTATATCATATATAGTTCGCTTTTAGATAAATAATTTAGTACAGTGTCCAATTACAAATAGAGTCATAGTATTAACAATATTTTATTTTCAGATGAGAAATTTAATATTATCAGCATTCCCACGGAATATGCGTTTACCAGATCCGTTTACTCCAAATTTGAAAGTCGATGTACTACAAGAAATTTCTTTGGCTCCAAAAATCAGTCCAGATTTTCAATGTTATATTCAACCAGCAAGCTTTAAAAAAGTAGTTTTTCATTTTTAATAGTCTAAATAATTTTCAAATTTTTAATTTTTTATTTTTTATTATTTTAGGATTTAGATTTGTATTTAAAAACTCGAGCACCAGTTACATTCTTATCTGAAATTCGTTCTACAATGCAACAAAGTTGTTGCGAACCTGGTATGCGTTATAATCTTTCACTTCTAAATGCTATTGTGCTGTATGTTGGTACCCAAGCGATACAGCACATTCGCAATAAGGGATTAGTACCAAACACATCTACTATAGCTCATTCTGCCCATATGGATATTTTCCAAAATTTATCTGTAGATCTCGATACAGAAGGTAAAATATTTTATTTTATTTTTGACTGTTGTAAATTTTAAATTTGTATCAAAACTATTTTTAAATTTAGGACGCTATTTGTTTTTAAATGCCATTGCAAACCAGTTACGTTTTCCGAATAGCCATACTCATTACTTCAGCTGCACACTATTGTATTTATTTGCTGAGGCTAACAGTGAAGCTATTCAAGAACAAATTACAAGGTAAGTAAATCATATTAATTATTTTAAATAATTTCAGTTTGATTAATTAGTTATTGGAATCTTAATATTTATTATAAATTAAATTGCAGAGTTCTTTTGGAGAGACTCATTGTAAATAGACCACATCCATGGGGTTTATTGATCACATTTATTGAGCTGATCAAAAATCCGGCATACAAGTTTTGGAACCATGAGTTTGTACATTGTGCACCAGAAATTGAAAAGTAAGCAAACATTTATTTTATGGCATTTAAAATCATATAATTATGTCAGAATTTTAACATAATTTCAATTGTGCTTAGCTTGATGCAATGGATAAACATAGTTGAATTCAAAGATCTATAAATTTAGAAGTTTTAGTGAAATGGATTTTAAAACTTTACACTTGAACATGTTAATTACTTGTTTTCTATAATTTTGTGAAAGAAAATGTTATGTATATCATTATTAATAATCAGGTACTATTGAAAGTTTTAGTAGTTACCAGTTAGTATAGATGTTTTTCACCAAATGTATTGCTAATATAAACTTTAGAAGCAGTACTGGCATGGACCTCTTGAACATCCCTTTTATTTTATTTATTATCCTTTAAATTTTGTTATAATTACCTTCGTATATTTTCATATTGTACATGAAAAGCACTTCACTTTAATTAACCAAATAATCCTCATATTCGATTATACATAAGCTAGTTAATATATAAATATTATTTCCGTTATAATTTTACAAAATAAAAATATATTATATTCTTTAAACTATAATACAGTTTTGTGATTATAATATAATATCACTTATTGTTTCTGATTTAATGCACTTTGTGTTGTGTTAATGTACATTAATTATGATAATTTAATTTGTAATATTTTGTTCAAACCATAATTTATAGACTTTTTGAATCGGTCGCTCGTTCCTGCATGGTTCACAAGCAGCCTACTACATCAGCAGATAGCAGAGATTTGCCAGATTTATAATTATAGTATTCAACTTATTGAAGATTAAATACTGAAATATATTATATATTTTATGTTATAGTTTTATAAGAAAAAAAAAATGAAACAAACTTTTACGAAATTAAGAATAAAAATAATTATGTAATTGTAAGATCAAAAGATTAAAATGCATAATATTATATATTTAAATAATTTTATTTTACTATTATTTTCTTTATCAATATAACATTTAAATTAGTTATATTAAAATATTAGTAGCAATAGTATGATTTAGTGAGTAGTGAATTTTTTATTTTAGTGTTTAATATTTTTAAGTATCCATTATAATAATTATATGTATAGAATATGAAAAAATATTAATGGTATTATAATCCTGTTTTTGGTATTAATTTTATAAACATTCAATTTTGATTGTTTTGAACCTATTCTATTATAAAAATACAATATTATACTTTATTTAATTATACTATAAGTAAAATATATATATATATATATATATATATATCGCTTATTCCACATAATATGTCATGTTTTATGACATAATTAATTAATACAGCTCGATTGTTTTTCTTCAATCTGTTACTTTAAAACTTTAATAAAATAGTTATTGCGTGTAGGTTTTTTTTTTTCAAAATTAATATTATGAGTGAACAAATAGTTAATGTATTATATCTTGCATTGTCATTAAACAATATCATTTATCATTATATTATACTAAAAACATTTTAATGATTTTATTGTTATTAATTATTATTATGAAATTCCTAAAACTTAATATAATTAACCAAATATTCATTAAGCCCTACCTGAAGCAATTTAGTGGTGGTTTGTTTTTTTTTTTTTTTTTGTAATTTATGCTTACCATAATTTTTATTTTAGACCATTATTAAATGGTGTAAAATATTTAATATCTCTTGGTTACGAACACATTAATTGTATTTAGATAGGCTATCTATAATTATAATTAATTGTAATTGGATTATTCTGCAATTTTGCATTTCAACTTTCCAATTTGTGATCATAAATCAGTGCTTTTAACATTTTGTTTTACATTTTAGTTATTAAGTTATAGAACAGTTTGCCACTAACACTTATAAATCATTTCTGATAACAATTAGTAGTTAGCAACTCAACCCAATAGTAGAGTGCCTTGATAAATACTTATCTTTAAGGCACTATCCATTAATAAATATCAAATCCTAATAAAGACATTTGTTTTAAATTAATGACAGTATTTTAAAAAATTATACAATTATTAACTAAGAACAGCTAATTATGAAAATACTTGTCCATGTTTAATAATACAATTTTCTATGTGGTAATATTTATCAAAATATATTAGGATCTATTGATTTACTGTGGTTTTTTTTTTGTGGGCAACTTCTTTATCAGAGATTTTTGATTTAATAGAAAACAACAAGACCTTTTTGTTGATTTTTGGATCTAGTTAGTGATTATAAAAGTAGTTTTTTTTATATGCCGTGTAATTTTCATAGAAAGAAAAAAATTTAATTTCGATTTTGCTTTTTTTTTTTTAATTTGGTTGAAAACTTTTGTAGACTTGAAATAATGACAGAAAACTTATGTTCACCCTTTCTAGATTTTGGAAATTTTAAAGCTATTTCATGTTTGCAAGTTTCTATTTGATAGGTACTATGTGAATATAATTAATTGACTGAACATTTAACGAAGGTTCATTTTAAGTTGTAAGTCAAGTTTGTGGTCAAAATAAGAATAGTAGAGTGTATTGTAGTAATTTTTATTACCTATAGTGTTTTAATAAGTGGTTTAAAATCAAATTTTGATGAAAATCTTAAGTATTACCTCCTTTCAAAACATATGACCTTCTCTCCTAATCATTTTTCATCAGCAATAGGTTTATCATTCCTTATAGATGTAAATTAAATAACTTTTATGTAGGTATTCTACTATCTACCTTCACATTTCTACCAGTGGCGACTTGTGTCTAGGTGCGCATATTCAATCATACAGCATGTCATTTTTTCAAAAAAACATTTTCAATTTTTTTACAACAACCGTTGAATATTTTCCTATAGAAATATTGCAGTTTTATTGAAAAATATTTTCGGTAAAGAACTAAGTCATAAACATTTAATTGCCCCTAAAGTAAAAACAGCTATGCAATATACACACGCCAATGGTGTTCGTGAACTATATTGAGTGAGAAGGATAGCGATAGTAAGGGGCAACTATGGATGATATACTTTTTAAATTTTTATTTCGCCATGAAACTGATTACTACTATTACAACCGTAGAGTAATTACTCTATGATTTCAACTACGCTGTAATAGATTAAATTGACGTGATAAACTGATAAATGATAATAATTTCACGGTGTAAATTAAAATGTTCAATTATTATTTCCATGGCTGTCCCTAACCAGCACTAGGTACCTGTCTCACTCAATATAGGCTCCGCGTTTCCTACTCTCTCTTTCTCTCTCGTTTCCTTTGGTCCATTTGGTATTAATTAATATGTCTAATTGCGCAGCACGGCAGTGTAGTTGATTTGCGCAGGAAAACTAGGGGTGGGGGGGGAGTCAAGTCAATATTTTGATGAAAAAATATTTAAAACTGAACTGCAAATAATATTTGAAGCAGATTTGGGTTTTGAAATAAAACAGCTCCCTCCAAGTACTGTTTTATTACTCGTGTTCTTAAATTTGAAAACCTCATTCATATATTATGAAAGGTACAGGGAAAAATCTGGTAAGTCTTTTTTTTCAAACTGAGAAAAACGTAACAAATTTTTTTTTTTTACAAAGTGAAAAGTTCGGATTAAGTTTGATGTTAAACTTTGAAATGTAATATAATATCATACTGTATAATTAACCTAGGCTATGTGAGCCGTGCATTGACCCAACACTTACCTGTTTATAAATTGTTTATCTGGTTTATTTTTTCCTGTAGGCCTAAACTTCTGGCATTCATTACTTTCGACTTATCTAGTTTTTTCGCCGTTTCGATCGCATAAAACATATGGTGGTACGTCAATAAAGATTGTTTTCATACCGATATCGCCATTTTGAAAAAAAAAGTGACTTGTGTTTTTTTCCCTGTGCCGGCTGTACCCTTCACATATTCGATAAATGTGTGAAACAATTAAAAACAATAATAAAATACCCGTATGTCTACAGCGAAATCTGAAAGGTTTTTACTGTTTTTTAACATTAGAAACAATAAACACACTTTACGCAATACCGTGGACCGAGACAGACTCGGGTATACTTATCATGTTTAGCAATATTATCAATCGGAAAAAAACTTCATCATGTATATCGATGATTTCAATAATAAAGTTCAAAGTTGTAGAAATTTTTACTGAATCTAAAGACTTAACGTTACATAAAACAAATTAACAAAAAAAATATGTATTACATTCATAGAATACAGTTAAAATTAGTCATGATAACCGATTGTCATTACACCTGCCTAACCGAAATGATAAAATACAATTTAAAAATTTGACTATGTATATGCACAATAAGTGTTTATATGAACATAATATCGTATTACAATCAATGTGTCATATTTTAGATTCTGAGTAGAAGGAACAAGCTTATGATTTTACAAAGACGTTTCATTTTTTTTTCATTTATATATATAATAAATGTGTACAAAAATTCTACCAGAAATCTTGTTCAGATATTTACGCACAGCACTATTTCCGAAATGGAATGTTCTTCATATGGTACTTTTGGGCGGTAATATTTTTATTTTCTATGCGGTTTTCATAATATCTGGGGAAAACCAAGATAAACGTAAGAAAAACGGGAAATTCACGATAAGACTGACTATGACAATAATATGCTTTCGTTATTTTTCAATTTTGGTATTTGTTGCAATTCGGTTTAAAATATTCGCAGAAACTTAGAAATTTAGACAGGAAACTTATATTTGTCTTTTCTAGACGTGGTAAAATTTTCAAAAAGTTTAAGCTATTTTTGAGCTATTTATAGACATTTTAATTTTGCGAGTTTTATACATTGTACGTAATTTTTATTCGGCAGGTACTGCGTGGTAAAGTTGTGAGACTTAACAGAAATGCAAATAAAAAAATTTGAGTTTAATGTAGTATTTTTGTATAAAAGAATTTTAATATCAAATATAATTTTTCAATTTCTTTTTTTTTGAATATATGTATATTGCCGATTTAAGAACGACAGTGAAATCAGAATTGAGCGGACTGACTGAGTTTATAGCTTTTTGAAGCTCTACATTTGTTTCGCGTAATTTTTTTTAAATAGGTACAATAATAAACAAATATTTTAAAAGAAAATAACTACATAATGCATATGTAATTATTTTACCATAATTTGACATATATATATTGTCGACAGAGCACAACTGAACTCGGCTCAGAATCGTTTTTTCGTTATCAATGGTTTATTGTTACTATACATTAAATTATCTTTTGTATCTTACCTTCCCAACCTATAACAGTGGCTACAACTGTCCTCATTATCCTAGAACAGATTTTTCTGTTTCAGTTAAAAATGTTTCGACTTGACGTTGAGACGTAGAGCCTTGCCATTTGGACAAAAAGCAAAAATTCGCTCTTTCTAAACATGGTGAACAAATGGTTGGACATCCGCAACAATGATGATGACGGTCGATTGGTATACGACGGCGCGAGCTACATCTATGCATAAGTCTTAATTCAATATTTATGAATTGTGATTTATGACCGATGAGATTGTTGATTGTCGTTTTTGCACCGTTAGGCCCGGCGCCCACCAAATTAACGTGACTCGTGATATGACAAGTGACATGTCATGTACTAGTTATTTGTCATTACACGCACACAAAAATCATTCATGTCCGTACACTGTTTAAACCTGTCAGATCATGTATCAGTTTTGTGTAACTTCTGAAATTTTGTTGATGACAAAAGTACCGCGTGTTCTACTTTTGTCACTTGTCATCAGCTCTCCACCGCGCAAAGGTATGCATTATTATAATTATAATAACATAATATAGAAAATATACGGGGTCATGTTCACGGATACGGGGTTATGGGGTTCAACCCCCCCCTCTCATGGACACGTTACAAATATATTCACTTACATATAATTATAATAATTTATTGGGAAAACTCTTGGGCCTTCGTAGACATTTAAAATATTAAGTAAATTTACTGCGTCCAATACGTCCTCATCGTCTGACGGCATTTTGAGAAACGAATAGAGCAAAGTAAACAATTTTCAAGTAACATAAATAATCACGTCATTTGAATGAAAACAACAAAATTCATTTGTCACGTCACTCGTCATATCACCAGTCATGAGCCACGAGTCACGTTACTTTGGTGGACGCCGGGCCTTAGAGAGGAACCACCGGTTTTTCGCATACGGAGTCAAGGTGATCCGAAGAGAAAACTAAGAATGCCGGAGTCCAATAATAAACTTTGATAACGCGCGTACTTGCCTGCTTATCTACATTATGCCGAAATACTTTTCAACGTAATCGTTATCAATACCCGTTACGGAATTTCACGTTATTATTATACATTTATAACGCACCTAGACATAATAAATTGTAGATAAAACGAACGGAATGACGTTTTTATTTTAGGACTGCGATTGTTATTATCATTGTTGTTCGTTGGCGGTCCGTCCGTTCCCACCATTGGAGTCCGGAACCGAACCGGGGATCGATGTAACAATAATAATAATACATACATAACGATTATTGCAACCGGTAACCATTTTCGTGGTAACGAGATTACGAGAATAACGCGATATTCCAAAGAGAACATTCGAGAATCGCAACGGGCGGCGGAATCGACGATTCACCTGCCGTTCGGGTGTCGACGTTTACGCGGACTACCGATTCGGAACCGGCGCCCAGGGAACATCCATAATTATTAACAGTTTCAGTAAATTTCGCCGAGCGGCCGCAGTAGCTTTTTTGGCGATGCACATCATATGAGAGTCAAAAATCAAAAAAAAAAGCCGTGTTAGCTGTCGAATAGAAAAGACTTGTAGCGCCCCCCCCCGCAAATTTTTTTTTAACGAAAACTCGTTAGTTTATCGTGGTGCAATGACGCGCCAGCAGTTGTTGCGACATTTTGTTATTTATAATTGTCGAATGTGCCGATTCATACACAATGCCATTGTTATATACCGTACCGTTTTCATGCGGTTATTATATTCCGACCGATATTTGTTTTGCCCGACTTTGTGTCCGAGGTTATTTTCCGATTTTCCTGTCTGTTTTCACAAACCAACTCGTCGAAAAGCGAAACCAAGTGGGGTCGCGATAGATTTTCGTGGGGAAATATGGGTCGCGGTCCTAAAAAGATTGGGAACCAACGGTTTTTATTAATACATCTGTAATAATTGTAACTGTTAAATTTATTTCACCGGGCATTGTTTTCGACTGACAATTGTGAAATGTCTGTAGCACGCAACTGCGCAGCCATCGCATACAGTCAGAACCAAATTTTGGTTCGGAAGAATTAGAACGAATCATTTCAGAAAAAAAAAAAAAAAACCGTGTATCCCGATATTCGTTATTTACCCGACGTGGCGCTGATAATATCTATCAGTTCTGCATCACGACGACTCGGGGGTGGGGTGGGGGGTCTTTCTCCGTTGATGCGTCGCGCGGTCGCATCAAAAACCGGACTATTTCTTTTTGTTCATAGAACATCTATGAATATCTATGGCACAAAACCGTTTCATCGGTAATAATATCCTTTGCCGATTGGCTATCGCACACCGAGAGAGACGCGTTGCTGATGATCATGACCCCGACATTGTCATGACAAGACGAACGCCGAATGAAGACCGACGCATAGGTTTTTAAATATTTAACGTCGTTACAATAAATAATTTGAATAAAAACATGTTAAATGTATTTGTATTCGTCGCGGCGTTCGCTGCGTATGGGCAGATAATGCCCCGTTGGGCGTTGCAGGTGGGTCTCGCCGGTCGTCGTTTCAAACGGGGGGGGGAGGGGAAAACAACGATCCCGCCGAGTTTCACAAACCCACCCAACCCCACCGCTCGTTCAAATATCCGGCTGCGCTCGCTCCGTCATTTTAATATTCCGTTTGCGCGCGGCGGGAATCGGGAGGGGGGGTGGCAGGGCTCGGGGATCGCCGTTCGCTGCACCCGGACCCCGCACGCCGTCTTTTGCACGCCCGACGAGACATCGCAGCCGTTCGAACGGTAAACACATTATCGGGCCGCGCTGCGCGTGACAACCGACAGAAATAATTGCCAAGACCGTCCACCGTCGATATCCGACGATCGCGTAACAATGACAGTGTGTTGACAATGCGCACGCCGGACCGACCGTTCTGGGGCCGCCGATAACGCGGCAAACGCGACGATTATCCGCGTACGATTCAATAATAATTGGACAAAAAAAAAAACGTAATGCGCGTTTTCGTGGCAACACTAAAGTCGTTTTTTTTTTTTTTTTTTTAATCTTAATAATTTATCGGGCGTCGGAACGCGCCTTATCGCAGTCAATTAAACGCATGCCGCGTGATCGAACCATTGTCGTATTCGTATCGTTGTTATTACATTGCGTTATGATCGTACCCCACAATCTCATACTACCGAGTGTGTGTCCCGGTGGATTTTTTACTGCGACCGTATTAATATTATTATATTACTGCGACACGGAAAACTACGTACGAGTAAAGAGAGAAAAAAAAACAGTTTCATGAAAAATTCGGCTGCGACGTGAAATTCGATATAAACCTTGAACGGGCGAACGTGGGTATTTGAATTTTTTTCAGTCGAATCCTATGATAACGTTAACAAAAAAAAAAATAATAATAATAGAATAATACGCTCTTACTCTCATATACAATACACGGTGAATTCGGCGGGCATACGGAGTGGATCTAATGAACTATGCGCTGCACGACTCGATATTATATTTGATATTATTTACAATATGTTTACTCGATATTCACAAATATTTTCGTTTGTTCAAATTGATCGCGAAAATAAATATTATCGGTTCGATAACAATCGTTTAGAACGGACGCTCCGTTTTTACCAAAAATACATTGCTGTTGCTTATGGAGAACCGTACGATTCAAATTAATTTCGACCATTTTTTAGAGCAGCGATGCACACAAACCGGAGCTCCGCGAGGACCACTTTCCGGGGGTACCGTGATACATTGAACAATTATTTATGATTTATTGTAATTTTTGTCAATTTCAAATTATCGAAACCGGAGAATCGTTTTTCAATGATGCAAGCGCAAAACGAAGTGAAACACACTGTGCGAAAAAAAAAAATAATTGTTGTCAACGAGATTTTAGAGCGCCTCAAACAGCAAACAAAAATTCGTTTGAGCAAAATTTCCCGCAGCTCGAGCGATGTCGTTATTGAAAGACCGTGTATGGGGGGGAGGGTAGGGGGTACCGCATCAATTTTCGGTTCGTCCAAAACCTTTGAAGCCCATCTTCGGCCGAACGAGAAAATCGTATCGACCCGACATCAAACGAATTCTGGCGAAGTTCAAACGGAAATCGGGTTTTGAACTCTATAAACGTTCTGGGCGAAAAGACGAAAACCGTTACTTTCTTTTACCCTTTGCCAACCCACTTGCCCACGCGAGACGGGATATCCGGCACACGCTGCGCAACGGACGCACGAAAATACCGCGCGACCGCCGCAACGCAGAACCCACCAGGAGTTTCTCGACCCCGGCCGTCCACAAAAACAATAAAACCGGACGTCGTCGGACAGCAACGCGAACAAAAGCCAGCAGTCACGCGCGCGCGACATCGGCAACGTTCTTTGCACTCGCTTACGTCACAACGGGTTTCCGTTGCTCTTCGCCAAGCACGGTACTATGTATTTACTTCAAACCGGCCCCGTACCGTCAAAAAGAACGGGCGCCGCGCAGTATTACGACCGGTAAAAGAACCGACGGGAATGCAGTCCGTGCAATCGACTCTCGTCGCGGTATTTTCTTCGCACACCTCGCGGCCGAGAGCGCCCCGCCGTCGAATTTCGTCGAAAAAACGTGGGTGGGGGGCGGGAGGGAGCGCGCCGTCGGGAACCGCCGTTCCGGTGTATAGGGGGCGTTGGCAGTAATGGAAGTAATTCGCGCGCGTTTAACGTTTTGCACCGGCAACTTTTTTTTTTCTTTTGGTCAACACAAGCCATTGCAAATAATCGCATCGTAACGCGCGCGCAACCAACGGCGGCGGTACAATCGGTTTTGCGGGGCCGTCGTACCAACGCCGCGAGTATACACCTACAATAATAACAACAACAACAACAACAACAACATGTATCATATTTCGATATCGTTTTTCAATATTCGCACGGTTTTCATAGACAATTAGCAACCGTGTTTTCCGCGTTCAGAAAAAGGACACGAACGACTTGTTGCGAAGATAGAACAGAGAGGAAAAAAAAAAAAAAACATTACACACAGAGCGCCCGACGTCATTGACGTTTTGTATTACGGAAATCGCGCGCATTCGAATAGTATGTATTATACATTATGCCGTACAGGGGTAGCGGGGAGGGGGGATGGAGGGCGAGGGTAGTGGTGATCGTGCGCGAAATTAGTAATCAATTAATTTAATAAATAAACAACGTTTCAAGTGTACGAGTACGTTATTATTACGTTATCAATATACAAACACATTTTTTTCCATTTTTAAAATAATAATAACAAAACGTGACGATACCTATACGTACTGTATGCAAGTGCGTAAGTGCTGCTGCTGCTGCTACACAACGGCGCGGGTATTGGCCGTGTGTACAAATTTCTAGCGGTGAAAATACGACGTGGTAAATTTTATACGAGCGGTATGGAAATCGAATTTAAATATTTACCTACGATAAAATCATACATTTGTAACAATATTAAAGTATAGATAGGAGAAAAAAAAAAATGAATAAATTTGCGCTCGTTCTGAAACCAAGTGGTATCAACAGACAGAAAAATAAAAAAAAAAAAAAAAGGTTAATAATTTCTAAGGTGGGCAATACAGGCGGAGCCGTTACCGAAGGTCGGACGGCTTAAATTATCAAACGTTTGGCTACCAACACCACCAGAGACGTCTGAACGAGCGTTGCGCACACTCTTGCGCTGCCAGCGCCGCTTTTTGACGGTTTCCCGGTTGTCGTAGTGCCGTTCGACGTCGTCGTGGTCGAAGTACTGTTCGATATTGAACTCTCGGTCACTGTTGCGAGGGTCGCCACATTCTGAAAAATAAAACCGAACCGTAAATGAACGAGGCGTGGGTGCGCGTTTTTTTTTTTTTACGCGCGCGTCGTCGCAACATCGGATTGAAAAACAAAAAAAAAAAAAAAAAAAAAAAAAAAAAACCTAAAACGCCGGACAACGACAAATTGGTGCCCGTGTCATTGCCGTTGTGTGACGCGTAGGCGGGAACTTATAGCTGGCAAGCGTGTTGTTTATGTCGATCATTTCACAACCGTTGTAATTAAACCGAGGTGAAATCTGATTTTGAAAAACCGGGGCTCGGAAACGTCATTGATAAAACACGTCATTTACGTAACACGTTTAAAACGAATAAATTAGAGAAACGTTAACACGTTACAACCAACGAATTTGGAAAACGTTTTACAGGCAACGGAAACGTTATAAACGAACTTGTTCTGGAAAAAAACGTTTTGCGGTGGTAAGTGAACATTAGGTCGTAGTAAAAAAAATGTCGAAACGAAACCGATTCGGAATTCGTTAACGGTTGACATCGACAGTAAAACGCGTAAAGTCGACAGATCTGAATATGACAAATAACAATTGCGCATGTGTCTACAAAGGCGATAACAATAATGCAATTTACCTTGTTGTCGGAGGAATTAACAAAACATTTCAAAAATGTTTCATATTAATACGAAAAAAAAAAAAGAAGCCCCACAACCCCTGTGAATACGCACACGAATCGATCCTATTGAATTACACATTTGATTACATTTCGCGGAAAAAAATTAATTTTTTTTTTTTTTGTTATAAATATCAATAATTCATCAGGGTTTTCCCGTTTCCGTTTACGGGCACACACCGTACACGTCGTGGACGTAATTAACAACAACATCAACAAAAATAATAATACCAATTTATACCCAACGAGTAACAGTAACAAACAGGTATGGACTTCGTGAAAATACCGCGTAAGTATATTTCAGTGGAAACGTTCACGGGGGGGGGGGCAACCGCGTGTTCTCTATCCGCGAAAAACATCATCGGATTTCATCCGGAACGTTCGAAAATTCGAGATTTCACCACGGCCCACCCCCGTCAATACAACACTGTCATGGGGTTAGAGGTGTACCCCGTCCGCGTCCGGCCCCGTAAAGACGTTTACCGCGCGATCGTTGCGCACGGCGCGCGTTTTCGCATCAAATACCGACAGCGGGTATACCCGATCAAGACCATCCGGTAACACTTACAACTAAGCTGTCTGTTGCCAACGATAACGGATTCGTATTGTTCTCGCAAACGGCGACGTGGACCGCGAGTGCGAACACGGCCAACGCGAACGCGATTACGCATTGATTGCGGTGCATCGTGACGGGCGGTTCTGCTGGACGCTATTGGTCGCGGTCGTTGTTTGTCGGTTTGATTCCTTCGACCTCTGTTCGGACGATCTCGACGACGGCGGTTTATCTACCACGGAAAAACGCTGCTGTCGAACGGCGGACGGAGACTGAACGCGCAACGGTCCGCGGCTGAACGTTTATAAAGAGTACGACGCGTTATCTCCGGACACGGTGTGTACGCACCGCGCGCCGCGGACCGGTCGCGGCGACGGCGACGGCGACGACGTTATTCGATCGGCGTTCGTTATTTTTACCGCGATAATAATGTTTATCGTGAAACGACGTGACCGTCAATTCGGTCGTACGATTATTGTCCGCGAATTCGTCGAGAGTGACCGGTGACCGTTAATAACCCCTCGAAATTGGAATCGGTTGCAAAATGATGAAATTCGTTAAAAGACGCGAGTCGACGGAATACCTTCATCGTTGTCACCGCCTCACCGGTCGCTGTGAATTACAACCGTACCAAAACGGTTTACTATCGGTTAGTGACCGGTGACCCTCGACGAATTTGTGATATAATCGCGACGAAAATTACGTACTTCCAATTTTCCCGCAGCCCGCGCCATCGAAATTTTCCATTAATAAACATTCCGCGGGTTCACGTACGTGGCATCGGCTCGTCCGCCCTCCCCCTTTCTTCCAGCCGATCCCTTCTGGACAAATCGTTAATCCGTATTGTATATTCGATTTCGAAACGTGTAAATCACCAAGGGTTTTAGGAAATAACAAATTAGTTGGGAGAGCGATTGTAACAAAATCTCACATTGTAAATTAATTTTTAGCAGATATTTGAAATGTTCGACACAGGACAATGGAGAGAGGGAAGGGTACCCCGCTTACATTTCGGACATGGTAAGCAAAATTTCATATTTTTTTTTTTTTTTTTTCTAATTGACTACTGGTTTCTTTCGGCGAAACTGCAGAATATTTACTGCATAATACGGACAGATTACAGATTATACAAACAATTTCAAATCCATTTAAAATAAATGTGAATTCAATACCCGAATTTGTAAACGCTCTCTACGACCGTCAAATCGAAAATAAATCGAGAGAGCCTATTATGTTCATCGTCGAACTTACATATTAGGTGTGGCGGCTTTCGAACAAACATTCCTGGTAGGAAAATATAATCTTAAATATTTTAAATAATGAAATCGTTGCGCCGTAATTTGGAAAAAAAATCTTATTTTAAACTCGGTACGAGTTAGACCGAGAAAGATAGAAGGGAATCGACGTTTCGTTTCGAAAACCCTGAAGACCTCTTTCGTTTAATTCATAGCATTGCGATTAGCGTATACAGTAACCTCGGTGAGATTGTTTTAAATTGTTTAATACAATTATATTTATTTATACCTATGTAATAAACCACAGCAATATGAGCAGCCTATAAGTATAAATTATTGTCTAAAGTATTAATAGTTTTCAAGGTACATTTTTAATTTTTCGGGGATTTTATTAAATTATGTTAAAGAAACAAATTAACGCAAATCTATAGTTGCCAATAATTAATTTCTCTGGTAAACCGAAGGTTCACTATAATAAAATGTGTAAACCGCAATGTCATCAGTGTTCAAACTATAGCTATAGGTACCAGCTATTGTTAATAATTACTATTGTACCTGCAGTTTAGCCTTGGTAAAAGTGTAGAAAATATTTTGAGTATTATAGTATATCTTTGAATAATAATAGTTTGCAATTAAATCGCAATTCTTAAAAAAATTAATTTAAAAAATAAACATAAAAACAATAATTTATTATTTATTATTATTGTTAATTATTATTATTAATTTGTATACTTGCTATGGTACATAAATTAAAAATATGTTCAACATTTTTGTACTCATATTGATATTACTATAACATCAATTTAAAATTTAGTACACCATTGAAACACAACAATGGGATAGGTAGGTACTTTTTATGTTATTATTTTTATGACAATATAGTCATATAGGAATTGAGCGTTAACTTTTTGAACATAAATTTCATGTCAAAACATCATTTTATCTAGGCAATGATTGATTCATTTAGCAAACTATGAGTTTATAAAATAAGTTACGGTTTTTTCTTGATTGAAAAAAATACTATATTTTGTCTTAAATATCTATAATCGTCTCGTTCAAATATTTTTGTCACAGCCAAGATGATGTCGTTGTCTTAATTTTTTATAACGAATTCTCAAAATATCCTAAATCCGTTATTAAGGGAGTTTATTATTATTTTGTTTTACGCGTACATTTTTTTGGATAATTTTCACGATTACACAATAAAAACTTGCGATAAAGACGAACTGAGATCATTCTTTAAATTTATGTACATATGAATATTCTTATAAAATTTTACGTATAACATAACAATAGATGCAAAATGTTTACCACCGAGTTATAACTAACTCAATTGGTAGTGGCGCGCATTTGTTTCCGCGCTCAATTTTGTCTTCGCTTAATATTGTCGTGCACTCAATTTGTCGAGTTTAATTGTCGGGACACCATTAAGGGGGCTCGAACTTGATCGATTCTAAGGCGTAAGAACTAGGTAACTCTTATGACGGTTACAAACAAGTCGTGGCAGTGTGTGAGAAGTAAATGAATATTAGTGTGAGTGCGGTTCAACGCGTGGTCAGTATTACCACCGCCTTTTGCACCATCATAGTAGTTAATAAGAGTTTTGGAGACGTTTTTACCACACAATAATTAGAGGACCACACTAATAAATTAATAATTGTAGTGGGGTAGCAATGTAAAATACTGATTTCCCACTGCTATCGGTTGATTGGTTAAAAAAAAAAAAAAATATATATGTATATTTATAATTAAAATTTCACAAAAATTTAAAAATATTACGATGTAAAATGATGCGATCCCCACCACAAATATTTGCTATACAGTAGCTATATTAGCTTGTTAGTCGGCCGTAGGAACGGTGTACTTGGCTACTTGTACAAGTGCTCAAGTATTGACGTAGGTACTTGTCAAGAACGCCAGACGTGTGAGCATCCTGATCGTTCCCTGGTCAAACGTTTAATTATTGGCGTATTTGCAAGTATACCAGTCGTGGGAATGCGGCTTTAGAAAAATATCATTGAACGAACAATTTCTAGCCAAACTACTTATATATTTTTACAATAAAATTTAAGAAACATAAATAATACTTCTGAAATAAAACGTATTACCATTGATTGTGTTATTCCGTAGTAGTACTATAATATTATATAATCAATGGTATTATAAATTTATATTATTATATTAATTATCAGTAGTGTTCGATTTCCGGAATAATAATGATAACGCTGTATAGGGACATCAGAATGAGCGAATAGGCACGTACTAACCTACGCGCATGCACATGTCAATTACCTTTTTCCTTAAAAAATCACGAACATTTTATTTATTTTTTTTTAAAAATATTGGCAAAGATTTCAATCATCACTACGCTCAGTAGTAAGACGTTCCGATTTTAATTTTAAAAATAGATTTTTGAATTGTCCTCTGAATTTACTATGCATATTAAATGACATTTACATAATTAAATTAAACTGTCGTACTTTTTCATATTCTATATTAATGTATTTAAATTTGAATTATGAATATGACCAACTTTTGTATTTTTGTTAGTAAATTTCTAAGAAAAAAAATAAACAGTCAAAGCACAGATAATTTTGTAACGAATCCAATTTCGTTGTTCAAAATCAGAACATTAAACTGGGCGTATTGATTGAAGTCGAGGACTGTATTTTCGACTCAAAATGAATCATACCTTTTGTCCCTTTAATGTACGAGTACATCAGTACGAGACATCAGTCATTCATATACTATACGATGCAATCGTTTAAAACAAATTATATTCGAAAAACGTTTTCCATCTAGTTTTTTTCATTTTCTGCATTTTGCATTTAATTATTGTACATTTCTTTTATTAATATTAATCCACTTTTTTTTTTAATCTCTGATTGAATTTGTGTACGAATTCCGATATAATGGTTTGCTATTAACGCATATTTTTTTTTTATTAGGTACATAATATGAGGATGAATAAACTTCAAGAGAACATGGAGAAGCTAGCATAATATTAAAACAATATTGTGAATACACATGTGGAATTTATATTTACATATTACTCGGATACTAGGTGCTCATCCTAAAGATGTCATAATTCACGTTAATAAACTATTACAAATTTATAATTGTGTAAATATTATTTTGTTGCACACCAATGTTAAATTTATATATTAGTTTGGATGTTATTTTTAAAAAAGTTGTCATAGAGTAATAGGGACCATTGTTATAGGTGAGAAGTTGGGAGGGGAGATTGTATGTATATTTGTACGCAACGATTAACCATTGCTAACGAAAAACGATTCTGGCGGAGTTCAGTTGTTTTGTCAACAATATATTATGTCATATTATAGTAAAATAATTAAATAATCCATTATATACTTTCTTTAATAATATTTGTTTAATATTGTACATATTTTCTCGTTTTCCTCCGTTTTTTCGGATTTTTCCCATTTATTGGGAAAACTTCTGGGAAAATCAAAAAATGACTCCATTCAGAATCTAAAAATAAATTACACCTAATATTATCATCTTAAATTTGAACACGGTCTGATCATTTTAGCAAAAATCATTCCAAACCTATTAAGTTAGTTTAACGATTTCAATTTAAAACAGTTTTCACGTTTCTTTTCGGTGTTTATTAAATTGTCTGAATTTTGGAAAGTCAATTATTATTAAGTATTAATTTAATGTTTAGTGATATTATACTTAATACTTATAGAGCTTGACACATAAATATATTATACTTAAAAAGTCGATTATTAAACTTTTTCTTTTACGTTTATTCCACTGCAATAAGTTGAGCGTTATAAAGAAGAAAAAAATAATCTCTCTGTAAAACCAAAATTCAGAATCAAATATTTAAACTGACATCATAATTAAGTGCTCGGACTTAAATATAATCTGTTTTGTATGGCGTTATACAATCTGGTGTTGGACATTATGACATCAATTATAATTATATTTAGTATATTACCTAAATTGTATTCAAGCGCGGATCCAGAACTAAATTTTGGATAGGTTATTTTTTTTGAAAAGACAAAAAAGTAATACACAATGAAAAATAATGAAAGTAAAT